CCCCAACGCTTGCTCCGCTCTGCGCCTGACTCTCCTCCTCGTTTGCCAGCCTTACTCCTCATTGGCGCCAAAACCATTCGCCGCTTTGGGCGGTGTTCCGCTGGTGCAGGCCCTCTGCCGACCAAACAACCAAGGCACATGGCGTTCTCAGCCAGCAAAATAGGCCCGATCTGTTCCCACCCCAAAGTGGCCCTGTGGATGGGCCTAAAAGCCCACGATGCCACGCTGCCAAGCCCCCGGGCGTCAGCATAAGCAGCTCTGTACTCTGTACGGGTACTGTACGTAAGTACAATGAGCAAGCATGAAGGACCTCATATCAATATTCCCGCGAATTCATGTGGGCGAGCATCCGCGACGAAGCCAGCCAGCACAAGCACCCATGTCGATCCCACTATACTGGCTCGCTCGTGGCGGAGTGCCTTCGTTAATTGTTGTTTCGGCTTGCTCGCAACAATGTGGGAATAATAATCAAGTAACTTTGCACTGTGTTCTTCTGCCCAGAGCACAGCCCAACCAACGCCCACTCAGCAACGCGTTCTGTGCACCGCATCACCACCGCAGTCAAGCGTTGGCAGCTACTCTACACTACAGTGCCTCGTCTTCCGAGTCCCTCGCCTCCCGGGTGCCTTGCATGGCTTCGGCCACACTTTGTTGCATCTATCTCACTCGCGCGCCGGCAGACGGGCGCCACCTCCATCACTATACGCTAAGTTAGCGTGGCGCGCCGTCTCCCCTTCCCCCCCCTTGTCGTGCCCTGCCTTAGCTTCTGCCCGAATATGGCAACAGGGAAAAAAGATGGCCGCTGCGTTTCAAGCTGTATTGTAACCTTGGTAGCCAACCTTGGCGGAAAATACTCCGGACGTCTGCCCGTCCCGATTCCTGCAGTGAGATTGGTGGTACTAGCTCAATGCCGGCTCCAATACTGCCTAGCCCGGCTAAACATTGCATCATGGGCAGTGTGGGCTGCTCGTGTTGCTCGTGCTGCTGCCATTGCTGCATAGTGGTCTCATCTCCATTTGCCATGCACCATCTATAAAGGTCTCACCTGGTCCCCTAGCCTTTTGGGATCGACTTCGCTCCCTTGTGCTTCGCCCGTCAGTTGCTTTGCTTGACGCTTCTGCATCTCTATCCTCCTCCTCCTACCTACCCTTTTCCTCTTTTCTTCTCGCTGGGCTGCCAAATGGCTCGCTTTGCCTTCCTCGCTGGCTGCGCTGCGGCCATCCTTTCTACCGTTGCCGCTCTTCCTGCTCAGCCTGCTGATGCAGAGCTGGAGAAGCGCGCCTCGTCCTGGTTCCTCCCCAACCTTGACCATACCTCCGGTCCTGTCCGTGGCTACGTGCCCAACCTGTACAACGGCAATGGCCAGCAGGTCTATGACTACCCCGTCTACAAGTCGGTCAATGCTGGCGATGCCAACGGCCTCCGCAATGCCTTGACGTCCAACGGCCCGAATGGCAACCGCAACAACTGCTGGCTAGCCGGCCAGCCCCGCGTCATCTACTTGGCCCCCGGAACCTACACGCTTGACTCCACGCTCTACATGCTCACCGACACCATCATCATTGGTGATGCTGCCAACCCTCCCGTCATCAAGGCCTCTGGCAACTTCAACGGCGCCCAGCTTATTGTGGGTGGCCAGGGCGACGGTAGCGACAGACCTTGTGGTGGTAGCGGTGGTGAGACTCACTTCTCCATCATGCTCAAGAACATTGTCCTCGACACCACTGCCAACGGCAACAACGACTTCACTGCGCTCAGCTGGGCCGTTGCTCAAAACGCCGGCCTCGTCAACGTCAAGATCAACATGCCCCAGGGTCGCCACACAGGCATGACTGTCCCTGGTGGATCTACCATTTCCATTGCTGATGTCTACTTCACCTACGGCAACATTGGTCTGCACTGGCAGGGCCACCAGCAGGGTCAGCTCAAGGGCATGACCTTTGACAAGTGCTCCACTGGCATCTTCATCGACTCTGGCTTCACCATCAGCATCTTTGCCCCGACCTGCAAGACTGTGGGTCGTTGCATTGTCCTCAACTCTGGAAACGCCTGGGTTGCCGTCACGGATGGCACTAGCATCAACTCTGGCGACTTCTTCACGTCCAACGTGCAGTACCCCAACTTCATGCTCGAGAACATCTCCAAGGATACCACCAACACCAACATGGTCACTGTGGGTGGCACCGTCAAGGTCGGCGGCGTCAGCAGCCTGGGTAGCTACATCTACGGCAACACCTACGGCAAGAACCCCGTCTACCAGACCAACCCTTCGTCGCAGAACCCCAACCGCCCTGCCAAGTTGGCCCCTGGCGGCAAATACCCCATGATTAACGCTCCCCAGTATGCCAACCGCGGTGTCGGCGACGTTGTCAACCTCAAGGATGCCAACCAGAACGGCAACTTCCAGCTGCACGGCGACGGCAACGTTGATGACACTGCCGCCCTCCAGGGTGCTCTCAACACTGCTGCCGCCCAGGGCAAGATTGCCTTTTTGCCCTTTGGCATCTACAAGGTGACCAACACCATCACCATCCCCTCAGGCACCGAGCTCTACGGTGAAGGCTGGGCCACCATCTCGGGTGCTGGCAACAGCTTCAAGGACGGCAACAACCCTCGCCCCATTGTTCAAATTGGCAGCACCGCCGGCCAGGTTGGCACTGCACGCATCCAGGATGTTCGCTTCACTGTCAACGAGGCCCTTCCCGGTGCCATCCTGCTGCGCATCAACATGGCGGGCCGCAACCCCGGCGATGTGGCCATCTTCAATTCCCTCAACACCATTGGTGGCACCCGCGACACCAGCCTGAGCTGCGACTACGAGTCCAATTGCGCAGCCGCGTATCTCGGCGTCCACATTGCCCCTGGTGCCTCGGCCTACATTGACAACTTCTGGAGCTGGGTGGCCGACCATGCCTCTGATGACAGCGGCAAAGGCACTCGCACCGCCGTCAAGGGTGGTGTCCTGATCGAGTCAACTGCTGGCAACTGGCTGACTGGCGTGGGCTCTGAGCACAACTGGCTGTACCAGCTTGCCTACCACAACGCTGCCAATGTCTTTGTGTCGCTCTTCCAGTCCGAGACCAACTACAACCAGGGCAACAACGGCGCACCCATCCCCACGGACCCCTTCAGTGCCAACGACTCCGATCCTGACTTTTCCTGGTGCAACGGCGGCGACCGTACGTGCCGCATGAGCATTGCCCAGTTCTTCAAGGGCAACAACGACAACATCCACCACTACGCCGCCGGCTCCTGGAACTTCAACGGCCTGACCAAGGTCGACCAGGGCATCATGAACGTCATGAAGGACGGCGTGTCCAACTCCCACCTGCATGGATTCTGCGCCGGTCCCAACTCGCAGTACACGTTCCGCCTGCCCAACGGCAAGCAGTTTGGTAATGGTGGCCAGGACGGCTTCGGCGGCTCTTGGGGCTCGCTGGTTGCCGATGTCGCCAGCCAGAGCTAAACATCCCGCCGGGACACATGCTTCCTTTTTTTAAACAAAGCTGTATATACTCTCTTTCTTTCCATTAAACTGTCGATATGTTTTTATCAAGTCGCTACCTAGCAGACTGACGTACATGAATTTTATATTCTTTATATTTATTATGCGTACCAACATCGTGACGCTCGTGATGATAAGCCACTCTGTGTTCACAACCGGCCACCACCAGCCTAGTGGTCACCCCACCATGTAGACGGAAGTCGACGTCAACACACACGTAAATTTACCAAGATCCATCAACACGCTAAATACACTTCACAAAAACATAAATAAATAAATAAATATCCAACGCCCAACATAGACAATCCATTTGCCAACCCCAGATTTTCACCCCACCACTCAATGCCATTCACCCATGGTGCTTGCTTCGCTACCCTGCACGGCACCTACTTGCTGCACAACTGCTAGCCCCTCCCCCGCGCAACAACGTCTCTCCCACAATAACCATTCACCATGGCTTTCAAACCAGCGCTCATCGTCGTCGACTTCCAAGAGGACTTTTGCCCTCCCGTACGTTCTCATCTTCTCAAACTGCTCCTTGCATTCCGGCTAACGCCCCTCGCTCACAGCACGGCACGCTCGCCGTCCCCGACGGCCGCGCCATCGCACCCACCATCAACGCCCTCCTCGCCCTCCCCTTCACCATCAAGCTTGCCACACGCGACTGGCATCCGCTAACGCATGTCTCCTTTGCCGCCAACCACCCTGGCACCGAGCCCTACACGTCCACGACCACCATCTCGCACGCCACCAAGCCAAGCTACCAGACCACGCTGTGGCCCGTCCACTGCGTGCAAAACACACCCGGCGCGGAGCTCGTGCCGGAGCTGCAGGTTGCGCATCTACACGGCATAGTCGATAAGGGCATGGTGGCTGATCGCGAAATGTACTCTGCGTTTTACGACCCCTTTGGCGAGTCGGGGTCTGGGCTTGTAGAGATGCTGCGCGACAGTGGGGTCACGCATGCGTACGTTGTCGGCCTTGCGTCGGATTACTGCGTAAAGGCTACGGCGCTGCATGCTAGGGACGAGGGTCTTGTGACGTATATTGTCGAGGACGCAACGCGACCTGTGTTTCCGGAGGCTTGGCCCGCAGAGAGGGAGAAGCTGGTTGCTGAGGGCATTGTCATGATTGACTCGGTAGGAGACGAAGTTGAGCGCGTGAGACAATTGTAGTGATTATTACTGGCCGGGGTAGGTAGGCTTTTGCTGTACGATACGATACGATACGAGATGATAATGATGATGACACTGTGATATAGCGGTACCCACGGCGGGGGCTACTCTGAATTGAAATGGACAACAATTAATATGCATTGATGCGAATACATGATACCAAATACTCTCTCTAGTTCCTTTTGCTTGCTGGTTGCTATATATACGGAGTAGTACCCCTTTCAACGATGCTATACGAATGAGGGGGCACTTACAAGACGCTACGTCCTGGTAACAAGTAAAGAAAATCCAACACCAGGGGGAAAACGCCAGTGTTTAGGGGGCAGTCTACCTGTTTTCGGTATGCTCGCTAGGTAAAAATGTACCGTTAGGGAGGGGAATATTATGATTTTGGTTGAATGCGTTTGTGTGGTTACATCTTTATTAGCCACTGCGCTCCCTTCACCTCTTGGATCGTTGCTGAGCAGCGGCGCTCATGCTCTTGTCGTGGCCATTGGTCATGGCCAGCGAGACGGGCGTCATGGGAGGCGCAGGTGTTGTCGAGCGCGAAGGAACGGCGCTACGGTTGTGGGCCATGTGAGCCTTGACGAGGTGACCGGCGGCCAGGGCACTGCACAGTGACAACTCACCGGCAAGGACCGAGGCACCGATGATGCGTGCCAGGCGGCGGGCATTGTCACCAGGGTTGGTTGGGTGAGAGCCTCGGACACCAAGCATATCGAGCATGGCGCTTTGGGGCTCGAGGATGGTACCTCCACCTAGCGTGCCGACCTCGAGAGAAGGCATTGAGACCGAGATTTGCAGCGAGCCATGCAGGTTCTTCATGATGGTGATACAGTTGGCACTCTCGACAACCTGGGCGGGATCCTGACCTGTGGCAAGGAAGATGGCGGCGACAATGTTGGCGGCGTGAGCGTTGAAGCCACCCATGGAGCCAGCCATGGCGGAACCAATCAAGTTCTTGGCCACGTTGAGCTCGACCAGAGAGTCAACGTCACTCTTGAGAACGCTCTTGACAACATCGGCAGGGATAATAGCCTCGGCAACAATACTCTTACCACGGCCCTCGATCCAGTTGATAGCAGCGGGCTTCTTGTCCATGCAGTAGTTACCAGAAAGCGACACAATCTGCATGTCGTCGAAACCACACTCAGTAGACATGACCTTGAGAGCAAACTCGACACCCTTGGAAATCATGTTCATGCCCATGGCGTCACCAGTCGTCGTCTTGAAGCGAATGTAGAGGTTGGTGCCAGCAATTGCCGTCTTCATCTCCTGAAGACGGGCAAAGCGCGAGGTCGAGTTGAACGCCTTCTTCATCGTGCTCTGACCCTCTTCAGAGTCGAGCCAAATCTTGGCAGCACCGGCGCGCTCCAGAGTTTCAAAGCTGACACAGGGACCACGGGTCATGCCATCACCGGTAAGAACAGTGACAGCACCACCACCAGCGTTGATGGCCTTGCAGCCACGGCTGGTACTGGCCACCAAAACACCTTCAGTCGTAGCCATGGGGATAAAGTAGCTTTGGCCATCAATGACAATGGGGCCAGCAACACCGACAGGGAGGGGAAGATAACCGACAACATTTTCGCAGCAGGCGCCAAACACTCGCTCGAAATCGTAGTGCATGTATGGGAGTTTCGACCGGTCCAGGCTGTGCGTGAGTTCCGAGGTGGCTTTGGTGCGGGAGATGATGGTTCGGCGAATCTTGACAGCGCGTGTAAAGTCCTTGAGGGTCTTTTCGAGGGCGTAGCCGGGAATCTTGCCACGCATGGACATGGTGACAACTTCTTCGTCGGTCATTTCGGGAACACGAGTTTCGGCAATCAGTTGCTCAAGCTCAGCAATAGTGCGGTGCTCGGAGGGAGCAGGCTTGGCCTTGGTCATGGTCAAACCGGCATCACCTTCATCATCGGTAAGCGAAGGCGTGGCAGGCTCGGTGCGGAGAGGAGTGGGAGGAACATATTCGCCAAGAGGAAGTGTAGCTCCGTCGGTGTCGTTGAAGCGCTGAGCGCGGGCAAGCTCCTTGCGGTCGACGTGGTGCTCGGGTTCGGTAGAGTCGTTGATGCCCCATCGCGCAACATTGAAGAGGTAGCCATTGAGACCGACAGAAAGGGCAAGCGCGACAACAATCCACTTGGAGAGGACGGGATCCTCAAGACTCTTGAGGAGACCACCAACCATTCGGCCGCCGACACCGTAGTTATCAAAGTGGCCCATATCAATCGTGGAGCTAGCATCGCCAGCAGTGGCGAGGGCGTAGTGGACCGATGGGAACTCTAGCTCATACTTGATGGGTGTAAGGACCGTCACAAGGACTGCAACACCCTTGGACTTTGCGGCAGCGAGGACAGCATCCAGACCGTTGGATGCCACCTTGAAGGGGTCAACAGGGGGCGTAGAAACTACGCCACCAAGACCGCTGACCCAAGAACGTAGAGTAGCAAAAGAGCTTCCGCTGCGGAAGGGAATGGTGCAAAAGTTGATGACGTTGAGCAGGACAAAGCCACTAATCATGAGGACCTTGAACTTGGGGACACTGCTGCTCTTCATTTGGCGGCCAAAGAGACCGGTGTCCTTGGAATCGTCATTGCTGGAGGCGACATTCTCAGCGACACGGCGACTGACGCCGTCCGCCTCGAGGGCACCACGCATCTCAAAGTGGCGCTTGATGCGGTTGATTTCGAGCTTGATGCTCAGAATGGCTGTATAAAAGGTGAAGAGCAGCACACCATCGAAGAAGAGAATCCAAGCCGCAAGGAAGCAAAACTGCTGGAGGCCACCCTGGACGCCAGAGGCTGCACCGAGAACGAGGATAGTGATTTCAATGGCGTAGTCACGGATAATTTCGTAGCCCTTGTCCTTGATGGCGGCGCGGATAGCCTGCTGAATAGGGTCCTTGCTTGACTTCTTACCAGACTTGGATTCCTTTGCCTGAACACGGCGGAACTCCATGGCGTGGGTGAGCACAGCTCGGGTCAAGACAATGTTCTTTTCGAAACCAATAGTGACGACGAGGAAGGGGAGGCCTTCAGAGAGGAGGATAACGCTGATAGGGACACCGAGCTTGGTGGTAACGGCAAGACCGAAAACAAAAGCAAAGGCGCACGAGAAGAGCGTGCTCATACCAAGCCAAAAGTTGGACCCCATGCGACGCATAGATAGGAACAGCGACACAAAAGTGAGATGCATTGACAAGTAACCGAGCACCATGATGACAATGTCAAGAGTTTCGGCGTTCTTGAGCAAATCAAAGAACTCAGTCTGGGCATTGGTAAACCACTGGACAAAGGTGTTGCGGGTGTTGACCTTGGCAGCCTTCATGATCCAAGTCTTTTGTTCACGGCCATGGCCGGTGACGGCAGTCTCGCCGTTCTCCTGAGGAATCTCCTGAGCAGCGCTGAGGAACTCGGGAGCTTGGGCGTAGGGTACAGAGTAAGCAAGGATACTGTCGTGCGCGTACGTGGTGAATGAGTTTTCCGTTGCCGGGAGGCTCTTGACCGTCAAGTTGACAGGGATAGGGACCGAGTTGGACTTGGGAGGCGTGGTGGAGGACTTGCTTGAAACGGTTTCAGGGAAGACAAAGGTGAGAAGAGCAAGATGCTCGGCTGCGGCATCTTGGGAAGACTTGGAGCCTTGTTCAACGCTCTGCCAGTTCCAGCCGGTGGCGGCATTGGCAATGAGATCGCGGCTGCCCTCGGTGAGGGACGACCACTCGGCTTTACCTACGGGTGCAGTAGAGCCAAAGAGGGAGTCTTGGATCAGAGCAACGTATGACGAGCTAGCAAGGATGGCAATGACAACAACAGTATGGATAGGGTGGGAGCATGCAAGACGGGCCAAGAAGCTCAGCAACGGTGAAATCGTCTTGGTAGCCCACGACGGTGTTGCCGTCTTGCGGGAGTTGACGCTCTCGCCGCGAAAGCGACGGGGGAGCAGAGATGCGGCATTCATGACGGCGTCGATATCGGAGAATGAGACGTGTTCTTGGCCTTTAAACCATCGACCGGGTATCCAAGAGGGTAGACGAGTGTTCTGTATCGAAGTTTTGGTCAGTGTCTGAGGTTGCATGTTAGGGCCGATCTCGGGTGAGGGGTGGGCGTGCAGACCAACTTACAATAGAGACTAGGTGAGATTGGAAGCGTCTTCTATTTCAACAATGAAACGTGCGACAATGGCAGCGCCGGCAATTCTTCAATGGGCAGAAGAACAATGGGTAGGTGAGAAGCCGTCTTTGTGGTGGTGGTGGTGGTTGTGGTGTGCGTTGGGTCGTTGGGGGCTGGCGTCGCCGGGGATGAAGTAGAACCACGATTCGCCAACAAACAGGTTGAAGAGTGTTTGCTAGGCCGCGAGTGGAAAGCCTCGGTGCGGGAGAAAGGACAGGACCCAAAAGATGAGTTTGGGAGAAATGGCGAGGAGAGAGAAAGTGGGAGGAGAGAAGAAAGCAGCAGCTCGGTCTCTGGCCCAGAAACTTTGGGGGAGCTTTCGTCAGGGGAGCAGCCCAGAGGCCTAGAAAGGCGGGTCTACTCCGGCTCTGCGCCTTGCCTTTTTTTTTCTTTGGCTGCGGCGCCCGAAAAAGAGAACGAAAAATTTCCACAGGTGATAAAGATTGCAGCACCAGAGATCGGCCGGGGCCAAGGTTGGGTGGCCCGCGGTACCTGTGCGGGCCATATTGGCCGCAGGCAAACACAAGTCACTCTGGCCAGAATTGGTCGGGGAGGCTCAACTAGGCAATCTGTGGTCCTGGGCCCCTGTGAGTCCCTGTTTTTTTTTCTTCGGCGGTGAGGCACGCTAAGACCTGCTGTGGGGAACCTTTGGGCATGCGCTGAACGCCGCCTGAAAATAGCCCCGAAGGGAATCAATTCAGTGCTTGCTTCAGTGTGCGAGGACCCTGCTTTGGCGGCGTGTTCGTTATCGAGAGCCGCCATCTCAGATGTTGTCATCCGAATACGCCCGTGGAGGAGGAGAAGCAAGAGCAGCACCGCAAGTATAACAGGCAACGTACCGCCTGTGGTTGAATGCACCGAGACGCTTCCAACAAATTTCCCTAAAACCATTTACCATTTCAAAATTCACAATAAATCACTCTCATCATTGTCATATAATTTTCATATTTATCGAGGCGTCTGCTTGACCTAATTGTGGAATTCTTTCATTCAGGCGCGCCCACCTCCCCACAAAGCGTATTCGGATGCCCACTATGTAAACACGCTACTCCCAAGGTAGTGGCATCGGGACCTGGCGGAACAAGCCTTTTTAATCACCGGTTTCATACGCTCATGATGCCTTGACGCGTCTGCTGCTTTCCGCGATTCACTAACGAGGCCATCACTGCCATGTTGGTTAATCGGGATTGCCAAGTTCATGACATCTTACAATACCTCTGGTTGGTCTACCACCAGCTCAGGCCCTCCCCTTACCCAGCAAGATGTGGGATGGCCTTCGCTTAGCCCACTACACCACAGAGAACCCATCTTATCTCTTAACAGGCCAAGCATCGCATTGTGGGGTCCGCGTGTCGGCTCTACCTTTTAACAGCCGCGCGTAAATACGATTCCGCCGCGCAGATATCATCGTTTTGCTCGGCATTTGTCGCCTGTAGCCGTCTGCAGTTGCGCTTGCATACAATTGGACAAGGCTGAAGCGCGAGCCTTTGGTCCTTGGAGCGATGCTGATGGATCTATCAGGATGTGGTGGAAGCAAGCGATCCCGTTGCAAACTAACAAATTGGATTCCGTTGCCACGTTATATCAGTGCACAGCGCCAGTCTCCGGAATTGGAATATAATATGCAACCGATAAAAGGTCTTCAAGACGCGCGATGTGCCAAATTTGTGTCTTGATAGCACAATAATACATCGTTAGTCAAGCAGAAGAGACAAACGCGATGTTCCATTCTTCACAGCCAGGTGTGACTTAGTCCAACTGCCGACCAGTACACACCAACTGCATTCCCTTTGTGCAACAGCATGGCATTGTCATGCGGTATTACCATAACGTCAACTGTTGCCAGTGTACATTTTGGTTTAAGAGAGATGGCCCACGTAAGATTCGATGAACAGAGAGGTTTTGTACATATATCCTCCTTCGTTCATGTTGGGCATCGGGCGTTGGAAACACTGGCGATATTCGCCCGCGTCTGACCGCTTCCTAGAGAGTGAAAGAAGGATGGCAGGTCTATCATCTAGGACAATCCATATGTCCATGATCCTGTACGGAGAACTCATATGTGATGATTCATCAACAGTAGATTTGCAAATGCCCATTGTTCTCAACATGGCAATTTGAAAACCGCATCCATTGTCATATGAATTTTCTACTGACGGATCACAAATGTTCACCACCGATGCCAACGCATGCATAACACTGCCCTCCCGATCTGGTATCCCGACGGCCGGAATCAAACCATTCCGGCTGTACCACAGGGGTATTTGTCTTGTTCAACGGAGGGTGACTGGGGCTCAAAGACGACTGCCCCTCTCGAAATACCTCTGCCGGGCAGGATAATAATGAAGGCTTATTTTCGATATCTTGGTAAATTCACGACGCTGTCGGTTGCTAAAATGGGTTTGCTGGATCGGGAATCCCGTAGCAATAAAAATTGCAATCGAGTTTGATTCACTACCAACCCTGGCGATTCTCCTAGACTGACTATAAACCTCGTTACTACTATATCCTAGCAATCTTACAATGGTTAAATCGGCATGGATTCACATAAATTGCCAAGCAAACTCAAATTTAAGATGGCCACCCGAAGTAGTAGGGTGGTCGGTACGCATTGCTAGCGTCGTAGCGGTGCAAACCTACTCACGGATGCAGCGTTTGCGCAACATCCGGTATGGAATTGTTTCCATTTAATGGGACAAAGTCAAATGCGCATGTAGAATTTATCGAATTTAATCCGGGCTTCCCGGATTTGGTCAGGTGACTCTACGTTCGTCTTTGTACCCAAGCAAGCAAAGTTCATCAGGTGGTTTGCTCCGAGGCGGCGCCAGCGCTCTAACCCTCGTGTCTCCATGCGTCAACACTGTAGGACAGGCTTTCCATAGCCTTCGGTCTTGTTGTTCTAGACCTGATGTACCGAGTGAGGCGAAAAAAAACAGGGTCTTTAGTCGTAAAATCCGAGGCTGAGCGATGGCATTGGGGTTTACCCGTCACATTATAAGAGGGTGTATTTCCTGCCCTCTTCTCTCAAAGGTTACGATATTCGATTCGGTAACAGCAACTTTATTGGCTATAAGATTTTATAATCATGATTCACCTGTTATCACATCGTCCTTATATAAGATGTCGGAGACACCTGACTACGTCTTTGCCTCGAGCACTTAGCTCTCTCGTCGGCGAACATGTACCATCATCTGCAAAATCGCTGCCACCAGGGTTTAACGGCTCAATTGCCAATCTTGAAACCTTTCAGCTGCCAGAAAAGGTTTGTGGAAGTCCTTCGGATTGGGCTCTGGGTGGCGCACTGATCGAAACGTGGCGCCGTGAAGGCGTGATTCAATTCGCGCGTTCGGCGGCGCAACTCAAAGCATACGAAGATGCCAACGCGGCTAGCCGCGAATTTTTTGGTCGACCATACTCGGAAAAGATTAGCTTTTTGAATGACACAAGTTATTCTGGGTACACAGCCAGCGGGGAAGAGGTCACCAACGGGGTCGCAGACTATCCAGAAATATTCACCGTTTACAACGACATCAGTAGTACTGATCTCGCAGCTAGACGACAATGGCCATGTCATGGACCATGCCCATGGCCAAACGCCACCATGAAGAGGGCTATGGAACGATACATGGCCCACCAAGCCAAGACCGGGAAAATTGTCATTGCATTGATGGAATTAGGACTAGGTATTCCCACTGGCTCGCTGGCAAAGTACACAGCCAATGGCTGGGACCATCTTCGTGTCTTACGATTCCCGGCACGAGATCGCACAAATGGCAAAGGCAAAGACGGTCGCGGTATTGGATCTCATACTGACTACGGCCTACTTGTTATTGGCCAACAAGACGAAGTTGGAGGTAGGTTGTTGCTCGTTTTCACGGTAGAGGATACACAGGCTAAGCATTATATAGGTCTATTCGTACGCCCTCCCAGACTAGGAGATGAAAGCTATTCAAACTGGGAAAAATACGCTGCTGGGTTTAAAGAAGATGACTGCAACTGGCTGTTTGTTCCACCCACAGTAGGTACCAGCACTATAATCCTCGGAGATATGATGCAGTACATGACGAATGGATTCCTCCATGCCACGCCGCACAAAGTTGGCCTCAATACAACAGAGCGCTTCTCATTTGCGTATTTTCATGAGCCCAACTTCCGTGCTGTGGTGAAGCCTCTGCCTGGGTATGCAGCAGGCCAAAGCCCAGTCGAAGGTATACACTATGGCGCGCACTTTACCAACATGAGTCTACAAAACTTTCCTGATCGTGAGACTACGCGGCGCATTATCAGTGAGGGACGATACGACATGTTGTCGACGTCAGAACTGCAGTTACACATATAGTGCAAAACAAAACAAAACTGCGAAAGTCTACAGTTCAAGAATAGATGCCTAAAAAACAGCTTGTACAAAATACACTGACCTACTCCTCATGCTTCAAGCCAGCATCCTTGGCCTTCTTATCAGCCAACGCGCACAGCGCTTCCCATTCACTCTTTTGCACCCTGCTCACGCTTAGGCGCCCCTGTTTGAGCATCTGCATCTCAGCAAGGGGGCCCCCTGCTGCGCCAAGCTCGCGAAGCTCCTTTAGTCCAATCGGGACAGCAAACTTTTTACGAAACTCGACGTGGACGAGACTCCATCGCGGGTTTTCCTTTGTAGCTGATGGATCATGGTACGGCCCAGCACGTCGAGCGGTCCCTAGGCACATTTAGTAATCTTGTATACGCGTCGTGCGGTGAAATAGAATAGAATTCGTACGGTCATCGGAGAATTCCTTGACAATCTCCATTATGCCTGCGATACCAGGCTCCTTGCAGTTAGAGTGGTAAAAGAAAGCTTTGTCGCCAGCATTCATATTGCGCATATGATTGCGCGCTGCAAGTTGGTTAGTCGTACAATCTTGGACCCCGTAGCCGTGATAAGCTCAGTACTCACCAGCGTAGGCACGGATACCATCCCAGCCTTCAGGTTCTGTTTTGCTTCGCAAGTCGTCGATGGAGAAGCGCACATCCACGCCATTCTCCATTCTCGTTTCAGGTTCAGCCTTCATAAGCCAATACCACTCGCCATCGTGTCTGGGTGCGTCTGGGTTTGTGCGAGGAATCGAAGAAATGGGAGGATCAGGGGACATTGCTCTGCTACTGGCAGCCATTTCCTTACCATCCTTTCCAGAAGCAACGGCAGCACTGGGTTTGGCTGCTTTCTTTACTGGTGCCTTCTTCACAGGCTTCTCTTTAACAGGAGGCGCCTCAGCGCCAGTCTTGGCCCTTTTGCTGACCGGCGCTGACTCGGCTGGCTCTGCTGTTGATGTTTCGTCAATTTTGGTTGAGACTCTCCGTGATGAGCGTCTGAGAGATGTATCAGCAGCGCAATCTTGGACATCAGAATGGTTTCGCTTGCGTGGTGGCATTCTGAACGATGCTAGGTGATGAAACGAAGTAATAGATGAGAAGACGAGGCGTCCTGTAGTCAGCTCGTGATAGCGCGACGCAGACTCTGGTAAGAGACGTCGCGTAAGGTTAATTGATGATGAAATAGATGTGCGAGGTGTCAAGTTGAAGATATTTACAAGCGATCTCATAAACTTTGAGAATTCTTTCGTCAATGCGTCTTACCAGACAAATGGATGCTAATGCTGTTGCGGCTGCGCACAAACTACGGATCGCAAACGCATCGCGACCAAGGTGCGGAGTCACGTGGCTGGCTTGGTGTAAGTGGAAGACAACTTGGACAGATACGACAAGGTAACCCTCAGAGTCCGTATAAATATAATAGAAATTTAAATCCTCTTTTAATATTTAGTAAATATTATTGCCGAATTTCTATTTTGTAAAAAGAGCCGTATTGCGGATCAAACTTCATGAGTGCCAAGTGCCGAGAGGACTACTTCCCACTTACACAATTCATTGAGCTTCAGACAAGAACAAAGCGGCTGAATTCACGTCGGTATCAATGAAACTCATACGTATCCAATCATTCAATGTGTGCCTCCAAATTGCCGTTTCAATCGCCACTATGCGGGGGTTGGTGCTGCCCGCAGGGTTAGCGCTGAGGAATATCGCTATTAGCAGAGAAGGCAATCGGAGGGAAATTGACCCCACGAGACCAAATTTGGCCGAAAATGTAAGTCTTTGTCAAAGTTTGCCGCTTTTGATGGAGTTTCGAGGGGCAAATGGCTTGGGATGCCAACACCGCACAGGTGTGCTCCCAGCAGTGGCCACCATGCAACCGCCAACCACTCAATAGGCCGAGAAGGTTCCGCAAAACGACCGACTTTACAACTTGCGAAAAAGTAATTAATATCGAAGCATTGTTTGAAGGCCCTACCAAACAACCTAGACCATTTTAAATCACGCAAAATACGAGGAGACGGCGTGACGTGGGGTGTATTGCTCATGGCGCTCATTGGCCAAGCTGCCGCGTGAGCGCCGTCTGCCACCACCAGCACCCGACTATAAATACTCGCCGCCTCCCACCACCCTCTTCCATCGTTTCTCCCCCCTTCTACCCATCGTCTGCCAAATTTACCCATTTGCACATTATTTCTTCCATTCGTTTCTTTACTCATATCGGCTCTATACTAGAAGCGTTTGTGACATTGGCAACGCATTGTTTCTTTGTCTATCATACTCTACACTGGGCACTTACACTTACACATATCACGGTGGTCTTTGCGTTATTCCACCAAGATCACATATTCATACACATTTCCGCTCCGTTTGCACTCCATTGTCTCTTCTTTACGCCCCTTGGATGAACCAAAGACTCTTATATCATGGCGAGAGCGCCTCCTGCCCATCCCCGTGACACGTCACGGTCGTCCTCCAACCGGGATAACAGTGAAAGCTCCCACTCCCGCGCCAAAAGAAGCCCCAAGCCTCTGGACAGTTCATACAAACCTCGCAAGCGCAGCAGACTCTCTGTTGGCGCTCCTGAGCCTGGTAGCAGTTATCAGTGGGCGAGCTCTTCGGCACAGCCGATGACGCCACTGACCCCCCATGGCCACAGTCAATCACCTGGGTATCAGCCGCGAGCATTTCCCGAAGAATATATGCCTTATCCACAGGATATTGGCGAATCTGAGCAGCAGGTTTATGTCCAGCCGTTTTCCCAGGGTATGGAAGCGGATGGAATCGCCACGGGGCGAGATCCAACCAAGGCTGGCTTCACCTCCATCGGGTCCTGGTGCGAGCCAGACTCATCCGATAGACACAGACGCGAAACACCAACCATTTTGCCAGCCCAAACGCCGTCCGTGTCGTCTCGACGAGAGGGCCTGCTCAGCCCGTCACCTGAGCCGCCTTCACCGAGACCAGGGCTCCTGTCCCACCGGTATCACTTCCACCATGAAGGGGAGAGCGAGCAGGACAGGATCAATAAGACTTGGTACCTCGAGGGCCGAGCAAAAATGGACTCTCAGCGTATGTTGATCGTTACCACGGCCGCCCAGACGGCTTGCTGACCTCTGTCAACAGTGGCAAACGCCATGGAATACATTAATGCCATGAGGTTGACTGCCCAACAAAAGCAGCCGAAATAAAAATTGGCAAACGCGGCTTCACTGGATCAATTGTCCAGATTGTGCTTTTTCTGCTGTTTTTTCTTGATTTTTTCTTTATTCACTTTTCGTTCGGGGCGTTCTTCTTTTCTCGCCAGCGGGCTGGTTCGACTATAGACTGGATAGACTTGGGTTAATGCGTTTGCTTGTACTGTATTCTCACCGCTGCAATAATATTGACTGATTGGCTTTTTTTTCTTTTTGTTGAGAATTGTCGCTTTCTCTTTTGTTACCAGGGACCAGGGAGTTGCCCTGGGCAGAGGCCTCCTCCTTCCGGCGAGCTCGGTGGCTCTTGTGAGCCCGCCTGCAGAACACAGACAGCCTTGGGGAACGCCTGACGACGCAACGTGCAGCTGGTACCCCCAGACGTCAGTGTAGAGCAAAACCTGTCTCCGCCTCCCTTCATCTCCCTTCAATGAACAGCACAAAAAGTAACCGGAGTAATCGTGGGCTGTATATGCCGTAGAAGTAAATGGAAAGCCAGCAGCAACATGGGCCGTGGAGGTTACGACTCGACTGGCGTGGGGGATTTGCAGGTGCCCGCCAGCTGGCGGCGAGGCGGACACCTGGCGCGCGAACCTGCCTGCCAAAAGGCCTGAGGCATCTATGCATCAGCCTTAAGATCTCTGCAGTGTGCAGGAGATCAGGTGATGGCTAGGTTTTTTTTTTCGTTTTTGTGCTTCCCCTTGGCCACAAAGGTCAGAGAATCGCCGTGCCCGCCTCTATTTTACGCTGAAGCTACTGGATACGAGGTTCAATGCCGCCTTTGTAGCCTGCCACTGTGCCTTTGTCTCCTAGGCCCTTGACGGAACGGTCCGCCTAATGGTTTGGCAAGCCGTTAGTGGAGTCTGCCCTAACAGGCTGGCCGGGATTGTTGCGATCAACTGCCGAAGCCCATGAAACGGTCCAGAACCAGACGACCTCAGGGATGTTTATCCGCTCGTAGATGGAAGAAAAAAAGGGTCTAGAATAAGGCATGTTTGCGACTAGAATACGAGGTATTGAGTCTATTTTTTTTGTCTTTGATTTCTTTGAAAAGAGAAAGAAATGGAGCTGAATTATGCTATAGGATGCTATATGCCGTGTCTATCAATTGCAAGTGTATGGCCGCTCACCATCACAAGGAGTTGCAAAATTATATATACAAAATTTCGTAATGAAATACAAAAACAAATTCTATATCGGCTTGGAAGTCTGCATTGTTTCCTTGAGCCGTGGAATTATGGATTGCTGAGAATGCCTGCCGCTGCTGTCTCATCGCGACTTTGCTTGAGGAAAGCTACCAGTGGAGTGCCACCAGTGCCAGTCAACTCCTCGCTGCTCGCCGATTTGGAGGAAGAACTGGCAAGATTTTGAAGTGATTTGCCTGTCCAAGGCTGTTTGGAAGGCAAAATAATGTACCGAGTAACGATCTGGATATGCTTGTTGCGAAAGTTGGTCAAGGTGTCCGTGGCCGCCGTGAAGGCATCGCGCAGGATTTGCTGGTCTGGTGTAACATCGGGTGAGGTAGACATGGCAAACTCTCGAATACTTCCAAGCTGCTCAACATACACCAAGAAGCGACGGTGAGGTCCTGGCATGTAGTCGCGCACCTCCCTGTGGAAATTGGGGGCACCGTGGCTAGTGTGTTCGACGCCGAGAATAACGTCAAAGAACTGAATAAGTGAGCTCTGTCCATTGCTACCACCACGAAGCTGTTTCCATTCGCCCTTGCCACTACCCTCGTCGTAAAATACGCCGCGAGGTAGACCAGCATTGCCCATGTTCTTGCTTCCCGCCAGAAAAGGGCGGATACGATGGTAAAAAGTCATGGGATCACACTTCTCGTACATTCTCTCCAGAAGACGGCCGACCTTCTCGATGCATTCGCGTAATTGGTAAAGAGCATCCGTGATGAGTGCATAGTCTCTGGTCTTGATAGCGTGGACGGCGCGGACCATGACGTCCAGGATACCTGCAGCCTTGGCCTCCATGGCGGCGGAAATGAGTAGGAACCATGATTCGGATTCGGTACCAGTAAAAGAAAACAGTGTCTGCAGGTTGTCTATTTCGGAAAAGTCATTGGAGGTAGAAGTAAAGTTCCAAAGGTTGGCGCCAGCGTATGTGAGGACTGGAGGAAGCTCGACATGTTCCGAGACGCGCAGAAACGGAACGCTGATTTGAGGCGGCAGGATTTCTTCTGGCTTATCACCCCCCCAGACATAGGCGTTGGTGATGTATGCTAGCATAGAGTATGCTCTACGCCATTCCGCCTCACCAACAAGGGCGTCGGTACTAATAATGGGAAGCTTGGCGACTCTTTCTCGGATGCTGCCATTATCAATGAGTGACGGCAGATCTTTGGCAATGTCCTCCCATGGCTGATATGAAGGGTGCTCCAACTTTGTAGCTGGGCTATCCTCGGGAAGAAAAGCGTTCCTTGTGACACCGAATTTGGCGCGATCTATGCTTAGCGTCGATTCATCAGCGATGGCGTGTGGTGACATTGTGTGAAGGCTGAAGCTGCTAGCCTACAAACTTGGGTATATATAGGCTAGGGTGTTGGAGTGGAGGATTGAAGAAAGCTGGATGATGGAGAAGGGAAAAAGCTGGGAGGGGAGAGGTGAAGAGATGATGAAAAGCATAAACTGGCTTCGGAAGACTGCGCAAATTTACACCGCAATGTACGGGACTTTAAGAAACGCAAAGAAGTGGAAGCGAATGACATTATCACCCGTTCCGAACTTTACAAAAAACATGCGAAACTTGGCGTCACATCTTCCTCCGTCGGGGAGGCGGCGTGTGCGCGTCATCCGAACATTCCGGGAGTGCACAGCCAAAAGGCGGACCAAAAAAAAACGGTTCTGCATCAGTCGTCAAACGAATCATATGATGGCTTCAAGTCCAAACTGGGAAATTGCTGCGGCATGGAAAGTTCGGAAGTTCGGAAGTGCGCGCGGCACAAAGAAAGTCCCTTCAATAGCCGGCCGGTGGGTGGCCTGTACGCCGAAGCCGCCAACGAGCGCCGGGAAGGAGGGGCTCCGGTCCGGCCATCAGTAGTGCGACCCGGGCCAGCTGTGGCACCTGGCAGAAGCGGAGAAATTGCTTAAAGTGCACCAAGGAGCTTCTTCTCTTTCTTCTTCTTCTCCTTCTTCTACTGCATCTTTTGTCAGGATCTTGAAAAGAAGCTCTGCTGTGTCATCACCTGGGATTTTCTCCATTGGTTTGCCTTTGTATCACCATCTTGTCGCATTGCCCTCTTAACCAGGCCAACTGCCCGCACCCCCACCACAGCAGTAGCAACAGCAACCCCGCGAAACTCACCCATATACATCAGGACGCATATTCGCAACAATGGAGCCGCTGCAGACCTATGTTCAGCGTCTTCGCTCAGGCGAACCAGTCCAGTTCCCTGCCGACGCCAACTCGCTGGCCTTTGCCCAGTCGCTTGACGCCCAAGACTCGCTCAGCCACCTGCGCAGCGAGTTCATCCTCCCGACAAAGTCCTCTCTTAAGAAAAAGGCTCTCAACGGCTCGATACCCGGTGAACAGGAGCAAAGCGCTGAGGCCGCCGCAGCAGACGAGGGCATCTATTTTGTAGGCAACTCGCTCGGTGCGCAGCCCAAGGCTGTCCGTCGACACATCAACGCGCAGCTGGAGACATGGGCGTCCATCGGCGTCAACGGCCATTTCCAGACCATGCAAGAGTCCCCGCTGGCCATGTGGCAGGATATGGCACAGGATTGTGCCGACAAGTCGCAGGATCTGGTGGGCGCATCTGCGCATGAAATCGTCATCATGAACACCCTTACGGCCAACCTACACTTCCTCATGGCGGCCTTCTACAAGCCCAATGCCCAGCGCCACAAGGTCATTCTTGAGTGGCGCCCATTTCCTAGCGACCACTATGCTATCGAATCACAGGTCCTCTGGCATGGCCTCGATCCCGAAAAGAGCATGGTGCACATTGATCCCGACGAGAAGTCCCAGATATCGACCGAGAAGATCCTCGCCACCATCGATGAGCATGCAGACGATACCGCCTTGTTGCTGTTGCCTGGTATTCAGTACTACTCCGGTCAGCTATTCGACATGAAGACCATTACCGCCTATGCCAAGGCCCGCGGCATCGTCGTTGGTTGGGATCTCGCCCACGCTGCGGGCAACGTCGAACTCCAGCTGCACGACTGGGACGTAGACTTTGCTGCCTGGTGCACGTACAAGTATATCAACGCCGGCCCTGGAGCCATTGCTGGTGCCTTTATTCACGAACGCCACGGCAAGGTCGAGTGGGAGATGTCAGCATCCGGTGCCCGTAAACCAGTCTTCCACCCGCGCCTGTCGGGCTGGTATGGCGGCGACAAGAGTGTCCGCTTCAACATGGATAATGAGTACGTTCCCACACCCGGAGCTAGCGGCTACCAGGTCTCCAACCCTTCGGCCATGGAGCTGGCCTGTCTGTCGGGTGCGCTGTCCGTGTTCAACAAGACGTGCATGAAGGATCTGCGCTCCAAGGCCCTCGTGCTTACTGCATACGCAGAGCATCTGTTAGACCTTATGGTTGCGGAATCCAAGGACGAGGTTCCGCCATTTACCGTCCTTACACCGCGTGATCCGCTACAGCGTGGCACCCAGCTGAGCGTCTTGCTGCGTGAAGGCCTGCTCGAGCCTACGATTGTTGCCCTCGAGGAAAATGGCGTCATGTGCGACAAGCGCAAGCCCAATGTTATCCGCGTGGCCCCTGTGCCGTTGTACTCGCGCTTTGAGGACGTGTACAAGTTTATGCAGGTGTTGCGTAAGCCTGTTGGCTTGGCGGCTTCCCAATAGATATATAATAGAATAGAACGCAAGAAAAGGTGCATAGGATATACAAACCATGTAAAAGTTTCATTATCAAGATATTTGTCCTTTTACACAAAAACTATGTATATACTCAAATAATTAACTATCAAGCAACTCCACAATGGCGTCCTCCCCTCTCAAGGACCTCCACTGTGTTGTCGATGACCGCAGCTCAAGACTGCTTTTAAACAGCCACCCCCATTTCTTTACAAATTGCTCCGTCATCTCCCATGCAGCCGGATCCCATGGATCCCTCCATACCAGCAGGCCAACAGACGTGGCCTCGTTCATGCCAAGCATGTCGATACAAAGCTCCGTATCGTCATATTCATCTTGTCGAGCTATAAGCGTCTCGCGGAGCTTTGGAAACGGAAGAATATCAAACCACGGGTGATGTGGGTGCGATATCTGGTACTCTGTGGGCTGAAGCGAAGAAGGAAGCGTCCTGGCTCGCTTTGAGCTCCGGTCCCAGGCTTTGTTGAAGCTAGAGATGGAAGTGTCGTCTTCCATCTCGGGAAGCTGTATGTCGAGAGTGTACATATTAGCTAGAATACCACGCAGGCTATTGAGCCTTGTGAGTGGCAGTAGGACAACATCAGCGGATGGATCTTGTACGCAAAGGTTCTCGAGAACCCTCTTGGCCAGGCTTCTGATCATGTCGGTGAAGGTATCTGTCCTGGGAACACCGGGTAAGGCGTCTGATACGTGGTCACCATGCCTCTTACACGACGTTGCTAACAATTGGCCCTGCGGCTCAGATGTTGAAATGTCATCTTGCAGCGCTGTTTGGCTCTTTGGACGTCCCCGTCCTCGTCGAACAAGTCCCAAACGCAGCTCGTGATTGCGCTTCCGCTGCCCTGGAGTAGGCTAATGTTAGTGGATGTATATTTCCAGTTCTATAGCAGCTAAATGGCGCTTAAAAAAGAAAGGAAGAGGGGAGCAGGCAATAGCCAATAAACGTACGAGAGGCTCGTTGGTTTAGGCGGTTCTGCAGTACACGCCGAAGCGCTGGGCTAGTTACATCCGCCCAATCGTCAACAGGGTCTAGTGTGGCTCTATCCATCACTCCCGAGTTTCGCCTAGACTTCTTCCAAGTCCGCTAGAAATGCTGACAGAATTTCTGTGAGTGGTGGAATCGGCGCCGTTTTAAATTCGGGAGGCGGAGCGGAGGCCCCGGAGCTGAGGTGGTGCTATCGCCGGACCCGTTATCGCCGAACGTGGCGGCGTTGCATCATGCAAGCTGACTTCTTTTTTCTGATTGGCTGAAACGAGATGGATACTGTTAGTCGGTTAGCAAGCTCACAAGGTATACTCAACTTACAGAAGAGACGTCAGTAGTATTTCTCTAGTTCTTTACTTGCTCGTGCGTGTATATATAGTCGTACTCCATCCCCCCTAGAATACCATGTGTATAATATCCTCCTTATACTACCATCATTACAATACTTGAATACTATATTTATTCTTTTATATATCATACACCATGTCTCGCTACGAAGCTGCCCATGCATTCGACAAGCTCGGTGGTCCCGGCGATGCTCGCCCGACCGCTCAGCAGATCATTCAAGACTGCAACAAGGAGAATGCCCTTCAAGGCAAAGTGATCCTCATCACCGGCGTCACCTCTGGTCTTGGAACAGCATCTGCAGTTGCTCTTGCTAGCACTGGTGCCACCATCTACGCCGCTGGTCGTAGCGCCGATCGAGCCAAGGCAGCGCTGGCCACGATTGCCGACTCCCCCAACGTACACTTTCTCGAACTTGATCTGGCATCCAATGCCAGCGTCCGGGCCTTTGCTGCCGACTTTCTCAAACATTCCGGAGGCAAACTTCACATCCTCATGAACAACGCCGGTGGCATTTTATCCGAGCGCACCGTCACAGAAGACGGATTCGAGAAGCAATTTGCCATAAATTACGTCGGCCAGTTCTTGCTGTTCAGTCTTCTCAAAGACGCCCTTCTCTCAAGTGCCAGTCCTGAGTTCCCCAGCAGAGTGGTCAACTTGACTAGTCTTGGACACCGGTATAGCGCCATCCGCTTCGATGACCTGGCCTTTGAGACCGGGTACACGCCTTACGAGGCGTACGGACAGGCCAAGACCGCAGCCATCTACATGGCTTCGGAGATTGAGCGCCGCTATGGAGCGCAAAACTTGCATGCATGGAGTGTGCATCCGGGTGGCATCCTCGAGACGCAGTTCCTCGCCAACAGCGGCTTAGACCAGGCAGTCATTGACCAGCTGCTGACAAGCTGGCCAAAGCAAATGTTTAAGTCGAACGAGCAGGGAGCTGCGACGCAGGTCTGGGCTGCCGTGAGCGACGACGTTCTACAGGAGAACGCCAGAGGCAAGTTTCTAGAGGAGGTGTCGGTTAGCAAACCCAAGGAGGAGACAGATGTGCCAGATTTTCGTGGCTACATTGAGCATACGTACCAGCCGGAGAGTGCGGCTCGGCTGTGGACAGTGACTGAGAAGCTTGTTGGCGCCAAAGCATAATGTCGAATTGGTTATTAGGTGCCTCCAGATGCATGTTTTAGGACTGTGAGTTGTCTTATATACTAGATATGCTATGTAAATGAATTGCAATGAGTGCAACGAGGACAAGATGTTGTGAAATGATGGTGCTTTTGTTGAAATCCGAAAGAGAATCAATTTCCTTCTATATTCCAATTTTGAGCCCCTGTTCATTTTCCTTGCTTGCCAATATCGCCTCACCTTTCACATTTCCAGTTCCAACAACAAACCGGATAATCTGGCCTATCAGCGCACAAGGCTGTTGGAGGTGCGCTTGGATTCACAAGGCTACTGTTTCTCTAAGCGCCGTGCTTTAGCCCTCTAAAAATGACCCTTCCACTTCAATGAGATTCTGTTAACGCTCTTTTCGTTTTCGTTTTTTATAAAAGCCAATACTAAACAAATCTGACTTCGCAAGATTTTATTTTCATCATGTCGCAAGCAAGAAATCTCTTGGCCGAAATCCAGACGGATGCCATCGCTGGCCCATATCCCCAGTTCCTACAAAAATACTTTAACGCTCTCGTAAACAATGAATAGAGGATTACAGATCTCCCAGAGCTCAGTATTGAGGTTCCAGCCTCACTGGAGTATATAGAGCGCTGGCTCAACGAAATCTACGCCTCGGTAGGCCGCTCAGCTCACGCTTGGTCAACATTACCAGCCTCCATGCAAGTCATGACTGATTGCCCTGGCTCGGCACTTGTACTTGAGCCTCGAGATGAACAAGGCTGGGACAACACACACATGATTGCCTTTGCGGTGGAGGAGAGCCTGTTCAGTTATCCGCTCAGCCTGGCTCAGTTGTACGTCCTGGCACGGCACGTCTTTTTTGCACAGCCCTTACGATACTCTCTCCATGGTATACTGGTCTACGGCGATGTTGTGGAACTTTGGGTATTTGATCGGAGTGGCATGTACTGCTCTGAGCCATTCTCATTGAGGGACGATTATGCACTGCTAGTCTCCATTGTTCGTGTATATGCGAATAAGACGGACGAGGAGCTTGGAGTTGGCGCGGTTCTTGCCAAAGATGACGTCGGAAATTACATCGCTGCTGCTGCTGCTGCACATAACCGAAGATTATATCTTGAGGATGAAGCCTTTGTTGATCGAGGCAAGTTCTTTGGTGACGGACTGCTTTGTTACCGGGCAAAGCATGCCAATCAAGACGACTGGACCCATGTGGTCAAGCTGAAATGGCGCGATGCCAATAACAAGCCAGAAGAAGATGTCTTTAACTATATTCAGAGTAAAATGTGTCCGGGGTAGCGTTTCTTCAATCTCATAATGTGCTAGAAGAAACAGTCGATCTTCGTTGCAGCCTCCGTCACAACGCTGCAAGGACCTCTCCAGCGACCCATTACATGAGGACCCCGGTATCAAGGGTCTACTTCGGTTTGCCAAGGAGGGAGAACATTTCTTCACTCCTCGCATCCTCACCCATCTCGTCTTCACTCCGCTGGGCCGACCATTGCACACGTGGCGGAGCATCTTGGAGCTACTCACGGTTCTATGGGACGGCATCGAGGCACACCGATCCCTTCTTTGGGATCCACATGTCTTGCATCGAGATATTTCTGGCGGAAACATCATCATCATCATTAGATCTGCAGGTGGCACATCGCAGGGCGTACTGATTGATCTCGACCGCGCAATGAATCTTGACATAGAGCATCCAAAGGGCGGGCATTTTACAGGGACGCGGCTCTTTACCGCCATTGGTCTCTTGACTTCTGATGCGCACACATACAGACATGACCTCGAGTCTTTCTTCTACCTCTTCATATGGCTCGTTATCTGTCAGGGGGAAGAGCATCTCCCAGAGGCAAGCGAGACCAAGGCGTGGGCCCATGATGATCGGTTTGAATCGGCCAACGCCAGACGACGTGACATGAAGAAGGACAGATTCCAGCTTGTTTTGGAGCAGTTTGATGCGAAATATGAAGACCTCAAGGACCTTACTTGGAGATTGAGAGCTGCCTTGTTTAGACCGGATGAAAATGATGAACTTCAGATAGGGACAGACGTGACGGAAGAGGGGATTAATACGCTATACGATACTATGATTGGAGCTTTTGAGCAAGAGATGGCCAAGTGGCAGAACTAGCGGTATATTATTTACTTTGCTTGATATCATAGACAACATTGCGCCCCCAGCGGGCATTTTTTGGTCCCTTTTCGGTAGAGTACAGTTATCTAGTTTCTACGAAATCTATACATGTTCTATTTTTAAATCCTCTACCCCAGGCCACGCTAATGCACATGCAAATGCATGTCAGCGTCATGCACTGTCACCAAATCTCATCACAGATAGTGCGCCAGATCAATACCACCCCCCGTGTCTAGCAACGGAAACAGATTGAGCGCCGATCCAGCATCCTCATCAAATCCACCGCTCCAGAATCCCCCATCCGGCGTATGAAGCAGCGATTCCGACAGCCCCAAGTACGCGGAGTCCATGTCCCCCAGCATCCGCGGTGACGATGTCGCCGGCACGGAATGCAGTGCATGAAACGGCCTGTCGTGCCCTAGACCGGACGTGACGGCGTCTGTCAAAGAAGTTATCGTGCTGCTTGTCGACAAGCCGTGTGGAGAAGCATCTCCCGAGCCAGCAGCAGCAGCAGCAGCAGGCACCAGACCAAACAGCAGACTCGAGTTCTCTGTCCGCATCATGCGCTCTCGCATCTCGCGCTTATCAAGATCCTCCAGTGCGACATTCAGCAGCGACTGTGCAATTAGCGAGTACTGTGCCGCATGTGCATCACCTTGCAACGCAAAGTGATCTAGCGTCTGTATCGACATGCGTGTGCACTTTTCCAGAATCCTTCCAAACCCGCCCATCAGGCCGAGCCCCAGAACCAACGACGCTGCAAAGAGCCACGACCTAGAGTGACCGTTAGCATATGAAAGGAAAAGCCCAAAAAATGTCCCAACCGCCTTATCCAAACTACTTACACAAGAACCGGCGCGCGGTTCGGCAGTGCTTGTCGGTGAATCAGCGCAACCACCGTATCGACCATCAAGCTCGCCGCATCGATACACGCATCGGCCAACTTTGTCTTGCCCGAGCGTCCCCTATCGCCAGGCTTGGGTCCGTCTGCAAGTAACCTCCTGTGCATCTCGTACATGAGAAACGGCCTCGACACCAGCATGACCGAGTAATAGTACGACGCAAGCACCTGGCACGCACCCGCCACGTCGGCATCGCTGCGCCCCGACTCAACCACGCCCTTTAGTCGCTGCAGCCAGCGCTCCGACCATCCGCGCAGCTTGACCGAGATACCTTCGGTGAGGGCCAGGGAGATCTTCTTGCGCGAAAAGATCTCCGTGACAATGACCTCTGTAATCAGTAGGATTTGGACGTCGGCATTCAACAGATCCAAAACCTCGTTGCCCTCCGCATCCTGCGCCCGGTACGCAACCGTGCAGTCGACATCCGACGTCGCCGGCGGGCGTCCCATCGAGATACTCAGACACAAGTCCACCACGCGCAGGCTCTTCCACAGCCGGTCGCGAGCAACGCGACCATCAGCGCCAAACCGCGCATTCACTTCGGTCCTGTGCACGCCAATCGAGTACGCCGCACGTACCGCAATGCCAAAGAACAAGAATGCGCCGTTGATCTGGCACGAACACAACATGTACACGGCAATCAACACAAACGCCTGCACAGTGCTAACGCTCAAGTCGCCGTTGAGATCCTCGTATGCCTTGCCCCGTGCATACTCAAAGTACTCCTGTGCCAGCTCTGCATTATCATTTAGCAGCCCAATCGCCAGCACAAGATACTTGACCGTGTCGCCGTCGGTTGGCCGGTTCTGCAGATTTGACCACATGACAAGCTCATCAAGCAGCTTCGCATCATCAAACATGTCCAGCAGACCCGCCGTTGTTGCAAGATATACACGCATGGCGCCCTGTACCGCTCTCGGATTCACTGCTGGCCCAACATCGCTATGCTGCCTCCGTGGCAGCCCCGTGCCAGTAGTGGCTGCCGAATTCGCCAGCACGGAGAAACGACTAGTCTCTGGCGCAAACGCATTCGGGCTGACTTTGCTCGTGACGAGCTGCCTAACGCTCTGGAAGAAGGACAGCGGCGCACAGTCGCCAATGAAGATGAGCTTGCCCTGCGAATCCCGCAGCAACCTAGCTTCCCTCGGCACATCTGTCTCGTCCTCAGCACCCTCACCGCGCGAGTGCTCATCCGTATCTCCAGCACGGATATTCTCTCTGGTAGCCGCAGTCTGGGAATCTGCTGCTGCTGCTGCCGCTGCTCCGGCGGATGATCGCTCCGCAGGCGACGGAGACGGCTGCTGCTGCTGCTGTCGTTGTTGCCGATGGGAGTGCTGTTTCGGCGTAGACGGAGCGCGGGATGCCGGAGTGCGCCTTTTCTTCTGCGGCGAGTAGACGCACGATCCGCCGCGGCCGCGCTCTTCGCAATATCTACACGGAACGTTTCCGTCACACTTAACCTTGCGTGCCTTGCAGTTGTCGCATGCGTTGGCGATACGGCTTCGGATGTAGCGAACTCGAGGCGTATCCATGCTGTGCCGTCGGAAGGCTCACCAGCGGAGATACTATACTGTTGCCGCTGGTAATTGGACGGAGAAGTGGGAGAGTGCAATCAATGGAGGATAAATATGCGGACACCAGAATAAAAAAAACAAAAAGGTATATATCCGCAGCTGTTGTTGTTCTACAGCCTTGAGCAAAAAGAAAAAAGGTTGAATCGGATGTGGTTCCGGGCGTCACATTTCGGAAGCACTGGCCAGTATGAAGGCTGAATGCGGGCCAGGACAGTGCGATTAAGGTGATTGGGCACTGTCGGGCATGGAACCACCACGGTGCACCACCCACCACTACCAGACCCTCAAAGACCTCTCTTCCATGTGGTATCGCTCTACTAAAATCAATCATTATAATCCGTTACAGGGACCAAATCTTCATCCGCTACAAGTCTACACTGAAACATTTGGCTTCCATAAAAGTATCATCAGTCAATTGCTCATAAACAGCGTTGCACAGTGGCAAGCCAATCTAGTAAAGAATAAAATACAAGCTCAGTCAAGGAGCTATAATCCAAATGCAATGTCAAACAGCGGCTTCAGCCATCAACCCCAATATACACAACAGCAACGACGGACATTAGTTTAGTTTTTCATAGCACCACACCACCGTCTACATCATCGCATAGTCCCACGGCTCTCCTGACGCTTCAACATCGTGCTTCCAACACTGACCGTAACACGGCGTGGACCGCCAGCTTCAGAAGGGCTCCCATCAGCCGCATTGCCCTTGGCTGCCGCTGACAAGTTCATACGACGGGCTTGGCTAGCTGTCAGGGAGCCAGGCTTCCTCAAGTCCGCTGGCGAGCAGACCATCGGGCTCTTCTTGCGGTCCAGGCTGCCTCGACGGTGACGCGAAATTCCGCTTGTGCTGCTAGCTAGAGTAGTCGGCATGCTCGGACGGCTAGCTCGGTCACCAGCAACTCCGGCAGAAGAAACACGGCGCCCATTGGACGCTGTTAAAGTAAGCGCGCTTGCTCTACGAGTAGTCTCCTTCTTAGCCGAATGCATCGCACTGCGAAGCTTCTTCTGGTCAACACCGTTCGACTCTGAGTCGGATCCAGAACCGGATCCTGACATTGGCGGACAGTTCTCATCCAAAATTGTCTCAAGCGAAGTGTGAGGTGCAGCCGCACTGCGTGGAATGGGAGGTGGCGACATATTTCCAGTTTGCTTAACATCTAGCGATCGAAGAGGCGACGTGGTGCTGGAATCCGTAGTCGAAGAGAGGTTTAGGCTAAATTTGGGAGGCGACAGCATGCTTGGAGAGCTGCCCGTAGGAGACGCTCGGGGTTTGGATAGGAACCCGGCCTGGAAGCGGCCCGATTTGGCACCAGCCAGGGTAGCAGCATCGGGGGCAGGCTCCAAGACCAGCGTGGACTCCTCCAGGAAAGATTCCTCCTCGTCGGGTCGGGGAGCAGCAGCCTTGGGGAATGGGGAAGACACTTGACCACGCTTGTCGTTCACAGGGCTGTCAAAGATGCCGCCCATCTTGTGCATCTGTGGCGTCTTTTCGAAGTCAGCCAGCGTACCATCCTCCTCTTCATCATCTCTCCAGCGGACTCCGCGCTGTTGCTTTGTCTTCTTCACAGGAGTGAAAACAACACCCTTCTTGGCTGTGCCCAAGACCTTGCGCCGTCTAGGCGATGCCTTCAAAGGGCTCATCATAATATGCTCCTGCACAAGTTCAAGGGCCGGTGCCTCAATAGTCTTGGAGGCAGCCGGAGCAACAGCTGGATTGATAGAAGATGTCTTGCGCTTGGGAGCGACTCGCATAGACGAAGAAAACGAAGTCGAAAAGGATTCGCCAGTAGATTGTCCTCCAGCTGGCTTGACGACTTGTGAGGCAGCATCAAACCCCACCTGTAGCAACTTGTTGATGATCTGCTTAGCTCGGGCAACAGCACTAGTTTCATCCATAGTCAGAGTGTCTGCCATGGAAGCCAGCATCTCAAACTGCGCAGTCAAAAGAGTTTGCATCATGCTGGCGTCTCCAAACTTTTCTTGCTCCAGAACCTCGCGGTACGACTCCCGAGTAAAGTTAGCCTTGAGGAGCTCGGCCTCACGGTTAAGAGTATTAGTCTCGCCGGTATCCGCTCCTTCCATACCCTCAAGCTGCTTCACGCTATGGCTTAGAGCAGTGTCGATATGGTGCTCCCAGGTAGATTTGTCGAGCTTCTGGTGAATATGATGTCGGCTGGCCTCCAGCTCAATCAAGATGCCGTTAGCAGTCTTGCGAACCGCGCTCAGATTTTGGGGCATGCTGCCTTCTTCGTTGCCGCGCTGTTCGCAGACAGTGTCAAAGGCTGCAATCCAGGCAGCAAGCATGGCAATACGACGCTCAAAAACCTTGAGCTTCTTCATGATGTTGATACGCTCTTGACGCTCAGCTGCACAGTTGTCGTATGCCGCGCGGAGGCGCTGGATGCCTTCTCTCGCAGTTGCATCTCGCTTCTCGTGCTGCTTCTGGAACTTGACAAAAAAGATCTTCTCAGAATCCTTTTGCTGCGCTTTCAGTTCATTAATGAGCGCCATCTGTTCATTAATCTTGACCAAGAAGTCCTTGACATGGCGATTAACATTAAAGACATTACGCGTGACCTTGGTCTGGATGTTCTTCGCGCGGTTAGCGTACCGCAGGGTGTTTTGGGATTCGTCAAAGTGCGCGCTGGAGGGTGAAACGCACACAATCATGACCGTCTTACAATTGCCACCAAGCGAAAACTTGAGTAGGCGTGTAAGCTTGCTGTTTCTATAAGGAACGTGTGCCCTTTGGCGGCGGTCACAAAGAGCATTAATACAGCTACCAAGAGCTAGGAGCGACTTGTTGATGTTGGCACCCTCTGTCAAACGTTCACCACGGTTCTTCGTCACGGATGCACGCTCAGAGCCAGCCAAATCGATAATGCTCAAGGTAGCCATTGTATGGGGCTCATTGACGCTGGCGTTGCGGTCCTTTTGGGCAATGTTGATTTGCAAAACAGCGTGCGATCTTGAAGATGTAGCGTTGGCTTCTGTAGGAGAGACGGTTCGATACTCGTTGCCCTGAACAATCATGTCCATCACTTCTTGCACGTCCTTGGGATGATGACTGCTGAGACCGGAGACTGAAACAGCCTGGTTGCTATCTTCACGGAGCGCGAGGCCGACCTTGCTCCCGCCAGGTACAAGCAAGTCGCGAATCGTCTCATTGTAGATTTCAAGATAGCTCAGGCTCAGTTCAGTGGATTTTTCTTGACTTCGTTCTTCAATCTTCTCGAAGAGCTCTTGCATGGTAAGGAAAATGATCCCCGGCTGTTGCGCTGTGCCGGTAATCGTGTGGGTTTTGCCGCACCCAGTAGCGCCGTAAGCGAAAACAGTTGCATTATATCCATCGAGAACGCTGTCCAGAAGAGCTTTTGTTGTGCCTTCGTAAACATCGGATTGTGTTGTGTTGCTGTCAAAGACGCGGTCAAAGGCGAAGACCTGGTCCTTTACCTTGCTACGGGAGGCAGGAACAACAGATCGGGAGAATTTGTGAACAGGGTTATCTTCAGGGGGGTCGAATACGCTATGGTTAGTTAGCACTTGACGTGATACTTTATTGTACACATGTTGCAGCTTACAGACAGCGCTCGTCCATTACTTTGATCACATTGCGGATACCTCTTTGGTGTAGCTTCGGTGGCGGAGGAGCGCCAGCCAAGGAAGCGTCTCCAAGAAACAATGTGCTGTCGTCTGTTCTATGTCTAAGATAATGTCAGCACATCCAATTACCCGTTTTATTCCACCAAGATACTTACATTTGAGCCGCCTCCCTGAGTGTGAATGGCCGTACGCGTACTGTGTTTAAGGTTAGCTGTCGCACTCCGAGGCCGTTCCGAAGGGTTTGTCGTACCTGCAACAGTGATCGAGGACTGTCCATTATCCGCCATGATGAATAAGAATTCGCAGTGCCAAGCTTTGGTAACGAATCAGCCAGAGCAGATCAGTTTTCTGCCTTTCTTGCGCTTCGAGTCACAGTTGCTCCTAGACTCTGCTCTTTTTTGTGTCCCTTTTTTGTAATTGCCGGGTATCGTAGATGGTGTATTTATTGTTGCAGTAGTATTCAGTACTTTGTATTGTTGCCAAAAACGGGTCGTGGTCGGGTAATATGTCGTCAGAGACAGAATGATAAACAAAATAAAACAAATAAGAGGAAACTCGACGCTCGATCAATGAAGAAAGTAGTGCAAATTCCTCAAGAATAATTCAAAAAAGAAAGCAAAGAGCGAAACTTCTTTTCTCTAACGAAATTTCTTACCTTCCTTTTTTCTTTATGCTTGTGTCGAGGAATTATCGAGTGTCGTGGTCGAAGTTGGTTGATGATGCAGGTAAATTCAAGGTGACGTCCTTTGTTTCCCCGTTTCGGGAGTTCTTTGTTGTTTGGGGAGTTGCCCTGACAACACGCCTCCTAAATCCACCTGCAAGGGCAGCCGTTTGGACTACCCGGCAGACCAGTCACAACGCAGCGTAGCAAGCGCGTGGACGTTTAGGCTGGTTTATAAAATTATAATTTTCTTTTCATTAAAAGAAAAGGTCATGCGTGAAACATGCATGTTAGTTTTGTACCCGTATTGACAGTAAGGGGTCACATACCGCTTGCGCACGCTGGGAAGTAGCTCGCTGCGTCTCTGCCGTCTAACACGACTCGCATTCCATAGGAGCCAGAGGGCGATCGGACAACAATAGAGGTCACAGACGTCGAAATGCATTCTATTCATAGGATCGTAAAGCAGATCTACCCAAAACAATCCATTACCCCATAGTATTACTCATGCTATGTAGTAACCTGCTAGACATTCGGGTCATCGACTAGAAATGAGGCAACAGAGATATGTTTAAAAGAGTGATGCATTCCATTGAAACCAAGCCAACGCCATAAATAATCCCAGTTTTTGACCATGCAATTAATCTCCCATATTCTACAGTCAAGTACACTCCTCCCCCCAAATAGCCGGTAATCCCCACACCCGCATCGCCGCACAGCTTTCTTATGCTGTCGCTGTGTACCTGTACCGCGGTAGCTTGGCCATCCATTCTTCCGGGCTATGCTTATTATCATCGTATACCAAGCACTTGCCGCCGCTCTTATCCTTCTTATCGACCGGGGCTACTGGTACAGGTACAGGCGCTGCGTGCAGAGGCATCGAGATGGGAACCGCTGCGGGAACAGGTGGTCTGACTCCAGCCTCAGCCATGCGGATAAGCTGATCGATATCGTCGCCCGGTGCATCCTGTAGAGGTCGCGAGTTAGCAAGTACATAATAATACACGCAAGGTAATGAATGGTGCATCCGTACCTGGACGACCTCTGTCGGAGGCGGCAGCTCGCCTCGCCTCTTGAGGTCCCGCCACTGTTCGAATCTGCGCAGCAGCTCGTCCTCACTCTCAATTACAATCTCTTTGCGCTTGCGCACGCCACCCTGGCCACCGATCGGGTTTCCCGTCTCCACGCGCCGTCTTTCTTGTGCGGCATAGTAATTCTGCAGCAGTCTGGCGCGGTGTTGCTCGAGTGCGTCGGCAGGCACACCCTCCATACCAAAGATCTCCACCTCTAGGCCCTGGCGGTTGGGCAACGCATTTTCGACCTGTGTTAACGTCTCTTTGTGCACTTGGTTCAAGTGAACGGACAGACCACCAGCGGTGTTGAGGCGGCGTCCGCAGCGATCGCATTTGAAATGCTTTGCTTTCTGATGGGAGATTAGGAGTTTGAGATCTTCGAAGTCGCGTTCGCCTGCCCAAAAAAAGAGTTGAAGTGTTAGCAAGAGACATATAGCAAACGTCAGAGATAAGAGGGTCGAGTCTAACAGTAGTAGCACCACGGACGGGCGAGGACCTCCTCAATGTCGGGGTGGCCTCTGTTCTTCTTGCCCATCGCGACTGGCGTATGCACGAACAATTTCGGCGGTCAGCGCAGATGCAGTACGGGATGGCCGTGTAGAGAGTAAATGCAATCACAGGCGATCCAAATTGAGGTATCGAATTCTTTGAACGGTTTCGTCGAGCGTGTCGATGATGGCAGTTTGGATGATGGCTCGGGTTGCAGCTCCTGCAATCTCAAAGCTTCTGTTCTGATTCCGCTAGTGATGCCGGCTGATGCTCGGCAAAACCAGGTGTTCCGGATTGGCGCTGCTTTCCAACTACGGCTGCCAAAACAGCGTAGAGAGTTGAGAGTGGTGCCGCCCGGTAGCCGGATGAGAATTTGGATTTAGACAATTTTTGCAGATTAATTGAAATATTAATTGCTACTGATGCAGAGAGACCGAAATGTCTGGTAAAGGTTCTCGCCGTCCCTCTCTATGTAATACATACAACGTGGTATACGCAGCCGAACGCTTTCTCCAGCAGCTTGAACAAAAAAACACCAGACCGGCGATACTCGCATAGAAATAACAATAACCCCCCCCTAAAAAGACAATAGGTATCATTTACTGCGTTGATGCAGCTTGGTCTATCCCAACTCCGTATAAATAACTTGCTGTGTCTCCGTGATCAATGCATCGTTAAGCACACACCATGGACGCAAACAATGTTTTCAAAAAGACCAAAAATCAGAAAGAAAAAAAGAATCCAAACAAGAACTCCGGATGCCCTGTTTAACATCCAATCACCACAGTAAACAAATATTAAATAATGTAAAGTTCAAACGTCGCGCCCAAGGTGGGACGCCATAGAAATATACACAGCATCACGAGCCGGTCGCTCCGCCGTGACCGAATATGGCCATAGGCCAAGGTTGCATGTGCGTAGCAGTCATCTCCGGATGGCTCTGAGGCATCGACGTTGGGTCGTTTTGCAACATGCTGTTGTCCACATTGAGACGGGACTGAGGTGCATTGCCACCAATATCAATGAGTGCATTGGCGTTGTACCGTTCATCAGGATCTGCAATGGCCTGGGTCCAATCTTGCCAGGTAGTACCGCGAGCCTGCCACAGGAAATCTGCCGATGTAATCGCCGACGGGTGAGAGCCAAAGCTAATAACCTGGCCCGCGGTGTCCTGTACGGTCCCATTGGGAACCTGGGCAGTTGTCGCGTAGTACATTTGTGCCTGTGGCTGATAGGTCGATGTCGCTGGTACTATTTGCTGTTGACCAGCGGTGGTGTTGTAGCCCATGGTAACATAGTTGGTCTGACTCGGATCACCATTGGCGTAGTAGGTGCTCGCATTGGCATTCTCGGGTGACGCACTCCCATGCACACCGCCAGCTTCAGGTGACACACGGTCTACGTGAGACTGCTGCTGTTGCATCTGCGGTGGAAGTGGCCCTTGCTGATGTTGATGTTGATGCTGATGCTGTTGATTATGCATGGGTGGTGAAGGCTGTGTTTGTGTCGCTGCTTGCATGTGGGGGTGATGATGCTGCGATGGGTGTAATTGCGGCTGCTGCTGGGGTGGTTGTGGTGGTTGAAGCTGCAGCTGCTGAACTGGTGGCACTTGCGGCATTGGCGCCTGCTGCTGTGGCCGAGGTCGGTGATGTGAAACATTGGATTTCGGAGGTGACCTCTGTACAGGCGGGTATTCCGTTTTCACCATGATAGGAACAGGAGACTCTGCGGCGGGCCGCTTAACCTTGTCCGTTCGTTTCATATCGTGCTCGATCCAATTGATGGTTCGGTTCATAATCTTATAAATTTCCGATGCAATGCCTGGACCAGAGCCGAGCAGATAGCTAATGGATCGAAGCACGCCCATCCAGTCTTCCATATCAGTTCGAAGTTGCTGCACTTTTTCTGGCGTTGTCTGGAACCGTCGCTCCCAGTGCGCCACGAGCATACAGAAGATGCAGGTGGCATAGACCGACATTGAATACCAAGTGGTATCCAAAGATCTCATCTTATCAATCTGCTTCGTAATCTGTAGGAATTCTCGGCCAATTTCTTCGCAAACGCGCGTGTTATCGGCAAGCATCTTTTTATCCTTGGTCATGGCAACTGAAGGGTGCCGGAGAGACAGCCGTGCCTCCAGATAAAAGCCCCGCATGTAAAGCGCAGCAAGATTCATATCCTCACCAGACACCTTTCGTAGCGCAGCCGGTAGCTCTTCTTCCCATTGATGGAGTTGCTTTTCGAGAGCTTTGACAATGTTTGTGTAGTTGTTGGGGTCACGGCGGACGCTGTACATATTGGAGTAAATCTCCATGAAGATTGTGGTAATTTTGATGCCAGCAATGCCTGCCTCATAGGGGCATGGTAATGTGCGCGAAGTATCAACACCATCTTCAGTTAGCAGCTCATCAGCGATTGGCTCTGGCAAGCCAACGTCAAACTCTTCGACAGAAATGGGGATTGGCAAGCCACGTCGGCCGGTGATGGCGACAACAACCATGAGAATTGTCCAGAACGTACGTTTACGCAATTCGTTTGTTAGGTTTGTGCCTTCATCAGGACTTTTCCATGCCCTGTGCAGGTTGAGGTCAATAGCACGCTGCAAGGCTAGATGAGCGACAATGGAGCCGGCACCAGGCTTTGGGAACGACCGAGTATGGGACGCTATGAGCGCGAGTGCCTGCACAGCGGCAAGCTCTTTCGATATTTGCAACTCATACATGAGACTGAGAGCGTAGTGATAGTGGCGGTTGGACAGGTCGTTGAGCTGCTTGCGATGCTCATTTCGTAGACCAATGTTGAAGAGAATGCTCGCAAATACCATGTGTACCATAACAATTTCGGGAGCTGTGGGCTTAAATTGAGGGTCGTCATAAATTCGAGTGAGAAGTGACATGAAAGACGGCTGATGTAGGAGAGGAAGGAAAGCAGCGACCGTGGAAAAATACCATGTAGCATAATTGAAGGCATCCTCACGACTCGGCATTGGCACCTGCATAGGAGGCTGCACCCGCATAGAGGATTGTAAGAACGCTTGCACAGACTTGTTGTAGATGGGTGTATCAATGGGTGTGCCATCCGGGGGCTCATCGACGTCCGGTGCCTCAAACGAAGTAGTGTCAATCGTAGTGCCTAAGATGGACAGCTTTGTACCGCGTACCGTGCTCAGCGGAGCATTGGGCTGCGGCCGTGTGTCATCCACCTCGAGCTGGCTTCTCGGAAAGCTAGGTGTATAATTTGCCTTTTCCGGATAATTCTTTACCCATAATGAGCCGACTTGCACAAAGTCGCTGAGGGAGGACCGTGAAGAGCCGCCGCTGGGTAAAGGGTCGTATGAATCTTCTGTCGAAACTTCCTTGAAGGGCTTGACTTCGATTCCATTCTCGCGAAGGAGGCGCTCTAAATCGCGAATATGCGAGACCATGCCATTCTTTTCTCGTTCTAGCTCCTGCATGTAGCCACGGCGCTCAGTTCTGCCCGTAACACGATCCGTTACGTAGCACTCTAGACTCAGATTAATGCAATGTGAGCATCCTTCTGGCAGTGCATCGCATCTAATCTTGCGGACCTGTCATATTTTCGTGTTAGCACTCGGATATATACGGCAGACGAAGACAGCAGTCAGAATGGTCTTTTGGTACGAACCTTGCAGCGATCACACGCCTGGCCTGTGCGAGTATAAGATTGTAATCTATTTTTCACCACTGTGGAAAAATCATCTTGGCCGCGTTCAATTCGAGGCAGCTTCAATTTAGAATCGGCACTGGGGTGGTTAGACAGAGAATAACCAGAGTCGTCCCCAAGCGAGAGCGGATCAGAGCCGTCGCCAGGCCGTTTTGTCATTGGCCGGACAGACATGCTGCCACGATGTTTAGCCAAAGAAGAGGAGGAAAAAGACGAAGTACTGGTGTGAGGAGACTTTCTCTTGATTGGTTTGCGGGGAAATGGTGGGAGCGTCGAGCCTCGCGAGGTTGTCGTATCGATGGCCGTACGCAGACCTCCGTCGAAAGAGGAAACAGATGCAAGTGTGTCACAGCAGTCGGTGTCGGAATCCGAGTACAACGAGCAACAGGACGACGAGGACTCAAGGGTTGGGAACGTAGCGGCCTGAAGAGGGGTTGAATTCGGTAGCGGCGCTAAAACGAAGGAGTCGTCGTCGGGCAATGCCGCCGGCCACGAAGTAAGCGAGCCAGTAGGCACTGGGAATGTGAGAGCGTCGTTGAGTAGAAGGGGCAGCTGAAGCTCAGATGATGACAGGGATGGAATGCCAGGACCGCAAGTGTCGATTAGCGGAGGACGATTCCATGCGGCGGGGTGGTCGTCTAAGGCGAGTTGGTTCAGCGACGGCGAATGCGAACAAGTCGGAGCGAGGTGGGCGAGGGACAGCGGCGTCGACTGAGAGGCAACGGCTGCGGCGACAGCAGCGGAGGAGCACGAGTTTGAAACGATGACGGGGGGCGTGAGGCCGTCGTGGAGGGATTGGCGAAGCGCAGAGGAGGGATCGGATGTCAAGAAAGAAGAAGGAAGAGGCGAAGAAGAAGTGTGGTGAGGCAACGGAAGAGGAAGAAGAGCAGACGGCTGCAGTGGAGAGGCGTCAGCGAATGCCGGCGGCGCAACAGCGGCACTAACAGTAGCACCATCAGCAGCAGCGGCGGCGGCAGCCCTGGTGGGATCCCCCTGCTGCTGCGGGCGTGGTAACACCAGCACACCACCTGTGGCAACAGAGGTGGTGCCGTCAGTGCTAGCGCGCTGGGCAGGCGACTCGCTACAAGCACCACTACCGGGGCGTCGCCGAGGTGGGCTAGTGGCATCTGGCCCCCGGACTAGGTTGTCCATAGCGGGCAATTGGTGGAGCCCCAGTTGCTGCCCGTTGCAGTTTAGCTGGGATTGGTTTTAGCGGGCGGGCCCACTGCCTGCAGGTGTCTGTCAAGCTGCGTTCCTTTGAGCGAAAATGCTGGTGTCTCGCAGACTCTTTCTATGCTTTGCGCAGCAGGACGGCAGCTATTTTTCTTTTTCTTTTTCGTTTTTTCCCTTTCCCTTCCTTGGTCTTTCTGCACGATGCTGCTATTCTTGTTTTCCTTCTTTGCTTTGCTTTGCTTTGCCTTGACCTGTTTGAGCTGCCGTGTTGATTTCCTGTGCTGCCGTTTTAAGGTATTTTTATTTTATTTTGTCCTCTGACAGAACATCGGAACAGGCTGCAGCAGAAATCGGGGGGAGGAGTGCCGTGTGATCTGACTGCCGTAGCGCACAGTACAATGTGCGGCCCAGACCAGAAAACTCAAAATGCAACTGACGATAGACCAGCCCGCAAGAGAGTTTAACCTTTTGCCCAAAAATAGGCCCGGCGCCCATCCCTGGCGAGAGCGAACAACCGTGAAGAAACCCAGAATGCTACACGTCATTCGGCCCCAGGGCTCTTCACACCTTTAAAAACGAAAATCCGAGACACGCTGGAGACAGTGGGTGTGGGTGACACCGCCCAGCCCTTGCAGTGCGCTCTTTTTTTTTTTTTGTTTGGCTGCGCGGCGCCCTCTGTAAATTGATCTTGCGATACTGTAGCGCAGTGAGTGCTCTGGGCGTTGGATGGGGCGCGGGGCGTCCAGAAACGGCGCTGGGCCGCCGCAATCGCAGTGGATAGGCGGGCTCCCAACACCAGTACGTAGTGGACGCTGCCGGTGGGGTTTCGGTGAAGTGGAGTGCAGTTTTTGTATTTCACTCGCACTACAGCAAGTGAGGGGCCCGCTAAGCGTTCAAGTGCCGATGGTGGGAACGAGGTGGTGAAAGAAGATCCAACACTGGACGATGGCGTTTTGTTCGGCGTCGATGTATCTTGAGTGAGCCTTTTATACTGTTATAAATCTATAGTCGCTATTATCTTTGTTTTTTGTTTTCCCTCTTTGCCCCCATGCTATCTTTCTCTCGTGTCTTCCGCTGTTGTCGTCATCCATGGATTCCCCGAGAAGCTTGTTGCTAGCTGATGCCAGCTGCGTGCATCCACGGTGCACCCGGCGGCCTTTTCTCCCGTCTAGCGCCCTCGCCAAAAACTCTAAACTGGCAGCCAACACTTTGTCTTTGACCACGATACGACCCCTCCCGTCTTGTGGCGAAAGTTTAAACAGGGCCAAAAAAAGGACGAGCAAGTCAAATCCAACGAATAAAGAATAAGCGAACCGAATGGATGATACAGGAAGATTGGGGATAATGATGCTGAAAAGAACAAAGAAGAACATGGACTCACAAGCACGACGCCAAACCGCACCATGGCCACGGACCCCGTACGGCGTCGACGCTAATCGCCTCCCACCAAGGGTACGACACCCTTCCTTGGCGCCATATCGCATCGTACTGCATTTCTGCTCGTTTTACCAAGACTCGAGTATAGTCTTATGCGCATGAGATTAGGCCATGCGGCACACCAAGAGGTACGCCCAAAGGCCCCCTGTGCCCCCCTCGCTGCTCTGTCACGTCACCCATCTGCACCCCGTCGTACACAAGCTGCAAAAAGTAAAACATACAGATCACCGTTGTCTTAGCCGCTTCGGCGCTCGTTGCCTTGTCTTGACTTCCCTGCCGTTTGCCCCCGGCCTGCATAACCCAACAAACATAAGAGTGAGCAGACAGCCAGAGAAATTGATGAGTGTTCACTTACAAAATCCACCGTGCAAAATGGCTACGCGGGGGCCAATCACTCGTTGTCCGTCTTATATTGCACACAATGCACTGGTTTTAATCTGTAAGAAGCTGGATAGGGTCCTGCTACACGTGGATACACCATTACTGTCCACTTGGGCGTTTTTTTTTTTTGACAAGAGGTGCTGTGCCCGGGTGGTACAGTGGTACACCGCGACCAGGCAAATGGATGTCGAGTCAGGCGAAGTCGGAAGCAGGCTCACCAGTCTCTTCCAGTCCGGCGGATTCACCATCATCGCGGACTTTTTGTCAGCCCTCTCTCCCCTTTGCTTATTGAAGACACCTGTGTGCGATTGTGACACCGCGCTACATTACTAGACAACTCTACAGTACAACTGGATTTGATTACCACCTATCTCCTTGTGAATCGAACTCGAGGGGCATGCAGAGGGGCGCGCAGTGCGACGCTGCACTACACCAAAGTAAGCAAACCATACTGTAGCAGTAAAAGCTTACCAGCCACTACTACACTAGGTCACCACCACTACCCGCTTGTAGATGGGTTTGGTTTCCACCCACTTAGCCCACCTAAATCGTGAAGCCCACGTGCGTCGTCCCGGGGTCAGCGACCATGATTGCGGGATACAAGTTTAGGGCGAGTCAAGAAAAGGTGATGGTGGATGGGTGTTGATTGCTTGAGCTATAAAGGCCAAAATGGTTGTACGCCGCCAACCGGCCAAGGACAGCAAGAGGCGTCCGCTTTGTGGCAGTCACTTGTCTCCGGAGGCGTCGACTAGTTAGCCACAGCGCGCGGGATGCGGGATGCCCGCAAGGAATCCCTGGCAAATGCCATTACGAGCTTCAAGGGAAAAAGGAAATCTAGTGGTTGTGCCCGGTTGTTTGCTTGTCTACTTGCTCACCACCTCCTCGTGCCGTGGCCTGCGGTTAATATAGGTCGTGCATGACTGGGTTTTTGTTTTGTTTTGACGCCTGGGCAGTGGCCTGCCCCCAACACTCCCAGGTCGATTGCTGTCAAAATCAGGAAGGAGAGGCTGCGCTGAGCGAACCCATGTGAATTATGTCAGGCAAAGAAACGAGAGGCAGCCCCATCGACTGGGGGCCTGGTGTCGCCGAGATGCCCCAGTGCTTCGAGAAGTATTCCATGACAAGGAAAAAGGCGCATCGGCCACTTTTCCAACTCATTTCCGCTCTTGACCGTATTTTGTGGCCCGTCCTCTGTCAAATCGTTTAATACCGGCCGCTTACTTGTCGCCCTGTGGACAGACAAACAAAAAGACCAGACATGGGGCCAAAGTTGATAACAAGGTAAGGCGAACTCAGCTGAGGCCCCTTTGCATCGCGTGAGGCGTTCAATGTTTGGCTGGGCACGCCACCACCACCACCCGTACCAACTCATATCGAGTTTAGACGGCGATTTGCTTCCTCCTTCTACCTTGTTACCGCGCCGTATTTTCTCTGTCCGGGCATTGCATTTACCCACGCTACCCCCCGAATCGTAAAGTCGGCCAATGGCATGCCACCATTACGATTACCTTCGATGCAAGTGCCGTTGTCTATTTCCCTTTGAGGAGTGCGGCATCTCAGCCCTGGAAGCTACGTGGACTGGGCTTTCTCATGCAGAGCGAGGGCTACCCAGCCAAGTTACCACTCTATCGGTACCGCCGCTAGCTCCCCGCCCGCCGCCGGCATCCCCTATCAGAGCTAACTGTAAATTGAGTTAAGGACTTCTTGCGCTGAGCTTGTAGCCAGGCGGCAACATCAAGGGTCATTGCATGATTCACCATTTTATTTTAATTACTTGTGTTTAAATCAACAGTTACTTTTGACTCGCCGCCTCTTTTTATTTTCTTCTGCTTTGTTTGTCGCATTTCGTTTCTGATGTCTATGAGTCTTTCCGGCTCCCTGTCCACACCGGGTTGTATTCAAGCAACCGCTACGAAGCCCTATCACATCAACCGAAACAGTGCAAGCGACGGAACTCGACATCCCGAAAGGACCCTGGCAAGAAAAGGCTCCAATTCCAAAACAGGCACATTCTTCTTCTGGTACCATGTTCCTTGGCCGAGGGTAAAATATCCGGACTTGAGTGTGGGCCCCAGATCATCACCGAATCTCAACCGCGATCATCGCGACTGGAATTCTCAAAATAGATCAAATCTCATTCTTTGCATTCCGCGGCACCCCGATCTTCCTCTCTTGACGCTTGTTTAGCCATATACTCAAACAGCTACTTGCATCTGCCGATGTCATCAGCGTCGCCTACACAAGAATAATGTCTTCGGCTGCGCTCTTGATCTCCATGTCGCCGTCCATCATGCCGTGCAAGTAGCACGCACCCAGAAACTGAAATGATGCTCCTGGTCCGCTGGGTCTCAGAATCACCGGAGCGTTTAGTCCCGGTAGGATCCAGACCTGATCCTCCGGGCGGGCAGCTAGAGAACCGAGGCCCAAGTAGCGGTCGTCGTTGATTGTCATTAACTGTCGCCCACCGTACATGGATTGATAGGCAGACATGAAGCCCTGGCAGCGACGAAGTAGCCTTGAAGTTGGCAGAGCGTATCCGTTCCCAAATGGCCGCGAATTATCCATGGTCACGCCTGCAGGAAGATAGAAATCTGTTGGGCCAGAGTCCGAGTCGACCTCTGTGCATCGCATCAAGCCGCATCGAAAGTCGTTCCAGAATTTGAGAACCTCAGCCCGAGACGGTGTCCAACAGGCTTCAGCGCCATCATGTTCCGCAAAGGCATCGAGTTGGGCAAGAATTGGTTCCATATCCTCGGCCATGGGGTCATAGTCGAGATGGCTGAAGTTGATATCATGCTTTGTGGTGCGTGGCTCGAGACCCAGCTTGACGCGGATCATGCTGTCTGCTTCTGCCAAGATCAGAAAGATGAGAAAATAGCGAAACTGGACGCCCTGTTCATCAGGTGCTTCATCGCCGTACTTTTCAGAATGAAAGAGGCCACCGGACGACATGCCCATGCAGAGGGTAGTCCACAAGATGGACGAAATGTACATTTTGTCGCCATATCCGCCTTTGCCAGACAAAGAAAGAGGCAAGGTTAGCCATGATTGATCAAACATGAGCTTCTCAGCGTCATTGGTGCCTGTACGGCCGCCAACTTGAGAGATTCGGCCTATGAAGACGCCTTGCACGCGGAGAGCTAGGTCTGCCAGATCTTTTGCTGGAGGAGGTGAACGGTATTGCAATCCTTTGTCAGCCTTGTATTTGTCAGGGACTGCATTAAATCCTGGTAAGCTATAATCCGGTACCCACGACGGCAGGTCTTTGCGCCTCTTGTTTACGTAGACGCAGCAGGCCAATGTGCGCAAGCTACCTTCGCTTTCAATCAGCTCTCTCGTGGCTTTTGTAAATACTTGCGGGATTGTTAAACCGTAATCCGTGACTCTTCTGTCAGGCGAAAACGAATTCAACAAGCCATAGTGTGCAAAGACTTTGTCGCGAGGATCTGTTGCCAAGAAGGTCCAAAAGTTGTACACCACGTGTCGCATAGTGAAGATTTCGCGACCCTGCCTTTCTCTTTCGCCGCCATCATGCATTGCAGCCCTACTTCGTCGCCACTTTGCCACCTCTGCCATATTCCACATGACTGACACGTCAACATCTCCAGAGGGGACAAACTGCGATGAACCCTTGGTGCCCATTTTCGCTTCTTGATATCGAATCGCTTCGGCGACCTGGCCGAGCTGCCGCCACTCGATGCACTGATTGCCAAGATACACGAGGAAAGCTTCGTTGAGCACTGCCTCTTGTACAATCCATGCTCTTCGAAACCACTGTCGCTGAAACACGCCCACAAGGGCTTTCCAGTCTTCGGCACTGAGGACTGGTATCCCAGCATCTGTGTAGCTTTCCTTGTTTTTGCTGCTAAAGGGCTCAATGGCGCTATCTTGGAATTGCTTTGCGTGCTTGGAAAGTGTGCGCAGTGTGTTCAACCCGGCGTTGGAGTACGAGTCCTGTGGCCCTAGCCACGCGACGACATATAAAGCTGAAGAGTAGATGCGATCCATGACTGTAACTTGGGTGCCTTTTTCGGCCTTGTCTTCCTGGTTAATACATATAGCATCTGCCCAGATGCGTGGTACAATATCCAACTGTTCCGTTGGGACTCGAGGAACGGTGTTGTGGTTTTCTAGCAGCGCCACCACGGCATCATGGCCATCTGCCTTGGCGATATCCAGTGCTGTCTGTCCTTGGAAGTTGACATCATCCAAGCTGCAGCCGTTTTCTATCAAAACCTTGACACACTCTAATTGATTATTGCCGGCGGCATAGTGCAGGGCTGTATATCCTTCGTCATCTGCAATGTTGATATCGGCGCATTGCTTTAGCCACAGTCTAATATTCTCGTGTCGACCTCGTCCAGCTGCTATATGTATATACCGCCGGCCCTTGGTGCCATCTAGCGGCCGTGACACATATTCTTTATGTGAATGCCGTATCGCAGCCTCCAGCGCCTCGAGCAGATTTCTCTGGATCGCGAGGGTCTTGCCATTGACGTGGACCGAGGCCTTGTTAGATTCGCCGTAGTAGGGCTCAGCAGCTGCGAATTCATCCTGGAACCCGTTTCCATGAGCAAGCGGATTCCCCCAGGTATATGACAGACAGAGATAGGGTGGTGCATCCGTGTCGTTGAGATCCTGCGTGATTAATCTGAAACGAAGAGTACCATCTTCAGCCGGCGGGCACCATTCAAGCAAGCGGATGTGCGAGACACTAGGCAACGGTTCGTATTTATAGGGTTCCATGTGCTGCATACACTTGCATCCCGTACAGGTCCGGCGCTGTACGGATAGATGTAGATGTTGAGTTTGAGCGGAGAAAAGGGCGACTGGGGTAATTCAGCCGCAACATGACGATCCGAAAAAAACCGTGCAAGCCGAGGCGGTTCTTAGCTAATATTAAATAAAAACACATCCTTTTTTACAATTTGGCATCTGATTTATCAATTCCTTCTTACACCACATCTACACTTTGTAGCGTACGCCGGTATGTCGGCATCCACGGATGTGATTATGAAACTTGTTGTTTATCGTCCCCTGCATCAAAACATCAACCGTAGCAACACGGTCTTATCATTCCCATTTTCCAGCACCTCGTTTTTGAATCCCGCCTTGTGAAATCTTCTCAAGACGGCAATATTCTCCCGTTGAACCTCAACTTGCACGCTGGCTGCGCCATCCCTGTGCAGCTCGTCCAACACCACACCAAGTGCCTCTTCCGCATACCCCTTTCCTCGCCAGCACGGTGGTAGCCCAAACGTGACTATTCTACGTTCCATGCCCTCTCCAGCAATTAGTGCAAGGCACATAGGTGAGTCGGGGTGCTCTGGTACCAGAAAGGCATGGCTGCGGGAGAGGACAACACCATGCCGCTCGCAAAAAGTGTTAAAGTCAGCGGCAGACTGTAAGTCAGCGTGTGGCTCGGGCGATTTATTGAAGAGGCCAATATAGAGCTTGCCGAGTTGCTCTGGACTGAATGCGCTCGCTGGTTTATGAATGAGCATTGTCAATACAAGAGTGCAGATGGTTGTGGCCGCCGCTTTTTGTGGTGGTTGTGTTCGGGTATGGTGCAGTAGATGTGGTGAGCAGCAATTTGAAAGCAGGCTGTAAATCGATCTTATATGAACGCTAAGGAGAGATTAACGAGTTATCTGGCTGGCAGGCTAGCGTCATCATCAGACGCCACTTGACGCCCGAGAGTAGTTGTAAGTGAGAGTACGCTCACGTGGGCGCGGCGTGTTTGCAAAAGTCACCGAGTGACAAAGCTCGAAGTGATTTCATCTCCTTCATCACATGAGAGGTCTCTCATTTTGTCGAGTCGATGGTTACATGATCTACACAACTCATGTTATATGATAACGGCAGACTAGCAATGCCTCCTTTGAGTTTATCTCTGGATAGTGATTGACCTGAGTCCACGGCGCTTGGTCTGCAACGCGCTGCCAATTCTATACATGGGCATAAGGGGGATGTACGATTAGTAGCTTGTAAAGTGAAATTATATATATATTTACCTTGTAAATACCTTCATTTTCATTGTCTTGTTTTCGTAAAGCACTACGAACCATAGAACCATAGAACCTCACTGTGCTACTACATACCATAAAATCAGACGGATCTAACCACCTTCTAAAACAAAATGGCAAAAAGGGTACAATCTGTATCCATACGCTTCATAGCATATAATCAACAACCAGGATGTTCTACTTCACAGATAGGCCATCAATCCTACCTGTCCCACGTTGGGCCGCTGAAGCCGGCTCTCCACTCGGTGCCCCCCGATCCCGCTACCAGACGCGCTGCTATACACTTTGCCCCGCCCCGCCCCCGCCGACAGGGCGTCCATTTCCCTACGCCCTTCCGGAGCCATCCGTCGCCGGGACGCCCGGCAGCTGTCTACAAAAAAACCGAACGCCTCCGTCCCATGACCCGTCTCTCCCTCTCGCCACGCCGACCGGTTTGTCATCATCAACATCACCTTACTTTACTTTACTTTACTTTACTTGTCCATCTGACGTGCGCGCCGAAAATGACGACAGCAATGGCCGACCCCGGCGAAAAGTCGCTCTCCAAGCTGCTCGCCACGCTGACCACAACGCTGCACCCAGACGTCTATGTCTTTGCTACGATTGCCAACAACAGCACAGCGCCGCTGCCGCCGCTCTCAGAAACACAGATGCTCTTCAAAGAGACGGAGGGTACCACGGTAATTGTGCGCCAGGCGTATGCCGAGGCTAATGGCATGGAGTACTGTTTTCCGTGCGAGATGCTCACGTGCGAGGTCACGTCGTCGCTGGACGCAGTGGGATTCATGGCCGTCATTGCGACGCGGCTGGCAGAACGGGCAAAGATGGGAGTGAACCCGGTTAGCGGCTTCTATCACGATCATTTGTTTGTACCCGAAGGCAGAGGCAAGGAGACGCAGCTTCTGCTCAAGGAGCTAGCCGACGACCACAGCAAGGAGTAAGCGGGGGGGAGCGTGAGTATGGCTTTTGGCTCCGGATGGAATAGGAATGAGAATCTACAGGATTGCTCTTCTGGGTTTGAGGAAGGCTCCGTACCATGTATTGGCTGATAACCAATTTACCTAGGAGATCTAGGTATAATACAAACATCTTACGGTGATGGATGACGCTTGGGTAAATCTTATATACGCTGCTTGTGGTGGGCATCAGCAGTTGCTCAGCACTCACTAGCGCCAGTCCGGCCCACTAGAGTAGCCATCGTTAGCGCAAACATTAGACTGTTGGTTTTTTCTACCATTTTCTTTTCGATTGATTTTTGAGGCATCCCCATCGTGTCGTAGTCATTAGCACTCTACAAATATGCTTCTCTTATCCATTTTGTCATTCACAGGGCTAGCTGCCTCCGTCGCTGCTACAACACAACCCGCAACCGCGCCTTGCTCTGACACCGGCCTCCCCTTCAACATCACCGCTCTCAACGGCGTCGACGGCGAATCCGTCCTGGAATGCTGGCAGCTGGAACACCAGTTCCGCCTGACATCTCGCTCAGGAATTGCCGGTTCGCAGAGTCTGTTTATGGGTGACTTGACCAACGGCACATACAACATCATCCCGGCGCGATACGATGGCGGTTTCCACAACGCCCCGGCCTTTCAGTATGTCTTTTGTCTTCCCTTTCTTTCCGTATCTGCGCTAGCTTCTTGTCCGGTTCGCTGCTAATCCTGTCATACTAGATACGTGCTCGTCATTTCTGGCCTCGCACACATCACCCTGCACAGGGGCTCAGACGAGTACTGGCAGCGCGAGGGCCGCTACGGCCTCATTATTGCCGGCGATACGGCGGATGTCTCCAAGCACGGTCACCGTACACAGTTCCCAGGCGGTACGGACACGCTATCTATGGGCTTGCCGATCCCGAATCGTAAGGATTTCCGGTATACGCTTTTGCATAGCGGTCCGTGTACGCAGGAGGAGATGATTGGGCTGTAGCAGACGACCAAATACATGCCATAGAGCGGAGATACACTACCCATATTCATATATATACTTTTTAATAGATATGCATGTGCATATTCATAGAGAAACGTCCATCCTATTGTATTTTTATTTAATTTTCAGATAATAGAGTCTCTTTGGTACGAACTGCTCCCCGCGGCGCTTTAACAGGCTGCGTAAAACTTGTCCCACCACGCACCCCGCAGTACAGCCTGTAACGTCATATCGCCGTTTTTTTCAACCTCACCTCTTGCTTTCTCGCCAAAACACCACGCCCAACCACCACATTTGCCCGCCATCCATCCACTCGTCTAAACAACCACCGAAATTTCACATGGCGCTCGAGACGCTGACCCTGGAGCATGTGCCGGCCCAGTACGCCGTGCACGTCGCCCTCTTCCAGGACGTCCGCAACGCCGACTTCTTGCACAAGCAGCTGCTAGCTAGGAATGCGGCCTTTGAATACGCATTCATCGATGCTTCTATTGTACGTTGTGTCAGCGCAGGCGCACCATAGACGGCTAATTGACGTCACTCGCTGTAGATCCTGTCCCGAACACAGTTGCTGTCTGCTGTCTTCAAGGCCATCAACGCACAAGTTACCGATTCATTGAAAACGCCCAATGTGCACTCTGAGGTTGTCATCTCCCTTAACCCGTCAAGTAACGTAAGTAGTCTCATGGTCTCTACCCCAGGGAGTAGGCACGTTCGCTGTCTTGGCTTTTTGTCGTTGCTAACGGGAGCGTTTTGGAATACCACTAGATTGCCGATGCATACCGTCGCTTTGGAATTTCACCTGCTACAAAAAGCCTGGTGGCCGTCAAGGTCACCTTTCCTACCGACTCTGCCCCTGTACCGCCCTCTGCTGATGAGACCTGGAAGCATCTGTCAGACAATGTAGAAGGCACCCCGTTGGCTCTAGCAGACGATAATCTTAGGCTGACGGCAGACATGTCCAAGATTCGCAAATACTACAAGCTAAACGTACCCTGGTTGGAGCAGACTGCCGATGAGACAATAAAGCAGAGAGAGATGGAAACGCTCGTGCTCGGTGCCATGGCGCTGCGTGGACTGTAACTTGTCGACTGACCTGCAACGACACAGCATGATCGGAACAACTTGCAACTTATTAATTAATGACTAGGCAAGTAGGTTTCCAGGCGCGTTTCAATTTCACGATTCACGGTTTGACGGATAGATAAAATGTATATAGTTTATAATATTTTTCTGTTATTATTCATTCATAATGCATATGCTTGCTCAAGTCATGTTCTATCAACAGACGCGTGAAGCAGGAGCTCATAGAGAGCACAAAAAAGGGACCAATGCTAAAAAAAAAAAAGCCAATGTAAAAACGCCAGAAGAGGTATTAAAAAAAAACAAAGAAACAAAAATATTATGCGCGTCGTTGGCCGCGATGAACAACTTTTCCGAGGTGTAGGCCGGGTAGCCCAATGCAAAACCGATTAGTAACCGATGAATGAACCCATTGGGTCCTTTATATATGACTTTTCTTTCTTTTTACTGTTTTGGGAGCGAGGCTCGTTGTCGTCTTGCTTATGCTCTGGTGAAAGTAGCCTTGAAGCGGCGGACAAGCTCAGCCCACATGGCATCGCGGCCGCTGCGGGTGCGGGCGACGGCGTCCTTGTTCTCCTGGGCGCGGCGGAGAAGGTACTTCATGCATTCGCCAGTGGTGCCCCAGACGAGGTACTTGTAAACGGGGAGAGCAGCAGGCTTGGAAGTGGAAGCACTGGCCTCGACAAGCTCGCAGGAAACCTCATCAGCCATGCCCTGGAGCTGGGCAAAGGAGACGGTGGACTTGGCCATGCCGGTGTCGCAGATGGCGCGAGCACGACGAACAGACTCAACGTTGTGAGAGGCCACAACGAGGTGAGTGTTGGGGTACTGGCCCTCACCAGTGATGGTAGATCCAAACTGGCGGGTGAGGATAGAGGCGGCGATGCCATCGTAGCAAGCATCAGTCTGCTCCTTGGTGTCGTGGATGACCTCGCGAGGATCAGAGCCAATGTAGGCGCCACGGACGAGCTTAACACCAACGGTGAAACCCTCCTTCTGGGCAAGGGCAAGGTGACCAGAGAGAACAGAGGGAGTGCACTTCTTGTAGGCCTGGTAGGTGCCGTAGATGGTAGCGCGGCTGGGGTCAGTGTTGTACTTGCGGGCGTACTGGATGGTCCACGAGTCAATGCCGGGCTGGAGAGCGTCCTGCTCAGCGTCAAAGAGGAGGCGAACGCCGCGCTCGTGAGCAAGCTTGCAGATGGCGTCAATGGAGTCGGACAGGAAGGGGGTGGGAGGGGCGTCCTTGGAGAGAAGGGTCAAGGCAAGGCGGCCGGCGCCAGTGAACTTGAGAGCAACGTAGTCTCCGGGCTCAGCAAGACCAACAGTGGTAAGGGTGCCGTCGGCCCAGGGAGTGATCTCGCCCTCAATGTCGCGCTTGGTCTCGGTCAAGGCAGCCTCACCAACGAGGTTCTGGGCCTCATCCTCGGGAAGAACAACCTCCTTGGCGTAGCCGAGAATAACACCAGTGAAGCCAATGTTCTTGAGCTTGGCAATGGTGTGGCGGACCTCTGCGGCGTCCTCGCCGGCACAGAACTGGGCGTAAAAGGTCTTCTTGAGGAAGTAGCGGAGAATAGGGTTCTTGTCGGGGTTGAAGAGAGGGTTGGTGGTGTGAGCCAACATGTTCATGATGACGAGAGAAGGAGGGAGGAGAGTAGGCGAGGAGGAGACGACGGTGGTGGCAAAGGAGCGGACAATCATGCTGAGAGGCAGGACAGAGAGAGGAGCGTTGCGAGGCTGCTGCTCCTCCTGGGGGGCAGCGATGGGCGAGGCGCCGGGGATCTCAGCAATGGTGGACTCCTTGCGCTCGGAGGAGTGAATCTGGTCGCTCTTGGAGGAGTGGATGAGGCGGGCCTGCGAGGCGGCGGCTCCAATGACGGCGCGGGGAGCGACATGGCGAGCAAGACGGCCGTGGCCGGAGAGAGCGGCAGCGAGAAGAAGGCCGCTGGAAGAAGTAGCCCGGTGCACGGGCAGGAGGGCGAGCCCGCGTGCAGGGCCGGCGTGCATTATAGTTCTTCTAGTGGTGGGGTGGAAGACGAGGGTTCAAGAAGCTGCGTGTTCTGGAAGGGTGACTCAAAAGTCAATATGGGAGCAAGAAAAAAACCCGGTGTGTTGGTGATGTCGGAGCAGGTAGTGGTGGTATGCGTCGACAACACGGATGCGGCGAAGGGTTGCTGTATAAGCCGAAGAGGCGGAGTGCAGTGCTTGTCTTTGTCTTTTTGTGTAAAGAAGCAAGCAAAGTGTCTATGATAATATGCCTTTGTTTTGTTAGGAACAATAGGAGGAGGACAAAAGGTGGTCTGGAGGGGAGAGCGTGGTGGTTCAAGTTTCTTATACTTTAGAAGGAGGCTCGGCGGTGCGGCTTTGCCGGGGGCGTGGGCGTGGGTGTCGCCTCAGCAGAAAAAAAATAGGCCATCGTGACCAGCAGGCGCCCTGGGCCATCGCCCCAGAATTATCCAAAGGCCTTTGTTTGCCGCGCCGGCGCTAGGTCCCAGGCGCCCCCCACCCCCCCGGCGGAGCGGTGCAGGGCCGGCCGTAAGTCCATCAGTCAGTCAGGACAGGCCACCGCACACCACATTACAGAGCGATGCGTAAGCCAGATTGGGAATTTCTTGATTTCTTTGGTCCTGTCTGTGAATAATTCGGAGATGGCCAGTTCTGCATCCGCTATGGATAGACACCGGGGGAGGGGTTCCAGCGGGCGAACATACGTTTTACTCAACGTTTCTGGTGGACGTATGCAGACCTTGGGGGTCATAGCACACCGAAACACGCTGTTCTGATGCAAACGCGCCGCCGTTCCTACACGCACCCTCCACCACCAAAACTGTGTGCATCCAAGGACGAAAATCTTCTTACAGTAACACCATTGCACTTTGATACGCAAAAACAAGGCCAGCGTCGGGAGCAATTAATCAAGGCCAGCGCACAGTCAATATGCACGGCGTCCGGCTGTCTTCCTGCCAGCTACCACGGCGCTGGATGCATTGCGTAAAAGCGAACAAGACAACATGGTGCCATGGGCAAATCAAATCAATTGCGCAACCTTGCCCAAAAATCACAAAATCACAGATGCCCTATAAGTTACCGTACGGTGCTGTTGTTTAGTAGGCGTACAGAAGTCGAGTCTGTGTTGTACAGTATATTTGCTGGTGCTGGGTGCTGCACCCGCCTGCGCAAACAGCAGCCAGCTTGCCCCCCAAATCACCCAAGGCCCCCAAAACGGACACTCACTCCCCCCAAATCGAAGACGCTGTAGAAGCATCGCCTAGCCCCATCACGTGGATACTCTATTCTGGGGGTGCCATCAAGGGATCCCCTCCTAGGGTGGTGCCTGTAGCACGCCGAGGTTAGCCGTCCACCCAAAAAAAAAAAATCACCACCCATCTGGGCTGGACCCTCGATGTTTTACGGGCTGCACACACCCCTGCAACCTGCTGCTTTAGGAAGGGCTTGCCACTGGAATGGCTCCGATACGGCGCACGCTCGGCGTGGGGGGTTCCCCTCTTCCCGCTGCACGTCTTGCAGCAGCTTGCAGCTTAAACTCAGGGCCCCTTGCGACGCTTGGGGGGATGCTGCTAAGCTTTTTTGGCCGATTTTCGGACGCCGTCTCGCCTACTCTTTCTGTGCCGTGGGATGCCGCCCGCCTGTAAGTGAGCGAGTGACTCTGGCTGCCCTTACCCAGCTGCAGCTGCTGCCACTATCAACTTGGCGCTGCAGGAAGCCTCGCATTGAGTTACAGAGAGAAGGGAAGGTCACAAAGAAACAAGTAATTAATTTTCAAATCAAAAATGAAAATATAGTATGCGAACGTCTGCTGTACCAGCTGGGCCTGGGCTATGCCAAGCACTGATTCATTTCCGCCTGCGTGGTTACGAGGACCTTGCTCAGCAGCTGGCCGCAAGCGGACACAACAGCGAACAAGCAGCCCGCCGGCTACCAAAGGCCATGCAAAACCAAGACGCGAGAAAAAAAACACCAGCACGCAGCATGGATGAATTATGACACCAGGAATTGACGGGAAAATAAAGACTCTTTATTAATTGCCCCAATTCCTTGTTGACGCCGCGACTGCGCGCATCCTGGCTTGCGTCGGATCCTGTGTCATGTGGTCGCCCAGATGCCCCAGATGCTTGAGTTCTAGACCACGGTCCTGTCAACGGCGGCTAGTCAAGGAAATAGAATGGCAATTTCCACGTCGCCATGCAAGATGCATCTCGCTCCATCCCTCACAATACCCAGCTCCCTCCCCGCGTCCCATCTCAATTAGGTCCAGAGTGCAAGGGTTTGTATTCATTCCCCCAATGCTAGTAATTAGCTAGGGGTCGTAGCGTTGCCAGATCCCAGATGGTGGCAGATTGCATCGCCAGCTGTTGCAATGGGCATGTTTTAGTGGCATGGCATCGTCGGCCAACTAAAGAAAAAAAATAGGCGACGGATCCCCGCTGGAAATAAGCCTCCAGGAGCGTGGGAAATTCGATACACAGTACGATAGGGCATTGGCTGGCGCTGCTGACCCCAGTGGGTTCCCGTTGTCCCTCTCCCGCGTCCACTGCAACCTGCAGTAACCGCCCATCTTGCCTTGCTGCTTGGACGGGACGGACAGCAGCCAGTTTGGGGGGCGGCCACGCCATCGGTCACCCACTGTGGGTGGGAGGCCCCAAAGGATAGCGCCGAAACAGCAAGAGCGAGCACCGCGTGGCAGTGTTACAGGCTGTCAGGCCTGCCTGCTGGGGGCTAGTGCACGGCTACGGCAGGGCCGGCAGGGTGCTTGCAGCGCTGTCTTGAGCGCCTACCCGACGTCGGAGAGCTTCGACGTAGGCAATCGGCCTGCCACGGGCCAAGCCAACAAGGTCCTGCACACCACCATACGACACCCCAAACACCAGCGCCAGGCGGGCAGTGCGGGCTGCTGTCGACAGCGAAAAGCGATCTGTTATTTAGTTAGTGAACCGGTTGTCCCGTTGTGCAAATCATGACGCGCGGGGGGATAGGCGGCGCCTTGGGAGGCGTCGTTGTAGTATACAAGGCGCTGGCTGCCCCAATCATACTGCGTAGACGCCATGCCGCCACCACAACCATCAACCCCCCCGCGGATCATAGCCATGGCCAAAAACTTGAAAACAAGTGGCATGGGGGAAGAAATACTACTTACGTGCTAGGGAAAACATTCCCGAAACTGTCAGGGTGGCTATAATCGTGGAAAACATATCGCTGCCTCCGCGATAGCGGTCCACGGTGCTCTCTAGGCTCAGTGCCAGAAAGCTCCAGAAGCCTGTCTTAGTCGCCATGCGCATGCCCTCAATGAGCCCGCCCTGCATGGCGTGGTAATTCTTGGACTTGTGGTAGAAATACCAGCCTGCAGTTGTATCTGGCATCTTGTGCGCATGCTCCGCACGGAACCGCAGCTGTGACATCTGTCCGCCTTGCATCGCTCCCAGTCCAAACCCAATTACACTGGCAGATAACGTACCGTACGCGATGCGAGCTGGTGTCGGGATGGCCAGGCGGGGCGTATCGGCCGGTGAGCTTCCTTCTAATGACTCCGTAGCGGAGGATGGCTCTGTCATTGTCATTGCTGCGATGTTATCTAGCAAGGAGTGGGCGATCCTGATAGCCTATCCGCTAGTAGATGATAGATGATTAATCGGGGTTGGCTGCGGCTGAGATAGCGCACTTGCCTGCCTATACTACCTTTGAGACCAGCAGTTAGGCTGTTTTAGTGTTTTGTTCAGAACCGTATTAATCCTGAAGCTTGCGTAGGTACAGGCAAATTTGGCCGCGATCGGGCGCCGTCTTGGGAGGAGAGTGCTGCTAGTATTCAGATGGTGTCGTTGTAGAGTACACCTGGAATGCCAGTGGGGGTAGCCTGACCAAGGCCAAGGACAACTGCAGACGGAAAAAAATTGCCTTCGGCTATGCTCGCTCCAGCGAAAATAGCAGCCAAAAAGAAAGATGTGACGGAGTGTATGATGCTATACCAATGATCTTTGCTAACCTTGGTAGCTGCTGGTCAGGAAGGATTGGCTCTCGTAGGTGCAGCGGATAATAGGAGGCCTTGGAAGAGGTGCGTGGAATTAGGCAGAATCAAATCAGATACCTTCCAACGCAAATGCTCTAGGAGGTAGATGATTCTTTGCTCTGAATTGAATGACGACGCTGCGACTCGTGCTCGATTGAGCGATCAGGCAGGTGATTGTGGTGAGGAGAGATGAGTTGTCGTTGAAATTTGATGCCCCGTCACTGAGCTACTGATGTCGGCCTCACCAGGCAAACTTCCGTGGTTGGGGCAGGTTGCGACAGCTAGCCACTTTGCGCGCTGTCACGTGACGACGTGTAACTCTCACTGGAGCTCGTGTCGAGAGCTTCCCTTTCGTGCAGTATCGTGACATCAACTGTTTTGCCGTTAATTTACATAGACTCAAACCACATAATTGGCAGTAGTCGGCAACAATGGTAAGATTCAGGCATCATCTAGCAGCTATATCAATGCAATGTTCAACAAATTGACCAATTTAAGTAGGCCGACGTAGAATCACAAATCTCCGTTCGCTTCCGCCACGGTATTCACACCATTTATCTCTTTCTTGACCCTTCTGAGTCTTTTTCTGCCGTTTCTAAGGAGCTTCTGACGCTTCTACACGACCGTTACCCGGGCGGTCTCACAAGCACTCTGGAGCCCGAAAAAACCACGCCCATCCCACAGAGTTCTGTTAACGCCTTTGCGTACGCCGTGCTGACCGTGCCCAACGACCCCTCACGCGGTTGGAAGAAGCTCGACATCGGTAGCGATCAAGAGCACACACTCACAAAATGTGGCATCAAGGACAATAGCGTCGTTGCATTTACGTTTCCCCACGCCACAGACGATCAGGACGACATTGTCTTTGACGTGGAGTGGCCCAGGGATGACGAGGAAATGTATGAATGAGGGGCGCCACGAAGAAGAGAATGCCGACGCACGCACACACACACCTCCCCGAGTGCCTTGCGCCATGTTCGATGCTCATTACCGTTTTGTGCAAAAGGCCGACCGGAAAACTACGGTCTCATTGCAGAGCACATCGATTCTAGACAAAGGGTACCAACGCCGCAGGGAACCGATGAGACAGGAAGGTCGCACCATGCCACGGTTCCACGATGCAAGTCAGATGAGGGGGTCGACTAGAGCATGGACGGGGCGGTCAGATTGACGCAATTCGTAGTCGTCCTCGGCCAATTAGCCTCCTACCATATTTTTCTGTCTCTCCTCCGGCGTATTTCTTATGCTCGGCTTGCAAAGGAACTAGACCCATCTCCACCCTCTAATACCAATTAGGCACCTGGTTAAGCCAGGCAGATCTGTCTTGTGCATGGCATTGACGCCGCGGGGAAGAAAAAAAATTATCTATTTTTATTAGTATTGTATTTTGACTAGGTAGTATTTGTAATACGAAACTGCGTAGCATAACCACATATGTTCTGCCGCTCCATCAATACAGCCGTCTATCTACAGCTTGACAATTGCAAGTATGAACAGCAGTGCAGGGCACAGGTGTCCAGTATAAGAGTCCATTAAGAGCACGGCCTCTCGAGTGGCACCGGCTATAGTGATAGGGGCATGGCAGTGTTCCATTCTTACTCGGTGTCAAGACTCTTTTAGTGAGGCTGTGTCTAGACCCTAACAGGGTGTTCCAAGGAGACATGGGATCCTGCCCGCCGACAGGGAATGATGCTTGGCCGACGGCCAATCCACCATTTTAGCTTTAGAAGATACTAGGGTTGAGCTGGACGGGCTGGATGTATTATATTACTACGGTATCATTGCGCTGGGGGTTGGATGACACCTGAAAATGCTAATTGAACTGCGGGCACCAGAGTATTTGTATATTAATGACCGCCATGCATTCCAGTGGGTAGTCGATGTGTAATACTGGAGCGTAGATGAGAAATTTAATGCTTTTTTTTTCTTCGATAGTTGTGTTTGCACTACATGTTGATCTTGGGATTGACCTACGCAGCAGACACTTGCTTATAAAGCATCCCTGATCTGCGACGATAGCTCTCCCTAATGGGGGGCCGGCAACGATTAAAATGGATAGTGTATGGATTGAAAGATTCACAGATCTATTAATGCCAATATGTGGCCTATAGAACCCCTTGGTTAATAGAAGAGAACCGATCGAGAAATCCTGTGGCTTGGTCGAAGGGAGAAGCGGTGCCGGGTAGCTGTACGCTACGTCTGTTATAAGACCGGTTTGTCCCAGCATAAGACATATATCTTGATAAATATGATTGTTGAGAAGTTATATTCGGCGATAGTTTTTAACTGAAGCCATAGGTTAATATGTTCACTGCTTTTCCACTGTGGAAGTTGCACTCTACTGACAAACTATTATCACGTCGATGTCGGTCAAATGTTACCAGAACTCTGGGATTCTCCCTCCCCCACGCTTCGTAGAAAATGAAACTAAAGAAATTATCCAAATCATAAAACGAATAGGCGTCACACTGGGATTTAAAATAAATAATAAATCCAACAATTACAAATGCACAAGGCCTTTATCCCTTCGAACTCGCTCGGTTCCTGACTAAGCACGGCGTTCCGACTTGCAACGGTCCGAGCTCACATGCCGGTGGCCCCTGACACCAAATGCACTACACCCTTTTCCACCAATTCACATCCCGCGAAAAGTTTGGCTGTCCTTTTCTCCTTGTCGCGTACTGCGTTTGCTTGGTGCCGTTGCGTTGCTGCTTCTATTCTTCCCCGTCATTCTTTATTCATAATTTTTGTTTTCTACAATCCTTCCTTTTAATCTAAGCATTGCCCGCCCTCGCCAACCAGCTAGCCTGCTTTCGCGCGTATGCTGCAGACACGCTCTACATGACCGTCGCACCCAAGCTTCGAAATGCCTTTGGCATACTGCTGCCGCTGGCGGTAGCATGCACCATCTACCTATACCTCTACCCGGTCTTCTCACAATGCGCATTCCCGCTCCCGTCTCGAAATGCTGCCGACGCTTTCCACCACACGACCAAACTCCATTGGCCATATGCGCAAACCGATGACCTTGCTACTATCCCGACCGAACGCGCTCCATTCCGACTCTTGACGTTTGGAGATCCCCAGCTTGAAGGCGACACGTCGATTCCTGTGGCATACCTCGGTCTCTTCCCACACATTGGTAACATATTCAAGCACCTGACGTTCCAAACGCGACACAACTCGTTGTGGGAGCGCCTGCGATGGATTATCCACGACTCGATCGATATTTACATGATCGATATTCCCGACATCTTGGAATCGTTCCGTAAAGTCTTTGATCTGTGGGGCAATGACTTCTACTTGGCGCACATCTACCGTGCACTGCACTGGTGGACTAAGCCGACACATGTAACTGTGCTGGGCGATTTGCTGGGCAGCCAGTGGATCGATGACGCCGAATTTGAACGTCGCGGACACCGATTCTGGAACCGTACTTTCAAGGGTGGCATCCGCGTAGATGACAGCGTCGCTATGTACCCCCTCGCCGAGTATAACCTTTCTGGGATATTGAACGGGGCCGAGGAAGAGGCCATCTGGACAAAACGCATCATCAATGTCGCTGGTAACCACGACATTGGTTATGCCGGCGACCTCACCGTTGAACGCATGGAACGGTTTGAACGCATCTTTGGCAAGGCCAATTATGAGCTGCGTTTTGAGCTGCCGGTCGAGGATGAAATGTCCAAGTCTACGATATACCACAACGAGACGAATCCATACTCGCGTCGATTACAACCCGAACTGCGCATTCTAGTGCTCAATGACATGAATCTAGACACTCCAGCAAAGAGCATCCCTCTTCAGGACCAAACGTACGACTTCATTAACAAGGCCATCGGTACCGGCGAGGATGTCAACGACTTGGGTCGATTTACACTGTTGCTGACACACATTCCTCTCTACAAGCCAGAAGGTGTCTGTGTGGATGCGCCGTTCTTTGATTTCCACGGTGCCCACGATGGTGGCGGTGTAAAGGAGCAGTATCTGCTAAGCTACGATGCGAGCAAGGGCCTTCTCGAAGGTATTTTCGGAATGAGCGGCGATGTGAACGCAGCAGGAAACGGCAAGGGCCGTAGGGGCATGATCCTAAACGGCCACGACCACGAAGGCTGCGATACGTACCACTTTATCAACCAAACCAACGGCACTGAAGCATCGGAACGGCGCTGGGAGGTCAACACCTGGCCAACAGCACTGGAAGCCGATGTTATGAACAAACCAAACCATCCTGGTCTCCGCGAAATCACGGTTCGCAGCATGATGGGCGACTTTGGAGGTAACGCAGGCTTGCTCAGCATGTGGTTCAACTTTACGACGTGGGCATGGGAGCACGAGTATGTGAGCTGCCCCCTTGGGCGCCAGCATCTGTGGTGGCTAACGCACATTCTCGACCTCGGTGTCATCTTGTTGGCCATTCTCTGGCCTACTGCCGCCATTGTAGAGAGCAAGGGAGTGGATTTGGATGCCAAAATTGGCGAAGTTGCAGCCTATGGCCGACGAGCACTTGAGCTGCTGCACAGACAGATGCTCAAGGCGCAGCGCGTGTGGAATGCGGCTGTGGCCGAGCTGATGAAGCCCGACGAGGTACATGGCGACACGAAGCATGAGGTCAAGGGGAGCAAAAGCCCCAAGAAGGCTGGACAAAAGGCCCACAAGAAAGCATAGAGAAAGGGCCTTTGGACATTACACGCTGTATGAACATAGACATAAGAACGTTTGGGTCGGGAGGGGGAAAACTAAAAAGCTTTGAACATGTATATACCCGCATAGAAACCTGCATAATAGCATTCCGTTTGCCTGTTACATGCACGATTGCGCTGCTCGGCTATGCGACCCTTCTTGTCAAGATTTGGACGACACGAGGGCTCGATGCAGCGGCCTAACCACCATCTGGTACGAGTTTGGCTGGTCCTTTGTGCTGCTTGGGACCGGCGATATCCCACGTGTGTATGGCAGCCGTTTCAACGGCAGTAGTTTCCAAGCGATATACAAACAGAATGGTATTGATTGATGACGAAACAAACCCGTCACCCGAGTCCGAAGAACCAAACATGTAAACCTCAAACATTTGCGCATGGGAACCGATGTCTGAGTTACACAACCTATCTCGATGAAATGTATATAAAACTGGCCTCTCCACGTTCTTGGCTATTCATCTGCGCTCCAACAATCAAGACATCTCTCCCAACACACAGCTCGTTCATCTTTACTAATCTACAATATGCAGTTTTTGCTCGTCCTGTCTCTTCTCGTATCTCTTGTCGCTGCTCGGCACGACTTATTTGTGTCCAAGCGGGTAGCTGTTGAGCGGTGCTTCGCGTACCCAGCCGCCGACGACCCCAAGTACGCATCGAGCTAGAATCTGTGATACAGTCCAGGCAAATACTAACGAGAATATCCAGTTTTCTTCACTGCTTACAGGATCTCATCTGCTCTGGCCCTACTTTCCCCAACAGTACCACTGTGCCAGTAGCTAACTCGACTGTGGTGCCTACTCCGGCTCCTCCTCCTCCTACAACGACGGTGTCTGTACCCAGCCCCTGCTCGCCTGACGGGGCTTGCGATTGCTCCAAGATCGAGGATAAGGATGGGGATGAGTAAGTCGTATCCTTTGACAATGAACACCAAGCGAGGGGAGACTTACAGAAAGCGGCAGGTACTTCCAATGCATCACCAACCCGGCATGCGAGCGCTGCCATTTGTCCACAACTACGACGACCTCTTCGTCGATTGCCTCTCCAACGTTGACGCAGACTACCCCTAGAACATTCAGCCCTGGCACGTACACGGTGCTCATCAACGGCACGACATCCATCATGGTGCTGCCGACACAGGCGACTGTCACGCTTACAAAGGTTGTTACACCCGACATCACTAGCGATGCGACTACTTCTAGCGAGGCTACACCATATGCAACGAACACGGCGTGCCATGATTGCGATTGCTCTCTGATTGCGGATAAACAGAGCGAGGAGTATGTTGCGCAAATCCTGTGATGGAAAGTGACATTCGGTTTTGAACTAACATGTCGATTGTAGTTACTTTGAATGCATGACTGATCCCGAGTGCGAGACATGCCGCAGCGGCCAGCAGGCCAGATTGTTTAACAGGAAGGGGTTTGTGAGACGCATGTAAGGCCAGTCTTTAAAAGAGCAACCTCCATTCGACCAAGGCGGGTTATCACAGCACGGGTTTGTAGCAAAGAAGGATGTTGGGTTAAATGTTTCAGATTGTCTTAGTATACAACAGAACCTGGCTAGCATGCAGTAGCCAGGCTCCAAGCCATTTGATGCCTCCTGTTGCACATCTCCAGTGTGTCCCAACAAGTGAAATGCTACAAAAAAATAAGGGAGATTTCTATATGCTGCCGTCCGATTTTTCCTCCTTTGGTTCCCGTGTCGTTTTTTGAGTGATACAAGAGAATAAAAAATTACAAGTAGATAAGGAATGAAGGAAGTTGTGTGGTGAGGGTGGTGGTGGTTGTGATGGGCGTGAGGGATGAAAATATAATGCTACAGCGCGCGCAGCCTTCGTAATCGTTTTAAGAAATGCAGCGCTCCGTTAGACAGACAGACAGTAAATTGGCTTGAGTCGGGACAATTTACTTCTTCTCTCCGCCAGAGTTGCCGAACATACCACCGAAAGTGCCCATCATGCTGCTCATGGCTTCCTGCTGGGCCTTCTCCATGGCGACCTGCTCCTCCTTGAGCCACTTTTCGCCGTTTTCGCGAATCTCCTTTTCAAGGAGCTCGTAATTGCGTTGACCACGCTCACGGGCAATGTCTTGCAACATCTTACCCTGAGCAAAGGCCTCGGCAGGGTTCTGCTCACCCTCAGGAGACATGGTCATGCTCATGTTGGATGGCTTCAAGCCAAAAAGACCACCGAGGGCGCCGAAGCCAGATGAGCCACTCGAGGCAGACTTGGGCTTGCGCTTGTTGAACTCAGCACGAGCGATGGCCTCGCGGCGAGCAAATTCGGTAGGAATATGCTTGCCCTCAAACGATTTGAGAGTCTTGCGCACGTCGTCAACCTGCATAGTGTGGATATATTCGAGGAAAGGGATCAAGCCAACAAGGTCTTGGTCCTTGGAGTTGCCCTTCCACGGCTCAAGAACGATCGCGTTTTCGGGTTGCTTGCGGACATGGGTTGCATTGGTGTCGATGATGATGACCTTGGAGAGATCGCGGTTCAGGTAGGAGAGATCCTTGACAATCTCGCCATCCTCATACTTGGTAGCTTCACGATAGAGTGGCCACATGATGAAGCGGAAAGGATCCAGTTTGCGGACAAGAGGCTCGCCCATTGCAAAAGGAACCGTGGTGAAGAGGACAAGCTCGTAGTACTGGCTGAGGTAACGAACAAAGTAGTCCATGCCGGGGCGCTTGGCGACACGCCATCCATGGTCGCGGGTCCATTCGCTGTGTACAAGCAAGTCGTCCAAGCTCAAGCAGAGGGTATAGGGTCTCTCAAAGCTGGGGTCGGGGTCGGGAAGCAGCTTGTCGAAGGAAGGATCCTGGTAGTAGGAAATAGAATCGTTCCAGCGAGCATTAACGCGGGACCACCACAATCCAAGACCCCAGCCGTTGGCAATATCCGGATGGCGCGCAGCCTCGATCTGATCGTCCCAGTTGCGGCCCAAGTAGACCATACCGAGAGTGGCACCACTTGCGGTTGACAGGAGCAAGAAGCGCGTCCACCACCGGCGGTTGCGTTCATTCGTAGAGACGTATTCATCGCGGCGGTCACGGCGTTCGCGCTCGCCAGACTGGGCTTCCTCGATGGCCTGGAGGTATGAAGGCTGCTCTTTGTTACCATCACGCGCACCAGCCATTTCTTGCTCGAGTGTCGAAGGGATACCCTGTGTCAGATCAGGAAGCTTATGGAAAGGTATTTGCTCGGTGGGGTCGGCTTCTGGCTTGATCTCGCTTTCGGCAGCCTTTGTGGCCCCCGTCTCAGAGGTCGCGGAGCTGTCTCCATCCTGTGAGGCTTTAGGAGCAGCTTTGTCGTTGGGCTGCTTTGGGGGAGTCGGCTTTGCGCTCTTTGCGTATGCGCGCATCCATGACGTTGTAGGAATGGCGGCAGCACGGGATCTAATAGGCGCAGTTGCGGCAGCCTGTCGAGAAGCTGTGGACGCAATGGCCCATCCCTTTCGGAGGGCGACTCGAGAGAGCATGGTTGTTATATAAGCGCAAATGGTCGATTGACAAACACGGGGTTGTCAATTGGAAGGTAGAAATACAACCACAGAAAGGAAGCAGTCTGCACTTGTTGTCGAGATGACCCCTTCTCCTATCGTGCGGATGGAGGTTTGATGGCGAGGGTTAAGGAGGCAAAGCCAAGGAGAGGACGGACAAAGGAGACAGTTGAAAATTGGTGGCCAACGATGACATGGGCGGAAAATTTCCAGAAGCGCCGCCAGCAAGTAATCACTTTTAGCCGACAATTAAGCGGGGGTTCTCACTTGGACAGTGTCTGTGAGACCCTCACGTGAGACCACTGAAACGGAGTGCTAGCTCGCCTGTAGCTTGGCGGTTCAGGGTGCCATTGGGGCGCTGTGGCTTGCGCTACCCCCTCATTTTCAGTGCATTCCTGCAGGCGTTGCACCGCTGAAGCCAAAATCCGCCACGGTAAAATCCAGAGAGGCGTCACTTGCCTGCAACCAATCCACGTTCAGCTGCAGCGGCACGAGACTTGTTTCCCGTCTCTCTCCTCCCAACGTCTTATCCCCCGCATCTCCACGCATCGAGTCGCATCGCCGCTGCTTGCCTATTTCTTCTTCTACGTATACTGCTCCTGAACCGTCATCGTCGCAATGCTTGCGTTCGCTGCACTGTAGAGGGTGGTTCCTCCCATCACGACTACTCTGCGACTGAACCACGTCATGGCACCACCCTCTGCGACTTGTTGTATTCCCTGTCTACTCGATTTCCAAGCGCCTTCTAGCCCGCCACGATACCGATTCTTAAACTGCTGTCCAATCACCTGTCAGCCATCATCTGCTTGAAAGCCTACCATCCGATCTCACCGACCCTTCTCCACTGATATCAAATTCTGCGTCTTTGCCACCGGCCTTATACCTAGTATATGCCTGAGCAACTACGACAAAGTTACGTATCAACTCGCCCGCATTGCCTTCCAACATGGTGAGGAATACTACTCCTCGCTGGGGCCCGCGATCTGGCGCTATGCCGCGGGCCATTACTCCCATCACCTCCGCATACACGACTCCAATGGGCTCCTCCTATCCAACACCACTGGCGTCGGCCTATGCATCGGCGTACACGTCTGAAGCCGAATTGGACAATGAAGGGGATGCTGTCAAGGCCGACGGAGAGTTGGAAGAGGCAACGAATTCCCTGGCGGCTCTCACTATGGATACGCCACTGCGTCCCTTCAGGCGCGAACGAAAAGTCCCGAGGACGCCTTTTCACTTTCTTAGCCTCCCTTCCGAGCTTCGCATCAAGATTTACGAATACTTCTTTGACAATGCTGAAGATATTATTGATCTGGGGCCCGAAAACTACAAGCGTACCCACAAGAAGCTTGGATTTATGCGTACCTGCCGGCAGATCCATGCCGAGGCTACTCATTTCTTCTATGGAACACGCACCTTTCGGCTTTTCCCAACGTACCCAGGCAAGCACTTCAAGTCCAAGAAGCCGATGCTGGCTCGGCTCAAGCCCATTCAACGACAGTGCATTACGTCGTTGGAACTCCGCCTCGGTCCTGGATGGAACGCCCCTCCTCGCGGCTGGGTTGTAAATGACGCCTTGGGACTGACTGAATGCATCAGCTTGCGGACGTTGACAGTCTTTGTGGAATGTGACCCAAGCGATGCCTACTTTAAAGGCTTCCGTCGTTCAGACGGCTTCTATGAGACATTCTGTCGCCGCCTGTTGGCGGATGTCGTCAAGGCACTCCCAGAGGTCCAAACCATCCAATTTGACGCCTGGAATAGTGTCAAGAAATCTGGCGCTATGATGCGCAGCTTGATGGAGGTTGCTGCGCAACTCAATATGGAAATTGCCTGGGGTCCGGAGCGCGGCTGGACCGATGCTGATGAGCCTGACGAACAAGGACAAGCAGTCCTACAGGCCCAGACAAGCGAAGATGGCACACAATTTGTTGATATCGCTGTTCCACCAGACGTGTTTGCCAACAACATTGTGGCCGTGGCCTGAACTTCCCACAATGCTGGGAAAACGAAATTATGCTAACGAGCTGGCACACTGAGGCCCAGCAGGTCATGACTACAAATGCTGGCGCTGCGACGACATGTGCCTATTCCCCCCTCTTCTCACTCACCCAGTATCCATGTGGAGCTTAAATTGTGCAAACACTCCCTCTAACATATGCAAATACTGTCTTCTTTTTATTTTTATTTTTAACACGGCATGCCAAGTTATGTGCAGCGATAGCGAATAGGATCTGGTGTTTTATGGAATCTCTTTCGATCGTCAGAGAATATATGCTCTTATATAATATGTTTTACAATTGATGTCTTGAAACTTGAATTCTGGCTTTGTAAAGTGATGCTGTAAAGGAACATAAGTAATGACACTGGCTCAAGACTCGCCAAGAGCAGCTAGTGCGTTTCTTAATTCTTGCACAGCAGTAGGCACGTCGTCGAAATTGAGCGCTGATATAGCCCACTTTGCATGCTTTTGGGCCTGGTTGAGGTCTCGATGGTTGGATACCGGGGCTGGAACCGTAGCAGGGGCGGAAGGAGGAGGATATGATACGGGTATGGGTGCGGGAACGGGCGGTGGAGGATTCCATGACGGCGCCACGACATCGGGAGACATGGTTGGAGGAAGGTCGATTGGCTGGGTAGGAGGGACAGGATGAGGAGGTTGAGGTGGTGCAGGAGACATGGTCATGGGAGACGGGGCATATGGTTCTCCCGGTGCCTGCATATCAGCCTGTGCGATAGGCGATGGCTCCGATGTCATACCGTCACCTGTTTCCGGAACATCTTGTATCGTGACGGGCTGCGGCGCACCTGTTAACCGCTGTACTTCAGGGTCATTTGGATCCAGCTCGACAACGTCGTCATCGTCGTTCTCTAGCTTCGGGTTGGAATCATTGGGATCGTTGCCCTCGCGAATAGCCTTAAGAATCCTAGCTGCATTCCACTTTGAAAACTTAATCTTTTGCAGTATAGCGGGTTCCGGCGTGCCCCATTCGTGGGTAAGGTCGAAAAACGTGGCTGCTGCGTCGAATGTGTCGGCTGTTTGGCTGCTCAAATGTTAGCGAGCAATTATAAGTATTGTAAACGTAAACTAACCGAGTAACTTTGTTTGCACGGAGCGTCCGCTCAGCGCGGTCAAATGTCTCCTGTGCGAACTGCTCTACATATGCCTGACCAGCAGCATTGTCGACAATAGCGTCGTCATCCGCGCGCTCTGTCTTTGTGTTTTCCAGGCGCTCGATCAGTACGGCAGCATATTCACCGCAAGCTGGAGAAGCACTATGTAGCCCTTTGCTAACTATTTGATTGAGGGCCCGGTAGTCGCCTGTGGAGAGTCAGGGTCAGTACGGCTGCTGAGCGGGGGAGGAGCGCAAGGGCACATACACCAGTAAGCAATGGCAGGCTTGTATGTTCTGACTTGGTTCGCGCGGTTGATGAAGCGACTGATCTCTGGAATCTTTAGCTCAGGAGGAAGCTGTTCGGCCATTTTGAGCAACGGTTGACAAGTCAGGAGAAGCCGGTGCGCAATGTGATGGAGGTTGGAGGTTGGGGAATTTGGAGGGGGCGACGACACCCAGCTGATCCCCCACTTTGGGCGGTGACGCAACCTGCGAGCGTGGTTGAGCTCGCGCCACAGTAGGCAAAATACGAGCTGGGGGATTTGGCAATAAATTCGCGGTTAAATTAAAAACAAATATATGCAATTGGGTTTCTTTACTATGATGAGTATAGGGACACATATAGAAGGAGAGGGATTTAATAATATTACAGCAGAGTGCCAATTGTCGGATAGCAGACTCCTTAGAGCCAACCGCGAAGTCCCGCTCCAATTACACCAGCCGCAACGGTTGCTATAGACATTACGGCCAAACTTGGTGACAGTCTCGTTAGTATAATTTGTATAGTGCTTTATGTACTGTGGAAAGAGACACATACTCTTGATATCTTTTATTCCGCCATACAAGATATAAATCAGGTAGGCAGACGCAGAGCGTGCTGAGGATCACAGTCCCCATGGACTTGGTGTTGCCTTCTCTTGCCAGTAGGAAAATGGATACTCCAATGGCCATATCACGGCCTCCAAGCAGAATTGAAAACGAATGCGAGTCGAGCTGCCTAACAGGAGAGGGAGCTTGCATCTTGGCCACGCCAAAGAGGTCCTCGGCTACGCTGGGCTGAGCAACCGAGACTGTGCCTAGGAAAGCAAAGGAGGCCGCTACACCTAATCCAAGGGCATTCCAAGAAATCATGGTGAACTATATAGAGTAGTGCGATGAGGTTTCCTTCTGGAGCGTGACAAGTGAGGAGAACTAGGTTGCATTTTCAGCTCGCGGTTCTAATACAGCTTGGTCGCCGCGCCACAGCACGAGCCACATCTGCAGCAGCAGTGGCCTCTCCCCCACACGGCCCCCGATCTCCAACTGCCACGCTGTTCCTTTAGAACCGTAAATTTTTGGCGCAGCCTCGTCCCGTCTTCCTTCCACGTTGCTAACATTGCGAGTGTATATATTGTAATTTATCCCAACATCATATAATTCTCCTTTTATCAGCAAAAATGCACCAAAAGACTTTTGCTACGGCCGCCGCAGTTTTGCTGGCTGCAGCACCATCTGCACACGCTGGCATGTACACCAAGAAGTCACCTGTTCTGCAGGTCGACTCCAAATCGTTCGATCGCTTGATCAACAAGTCCAACCACACTTCTGTAAGCGAATCCATATATAACACGGCATTATGATGTTGTCTAACCTTTCAGATTGTTGAGTTTTACGCTCCCTGGTGCGGCCACTGCCAGAACCTCAAGCCCGCCTACGAGAAGGCTGCCACTCAGCTCGCCGGTCTCGCCAAGGTCGCCGCTATCGACTGCGACGAAGAGGCCAATAAGGCATTCTGCGGCTCCATGGGTGTACAGGGCTTCCCTACTCTCAAGATTGTGCGTCCTGGCAAGAAGTCTGGCCGCCCCGTTGTTGAAGACTACCAGGGGGCCCGTACTGCATCTGCCATTGCCGAAGCTGTCGCTAGCAAGATCACCAATCATGTCACTCGTTTGACTGACAAGGATTTCGAAAAGTTCCTTGAAGGAGACAAACCCAAGGCCATTCTCTTTACCGAGAAGGGTACCACCAGCGCCTTGCTCCGCAGCTTGGCTATTGATTACCTCGACGTTGTCTCTGTCGCCCAAGCCCGCAACAAGGAGAAGAAGGTTGCCGAAAAGTTTGGCATTGACAAGTTCCCCAGCTTCGTTCTTCTCCCTGGAGAGGGCAAGGAGCCCGTTGTGTACTCTGGCGAGCTCAACAAAAAGGACATGCTGGAGTTTTTGAAGCAGGCTGGCGAGCCTAACCCGGATCCTGCCCCCGCTAAGAAGGGCGGCAAGAAGGAAAAGAAAGATAAGAAGGAAACAAAAAAAGAGGAAAAGAAGAAGGAAGCTAAGAAGGAAGAAGCTAAGACGGAGAATGCTGAGGAAGAAAACGCCGAGGAAGCGCCCAAGGAGGAAGCTCCCCAAGACCCCCTTGCCCGGCTTGCCATGATCAACATTGCTAGCACATGGGATCAGCTTGCGGAGGCATGCTTCCAGCCCAAGTCCACAACCTGCGTCCTCGTCTTCGTCCCTAGCACACCCGACTCTCCTGGTGCAGGCGATGCCGAAAAGGCCGTCATGTCACTAACCCAACTCAACACCAAATACCGCGATGGCCACCGTCAGACATTCCCCTTCATCGCCGTCCCCGACATGGTTGAAAAGATTGCGCCGCTCAAGAAAGATCTGGGTCTGACCGCCAACGTTGAACTCATTGCCGTTAATGCGCGCCGTAAGTGGTGGCGCCAGTACAGCGGCGACTTCAGTGCGACCGACGTGGAAGCCTGGGTTGACACCATTCGTATGGGCGAGGGTGAAAAGAAGAAGCTGCCCGCCAGCGTCATTGCCGCAGAGGAGAAGAAGCCTGCTGAAGAGAAGGTCGAGCCCGAAGCGGAAGCTGAAGCTCCTCCCAAGGAAGACAATGAGCACGATGAGCTGTAAACAGGACGGCAGTCTCGAGAACCAGCACTCTGTATTAAAGAGGCAGAAGATGAAGAAGGAGGATATGTATTCTAAAATAAAACAAGCCCCATTATAGCAAAGCAATACCTATGTTTGTACCTTTTAAAACGCCTGTTCTCCGCTATATATGCAACATTGATCACCATGTCTTTCTACTCTTCCAAATCCATCACCATAGTATCACTCTTCTGAATGGCACCCTCGCTAATCATCTTGGCACCCTTCATCTTCACCACACCATCCAAGAACTTCTTCACCTGTCTGCATCCATCAATGCCTACAACTAACATGCCCTCCAGTCTCGAAACCTGGATCCTACTCTCGCACGCCAGCACTGCTACGCGGTCTGAGTCGCCCTGCGTCGCGACTGTCAGAAACGGCAGCTCTTGCTCCTCCTGGTTATTCAAGTCGAGTAAAGGGTCCGCAGAATCATCTCCTGCCGCAAACGACGATGTCGACCCTGCTGTGCACGCTGCGATATAGTCCGCCATGGGGATACCCGCATCGATTAGCGCTAATGTCGTTGCGTTGATGAGGGCCGCGAGCAGCGACCCGTCCTGCGACAGAACGTGAAGGGAGATTGTGATGAGGGAGTGCGGGAACAAGTGTGTATGGAGGTTTGTCGCAAAGGCTTTGGCTATGGTGATTTCCATTTCCTGTAGGCGCTTGTCGTTGCGGCCACGCTTCTTGCGGTCGACGCTCGAGAAGCCAGCGACAATGATGTTGACATTGACCACGGCACCGTCACGCTGGCTGGCTTGCCCACCGCGCCGCGTCTGCTGGTTCTGCTGTTGTTGCTGCTGCTCTGATGGGCCGGTGATGACGCACATGACTTTGGTATGGCCCATTTCGAGATACGACGAGCCGTCGGCGGCGTCTTGTGTCCGGATGAGGCCGTGCAGGCGGCGCAACTCGTTCCAGCGGCGGCCGTCGACCCGCAGTAGGGCGAGCGAATATGTCGATGTGTCTAGAGGCATTTTTTTCTTTTGTCGAGGCGTTTCTGAAATGCTAATTGTGCAGTTATTGGCGGGTTATGCTCCGTTGGTAGCAGCAGAAGCTGGTCGTGATTCCTACACTGTATGTTGGAGCGTTGGAAAATTTTGGTGGAGCTTGCTCTTCTCGACCCCACCACAAGACTACGCCTCGCAGCGTAGCTTAAACTCATGCTACACCCCGAAATAAGTACACAACGAGCAGTTGAGTTAATTAAAGTTATTATTATCATGATTATTGATTCGAGTCAATACAATTGTATTTACTTTTGAATGGTATTGATATAAATCTTGTCCCTAATATGTGAACGCCCGTCGCCCAGTATCTCACTTTTTATACGAGGTGGAAAATTCAATGGTGGTGTCAGAATCCCAGTGCTTCGGGTTTTTGGGATCCCCAAAGACACGGAGGCCTCGACTGATTACTTTGTAACGACCCTCAGGCACATAACTACCATCCGCAAGAGCACCATTCCAGGTTTTTCTAGCATGCCAGCGTCCCAAATTCTTAACAGGCCAGCCATTCATGGAGCCCAGGATCGTGTTAGCCTTTACGTCGAGGATGAGCATGTCGAAGTAAGGGGTACCAAGTGCTAAATCGCATATAATATAAGGCATGGGGTTGAGCCAATCAATTGTGCCTTGTTTTGGCAGAACAAAGTGCGTGGGCGTCTTGATCGGACCCTGCAGAGTGGTCTGTTGAGTTGTAGATGTTGGTTGCTCCTGTAGGTATGACAAGAATAGATTGAAAGTCCGCCCCAATATGTTGGTATGGTACGGTAAGAGCAGATCCGTACGTGCCGTTTATAGAGACGTATCCAAAGTGGTAAGGCAGCCGGTGCAACTCATCCGCTCTGGAAGATGTCAGTCTAACGTGCACATGGCCAACTTTTCCGGGATCGGCAATAATCTTGCTCGAGCTCGAATCCAGCTTTGTTGACGATTTAAAGTGTTGGAGAGGGAAAATATCTGCTTCTCTGCCGTCCTTGGTCAGAATGTAAATTGACGAAGCAGCGACTTGGCCAATATTATATTCCACCTTAGCGTCGCCAGTGTTGGCAATTCTCAGGGTAAAGTTCGTTGTCTTTTGTATGGTATCATTAAAAGAGAGTGTATATGGATAGACAAGAGACTTGATATAAGCGGCATCCCACGCTTGAGCCATGCCAGGGCCCTGTTGGGCAACCGGTGCGAGGTGGTTACTCTGCTTCTGTCCATCATTGAATGGGTGGGCTTTGGCGGTAATACACCTCATATCCACCATCCTTGACGGGAATAGTAGAGAGAATGTCACCCCCAGGGGCACCAATACTAGGCGAGAATTGCATCTCTAGAGTAGGGCCCCAAGAAGTAAAAGAACTAGGGGCTCCACCAGTTATTTTATTGGGCACCTTTCCGACAAGGAGAGGAGCATCCTTAGGGTGTAAAATAACAATGTTCACCTGGGCTCCGCCCTTCATAGTATCGACCCACGCCTTTCCATCTTTGGCAGAGATGGCGGTAGCTGCTTGAATGCTATCCCTCACAGCGTAGATGCTCCCGAAGGTTCAGTATCACTATAGAAGATTAAATGTGTGGCACCCTTTGCGGCAAGGTTCCCTGCCTTGTACCACATGTGGCAGCCGCCTATGCGGACGAGAATTATTTTGTCCTTGAGACTGGGAGTATCATTTGGTAATGGCTCACAAGCTTGGTCCGTCGTAGTTGTGTCGTATGAGAGGGCCATAACTGGCATCGTCGTACCATCCCATCCTGAACCGGGCCGAGACATGGCATGAGTAAAGTTAGCCATCTCTCCAGCATTGACACTGACTTTGCCAATATGATGCACAGTGGGCGTCTCTGTGTTGTCAAAGGATGCCACACCCAATACGTTATCTCCCAGTGCCATAGCGTTAATAGACAAACCACCGTCCCAGCCAGCATTTCCATTAGACATAACTGGGACGATGTCCCTCTGGATCGCCAGCCTGTTCATGAGTACAGCAAAGGCACCGGGCCAGTTGCTATGGCTGCCAATTGATACAGAGATAATATCAGGATTTTCTTGAGCTGCCATGAGCGCGGCTTCAATAACAACCTCTTCAGTAGTTCCTCCCTGGTAACCAAACACCTTGTAGTGGCCGAGCATAACCCCAGGCGCAACTCCCGAAAACCCTGCTGCGTTTTTCTTGGCTGCGATGGTACCAGAAACATTGGTACCATGGCCATGTCAGTCCATGGGATCAGTATCAGGAATAGGACTATTGGCCCCTTCGTAATGGTCGCCAACAAGATCGTAGCCAAAACGAGACCAGGCAACCAGTGCCGAAGCAGCCGCCAAGGGCCGGATGTTTGTAACCGACTCCAGTATCAATCACAGCAATCTTAAAACCCTTCCCTGTGATACCCTTGTCGTGAAGCTTGTCTACCTGCATCATGATATGGGGAGAGTCAGCGGTAGCATTGTCGCCGTTGTTTTCTGTGACGAGGTTCATATTGGAGGCATCGTCAGCACTACGAGGGGAAGGTTTGCGGCCCATTCTGACATGTCTATCAAAATCGCGATTTCGAATTCCAGGAACCTAAATCTTGTGCATCGGCCAGTAGTTCTTGATCTTGGTAGATTCGGAGATTTGCACCATGGCCTGTTCCACATTGGTTCCGTTCTTCAACTGGACAGACGCGCCATGGAAGAGCTCGGAATCAAAAGACTTGCGTACTGTGGCTTCTTCACCAAATGAAGACTGGCACTCAGAGAGGCTCTGCTAATTATTAGCAAACAAACCTCGCTTAAAAGCAGGCAACATAGGCGGGATGAACATACATAGCCATTTTCAAACTCGTAGATGAACGCACCATCTACGATATCGGAATACCAACTGTTTGGTAGAGCTGCAGCTGCTACACCAACATAGGTGGTAAGATATAGAAGGACCTTCATCGTCTTCTTTACTATATATTCACGAATACAGCTGGTGGAAGCCAATAACGACTTTGCAGGTTAGACATTGTTTCTAGTTCTCTAGAGCCTTTATATGATCGGCATTCTCATAACGCTGTGCAAACCCATGTAATTATTTTTGATAACCGATGTATAAACTTTGTTCTTATATGGAAACAGATCTGTTTCGGTTTTGTAAGGCGAATGCAACGCTCTCTGCAGAGCTGTATCACGGATGGCGGGCTGTCTGGCTTGGCAGTTCTTGAGCCTGAGCAAAGCAATATCCTTCCATTCTTAATAGCATTAAAATTGCGATAAACTAGAGTTTGAGTTTTTTTTGGTTGGATTTGGGAGGGTGGATTCTTGTTGTGCTCGTGTTGGAGACCTAGATGTTGCTTGCATGAGAATAAGGTGCCTCTGTAGGCTGAAATTGGCTGCCAGTTATTATTACTCAGTTGCCAGCCGGCAAAACCGGCGAAAAAGGTGCTTTTTGGGTACATAGCGGCGTTTATTCAGATAGCAATTAACTCCCTCTATCAAACGTCGGGAATAGCTCTGTAGATGTCGGCCAACGAATATGGCTTCGCTTTTCTATTTCCGTCAGCTAATAGCTGCATCTTACGAAGGTGTCGGAATTACAGCACCCGTTCTTGGTGCTTAACCCCGATCCCCGCCAGCCGCATCGCCGATGCTCCACGCCTGATCGCCGGCGCAGTGTGGCTTTTTGCTTGTCCAAAGTAAGTGCCTTGAGTACAACTCAATGCCAACCGAAGCACAAAATAATTCTGTAAATAATCGAATTAATTAATAAATTCATCAATTCAGTTATAAAGCTTGAAGTATTTATTTATTATTGGATTAAGTCGCAGTAGAAACCTGGCAATGGGGAGAACCCCGCTCTTGGTGACATGACATCATGGTAAGACCCCCTCCCGCAACCAAATCAAGTGAGGGGTCAAGGGCCGATGGAAAAATAAAATATTGCTGCCTTTACAAATCAACGCCTCCAACGCCTCAGCTCACCGTCTAGCTATCTATTCTCCCCCTCTCCACATCAATTGAATCTATATAAGCTCCTTACGACGCACCCTCCGTCCTTTTTCTCAATTGTACTCTCCATCCATCCATCACACTTTATCCCATCTCCAACACAATGTCTCTTCCAAGCACGTACAAGGCCGTCGTCATCCGCCAGGCCAAGGGCCCCTTCACCATTGAAGACGTTCAGCTGGAGCACCCTGCTGCTGGCCAAGTTCTTGTGAAAGTCCTCGCCTGCGGTGTCTGCTTCTCCGACGTTGGCATCGCCCACGGCGAATTCGGCGACGTCTTCCCCCGCACACCCGGCCACGAGATTGTCGGTGATGTCGTCGAGGTCGGCGACCACGTCAACGGCATCACAGTCGGTCAGCGCGTCGGCGGGCCATGGCACGGTGGCCACGATGGCAGCTGCAAGCAGTGCCAACGAGGCCGCTTCCAGATTTGCGAAAACGCCCTCGTGAACGGCTACACTAAGGACGGTGGCTTTGCCGAGTACGTTCTGCTTCGCGCCGAGGCCGTCGTCAAGGTGCCCAAGGAGATGGACCCTGCCGAGGTTGCTCCTCTGCTTTGCGCTGGCGTCACTGTCTTCAACGGCATTCGCAAAATGAACGTCCAGCATGGCGGCCTTGTTGCTGTTCAGGGTGTTGGTGGCCTCGGCCACTTGGCCATCCAGTACGCATCCAAGATGGGCTATGAAGTCGTTGCCATGTCTTCTGGTGACGACAAGGCCGACTTTGCCAAGCAGCTTGGTGCCCACCACTATATCAACACCAAGGCTGGCGATGCTGCGGAAGCTCTTCAAAAGCTTGGTGGCGCGGACATTATTGTCCAGACCGCTCCAAACCCGGCTGTTGTTGGCCCTCTTATCAACGGCCTTGGTCCTTGCGGTAAACTTCTCTGCTTGGCCCCTGTTGGCCCTATTGAAGTCAACACTGTCCCCATGATCTTGAAGGGTCTTGGTGTTGAGGGCTGGCCATCTGGTCATGCTATTGATAGCGAAGACGCTATCCGTTTCGCCAACAATCACGGTGTCAAGTGCATGATTGAAAAGTACCCCTTTGCCGACGTTCAGGGCGCTGTTGACAGCTTACTTGCTGGTAAGCCTCGATTCCGCAACGTCTTGGTTTTCGAATAACGAGCGAGCGGTCCGAAACGAAACAAAAACAACGAAAAGAAACATATACATGAAAACTTGGGGAATTTTGAGTTTTGAGAATTACGAGCGAGGAGTCACGGTGGGACTTGAGATTGAGCAGTTGTAATATCGAAATAGAAGAAAACTGATAATCCAAATTGCGTACTCAAAATAAAGGCCTATCTGTGGATTAAACTGAGTAGCTGTGCTATGCTAAATGCCCAAGATGATACAACATGAAATGCAAATTGGTATCTGTAATGGTAAATATGCTCATACCTTGACCCGGAGATCTTCAAAAGGCGCGGCTTCAAAGTGTACAATGACCCGGCCATCCTTATCCAAAGTCGCCCCTCTATCAAATATTGGTGTATATGCCCTCGTCTGGGCTACTTCCTGTTTACTAACATGTGCCTCGTCTTGTGGGATCCAAAGGATGGGCTTCGGAGCCCATAGGTCAGGTGGTGTATAATCGCAGTATTTGTAGTCTCCATCGACCAGATGCGGCTGTGGTGCGGCAAACTCTGGTGGAATAAGCCTAGCGAGAGCCACAAAATCCTCGTATTCTTCAGGATGCAACCACTTTGCAAGAAAGCTTGGAGGGCCTTGCCCAGGCTTGATACCAACAAATGCGGCAGCCCTGGTGAGTGCTGTCTTGATGCCCGACGATTCAATTGCCATACTGACTTTGTCTTTCGCACTTGCTTTAAGCCAATCAGTAGCTGCTGAGCGAATAGCGCTGGATCCTTCCAATGCTCGCTCATTCACAACTGTGTGCTCATCAGACTGTTCCTCCTCCTTATCTTCTTCTTCCTCAAAGCGATGATGCCCAAGACGATGTCGTGGTGTTTGCTCACCGTGCAGAACCTCAGAGTTATTGAAGTTTTCTTCTCCAAACGTTTGAGATTCGTCGTAGTAGCTGTTTGCCGAGCCAACAACTGGGGTCGCTTCTGGATCGGTTTCTTGTGTGTTTTCGTCCCCAAATGTTTGATTCGTGTCATAATAGTCATTCGCAGTGCCTTGAGATGCAACTGCTGTAGCTTCGGTTGACGCATCATCCTCAAGCTTCTCTTTCTTCAAATCTTCCTCTTGGTATTCTCCCTCAACTGCAAGGGTTTGTGGGAGGTTGACCAAGAGTGGCTTCAGTGAATCGCTAAGAGATTGATGCACAACTAGCGTAAACAGTAAAAAGAGCACCATACCGACGACAGGGACAATTGCACCCTTGAGCGCAAAAAGTCCAATGAGGCAGACCTCTGCCAGATAGAGACCGACGATGAGATGTAAGAGAGCGTTTGGGTAGAACAATCCTTTGCTATCGTGAGTCGCATCACAGACATAGATAAGATTATATCGCCAAATCATGTGCGTGAATGCCAAACCGCCAGCAGCAAAAACAAGAATGAGCGGTGCAATACATGCGTAGCTGAGAGCAATGACGCCCATATTTGAGTAGACAGGAAATAAAGCGCCCCATTTTGGAACTTTGAGCTGGCGCCAGTTCTTATATCTTGTCCGTGGGTTGTTTGTAAATTTAACGAGAATGACATGCCTTAGAAAGCCGAAGATTTGCAGTATACCAACGGCTCCAGACAGGAGGCATTGAATAAGAATGTAGGAGAGGTAAAAGTTGGAAGCAGCTGGGAGGTTTTGCGCCAGTAGATCCTTGGCGCCGAATGGGTTCTTGATAACATCCGTCAAAGCAGCAGATGCTGCAGACGTAAGTGTAGTTACAAGAAAGACTTGCACAACTTGGAACGCAAAATAGTTGTTTTGTGTGAAGAGCTCAACCATGATTGTTGATGGTAAACCAGACGCCCGGCCACAGAATCGTAGCATATAGGGAACAAGGGACATCCACAATGTCAATGCCAATGGCGGTGTGAAGCCCTGTATAAATTGCATGATTGGAGCAGGAATCAGCAGCAGGACCTTCAAAAAGGGTACTAATGAAATGAGGTTCGTAATATTGGAAACGAATCCAATGAAAGCAGTGGGAAGCGCCCAGAAAATGATGGCTGCGACAATGAGAGCAAAGACACCAGTTTTGCGCATGATTCTTTCCCACCAGGGCATTCTAAGTGAACTCCAGACGATTTCATCAGGGCGTATTCCAAGCAACTTTGTCGACATTTGCAGCGGTCGGTGATGGGCGAGAATCTGATGAGCTGCCTGAGCGCTCTCTTGCGAATCAAACTCAATGAAGGCCGCGGGTGTAGACCCTGTGTCTCCTCTTCGGACAACACGGCGCATCTTGAATATCTGTAGGTTGAGCTCTTGAAGACGTTTACGGGTCCATCGAATTGTGTCTACTCGTCGAAGAAAGTTTCCAATAGGTCGATGGTGTGGACGGTCTTCGGCTGCAACCCATTGGGCGGCAACGGAACCCCGAAGATCTGGAAGGTCTGGGTTCAGGCCATAAGGATGGACGTAGTCCATCTCTTCCTCCAAAATGTGTACCTGGTTCTTCTTCTTGACAGCGGCATTCTCAGCAGCATCTTCTAAAACCTGCAAATTTTCAAGCTCAAGCTCGGGATTGGGTATGTCGATGTGAATTTGTCCACCACGTTCAAACTGTTCATCATTGGAAGTACCCTCGCCCCTTTCAAGGTCTTCATCACCACTATCCGCTGTAGAATTGTCCTTTTGTTTCTTCTTTTTCAACGGAGGAGGTAATTTGTCCCCTGGATAATCAGGGTGCTTTTTGAAAAATCTTTTCCTAGCCGCATTGGCTTTGATAATTAGAGCGATATGGGCGTCTTCAAGCCGTTTCGCTGTCTGTTCTCGCTCCTCTACAACTTTTGCCAATGCTTTAGTAGTCCTAGGAATGAATACTCGTTTAGCAGAGTCGCCATACAGCTTTCTGAGGCGATGTTCGTCGAGATAACGTTCTGGAACGCAAGTGATGAGCATTGTTCGAGACGAGGGCCGCTTTGCAAAGTTTGGTGACGAAAGATAAGCTTGACGGAGATTGACGTAGTAAATGCATTCGCGAACAATGGTATAGAGCACAAAGCCTGGGTTTGTTAGTTAACGGATGAGCGGAGATGGAAGCCGTACATACCAAAGAACAGCCAGCCGATAAATAGATGAGCATAGAAACGCTGCGATTCTGCCACGTTGCCTATTGTAATTAAATCGAGCTGCGATACGCCATTGCCTCCTGTAGCATTCACAGCAAACAGGGTCGGCCAAATCACTATGCAGCCAACAAGAAATATGTTGCGCAAAACTTTGAGATAACGAAGAAAGAAGAAGCCGTCAATGGTACTATGATGGAGGACCGCAGCATCAGGAGTTTTGAAGAATGGTACTAGCCAGTTGAATATGCCGTTAGGAAGTTCGGGAGTTGGAGTTCTAATAAGGTCAGTGTTATAAAGGGCAAGGATGGCTGCTAGAGTTTGACATACTCGGGAAAACGGAGGGCTGGTATGCACCGTGGAGCATAGACTCGCTTAAGACGAGGACGGAGAATAATGAATATGATTGTGCATACAACCAAGGTGACAGAAATAGGTATAAAGGTCGTTCCGAGCTTTACAAGCGACGCCGTCTTATTGTTCATGGAACTAATAGTCCCCGTCTGGTTGGCATCGCTGCGGCCAGAGCCAGTTCGAGGGTCGTTATTCTGTAAAGATGACAGCGTTAGCGTTTGCTCAATCCATCAACAAAGGGGCTGGTGAGCCTTACCAGGTCAAGATGCTTGGTTAGATTTAGTTGCCTGGCAGCCAACCACTGCACCGCTGCGGCTGCGTCCATCCTCTCGGGCGGCTGTGGGGGTGGATGGAGAGGTTGTAGCGTCGGATTTTACAGGAGCATGATGAGAGTTAACGGCCGATCGGTCGGGCGATGATGTCGAGTGTTGTAGTATGCGATCAGGTCAGGTCGCTGTTCGATGGTAAAGACAAGACGCCAAAGCGATCACAGAGCTGGTGGCGAGAAGTGAAAAATGGCGAGGGGGTAAAGGGTGAAGGAGCAAAGAGAAAAGAGGCGGCGGCGATCAAGTGTGCTGGCGGCGTGGGCCCGTCGCTTGGGAGAGCTGGGGGCCGCTATCCGTAGTCTAAGACAGGCAAGCAGCATGAGACACGTCCACCGGAACAGGAGCCACGGCATTGGACAAAACCTAGCCGGATGGGAGTGATGTGGGTAATATTTTTTGAGATTTAAATCGTAATTCCTGAATTCATTTTGCTATCCTGAAAAGTCCATGCGTGCAAATGCAAGAGATCTCCTGTTGGCCTAGCAGACCCAACTAATTATCCACCCCTGTCTCCCGCGAAAGGGCACAGGCAGCCGTGGCGCTAGTCATGAACGTTTTGCACTACCGTTTTTTGTCTCCCTCTCTTGTGCTTTCTTTTTTGCCATGCGCCCGATATACTAATTAAGTTTGCCTAATTTTATTGCAGGCCAACAGGCAAAACCCGCCATCCACGTAATCCAAACGCAACGCTATTGGGTAGCACATGCAGCAAATCGCTTCGTTCATCTGGCTTCATCAAACACCGCCCTCCAATCGGATTGCGAGACGATGAAGCTTTACCGGTCGGTGGACCCTGAAAATACCGTAAATAGATTACCATCGTTCGATGCTCCAATTCTCCTCCAAAATTCATTTGCTCCAGAACCGCAGACATAGAACACTGCAGATCGACATCTTGGACAACTGTACGAAACCATGAGCATTTTTGGTAGACCTGGCGTGCATTGGATCGGACACCTGGAAACGACTTAGTAATGTCTGTGGCGCTAGATTCACAGTGGTGTCCAGGTTGCACTGTTTTGGCGGCTACAGAGACAGTGACAAAGACTGTCTCGGCCATTAGTTTGCACCCATGTGCAGGCCGCTTTTCCAGAAGCCAAGCCAGTGATCTCTGGGACCTTCAATTTGGATTCCAGTTCCAGAGACACTTGTTACGATTGCTGTATCCGTTTTTGCCTGCCATTTCCAACCCTAGAAAGCGGCGAGAAAAATACGTGGGAACCAAACATGCAGTCTATTAAGGTTGGTTTGCTAAACAATTGGAAAAAAAAAAGAACGAAAAACATAAAATGGGCTAAATCGATCCAATGTCTAATTTTTGTATATCACTTGAGCGCAGACCGTGAAGCAGCCATTTAAAGGTCGGGCAGAGAGTTCTCAAAGTCGACAAGGTCCTGGAGGGGAGCACCAGCCTCACCGTCGAACTTGGAGGTCTCAATGGAGCCAAGAGGGCGTCTAGAGCGGCCCTGACCGTAGCCGTAGTACTTGTCAAGGGAAGCCTTAAGGCCAGCAACACCGAGCTGGACGAGAGCCCAGTCAGCGCGGGAGAAGCGAGTCTGCAGGGCCTGGGCCTCGGCAATCTTGTTCTCGTCGTAGAGGCGAAGCATCTCGTTGTGGCACTTCGGGAAGAGGTTGGCAGCGGCGGCAATAACACCGTGAGAGCCACCAACGAGACCGTGGAGCATGAAGTCGGTCTTACCGGCAAAGGCGGCAAACTTGCCTTGGAGCTGGGGGTGGAAGGCAAGGCGCTGGAGCTTGCCCATGTTGCCGCAGGTAAGCTTGATACCGACAACACCAGGGTTGTTGATGCAGAGGTTGGTGATGAGGTCGGAGTCGAGGTCGATGCCCGAGGTGACACCGGGGAAGTTGTAGAGGACAATGGGGATGGGAGAAGCAGTAGCAACGTCATCGAAGAACTTGTAGAGGACGGGCTTCTGCATGGCAGGGACTGCAGGAGACTTGTTAGCAAACACGTTCTGTAAAACACAGCAGTAGAGCGCTTATTGAATACATACCCCAGAAGCTGGGGCTCAGAACCAAGGCGTAGTCGGCACCGGCCTCGTGAGCCTCCTTGCAGAGGGTGATGGACTCGCGGGTGCTCTGGGCACCACCACCGGCAACGATGACGGCGTCCTTGCGACCGTGCTCATTGAGGATAGAGCGGGCCAGCCTGATGACCTCGATACGCTCCTCATGAGTCAAGTGCATGGCCTCACCGTTGGAGCCCTGGATGACGAAGTGGACGTTGGCCTTGGCCAGGCGGGTAAGGTGAGCCTTGACGGCGTCCCAGTTGATGGTCTCATCCTCGTTGAAGAAGATGACGGCAGGGACGTAGATACCGCGAGGGGGGACGTGGGGAGCCATTTTAACGATGAATTGAGCGTTGACGTGGAAAGGATTAATGTTAAAGGTTAGTTAGAAGATGGATTGCGAAAAACAAGACGAAAAGAGGAGGGGCAAGAGACGTGGCACCACGACCGCTTTTGTTACTCGGCCACCTGTTCGGCCTATTCTTTTTTTTGTATCTGCCTTACCCCAGTTCAAAGAACAGATGAATAAGGCAGCTGAGAGGAGTCCACAGCTTAGTCTCTGTGCTGTGTGCTATTTTCTACTCCCGCTAATACGCCGTGGACGACTCGTGGAGGGGCATTCTTGGAGGGGCAACCGCACCGTGATCCGCAGCCTGACCCCCAACGCCGGGCTACCTACGGCTTTTTTTGAAGAGAGGGTCCCCCGCCCTCCCCGCCTCCCGATTACGGAGCCCGTCCGCGCACACGCCACTCCAGTCCAAAGAGGGTTTTGCACCATGAGTTTGTCAGTAACCATGGTGTAGTAGGGGTCATTGGGCTGGAATCGGCCAACTTTGTCTGGGACATTAGGTGCTGTGATGCTACGGCGATTTGCACGCTGTGGAGACTATGGAGCCGTCACCCGCGGCGAAGCCTTGAATATCCGTCCAGCGTGGCCAAGCGTTCCCTTTTTTTTTTATTTGGTGGTCCGAAAAGCTCGCATTTTACTGGCCATTACTACATATAGTCTGGAAAGGGATTCCAGACTAAGAGCTAGACGAAGTAATAGTCACCTGCGGATCACTCAGAACAACACCCATATCACCCATATCAGGTTTGTTTTTCACGCAAACACATACACGGTGATCTATCCCACCAAGGTTTGAAGTACATCGGGCTTTTAACTGCTAACTAGAAATAGATATGGCACAGTCTGTAATGGTACTAACATTACCATGCTCACCCTGATGGCTATAGTCCGGCGCTGAAAAACAGAACGCCCGTCCTACATATCCTCGACGTACGAACACCGCGTGTCCCAAATTTAATCATTGTCATGCAATAAGACCTGTTGACTGGTGATGTTAACATCTACCACAACTATAAACTGAAGCATTTGCCGCTCCTGCTCAAGGAAGAATTCCACCATATTGCCGGCCAGTATCTCGCTATTATGAGCAGAGGTGGGTTGCAGATGCAGCTTCAATAGCCGCACCAATCAGTTGCGCAGTCGTCATTAGTTTTTTCCACTGGCGGACCGACAACACGTCAAGCTCAACCTGCAGCAAACGACAATTTTCCCAATTTGGTGCATTAGTACCGCCCCCAACGCAAATATTGAGACATAGCGGCTGCGGAATGGCCTCTTCTGTAAGTTACGCCGCCTGTCTATCATATTCAGTATCTCCCTAGATACTGTGCCACATTGTGAGTGTAGTTCGTGTCTTGGGGCTGCCCCACGCTCTCATCCCACCATCATCATGTACATCCCGCCACGTTTCCACACGGCCAGAGGCAAACGAAAACAAATGTGTAAAATGCTGTTGTAAATTGCAAATGTGTTCCGTAAACCCGAGAGTCAATTCCATCAGGCCAATCAAGTCTCCGTTTGCAACCAATCTGCCCAAACGCTAGAACAGTCGGTACGTGGGGCCTGTGAATAGTGACGACATAGGTGGGGCCAGCAACTGGTGAGTGAAAGATAACATGCAACTTTGCCTTTTGGCTTTGCCGGGCAGCGAATTGGGAACGTCCGCTTGGCATGACGGTTATTAGCTGGCGAATTGCAATGGGAGATTCGGCCGCGGTTTCATGGAGATAAAGAGGGGCGGAAAAGCCGGAGTGGCCAACAACGATTTAAAACGCAGACGTCATCCGCTCGTCTACTCTGTTTTCTCTTCCTCCCCCTTTCCCATCCGTTTCTGTATTCCCTACAAATCAATTCACCCTTCAACTTACCAACAATGACTATCGACGCTTCCGCTTCTACTTCTCTCTTGGAGATGTTCAGTCTCAAGGGCAAGGTTGTCGCCGTCACTGGCGCTTCTGGTCCTCGTGGCATCGGTACTGAGGCTGCTCGCGGCGTCGCAGAAATGGGCGCTACCGTTGCCATCACCTACTCTTCTCGCAAGGAGGGTGCTGAGCAGAACGTTGCTGATCTCAAGAGCAAGTACGGCATTGAGGCCAAGGCGTACAAGTGCGACGTGAGCAAGTGGGAGGAAGTCGAGGCCTTTGTCAACGAGGTCATCAAGGACTTTGGCAAGATTGATGCCTTCATTGCCAAGTAAGCTTAAACCAGTCGCAGAATACTGCCAGGCCAAATTACTAACCACTTAAATCTATAGCGCCGGTGCCACTGCCGACTCCGGTATCATCGACGGTTCCGCGGCCGACTGGGACAGAGTCATTCAGATCGACCTCAACGGCACCGCATACTGCGCCAAGGCTGTTGGAGCTCACTTCAAGAAGCAGGGCCATGGATCCTTCGTCATCACAGCCTCCATGTCCGGCCACATTGCAAACTTCCCCCAGGAGCAGACCTCATACAACGTCGCCAAGGCCGGTTGCATTCACATGGCCAAGTCGCTAGCCAACGAATGGCGCGACTTTGCCCGCGTCAACTCAATCTCTCCCGGATACATCGACACTGGGCTGTCAGATTTCGTCGGCAAGGAGACGCAGCAGTTGTGGAAGAGCATGATTCCTATGGGTCGTGATGGTCTGCCTCACGAGCTCAAGGGCGCATACGTTTACCTGGTCTCTGACGCCAGCACATACACCACCGGTGCTGATATTGTCATTGATGGTGGTTACGTTTGCCGATAAATATCTATATAAAAAAGTATAGTGTATGAGTTTACGAGTTTAACGTCACTTGGAAAGAACTAAACCAACTTCGTGGAGATCCCGCCACTACAACCCCGCCCCCGCCTCATCCTTGTTCGAAGCGTAATTGATGAGTTCAAATAAACTTGTCGCCTCAGAATAGTCATCAATCCAAACTTGTGATTGGCAATTGACATATTCGGAGATAAGTAGATATCTGCAAATTCTATACATATTACAGCGTTGGGGGTATCATTAGAACGAGTGATGTCATACAAAATGCGTCATTTCGGCGATTGGCTCCACGACGCTAAGTCCGAAAACCACGTCTGAAGCTATCCAGTAGTGCAGGGCAGGTAAAACTAATCGATGTAACTCTCGGAGTTATATGTGGAGCCTGCGTGTACATTAAGACCAACGTGATATCTCTCTTTTCAAAGTCAGTACTTTCCATTATCCTCCGTTTCAGCATTAACCATGGCTACCACTCCCGTCTGGTTCATCACAGCGGCCTCCTCAGGTTTTGGTCTTGAGATGGCAAAAGCTGCTTTACAAAAGGGTCACAAGGTCGTTGCAACTGCTCGATCGATTGACCGGATCCAGGAACTTGCCACTCTCGGTGCCGACATCATGACCTTTGATGTCACATCATCATTGGAGAGCATGAGAGCGACAGCTAAAGCGGTGTTTGATAAGTACGGTCGAGTCGACTACTTGATCAATGCCGCTGGATTCTTGCTCGAAGGCGCCACCGAAGAAGTCAACGATGAAGAAATCCTCCAAAGCTTCAATATCAACGTCTTTGGCGTCATGCGCACCGTCAAGGCCTTCTTACCACATATACGTGGGCAGCCCATTGGTGCAAATGGAAAAAGGTCGACCATTGCAACCTTCGGCAGCTTGGCTAGCTGGAACGGTGGTCCATCGTACTCGGTTTACGCCATGACCAAGGCTAGCTGCTCGTCGCTCGCCGAGTCGCTAAGTCTCGAGCTGGCACCATTCAATATTGTCAGCACCACGATCGAGCCTGGCTACTTCCGCACTGGATTCCTCAACTCTGGTGCCCGTAAGTCCGCAGATGAACGAATTGAGGTATATGAAGACGCGACCACCCCGGCAGGCCAACTTCGTGAAGCACTGGGTGCGATTGATAACAATCAACCGGGTGACCCTGTAAAGGGTTCGATTTTGACGGTGGATATTTTGACACAAAGCGGTGTTGCTGCAGGCAAAGAGGTTCCAGTCAGGATTGTCTTAGGCACTGACAACTATGAGTTCATCAAGAACAAGCTTCAGACAACGCAAGAGATCTTGGATCAGTGGAAGGACGCTATTTGCAGCACAGATTATACCAAATAATCAGCCCACACGTAGTGAGATACCACGTTATATCATGCAGATCAATCAGCTCGTTTTGGCAAAGTGTGTTTTAAATTGTACATCATCCGCTCTTTTGGTGATCTGGTTGTCGGCCGATTCTCCCCGTTGCGTAATCGGACCTTTTCCTCAGCGTTCCGCCAATAAGACATCTGTGAGCAACCACTACCCTCCCGCAAGCCCCAGGTTTTCCAGTTTATAATGCGTAGAATGGGTGGACACGCTGCACGAGCCTCTTCTTAAACAATGCGCTGGGTAGTAGCGAAGCACTATACCATAGGGTCGGTTGGCTAGAGCACCAGCCTTGGCCATCCTTTTTTGGGCCTTCGGCCAGCGGGTTTAGCGCGCGTCGTGAGTTGGGTTCGTACGGCGAGTGCCTTCGATGTTGTCCAAGGAGGAGTGACACACCGTGCACGCGGTTTTCTCGTTCATTTTATTTCTCCTCTTTGAATATAGTACTATGGGGCCGCAGATCATACTCTCTTCTCGCCTGCATTTTCCCGCAAGCAAACAGTTTCGATAATTGTCCATTCAAACAGGCGAGCGTCAGGGTCTCTTAAATGTCTTATACGTAGCCATACCGCGTGCCTCTGATATCATACGTCTGATATGAAAAATATATCTTAATTGCCTAGCATCACATGGGATATATGTAAGGGCAGGATGTGGAACGATGGTTTGGACCACTGGTGGAATGAGGGAGTGGCTGACGAGGCAGACCAGGTATTGCTTGCTTGACAAAACTCGAGATGAGACGGACTGTAGTGGGTTGGGGGGAAGCAAAAAGTATGTCCGTTTTTCTCTCCTTTGAAGGAAACACTCCCAAAGCCAGGTCATCGGCTTTTGACGGCAAGGAATCTGTCTTCGTTCATGGGTAAAACGACAATACTTGGGTCTCCCTTCCACTGTTAACGCCAGGTGTCCCGCCTGGCTGGAGCGGTCCAGCATTATCCACCAGGGCCAGGTGCCAGGGATGGGTGGCTTCGGCCATGCGTAAAATGCCTGTGCTGCACTGTTTGTTTGCATTTCTCCTCCAGCAATCTAGCTAAACCCCTGTGTCATGGCTTTGGTCTTTTTCTACTTTATGCTTTGCGGCCAACTGAAACCCAAACTGAGTCTTACCAAGAGTGTGTTGTACCATGGGTTCTCAGCAATCCGCCAACTTGTCAATACCTACGGAAAGCCGCTGCTTCTAGACGTATTCTAATGCACAGCAAAGTCTCACCCGCATGTGGCATCGGCCATCGCATCGCCCACCCGCAAGAAACCATGTGGCGACCGCGTCCACCCCTCTGGGCAGTGGGTGTCGTGGCCCTAGTGCTGCGCTAGCACAATCTCCCAAGAAAGCCTCCGTCCCCATGTTCATAGGGTCGCGCTCGCTGCAAGAACCCTGTCGCCAATGGCGGGGTTGCTCGCTTCGCCTCGGGAAACGATGGCGGGCTGGCCCTGTCCCTGGCGCCAGCCAAAGTCTATTCATGGCTATTTGACTCTGCACATGTCTCATGATGACAGCCTCTTGTTGTGTTTGCTTCTTCGCATTGTTACAAGCCTCCCTTTGCATGTTCCCTGCTGACAATTTGAAGCGCCCGCGATTCATGCCTCCTTTCAAGCGTTGGACGCCACCACAAACGAGTTCATCCACTGAGCGCAAGGCGTGCTGCGGGTTTTTTTTAACTGGGGCGGCAAGCCTCGTTTTGGACTGTGCTTCCTCTGCGACAATTCGTGGTTGAATTCAACCTGAACTAGAAGCTAAGCTGATCCACACCATCTTTCCAGCTGCACGGTTTAGCCATTCCGAGCCTTTAGATGTACCCTTTGAAAAGGCTGCCTGCCGTGGCGCTCTTTTTTTCATTTCAGGGAATCCACCTATCCTGTACAGAGTTCTCCTCGGCTGTCAGTTCCCGCCCGTCTGCTGGCTCCCACGCCCTCCCCCGGGAGCGAATAGCATCTGCCAGTGGCCGTCGGGGCCACTGTTACTGGCCGATTTTGTTCCTAGGCTCGATGTAGCCGCTGTCTTCGGGCCTTTTGGAGCTGGCCTAGGCCTCTCGCTATCCCCCGTTGGCTCTTGGCCTTTGTTGAGTCCCCGCTGTAAACACTATAATTCGGGGCCAGCGCCCCGAGCACTTGCCCCAGTCCGATCTTGTGAAAGTGCCCACATAGTCATGCGACAGACTACTCTCTTGAGCTGAAATGCCCGTTCTTCTACCTTGTTGCCCCTCTTCAGATTAATATTTTTCACTGCACTCTCCTCCTGTTTATGACAATTTCTGCTTCCAGCTCAAAGCTGTGAACGACGTGTCAAAACGTCACCAGTTCTGTCACCGATGCATTCGCCATCCAGATCTTCGGCTGCGCGGGACCACCTGTCGTAAGCATTTCACTGAATCACTTGCTGTTCGTCAACTAAATCTAGTATTTGAAGCAATGACTTCAGTCGCATGAATGTCGAGGATTCGAATCGCCGCGGCCTTTACACATCTGATACAGAGCCCCGTCGATTACCTGTGTCGCCGACTTCACCTCTGAAATATGGCCGTCCCAAGACTCGCGGTAGCGTAGAGTCGAGCCCGTTGGAAGGGCCTAGCAGCCCGATGTCTTATATCGACAGCTGGAATCACCCAGGCACGAGAATCGACAATACAATGCCACGTCCTCCCACTCCGCCGCGAAGTTCCGCTAGGGTCCCTAGTGGAAGTCTTTATAGAACCAGCAGCGGCAAATCGGCACAATCCGTCTCCAACACCTCTTCATATAGCCTCTATCCTGCACCCACACGGCCACTACCTCCCATTCCTCCACCGAAATCATCATCTTCTCAACGTCTTTCGGGATCCACAGATTCTCATAGTCGCGCATCCATCAGCACAACCAGATCGACTCCCTCTATGGGCGGTTCTGCCCCGCAGTTTGAACTGCTGCACCAGGTCCCTACGCAGAGATATTCCGGTGGAAGTCGAGCAGTCTCCCATCGAAGCGCAACGCCTCTGGTGTTGAACTTTTGGAAGAACATCGTTGTTAACACTAAGAGGGCTAACAATAGTGTGCACTTTTTGGACATCTCGTCATCTGGCGCAACACTTTCAAGCAAGCACGGGAATAACTTAGTCAACGTTTGGGGCATCGATAGTGGCAACCTGTTAAGCACGATCAAATTCTCCAGCTATACGGAGGCTCGGTCACGTTCGCGAGATTACATGATTCGAAGCCATGCCATTATTTCGGAGTCAGCTACGCTTATTGCTATCGCGACGCGTTTTGGAAGATCTATCGATATTTATGACTGGGTGAAGAAGAAAAGTATTCAGTGTATCGCGGACGCAGATCGATGGGCTGCTACCAAGAATGAGATCTTTGACAACTCCCTCGACGGACGAGCATCGCTGGCCGTCTATCGTGGCGAGGAGCACTCAGTGGAACTATATCTAGCGAGCCGCGAGAAGAAAAAGCCATTTATGAGCTTGCGCGAAATCAACTTGAAGGAAGCCGGTTTACCATTTGTTCCACAATATCCGGAACTGGCATTCTCATCGACAAGCCCGTTACTAGTGCTTGCGGCTGGCCCAAGACCGCCAACTGCGGGCCATCCTCCCCCAGAAAAAGAAACACTCTTGGCAGCCTGGGAGACTCAAATTGACTCGATGTCGCCGCTGAAGCCATACAGAATTGTCCGACCTTGGCAACATAAGGAATTGGACACGGCAGTGCCATTTGATCTCGTGACGTATGGCAGCGTTACAGTATGCATATGGATTCCAGCCAGCTTCCGAACGGTTCCTGGACGGGGCGGAACAGGCTACAACATTGTCCCTGTGGCTGTTCCCAACCGTTACGTTTTGTTTTGGGACATGGCTGCCAACGCAACCCGCACCTTTCCGATTCCAAACTGCACATCTTGTGTCTCGCCAGATTGTCGTCTTGTCGCATACTGCAACACCTCGGGTTCCGAGATTGGCGCCAGAGGCACCATTGCGATTGTTGATGTTATCACAGGCGAGGAGATTTGGTCGTGGCCGGATAAGGATGCGACAGCCGGTCCACAGCATAGCCCCATTCACTTTGAAGATTTATCCACAGTTAATGAGCTGGCCTTTTCAGCAGACGCACGGTTCTTGACCGTAGGAGGCAGCAACGGCGTTATGGGAATATATGACGTTCGCGAACTAGCACCAGAACGGTTCTGAGATGGCGAGGTATAATGATAATTTGTAGCGTGTAATGATACCAATAGTGTTAACAAGATTTTACATATTGCTCATCTCAGTAGACTTTTCATTAGTCGTCTTGTGAATACCCAAAGTTTGAGCAGCGCAGCCTCTTGAGATGTACGCCGCCTAGAACGGTTGCTAGACCGATATATAAACGAATACATGAAGCTAATGTTGCTTAGCAGCGCGATACTGTGCTTAGTATACATAGCGAAAGTTAATCATCTCCTTATCAGTCAAATCTAAAAACTGAGCATCCTCGGCGGTAGTCAGATTCTCTGTACGGCCTTGTTCCTGTTGCATGCGATCGCGTCGTCTGTTCTGCCAGATAAGATGGACGCGAAGCAGAATACAGCAGCTAGTGGCAACGCAGTAGCTGACCAGGATAGCGATGAAACCAGATGGGTAGGCTGGTTTCTCACGTTCGAAGAACAGGTGAGGGCCGATAATATTGCCAACACAATAGGCGACAAACGTCTGTATATGTTAGCTTTATAGGCTCCCAAGAGCACGCGTGTTGTGGACATAGGCCATCGGCCAGCAAAAAAAGACATACCATCATATTCACAGTAACCTTTTTGGTAAACCCGGCAATGTTGCCACTGACTAGCGAAAGCGAGAGTGCAATCGATGAGCTAAAGGTCAAATTGAGGGTGTAGCCGACGAAGCGAACCCATCGCTGCTCAGTCGGCACATGCTGGACCATGAGGACGCCAACAAGCGATACGGCGTAGATGAGTGCGTAGAATATCGTTCGCGTGTTGCGCAGATAAGTACTTCCGACAGCGACAATGGTAAGTACGCAAGCTTGATACAAGTACACTCCAGAGTTGAGGAGCAGAGCTTGAAAAGTGTTGAAGCCAAGACCCTTGAGGATAATAGGTCCAAACTAGAAAGAGTGTTAGCACGCATACTACACAGAACGCATAGTCTCTTACATTGGCCACACCACCATTGGCAATCGTTCCAGCCAGCATGATGACGCACAGCAGCCACATCTGCGGATCCAGCATCGCCTCTTTCACCTGGTACCACTTGATCTCGTCGTTCTTGATACCCGTCATATTCGTCTTCGTTCGCGCAACAGCCTTGTTTCGGTCCTCAGCGCTCAAGAACCACGCTGTCTGGGGCAGATCCGGTAGTAGCCAGAACATACCCACGGCCCAAAGAACAGTCGCGCCACCAAAGATGGCAAAGAGGGCCTTCCACGCCGGAATGCTCGTAATGTGGCCGATGCCGTATGCCACCAGGTTTCCAAACATGCCGGCAATCATGTTGCCAAAGAACCATGTGCCATGGCGCAATGGCTGCTCGCTGCGCTTATACCACATGGAGACGACGAGGCCCAGGCCAGGGCCAACAGCCGCCTCAGCGGCGCCGAGGAAGAATCGGTTCGCAAGAAGGCCCGCGGTGTTGAAGACGGCTGGTGTAAGGATGAGGATGACGCCCCAGATGAGCCTGAAGATAAAAATGAGTAAGCATGAGGTGTGCAAATAGACGTTGTCGTCATAGTTTAAAAGAGGGCTGTAGAAACATACACGGATGCAGCAATCGTTTTACCAAGGGGCAAGCGGACCATGAGTGCGCCCGCCGGATACGAGGCAACAAGATATCCAAAGTAGTAGATACTGCTGGCCCAGTTGTAGTCGGTGCCGTGGAGGCCAATGTCCTGGTTCAGCGTCATGATGGAGGCAAAGGCGAGGGAGAGCTTGTCGAGGAACTGGAACATGTAGGAGATCATCATGACGGGCAGAATACTGGCAATGCGTTAATTAGAAGAGCTGGTGGGTGTATCAGATGTGAGAGTTGGGGTTCAACACGTACAACATGTCGACTCGTCTTCGAATTCTCGCATCGTCCTCCTTGGACAGGTCTGCCAGCTGCGCTGCGGGTGCGCCAGCTGCGTCGACCTTTTCGTCATCGCGAATGTCGTCAGCAGCCATCGCAACGGTTGTTGGCACGGCACTTTGTCGATGGTTCTGAGGAACGGTTACTACTCGGGGGTGACATATAATATATTTTCTCCGCGTTTTTATCGCGATGTTGAAATTGGCGCGCCCCTGGAAGAAACAGCCCAGACTAGATTCATTAGGTCGCTTCCCCAAGAGGCAGGTCACGCGAATAATGCGGAGACCACGCACCACTGCCCGTTTTTTTCTTGGGAGCACGGGAGTTGTAGAGTTGTAGAGGGGCTCGTCAATGTATTTATCTCGCTATTTCCTGTCGCATACTATGGGTTTCTAAAGAAAAGTCCGCCATGGTAGTAATACTTTGCAGGCAAGTTAGCCGTGAGTACTCACCCGTCTGCCAACACTGGCTGGCGGACTTCGCAAAGCCCATCCCAAGGATTGCGGGGAAATCTGAGTGGCGCAGATAAGATACCCCATCTCCAGCTTCAAGAAAACACATCGCATCATCACTTGCAGCCATTGGGATCAATTGGTTTAAAGAATTGTGTTTTATTAATTCGTCCGTCATTCAGGCATCATCTCGCCTTTGTAGAGGATAGGCTATCAACAAAAAAAGGTTGCGAGCACCTTTGTATTATACAGAAGTGAACCCTCAGCTAGATAGAACGCCACCTAGGCCGATTCGGCCAAGGCAAGCCATCCCGTCTTTTCAAAAAAAAAATAGAAGAAAATAAAAAGGGAAACATTGGGTACCGAGCTACTTCACCCATTTACAGGGCAAGGGCAGCGACGGCGGCGGCAATGAGAGCACCAGGGGCGAGAGCGCCGGCAGCACCGGTGGGAACGGTGGCGGGAGCAGACTGACTAGCGCTGCCAGTGGGCTTGGTGGCAGGAGTAGAGCTGGCGGGAGCCGAGCCAGCGGGAGTAGAGCTGGCGGGGGTAGAAGAGCCAGAGGGCTTGGAAGAGCCAGAGGGGGTGCTGCCACCACCAGAGGCGTCCTTGCAGTTGGCCTCGGAGAAAGCGTCTTGAGCCTTCTGGAGGGTCTTGGTGAGGTCACCAGCAAGGCCCTGGGCAATAGACTGGAGCTTCTCGGGAGTCTTGGCGACGATGGCCTTGATGAGGTCCTGGGAGGCGCTGTTGAGGTTGGTGGCAACGCCACGGACGGTAGAGCACTCCTTGGCAGTCTGGACCTGGTCCTTCTTGCTAATCAAGTCGTTGGTGAGGGTCTCGCCATCCTTGTTGATACCCTGAACAAGAGGAACAAGAGTGACGGCATCGGCATCAGTCAAGTCAGGACCACCAGAGATCTTGCCGGTGCCGGCCTTGATGTCAGAGACGAGCTTGTCGGCAGCGCTGACAAGAGGAGCCTTATCACCAGAGTAGGACTGGACAGCCTTGTCGAGAGCCTGGATATCGGACTGGATACCCTTGAGGATATCGTCAGTAGGGCCAGCAAGGACGGTAGCGGCGAGAGCGACAGTGGCAAGAGCGAACTTCATTTTGGCTGTGGGGGGGTTTAAAAAGTAAAGACTTTTCTAGGTATCAAGCAAAAGTGTATAGAAGGTAGTGGTACAAGTAATTGTAACGAGTGTGTGTATGGGAAAGAAGAGGAAGGAAAAGCTGGAGGAGGGTAGGACGGGAAGGGCGTCTATTATACCCGCGCAATGCCAAAGGCTCTGGGGGAGGAGAGGGCAGGAGGTAACCTTTCGAGCTCTCTCCAACCCAACCTCCAAAGCGTGCTTGCCTATTGGCCCACATCAACAAAGTGGACATTTCAAAGCAAGCAAGGCTTGATTGTGGTGTGTGCGGGATGCGCCATAACCTTGCCGTGCTTGAGCTAAAAAGGGTAACATGCACGCAATCGTCGTTAAGGACACCACCATACTGACTCAAAGTCCAGGCCTGTGATGGCGTGAGTTGCCGAGGCAGCAGTTAGATCCTGGCAGCCTAGACATCCAGTGGCGGCCTGTCTGAGTGCTGCAAGTAGGTGCGGCGCTTTGAACGACGACGCCATTGGATCCATGATGGCGTAAATGGTTACTTCGGTCCATGCTTTCCAGCCCCAGACTAGGCCGAAAAGGAGCGAGCAGTGCGTGTGGGCCGCATGGATGTCACTGCGCTCGAAACAAGCGCACAGTCGACCAACACTTGCTATAGTACTGGATCCGATATGGACTTTGGAGCACAGAGTGTTGATCGACTTGTCCCTTTCACCCCTGAGAGCCTAAAGAACTATTCACCAAGGTTCTTCGGAATTGGTTTTTGACGGCACGAGCAAGTGACTGCTGGGTCGTAAGACATACTTTACGGTGCCACCTCCGCAGACAGTTGCAGCGGGATGACTTCTGTTTAGGGATGATGGCTGGAAGTGTCCCGCATTGAGTTTGGGTCCGCAGCCACGCCAGGCCCCATCCAATAGCGTTCTCCCGTCCAGGTACCAACCCCATCTTTTCGTGACCTGCACTAACAGACGTTGGTCTCGATAGCGACTGGGTTAGGTGCGAGTCTTCTCCACAGATCCTATGGGGTTGATGGACATCCCCAGTCGTCTCACTTCCTCTAGCGGGCAGCCAGGCTCTCATGAGCGGGGTCCCTCGCACGGTACGCGGAAGTGACAGAAGTACCCTGAGCTATATTACTGCGCCTTGACATGGACTCTGTCTTTTCTCTGGGACTCTGTCGGCTTATTGCCGGTGCGATGTTGTCCATACGGTGGCGACAAGGAATCGGCGCGAATGGTGTAGATTGCTATTGTCGGTAATAGGATACCCTGGGTAGCATCGCGTCAGACGCAACTCGAGTGAGAAAGCTACAAGGAACGAAGAACCTACCAAGGTTGTGGTCAACCCATGAATGAGCTCTGCAGCGAAAAGGAACCTCCTCCGCGGTCTCGCACTGTTGCAGCGGGAGTGTGAATACCCCTGCAGGCGTCCTCCTTCGGGCCAGCCGGACATTGATGAGCTGCCACAACAAAGTTGGTTTTGCTTTGGCTAGGATTCGCTCCCCTTCGACGGCGATTCTTGGCGCATGGCGCATAAGCTTCCACAGCAACGTTATTATTGGTGCTTTGCCACAACAAGCTGGCTGGCAGCCTAATAATACTACTTGTGACAGCGCCGCCGCCATTGCTGCCAGGTACATCCCACGACCAGGCTCTAGTGGCGCCACTGTCTTCGTTCGCCATGTGGTTGTGCCGTCTTTGCAGCATCGTTGCTGCCCAGGAGCATTGTTGTCCCACCCACTAGTTCACATCCACACAGCCACTTCAGTCAAGCGCTGTTTATTTCCTGTCGGAAGCGCGGGCAACGACGGTGGGAGGGGGGGGAGGTCCCACTGAGAGGCGTCCCCTCAGCCGCAGGAATACGAAACTCTGGGTTCTCTGTTGGCCTTGTGTGGCCACAAGAGTCTACCGTTGGCATTGTGCTGATGCGAGGCAAAGCAAGGCGTGCATGCGCGGAGCATCCATCGGGGCGCTTTTATGGCCCGACACTGATGTGTCCTTCGTTCCAAGCTCGCCACTCCCACGCCGCATGTAGAATGCAAGATTTACGCTAGGTGAGCCGTAGATGCGAAGCGAAGGACGGCGATAACAACCTCTTTGTCCATTGCCATGTACTGAAATAAGCCAAATTAAGGACCACAACTGCCGAAACGACCGAATTGATTGGCGAGATGAGTTAGTGAACACCTGGGGAGCTGCCAGTCTAGGCAAGGAACTGCAAGCGATCTGCCTCCACAGAAGCTCCCACACCTCGATCCGAATCCAGCATGGTTGGGTGGCTCTCGACGACGGCTTGGAAAGGGGGAGATTGCTATCACACCACCACCAAGACCATCTCAGTACCAACCATTAAGAGGCGCTGCCCCTTATACAAGGATTTTTTTATCGAATCGCATGCGGACCGTTAGGCAATATACTCGCAACAGATTGTTTGCTGCAATACCCCTCTGTTGGCCATTTGCACTCTGTCTGTTCTTCTCTGCCTCGCTGTTCTGCTCCTCCGCAGGGATGTTCAGCAGGGATGCCACGAGCATGTGGTCCCTCGGCTCGTTACCATAGTCCTCCTCTCCAATTGCAGTCGCTGGTCAGTAAATCGCTGTTCTACCCCGCGCGGGACGAGCGCGAGGCTCCACGTACAGAACTTGGAAGGAGTGTTGTACCTCCTAGTCTGGTGGAGTGTGGATGTTGCGCTGGCACTGTACATGTACACTACATGCGGTGGCCGCCCCACCCTCGTCAACGAAAGCTGCCCTACTCCTTCGGCCGTTACGGATCACCTCTTCGCACTATTGAAATCCCGCCGACTTGTGCTTACGACGAGCCTCGTTTCACTGTTGAGTCTGATCCTCGCCTATCCTCTCTCCGCACCGTTAGCTGCACGTGTTGAGCCTAGGAATACAGACTAGCGCCAGAGAGAGCCTAACCAAAGCTATGTCTCGTAGTAGGCAGCTCCCACCACGTTCCGCCAATGTCAGGGTTAATAATAAGTCGCAACCCGAGACTGGTGGCACAATTGGAAGTTAACTATGGCTGTATTTATAGTGCCAGTTGGTACAGTTTATCATCATCGTACCAGATAGTTGTGTGGAGCAACCACTACAATGTCTTCCAGTTAAGAGGTGCAAAAGGAGCGTGCATTGCTAACCCGTTCATTTCATTTCACGTCCATCAGCGTTATTCAACTATGCCAAATATGTCTTTTTCTAATATTTGTCTTTAAATGGAAGATTGACGGTTAAATCTAAGTTAATTGGTACGTAGCTTCCGGTCTAAAGTCTAGGTTTAGTGTGGCATTTTAAAGGAGTGATTATCGGATGACAGACGTAAGTCACATCAGATTATCCAATTGTAATTTCATCCCAAAAATTTAACTAGGCATTATTCATATTGAATAAGATGTTTATATCTCCTTTCTTAATGTTCTGACCCATTGTGATCCTTTTGTGCTATCGCCTACCGGGTAGGCTGATGATATCTAAGTCACAGTATCTTTACGACCTTAGTTTTGAAACCACGAGTAATTTTTGGTATTTGATGTATTAATGGCTTTCATATGATGGGAATGGATCACATTTATGTGCGTATTTTGATTGGGAGTATGCTGTTTTTACGGGTTTGCATCGCGGTCAAGTTATGATAGAAAAGGTACCAAATGTAACAGATCATATTGATAGTCTGGCTATCTACATCATACAAGCACAAAGGAAATGTTTATTTTTTTGTCGTAACAATTTGAACCCATCATTTAAAGACGGGGGCGGCTGGGGGAAGCAGCGGGCAGGTCGAAGCGGTCAGCGTTCATGACCTTGGTCCAGGCGGCAATGAAGTCCTTGGCGAAGCGGGCAGTACCATCGGCAGAGGCGTAGACCTCAGCAATGGCACGGAGCTCGGACTGGGAACCGAAGATCAAATCGACGCGAGTGGCGGTCCACTTGGCAGCGCCAGTCTGGCGGTCGGCACCCTGGTAGAGCTCGCCAGAAGCATCGGGCTTCCAGACGGTGGCCATGTCAAGGAGGTTGACGAAGAAGTCGTTGGTAAGAACGCCAGGGCGCTGAGTCAAAACACCGTGAGCAGAGTTGTCGTAGTTGGTACCCAAGACACGGAGACCACCGATAAGGGCAGTGAGCTGAGGAGGAGTGAGGCCAAGGAGCTCAGCGCGGTCGACAAGGGCATGCTCAGTCTTGACGTTGGCAGTGGAGGCACCAAAGTTGCGGAAGCCATCGACGGAGGGCTCCATGGCGGACATAGATTCAACATCGGTCTGCTCCTGGGAGGCGTCGGTTCGGCCGGGGGTGAAGGGAACAGTGATGTTGTGACCGGCATCGCGGGCGGCCTTCTCAACACCGGTGGCACCAGCGAGGACGATGAGATCAGCAAGAGAGATCTTCTTGCCGCTGTCGTTGAAGCGCTTCTGGAGCTGCTCAAGAACACCGATAACCTGGGTGAGCTGGGCAGGGTTGTTGACGGCCCATCTGTTCTGGGGCTCGAGGCGGATACGGGCACCGTTGGCACCACCACGCTTGTCGGACTGACGGAAGGTAGAGGCAGAGGCCCAGGCGGTGGAAACGAGCTGGGAGACGGTGAGGCCGCTGTTGGCAATCTCGTTCTTGAGAGCGTTGATGTCACCCTCGTCGACCAGGGCGTGGTCGACGGCGGGGAGAGGGTCCTGCCAGACGAGCTCCTCCTTGGGAACCTCAGGGCCAAGGTAGCGGGAGCGGGGGCCGAGATCACGGTGCAGAAGCTTGAACCAGGCACGGGCAAAGGTGTCGGCAAAGTACTCAGGCTCGGCAAGGAACTTGCGGGTGATCTTCTCGTAGGCGGGGTCGTAGCGGAGAGAAAGATCGGTGGTCAACATGGTGGGAAGCTGCTTCTTGTTGGCGTCAAAGGCATCAGGGATGATGGCTTCGGCGTTCTTGGCAACCCACTGGTTGGCACCAGCAGGGCTCTTGGTGAGCTCCCACTCGTACTTGTAGAGGTACTCAAGGAACTGGTTGCTCCACTGGGTAGGAGTCTTAGTCCAGGTAACCTCAAGGCCAGAGGTGATGGCATCGGCACCCTTGCCGGACTTGTACTGGCTGATCCAGCCGAAGCCCTGGTGCTCAAGAGCAGAGCCGTTGGGGTCGGGACCGACGTTGCTGCCGGGGCCAGCGCCGTGGGCCTTGCCGAAAGTGTGGCCACCAGCAATAAGAGAAGCAGTCTCCTCGTCGTTCATACCCATGCGGCCAAAGGTCTCACGGATGTCGTGGGCAGCCAAGACGGGGTCGGGGTTGCCACCGGGACCCTCGGGGTTGACGTAGATGAGACCAAAGACGGAGGCACCGAGAGGGGTGCGGAGGTTCTTGGGGTTGCTGGAGTCGTTGTTGTTGTATCGTTCGGCAGTGCTGGGCATGGAGGTCTCAGTGCCCCAGAAGGTGGCCTGGTCAGCCTCCCAAGTGTCAGCGCGACCGCCGGCGAAACCAAAGGTCTTGAAGCCCATGGACTCGAGGGCAACGTTGCCAGCAAGGACAAGAAGATCGGCCCAAGAGATCTTGTCACCGTACTTCTGCTTGATGGGCCAGAGGAGACGGCGGGCCTTGTCCAGGTTGCCGTTATCGGGCCAAGAGTTGAGGGGAGCGAAGCGCTGCTGGCCCTCGCCACCACCACCGCGGCCATCAAAGACACGGTACTAAGAGAAAAATTAGTAATTGAAAAGAAAACCGTGGCAAGCTCCACTGCCATTCAGATCACTTACGGTACCAGCGGCGTGCCATGAGAGACGGATGAAGAGACCACCGTAGCTATGGTGGGGTTAGCAAGCTCTTTCTTTCGTCGTCTTTTTTTTACTGGTGACGTAAAGGTGGGTTCTAACTCACTGGCCGAAATCAGCGGGCCACCAGTCCTGAGAATCAGTCATGAGGGCAGTGAGGTCCTTCTTTAGGCCCTCGTAGTCAAGGCTCTTGAAAGCCTCGGCGTAGTCAAAGTCATCGCCGAGAGGGTTGGACACCTTGTTCTGCTGGCGCAGGATGTTGAGTCTGACAGAGCTGGGCCAGAGGTGCTCGTTACGTGTACCGCCGCCGGCAACGTTGGCCTGGCGGAGTGCAGGGCACATAGACTCGGCCATTTTGGAATGTGTGGATGTAGAAAATAAAGATTTGAGATGAGGAACAGCGGAAGCAGCTGCAAAAACAGGAGGCAAAGCGGAAGGAGGGGAGCCAGGCGATCGCGGCGAGAGCAAGAGGGGTCTTATATTCCTGGCACCACCGGCGCGCAGAGGTTTGTAGAGTTGACCCCGCATCTGTACGGCCAATGATGGGGCGCCAATTAGTACAAATTATGTGGGGTGCTGTGGCAATCAAGGTAGCAAAGCTTCAATGGCGGCTGCGTGCCCACCTGGGACAGCTGTAGCAGCTGGCACCAGCTGGCGCGACTGTTTCTGCTTTGCTGGCCTGTTCGCGTCGCCGTGGGAGAGGGAGGGCGAGGGCGTGAGTACTTACAGTGAATAGGACTTGAGCAATTGATTGGATTGAATCACCACGATGGGTCAAACGGCGACAGCAGAGGGTGGGCACCGCGGCTAAACCAACTTTGCAATGGACGGAGAAAACAGAGCGTTGAAGCGGCAATGCAGCAGCGCACCACAGCGGACCAGTAGCAGATGCGGGTGGGGTCTGAGGCCGCGGACAGCGGCGGGTTGCTGGCTACAGTGCCGGGCGAACGCGTTGGGGCGGGGACGGGCGAAGGAGCAGCGCTGTTGTTCCGAATACTTTTCGAAAGCCGATGGCCGAGCCGACAAGGTAATGCGGCGGTGAATTGTAAGCGGTTACGTGCTTTTGGATCAAGTGCGGCTTCGAATTCTTTCTTCACGATATCTGCTGCATATGCCGCCTGTTTTACACTGCTGCAGCAGCCCCATCGTGAACCGGCAAACAAGCTTAGGAGCCCAGAAAAAAAAAAGACGACAACCAACGCCACCCCGCTTGGTTCCTGGCCTCCCTCGACCTGCTGAGCCAAAAGGGTTGATTCAGCGGCAGATTCAGCTCCGTCATACAATTGCGGCCCTTTTTGCACGGGAAATCAAGTCTAGACACGCCTAGATACAGATGCATTATTAATTTTTGCTGCAGACTTACGAACCACTATCCAGCCATGCGTCGTCCTGCTAGCGGTGTAAACAACAGCTCTTCCACCGCAAATGATCCTTGCTTGCGAGCTGCTTCTTTAGTCTCATACATGTCAAACAACAGCATATATACGCGGATTCTCCTACCACGTGGTGAATCCCTCAGACCAACCCAGCTTGCACGCGTGGTGTTTATGACTTGTGAAGAACAATTTCAATTCTCTCGCTCTATTGAATAGATCCTTCAACGTGCCGTGACGGTAGCGTGTCCGCACCAGCCGTTGACGCACCATCACCGAGTCTAAGCCGAACACCGATCAATAGATAACCATTAACTATCTAGTTGCCATGTTTCCCAGAACGATAGTCTCCGCTATGCTGTGGTACCCGAAACACCGCCGATGATGCTTTCAGACGCATCCCCGCACATTTGCTGGGCCATACTGGAGTTCTTTTTGGTATAGGCGACGTTAGATTCCCTTGCCGATAGATTTGTTGTGAAAGGTTTCGTGGTCTGCATAATTGCCGCTCCGGTTCGTGCAAGATTCACTACCGACCGAACCAAGACTGTAACCGGTGTAGTTTGCGGCCATCCTTCGCTGCGGGAATAACCAACACTGTACTTGGTTCCATCGGAGTTTGTCAAGATTTAGAATGGTCCGCTACGTTCTTTGTACTGCGTCACATCAGAGCGATTCTAATGCAACGGCAGCGTCACTACTTGAATAGTCTTTGGCGAAACACTGTGATATCTAGATGACATTTATATATTCTATTGGAAACAAAATTTCCCTCTTGGCATACCCTTTGGGGCTCCAAAGCTGTTCGGCAGACTTGGTTGTGGAGATGGCAAATACTGTCAACGAACTGCCTGTAAGCGCTAGACTACAGTAGCAACATGAGCGGTACAGATGAGCCTCAGAGCCTGACTACAGTACGATTAAGTTAGGCTCCTGCATTAGTAGTTTTTGGATTCGATCGCTGCTTGACGTAAGGGATAAGTGGCTGGCGCCCGCGCTACAGCGTCGCAGCGCATTGTGATCGGCGTAATCTGGGGTCAGGGATCGAAAGTAAATTAAAATAACACACATGTAAGATTGAGGTCGACCTGTATATATGAGAAGATTATTTGTTGTTTCATAATCATGTACTATGTATAGATTGATTATATGTACGAGTCGTTGTATCACGCAAAAATGGCAACGACATTGCTCCAGTGTATTTGTTGTGGGCGCCGATACAACCCATTTAGGCGTTAACCCACTGGTAGTAGTCAACAACAGGCTTTTTGACGGCGGCGCTCTTGAAGTTGGTGCGTTCAGCATCTGCAGAGTCGGCAGAGTCGGCATCAGCATCAGCAGATGCAGCAGCCTGGCTTTCGTAGTAGGCGTCGGTAAGGGCCTTAGCATCGGCACGAGTCATCTTAATCTTGGGAGTCAGGCCAGGACGGAGAATCTGTGTCATGATCTGCGCCCACTGCCAAGGCTTGTCAGTACCACCCGGACTGCTGTTGAAGTATTCCCAGCCCATAACACCACCAATCTGGCCATATTTGTCGCGAAGGGAGATGACGGTCTTGTTGAGCTGGCTGTAGGGTGTATAACCGTAGCCATTGGCGGGAGCGGTCAGCTGGCCTGCAATAACACGGCTAGCATCGAAGCCGTTGCTGACGATTCTGTCATAGTCGCTGGTGGTAGACATAGAGCCGAAGCCAGAGTAGAATTGGGCGTTGTAAAAGGCAATCTTGGAGCCCTCATTGTCGTCAAGAGTGCTGTAGTCGAAGCCACTCAGGTTGGCACCACCACGGAGTGCAGAGGCCACAGGGGCGAGGGTGATGAGGAAATTGGAGCCAAAGTCGTTGTACAGAGCCTCGACGAGACGGTTGATGCCGCTCTGGCTCATGGACTGCTCAACATCAAGATCCATACCTTCGAGCTTGAAGTTGCGGATGATGTCGCGAAGCTGGCCGTAGTACTTGTCGAAGTTGGCCTGAGAACCATCAAGGGTATTGGAGTCGAAGGAGCCAGCAGCGGCACCACCAATCATGCCCATGATCTTAACTCCAGACTGCTTGAGCGTATCGGCTTCCTTCCACAGAGTCTTGAAGCGGGCATCACTGGGGGGGTAGTCGTTGAGATGGATCTCACTGTCTTTGTTGATGTGGAAAGAACAGGCAATCAGGTGAGTGAGGGCAATACCCTTCTCCTTGACGAGAGGGAGCATGGAGATGGGGTTTCCCTGCTTGTCATGGGTGGTCTGGAAGTAGACAATAAGGCGAGGGTTGTCTGAGGGGGCGTTGGTGGAAGCGGTAGCAACGGCATGGCCATTTCCAGCGTTGGCGTTGGCATTGGCATCAGATAAGGCGACGGGACTGGCGGCACAGACAGAGGCCAGAGCCGTGAGGACGGAAAGGAACTTCATGATGGACTTATTGGCCACGGTACAGCACTAGGGCAGAAAGTGGCTAGAAGGAACAAGAACGGACAGCTCAACTCAGAAACCACTTTTACATCGACTCGCGGGCGCGGGGACTTATTTATAATAAGCAACTTCGCTCCAAAGGGTCCAATGTCTAGCCCGCTCCCTCGGTAGAGGTGTTGGGACGCAAACCCCTGCTGTCGCGAAGCGGTCCCTGCGCACCACAGACGGTCAAGCCCACATGCCCACCAGAAGCAGGTTACATTGCCTGTGACGGCTCCGGCCACTTACAGCGACGGACTGTGGAGGAGGGCTCGATTTTAGCGCGGTCCAGTGCAAGCTCATCGGGCCTTTAGGCGGGCATTGTTGCGTGCTAGGGCGGTGGGTTGTGCCTCTTTTGGAAGGTCAGTGATGGCTTCGGGGGTGTTTTCGGGGCACGCATATTGCTTCTGCAGTCAGCTGGTCCCTGCAAGTGACCAGTTAGCGCTATACCGACATCTACGGAGCATCTTTTTTATTTTAGAGTTTCGGCATAATTATAGGACATGACCAACAGGTCGACAGTTGTTTTTATTGGTATTTTTGGCGGTTCTGTGGTTGTAGATGGCAAGTCTCTTGCTCTTCTTTGGCGGGCACTTGGCGGGCACCTGGCCATGCCCTCACAGAACTATGTGTCAAGCGATCTGACGCCACCTGGCCACCCGCGCCCTCTCTCTGCCGTACGCCTCCACATCAGTCCAAGTTCCCACTCTCACCGGCGCAAGAATTAATTTGCATTTATCGACCCATGCCAGAATAGAGCGGCAGCCAAGCGGATGGAGTAGCACAAGGGTTGGTGGCCTGCCAGTGCCAAGAACAAACCTCTTTCTTGTCTACCATTCAAGCTTCCCAACTCGAACTAGCCCCAGAGTCTAGCGCCAGGCAGTGTCTGCTTGGTTCTTACCTGCAATGAGCTAACCCCGAATGCAGGGACTCTTTTTTAGTGCTTGATTGGAGCAACTCTTGTGTTCTTATGCCGGTAACTTGGCATGCCGAACGATGGCTTGCCAACGCCTTCTTTCGCAGTGCAAGGTAGTTTGTAAGACAACGCAATATCAGACACCAATGCCTGCATGCACATCTCCCAACCGTGTTTTTATGTCTATCAATCAAGATCTCAGCCTGAATGGGTCCTTTGCACACAGCTGGGATGCTGATCCCTTAGATCGACGCTGTAGCCCAGCGGTCTAGCCCGCGAGAGCCTACAGACTCGTACAATCAATTGTCACGGGACACATATGCATCTTGTTTTGTCCTGTATCGAGCGAGAAAGGTTCACTTTCGTGGCGTTTGGCCTCAATAAGGAATAGCGAGGCACCTTTGAAAAAATAAATCGCCGAAAGGGCAGGCACTTTGGCCAGCCAGCCACCAAAAAGGGAGCGACTGACTCTAAGCGAACCGCCACGATTGGACCTGAAACACGGCACACCCCGGCGCTAGTGGTTATGGTGCTAACTGACATGGGCCACCAATATATCATATTCTGCCAAATTTTTAGATAAGTAATGGCTGGGGAAATATACGAAAGAACCAGCCCTATGATCTAGACGCTCTATATGCTGTCAATGACACCCAGGCTTCGTGTTTAATTGGGGGGCGCCAAGCATAGGCAAACGGAATATTCACCTGTACGCACCAGTATTTCTGTATCCAGAATTACAAAATGGATAACTTGCACAGTTCCTGATTCATTATCAGAATTTGCCAACCTATGTTTCTTCAAATATTAGTTTAATAGATTTCCCCTGCAGAATGTTAGGCTAGTCCAAATATTTATCCCGTTGTAACAGGCCGACGACTCCGAAACGGCGGGTATCGAGAGTTCCCGTGATCTGTTATTTGGTACTATATATGATTAGCTTCTCTGCGGCAGTGCGTAATATGTATATTAGAACTCAGTGGTGTAATTGACGCTTTAATTTATGTTGATCTTGTTTCGTGAGGACGATCGACTTCAGCAAACTTTTGGTGTTTAATCGGCGCTGTAGGGATGGCCTTGTCGTCAGCTTCGGTGTTGGTCATACGGGCCCAATATATAGGAATATTAGATAGTCCCATCTGGAATATCCTGATCTAGTTCTTATTCCTGAGGGGTTTGAGTGACTCTTATAAGAATGAATTTATAGGCCTTCGTTTCGCCGTTGTAACAAGCTTGCGCGCGTTTAGTGAGGCTCGGGGCGCACTCTACGGTATAAAAGCTTGTGTCTACACCTTAAGACTCGTAATAAATATATACGTTGCTTTCCCGTTTTCTATAGGATATGCGTATGCGCTCGAGGCAGTCTTCTCAGGTGGTCTGGTCGACAAAGGAACCGTTGACCTAAACGATGGAGGTATACGAATTGAATCGAATATAGTTGATCTTATAATGACTCAGTTGTATTCGTGAGCCCCCGTAGCATACCACTATACAGTCAGCGTCTATGGAGACTCGGAGGATAAGCCGAGGGATTTTTATAGTCTTTGCTGATCCAAGCTCATTAAGAAACGGTGGAATAATAGATATTGAATATCGGGTGCATTTTGCCCGAAAGGGCTGCGCTGTTGGCCCCAGGGTAGATGCAGTAGTGTTCACCTGGAGCTTAGCTAGGAAAGCTAATCTTTCAAACTTGTTGCTATCAATATCTATAATCCTGCCTGCACTCTTATCCTAATCCGCACTATATCCCGACTCAAGGATGCTCTGCCGCAGCCCAGGCAGCACCAACTGACATAGGTACATGTACACCGTAAGGCTCAGCAGCTTGCATGTATACGTCGCTCACTAGTATATATGGTTTTCCATCCCACCAGCTTGAGCTGCCACGCGGGCCAGAATAGTACAGGTCGACATGGCCATTCTGCTGGCAGCCAATGAGGTTATAGTGATCGACGGTATAGCTGGTGAAGAAGTGAGAGCCTTTACCATCAGAATTGGGAGCGTAGATAATCTTGACAGCGCATGAGTCTTCAAGGTCCTCGCATCCCTTGCCGGAGTAGTGAATACAATGGTTAACGGTGTAGGCGGTAAGAGCCATGGCGCTCTGCAGGCAACCATTGACAAGCACAAAGCCATTTCCCCCCTTACAACTCGATCCGAAGGTGGTGGTTTGGGAATGGGACTCGCTGACAGCGAAGCCGCCGGAGATAAAGGGGATGTTAGCGCCGCCGTTTACGCTCCAGCCGACAGTATCGCTATAACCCTGGCTACCAGAGGTTCCAGGGCATCCAAAGGGCTCTGTCTTCTGCGTGATTTGAAAGTTCTGGTGCGGATTGCCGTCGCCGACGAGCCTGCTCGATTCAAAGCCCTGGCAGTTGACAGTCTGGCGTTTGTCGACACGCTTGTTAGACACAGCCCAGTAGATTCCCTCACCACCAAACGCACGAGCTGCATCAAGACCATTCTGGAGATCATGCGTCTCGTAAGTTGTGCCGTTGAAGATGAGCGTGCCAGTACTGGCTCGGAAGCCAGTGGCAGCGGCAGTGACAGTAGAGGCGAAAGCCAGGAGCTTCATCGTGGAATGAATTGGGAGAAATGTTTAAAGTTGCAGAAAGGGGATGATAGTAGTGCGTGATGGAAATAAAAGGAATCAAGAGAAGGTATCATAAGGGAGTATTTATACCTAGAGCGGACAGATGAACGGAAGGTTCTCCACATTCAAGCTTCCTGTTAAACAGAAAGCAATCGCCTAGGGGTATAACTCCGAGACTATCACATGAGGGTTTCAAGCATAACTACAAATCAGGCTGCGCTAACATACCTGTGCATCAATAGTTCATGAAGAAAGGCATATGCAGATGTGCCACCTGCGTCATTACTCTCCAATATGGACTCCATATATCACTCAATACAACAATAATCAGCAAGAAGATTCTTCAAACGTGCCGTACTCGGTGATAAAAATCTGATCTGCTGTGTTGATTCTGTGTGTATAAGGGTCTTGACTTGGCGATCCAGCTCATAGTAAGAACTCCAGCCAGAGTTTAGATTCACATTATACTACTATATAAGTTACAAGTGTTTTTTTTTTTTACATCTTATTAGTTCTAATATGTTTATGTTTAAGACTAATAATAATGCTACACATATAAAACACTATAGATGATAGGATTAGCATCACTCTTCAGAGTTCCGAGGTGTGCTTGAGGCTGCGTGTACTTGCATGGCTAGAGGCCGTCTTGATAGCCTGCAGGCACCAATTAACTTCATTGGGAAGGTCGAAAGTAGAACAGTCCAACCGACTCCTACCTTTCCAAGGTTGAAGCGGTTCAGGTACATCGTACTTGGCTAGAGACTGCATTAGAGTAGGCGAGCTGCAGACGTGTCGACGTGGGCAAGGTAGTGGCGCAGCGAGGCTTGGTGATATACGCGGGTGGTTGGGCCAGAATTTGGACGTCATCCCTAGTTGTTTGCAGTGGATTGCCCGCCGCTTGCATGCTACCGTACTGATTTGCCAACCTGATTCTGTAGCCATTTAGAACTTTTTCAAGTATATAGATTTAAGAGCTTGGGGCCTATGGCGGCGGTCGCTATTGAGGCCACCCAACACCACCAGCCTGAGCGCTTTGTTTGATCAGCCGAATGGCGGCCTGTTCCTAGCGCCTTCGATCTGAATTTACACGAGCGGGAACTCTCAGTGTGCGCTCGGACTTCTTGACAACGAGGCTGCATTAGCCTCTGACGCCACACCTAAGCGCATCCTGCTTGATGCAGGCGCGTGACAAACTAATTTTATATTTGTATGAATCGAGTCGAGTTATCACCGGTCTTATAGCGGACACACATGGAATTACGCCGTCTCCCCCCTCGTCACCGCGTGATAGTACACGGCTCAGGCAGCCACCCGAGCTATCTGCCTTTCTCATCTGCAAGAGAAATAGTGGCGGCCTGGGCGCTAATCGCTTACAGGTCTGGTGCTGCTTGCGCTCTCGTTGCCAGACGATCTAGCTGGCTGGTAGTACGTCTCGGCTACATAGTCAGCTTCCGCTTTCTAAGAGACCTTTTTTTTTCACTTGTCTCTTCTAAGTTGAATCGTCGCCAATCACCAGTATCAGACAGCCTGTCCAAGCATGTAAATAGATTTCATCGCCAACTAGCCAACAAAGTCTTAAGCCACAAGCCGCCCAGCCCGTTTGTTTTGTCAATGCTCTCGTCCCCGCTTCACCTGCCTGCATGCACTAGACTCAAGCAGGTAATATCAAAAGTCCTTATGTTGGTTCAAGGATTAATAACACGTGTTATCAAAAGGTGAGAGGTTGTGGTAAAAGTTCGTTGTTCTCTTCTAGTTCCATGGTCGGAACTGCTCTAGTTAAATACAGCGAATACATCCTGTATTCACTTCCTTTTCCTGTGTTTTCCTTAGCCACTTCCAGTGACTTAACTATTCCTTCACTCCTCCAGCAAAGTAACACACGTCCAATGTCACAATAGTCACAACAATACCCTTTAGTCGTGCAGCCCCTTGATCACATATCTAATTTATATACTCTATAGTAGTATAAAATAGTCGATAGAATAACAAACATACGTTTTAAGTTAATACTTTTCTGTAAAATGAGTGCAGTAGAGTTAATGTTAAGAATTGAGTCTATTGGACCTAATCTCTCTATATAGGTTGGGCTTGTTGAGTAAATCAGGGACTTGTTCAATATAAACCTTTTCAATTTTTAGTGTAATCAAGTGATTTAGCACTATATAATAGGTTGCCTATATCCAAAGCAAATGCTGCGACTTACATCACATGTTGAATTTTGTGCCCGTTGATCAGTTACCAGCCTTACCGAGATGGGCAGATGATAAGCTATCTGGTGGCTTGGGAACCCCCATCAGCCACATCCTAGCTACCGACAGACCGCAACCTCGCCCAATCATGCCAATTTGATCTTCTCTACTATCTGATATAGATTGAATTATCAGCTTATCAGCGATTGACGAGGGTGCTCCCCGCGCGCCCGCGCCGTTGTCGCAAGGGGCACCCCCGCGTGGCTGCGGGCAAAGTCGGGGAAGAGCGCGGCTCCAATGAGCTGATGAGCAGGTAATCTTTATCACTCTGATTTGTTAAGAGCTCATGAGAGATAGAAATACGCATAGTTAAAGCGGATGCTGTAGGGCATGCCGGTATTCGGCTTAGATAGCTTGGCAGATAAGCGCCGACACAATCCCATTATAAAGGTTTCAGTTCTCCCGCGTCGCACCTAGAAACCAAAGAGATATTAAAGGTAATCCCTACCGTAACAATGGCTGAATATCTTCATTCGCGTCACATTGGGGGCCCCAGCTCCGTGGACCCCCCTCTTAGCCAGGCTTATGGATATGGCATCATTCTAGGCCTAGGCTTTGCCTTTGCCCTGGGCATGATCCTCACAACACACCTCCTCAAACGATTCAACAATGAAGAACAGACCAGCGAGGCGTTCAATACGGCTGGAAGAACTGTCAAGTCTGGACTTGTAGCTTCGGCTGTGGTTTCATCATGGACGTGGGCGGCTACGCTCCTACAGTCCAGCGGCGTGGCGTACCAGTATGGTGTATCTGGGCCGTTTTGGGTACGTCGGGACATGTTCTACAGATTTTATTGTTTTCAACTTACTAATGGTATTAGTATGCTTCTGGGGCTACGGTTCAAATCCTACTATTTGCAACACTGGCAATTGAGCTAAAGAAGAGGGCACCAAGTGCGCACACGTTTCTAGAGGTGATTCGTGCTCGTTACGGTATGGATGCCGGCCCATGTGTACTAAACGATATATGCTAATCGCTTTTACAGGGAAAACAACCCATTTGGTCTATCTGTGCTTCGGCTTGTTTACAAACATTTTGGTGACAGCAATGCTGCTCACTGGTGGTGCTGCTGTTGTCAACTCGTTAACGGGGATGCATACTGTCGCAGCTTGTTTTCTTATGCCACTCGGTGTTGTTATTTACACCATGTTTGGCGGGTATGTAAAGAAATGCTAGCCGAATAGCGATGGATGCTAACAAGATGCAGTATCAAGGCAACCTTCCTCACTGACTATGTCCATACCATTATCATCCTTGCGATCATCCTGATATTCGCAATGTCCGCATACGCTTCTGGAGATCATCTTGGTTCGCCAGGCAAGGTGTATGATCTTCTCGTTCAGGCAGCGCAAACTCATCCCGTAGATGGCAATGCGGAGGGTTCCTACCTCACGATGCGCTCCAAGGATGGCATTATCTTCTTCATCATCAATATCATCGGCAACTTCGGCACGGTCTTCATGGATAACGGATACTACAACAAGGCTATTGCAGCTCATCCCGTCGCGGCGCTTCCAGGATACCTCATGGGAGGACTGAGCTGGTTCGCTATCCCATGGCTCTGTGCAACGACTATGGGTCTAAGTGCTCTCGCTCTAGAAGGATCTTCTTCGTTTCCAACTTTCCCAGCAAGAATGCCGGCTTCAGATGTTTCTGCAGGACTTGTATTGCCATATGCCGCCGTGGCGCTACTCGGCAAGTCAGGTGCTATATGTACACTGATTATGATTTTTATGGCAGTCACATCATCACTTTCGGCGCAATTGATTGCGGTATCCTCTATTGCCACCTACGATTTGTACTTGTAAGTTTTCGCTTTCCTTTCCCTCGGTAACTGTTCGCTGCTGACCTTGTCAAGCACGTACATCAACCCGTTTGCCACGGGTCGCCAGCTCATGGTAGTCTCGCACTCATCAGTCGCCGTATATGGATCTGTCATGGCTGCCTTTAGCGTCGGACTCTTCTATGCAGGTATCAGCATGGGTTGGCTTTACCTTTGGATGGGCGTCATGATCTCTGCCGCTGTGGTTCCAGCAGCACTAACTCTGCTCTGGAAGGGTCAGAACTGGTACGCCGCTACACTATCCCCACCCATTGGCCTAGTTTGTGCTCTCGTTGCTTGGTTGGTTACTTGCTACAAGCTCTTTGACGGAGATCTCAGCGTAAGCAACCTCGGCAGTAACTATCCCATGTTGGCGGGTAATGTGGTTGCGCTATTCAGCCCTGTGATTCTGGTTCCTGTCTTCACGTACGCATTAGGCAAGGCCAACTATGATTGGATGTCCATGCTTGAGCTCAAATCGTCAGATGATAGTGATACATCTTCTGGTACAGAAGAGAAAGAAGTAGCCGTCGAGACTGTTGTTTTGGGAATGTCGACAGAGGAATCGACGAAACTGCGCAAGGCATCCAAAGTGGCTAAGATTAGTACAACAATTGCCACGCTTGGGTTCTTGGTTGTATGGCCAATGCCACTGTTTGGAAGTGCTTACGTCTTCTCCAAGCCCTTCTTTACTGGCTGGGTATCTATAGGAATCGCTTGGTTGTTTGGGTCTTGTATTTGTGTAGGACTTTTCCCTCTATGGCAGGGCCGGGAGGGCATTTATCGCGTGTTCAAAGGTCTTGCCAAATATTTAACTCCTTGATAAGCCTCCAAATACAACATGAACTTTCTACCATTTTATTGCCTGGAGTACCGTTCTTACCACTAGCCAAGGGCAGGGTCCCCTGATTTAGGACACCAGGTTCGCGCATCAGCGTAGTCCCACTCGCTAATTTACAGTGGTCTTTAGCACAACGGCCAGCATACGCAGAATCGTCGCCTCGATCCTTTTTTCTTCCACACGCCGCTCTTTTTTTTGCGTTTATATCGCATCTTTCGTTTCTTGCATTGCATTGCACGCGTTTCCTTTTCTTTTTGCTGTAATATTCTATATTCAAATTAATACTAACTTCCCAAGTGCTATGCAGAAGTCATCATGATCATTGGAAGCGGCAGAGTTGCCCGCCGGTACGTCGCCTTGCTGATCTTTGCGCTCATCTCCTTAGGGCTTTGGCGATCACAGGCTAGCCGGCCGGTCTTTGATTCTTCAAGCAAGCCTATTGAGTATATCTCCAGTCGATATAACTGGGGCGAGTTAAAGCCATTCCATCCTCCAGAAACCTTGGTCCAACTGCCCCTGGGTACGCCAAAAACGCTCTCTATTCAAAACTCTACAGCTATCAACACAGCAGAGTCGGTCATCCGCAAGGAGCGTATCCGTGCCGTTTTTAAAGAGAGCTGGGATGTCTACAAGAAGCATGCCTGGGGTAAGGATGAACTCCTGCCACTGTCCTTGTCATCCACTAAGTCGCTTCACGGCTGGGGAGCGCAGATTGTGGACGCTCTCGATGGGTTATGGATCATGGGCTTCAAAGATGATTTTCGAGCAGCAGTCCGTTTTGTATCTGCTATCGATTGGTCCAACACACACGATGAGGCTGTTAACGTCTTTGAGGTTACTATCCGATATCTTGGTGGCCTGATTTCCGCGTACGACTTATCTGAAGAACCTCAGCTGCTTTTCAAAGCTACCGAGCTAGCAGATATGCTATATACCGTCTTTGATACACCAAACCGTTATCCTCAGCGATGGCTAGACCTTGCCAAGGCCAAGGTTGGCAGCCAGAAAGACGAGTTCTCTATGGGTCTTGCCGGAGCCGGTTCTATGTGTCTTGAGTTTACTCGCCTTAGCCAAATTACTGGAGACCCAAAGTATTACACTGCGGTTGAGCGGGTTAAGAAGCTGTTTGTCAAACTACAGCAGGGAAGTGTTCTCCCGGGTTTGATACCACAGACGATCAACTTGGAGAGCGGCACTGGCTCCGAAGGCACATTTACCTTTGGCGCTGAGGCAGATTCGACTTTTGAATACTTTCCGAAAATGTTCCAGCTCCTTGGCGCCTCTGATGAAGTATACCGGAATCTGAGCATGAATTCACTTGACTCAGGCAAGGACTATCTACTATTTCGACCAATGACGGCAACTAATGAAGATATCTTGCTACCTGGCATTGTCAATGCCGATGCCAAACAGAAATCTATGCTATACAACATGGAGCATCTCGCGTGTTTCACAGGCGGTATGTATGCGCTATCTGGAAAGCTCTTTAATCGCCAAGACTATCTGGAAACCGCGACGCGATTAACAAATGGCTGCATTTGGCTGTATAACATCTTCCCGTCAGGCATTATGCCGGAGGTCTCACAGCTTGTGCCGTGCCCGGAAGATTCTACAACGTGCAAGTACAATGAAGACAAGTTCATTTCCGGCAAAACAGCCAAACTTCCGCAAGGTATATCTTGGGTAAGCCACAAAGAGTATAGGCTCCGACCTGAAGCCATTGAAAGTGTATTTTACATGTGGAGAATCACAAAGGACCAGCGCTGGCGAGATGAGGCTTGGAAGATGTGGGAGTCTGTTACCAAAGCGGCCAAAGTTCCTGGTGGAGGATATGCAATGGTACAAAACGTGGTACAGGCAGATTCTGGCCATGCCGATTCTATGGAGGTAAGACGATTCATAAGAAATTGTCGGTTGAGCTTGATGCTAACCCGAGCGCTAGACCTTTTGGCTCGGAGAAACGGTCAAGTACTTTTATCTAATATTCGAGGACGACGCGGTATTGAATCTGGACGACTGGGTATTCAACACGGAGGCGCACGCCTTTAAGCTCGCCTCCTGAAACTGTAAATACGTTCAAGCCGGAGCACAGCCAAGATATTTTCATAGAGGCTAACCATAGAATGGGCCACGAATAGACGCATGACTTTGCGCTTGCGATTGGGACCATGACTCTGTTCGCCTGGGTAGCGTCCTTTGTTGGTCGCTGTTCCCCCACCGAGGCCAATCCATCCACCCAACTAGTTTCGAGCTAGTGCAGGCATCTTCATCTCCGGCTCCTCTTCTCGTCGCTCTTTCTTGGCCCCCCCTTGCTGCCTCCTAACAAGGTTTGGGGACTCCGCGATCGTCATCGCTCTGCATTTCTAAAGGAAGCCCGCGCCGAAAGGTCATCGAACAAACAGCTTACATTTAGGGTCGACATCTCCAACACCGCCGCTTATTGACCACTAGCATTGCGTCCGCCTCGTATCTTTAGCGCTGATCCACCATAGCCGAGAGGGGCGCGGCGCTCTCTTGTATGCTGCGTTTAAGAACCTGCTTAAATCTTACGTTGCCCGTGCCGCTCGTCACAACACGCAGAGAGCCCCGAAATTACCAAGCACGCGGCTTTCCAGCTGAGCAGGGCTGTCAGCTTCAGCCCTTTGAAGATTAAAAAACGAAAACGAGGCTTAGCGATCCTAGAAAGTTGCCGAAGCCGGCAGACGCCGCCATCCAAGCCCGTGCAGAGCCACGCTGGCTGTCGCGGCGGCTCTCGTTAACCACCTCTGCATCCGCGCTTCTTGCTGAGGCACGCATCCCGGCAGCACAAGGACAGTCCGTAATTGTCTTGTGTGCTTGCCGTTGCTGGAGTTTGTTCGACATTGCGCCGACGCCCAACGTCTAGTTTAAGCTGCTCCGGCTATTAACGAAGCATCTTTCTCACAAACCCCCGCGCTACCAGCGACCATGTCGTCGCCAGGAACAACAACGCCTTCAAGCGGCACTATGAGTCCGCCCGTCACTTCCATGGTAATCAAGCGAGAGTCTTTTTCAGTCCCTATGCGAAGACGGCCAAAAGCGCTGGGGGACGGGATGGAAACCACCAAAGCCATTGAGCCGTCGAGGAAGCGACGGGCACATACCAAATCGCGATTAGGGTGCAAGAATTGCAAGATGCGCAGCGTCAAGGTAGGTTACATTATATTGCCTCTGCAGGTCACAAACCACTGACCCGAGCCTCGACAGTGCGATGAAGCTAAGCCATCATGCGGCCGATGCGTCAGTTCCGGCTATACGTGCACATACTCCTCTGAAGACCCGGCGCTCCAGTTCGCATTCACTCAAGTGTTCAAGCTCGACATAGGTACGCCGACGCCGGCAAGGTTTCTACAGAAAACAGTCCCCTTTTCCATGTCAGACGACAAGGTTGGGACATATGAGATGCGGCCGTACGAGATTGCTGCCATTGATCGATATCTTAACCGAACAGTGCTAGACTTTGCTACTGCTGCTCGACCAGTCAAGCCACTAAAATACGTGGATATGGCTAACGCTGTACGTTTACTTGCTGGTAGTTATGTCTACCGGAGCACATGTGCTAACCATACAACAGAATCCCTTCCTCTATCATGTGTTTGCCGGCCTCTCCATCCTCCACGATATTCATCTTGCCGACTGTTCCATGGACACCCTGCACGCTCAATTCAAAGCTGCCTCGTTCCATTGGTACCAAGTCACGCGCCTACTACAACAAAAGATCAGTCGCTACGCTTCTTCACCGAATCTGCAGATCGACCGTGTTGAGAAGGACTCGATATGGATGTGCTCCAACATCCTCGCCCTAGGCGTCTTTGCAAACGTCGAGTCATTTAATCCCATTGAATCCTGGCCGCTAAAGCCTCCCGAGTCTGTCGACTTGTCATGGGTGAAGCTAGATCTTGTTCGGGATATTGTATTTACCTTATCAAAACCAAACGATCCGGATAGCCACTATCACTCCTACTACCAGCTCCTCGAGCAGATCGGTATGCCCGACGGCACCGCTCCAATCCGCCCTCATAACCTCTCCGCCGCCTACTACCCCTACTTTAATATTACCCCCGAGTCCACAGCCGACAACAACCCATACCACCACGTTGTCGCCATCTTATCCCAAATACAGTCTCCCGACGGCAGCTTCAAGGAGAATCTGCGGTACTTGAGTCTCAAAGTTGAGATGCGCCCAGAGTTTGTCCACCTACTGGAACTCAAAGATCCCCGTGCGCTCCTACTCCTTGTCATCTGGTACTCCAAGCTGATCAGCCTGCCTTGGTGGTTTGTTCGGCCGCGCGCCATTGTGGAAGGCGCCAGCATCTGCATGTACCTGCGCAAACACCACAGCGATGACGCAGTACTCATGGGTTTTGTCGAAGAACAAGCATCCATTGTATACAGTGCTTATAATAAGCGAAAATGGGGAAACACAGAGGAACTGGAGAGACAGCTAGGCATAGCATCACCGCCGCCTCCCCCCTACGAAGAGCCTGCCAGCCCCCAACACCGCATGAATTACGAATTAGATACCAAACATGTATTCTAGAAATATGTATATAAGCAAATTATTTCATCACCATTTTCTAAATATTTTTATCCACCTCATTGTTCGGTTCAACCAACTGTGAGCGCAGGCCCCCCCCCAGCACTGTTGTCCACCCACTGTCAGCGCAGCACCATGTCCACCCACACCAATCTTCTCTACTCGACGACATCACACGATCATCCTTTAAACCCGCACCGCCGGCACCGCACAGTCGCTCACCAATCGCCAGCTTCATCGCTACTAGAGACAATACTCCTCCCAGCCCTTCTAGCTATGCGATAAGCTATGCCCCCGCGACTCTTCTTCTCCGCGTGCCGCGCGCATCCGGTCGTCCCCCGTCTATGCATCCGCACACAACGCTTCCACACCACGCCAACACAACGGACATCTGTCGAAGACCTCACCCGCAAGACACACTACCAGCGCCTCAATGTGCCCACTGATGCCTCCCCCGCGACAATAAAAAAGTGCGTAATCGCCCAACCTCGTCATGTCCTAGCTAACCCAACGTCAGATCCTTCTACGCCCTATCCAAAGCGCACCACCCAGACACCAACCCCTCGCCCTCTGCCGCCTCCCTATTCGCCCTCCTCTCCGAATCATACACGGTGCTCTCTAATGCCACCCGCCGCGCCTCCTACGACCGTGACACCCTGCGCCTCCAGCCCGCCCGCGGAGGCTCCTACTCGAGCACACAGAGTCCAGCTGGCGGCCGGCCCGCGTCTGGGCTATCTAAACGGCGCGGGTCATTCCGCGGACCTCCTCCTAGCTTTTACCGCAGCGGCGGCTGGGGCGACCGCACAGAGAAGCGCCGCACGGCACATGAGACGTCAACCGGCGGCGAGGGGGCGAACGCAGAGCAACAGCACCGCCAGCATACAGAGGCGGACTCGGGGCTGGGCGGTATGGGACCGGGAAGTAACCCATTCAAAGACGCCGAGTACGTGCGGTCAACGCCCCATTTCGATAAGGAGAGCCATACCAAGACGCACAAGGCGGAAGATCGACGGCGCTGGGAGCGCAGACGGAGAGCCGTGGATGAGGATGGCGTAGAATTCGAGCCGCAGGCGAGCTTGGGGGCGCATTTCCTCATCGTGGCGGGTATTTTAGGCGCAACCATTGTAGCGCCCATGGTGTATCTGCAGTTTCTACGGTTGGAGAGGCATAAAAGAGAGGCGTAACAAGACGTCGCAACACGGTATAAATCATTTCATTGTACGATATAGATATACGCGCGGCCACACATCTGATCATAGAGTATACAAAAGCAACAGTATGCAGTGACAAAAGAAAGTATATTTTTCATATTATTATACATCTACCCACTGGGAATCCCAAAGCAAATGCACGTAGTCTAGTAGGGTACATGAGCTGCTTCCGCGCAGCTACTTTTCAAAAACGCACGACAAGCGCCGCTCACAAATACACAAGGGAGCAATTTAACCCTCGAAGGTGAAGCTGGCACCGAGCTTGTGGGTAGCCTGGTCGAGCTTCTGGGTATCGAAAGAACCACCGAGACCCAGGGTGACACCCTCGCGGAGGAGGACGTTGTAGCCGAGAGCGGCGATACCGCGGTCGTTGAGCTTGACCTTGGCGAAAGAGACGGGGTCGATGCGGTACTTGGAGGCAACCTCGAGGCCGACAGTGTTGCCGGTCTTGGAGTTCCAGGTGGCCTTGGCACCAGCCTCAACCTGGGAGTTGACCTTGTGGTAGTAAGAAGCAGCAAAGACGCTCAGGTTGTCAGTGGCAGTGACAGCGGCGCTGTACTGAGGAGCGGCGTAGCCAACGGCAGCGCTGTAGCTGGTGACGGCAGCCTTCTGGACATCATAGCCAGCAGAGGCACCAGCGAGGAAACCCTCGTGGCCAACAACGGCGTCGACGTTGGCCTTGGGACCCTTGAGGAGGTCAAAGAAGGCGCGGCCGTTGAAGCCAGGCTGCTTGAAGTAGAGGTTGAACTTGGCACCCTTGGCAGCGGTGGCGGGGAGGAAGTTGAAGAGACCCTCGAGCTTAAGGCCCTTGGCAAGGGTATCGTTGACCTCAACCTTGGTGTCGAGGGAGTTGGCGGTGTTCCAGGCCTGGGTAAGGGTAAGACCTGTACAGAGTCAGTTAGCGGTCTAAGGTGGGCTAGAGCGGCCATTGCGTGATTTCAGGCGCGATGCGCTGAAGCATCTTAAAACAAGATGCCCAGCTGCAACGTCTCCCAGATAGCAGTGTTTATCGGAGTGAATGATTCGTACCGGTAGCCTTGTCGTTGTATTTTCCCTCAATCTGCGCAAAAAAGGTTTGTCAGTGGGGAGCTCGGCACAGGACTAGAAAGCTTGTGTAACGACTTACAGCGGCAGAGGTGGCCTTCTCGTGGCTAGACTTGCCAGTGACCTTGAAGGCAACGCCGTTGGGGGCAGTGTCCTTGAACTCGAAGGTGGTGGCGGCAAGGTGGTAGAAATCCTTGTTGAGGAGCTATTGGCCATAGAGGTTAGTAAAAGGCTGGCTGTGGTGAGTGCAACCGCGAGCTTGTCCAGCGCCCGCTCAGCCATTGAAATCAAGACAAAACCATCAATGCAGTGCAGAAAAATGCGCTCTACTGAATTCGACAGCGCATTGGCCACGGCGCATTGTGATAATCGTTCCAAGGCGGGACACAGAAAACAGCACGCAATGCAGAATAGTTGACGGGGGGAGAGAAGCGCATACATCGTTGGCCGGCTTGGCAATGTCGGAGAAAGCAGGGACAGACATGATGATTGTAGTTTGTTTAAAAAGAAGCCTAAAAGGTTCGATTTATAAAAAAAGAAGATGTTTTGGTAGAGGAGATGGAGGCGGTGGTGATGGGAAAGAGAAGGAAGAAGACCGAAGAACAGAGTGGAGGGAAATGAACTCTACGGTTACTACGGAGCAAAACGGGAGAAATGTTTGGGGGAAGTCGGTGGCTACTACCATTGGCCCAACAAAGTCCAGGGGACCCTCTTGCGAAAAAGACGTAATGTTAGGGAAGGGGCCCGCCCACTGTAGCCTGAGGCTTACCTTAGGCTGGGCCAGTGCACTAAATCCTCCCTTGACCTCCCAACTGTGCCTACTGTAACGAGGACCCTTGGACTGCCGTAGCGCTGCTCTGTGGGCACTGCGTCCGGCAGTGGAGCCCCCGTTGCTTTGCCTCAAAATTAGCAGCCAACAGATCCAACCTCGTGGGGTGCTTTGCCGTCACCTGACTGGCTAGTTTTCTATGCCGCCGCTGACCGCATTGTACCAGGCCAGTGTCGCATGTTGCTAGTAAACAAAACGAACCACCCCGAGGCTCATTACAGCATCGGTTCCGTCTAAATGAAAATATGGATATTGCAAAACGGGGGGGTAACTTTCCCATCACTGACCCAAATTCAACAGCAAACGTACGGGACCTGCTACCAGACATCTTGCTGCTGTCGCGGGCACACTGCCGCTAGTCGCCTCAACACACGGTCACATGTGCTAGTCACGCATCCTATTTCTTTACATATCCCATTTTATATTTCACTAGTCTGGCATCTATACAAACAAAAAGAGGCTTGCCAGAGCTGGCTTCGCCCCAACAGAATTCTTCCAAGCAGCCTTCTGCATAAAACTCAAAAACGCCTCTTAGACGGCGTTGTCGTACTTTTTGTTATGCGTGGAAATGGCGCGGCCACTTGGGTCACTCTGCTTAGACCAGGTAGGGGTCCAGCGCATGACGGTGGAAGCGCAACGGGGAGGAAAGTGCTCGTCAAACATGAGACGGTACCAGTAGGCCTCCTTTGTATCGGGGATATCTGCTCCCCATTCGGCCTTGGGGTTCTTCATCATCTCGTCCGTGACATGTAGCTCAGCGTTGTCTCTGAGTGCATCAATCCATCCGTAGCCGACACCATCAGAAAATTGCTCCTTCTGTCTCCAGAGGATATCTTCGGGCAAGTAGGGGGTGTTATCCGCCTCGCCAGTCGTGTCAAAGGCCTTGCGCAGAATGTACTTCTCCATGCGGCCCTCAGTGATCATCTTGTCCTTGGGGTCGGTGTTCATGGAAACCTCGAGGAACTGCGGAAATGGTTAGCATTTTGCCACTTTAACGTAAATAGAAAGTCGGATGGAGTAGACTTACTTCCTTGTCCAAGAACGGGACACGAGCCTCGAGGCCCCAGGCGGAAGTCGACTTGTTAGCTCGCAAGCAATCGGCAAGGTGCAGGTTCTTAACGCGGCGGACGGTCTCTTCGTGGAAGGCCTTGCGGTCGGGAGCAGCATGGAAGTAGAGGTAGCCACCAAAGATCTCGTCGCTACCTTCACCACTGAGTACCATCTTAACACCCATGGCCTTGATCTTACGTGACAGCAAGTACATCGGGGTAGACGCGCGGATGGTGGTAACATCGTATGTCTCCAGGTGGTAAATCACATCGGAGAGAGCGTTGAGACCGTCCTCAATCGTAAAGGTCATGACGTGGTGCTTAGTGCCGAGGAACTTGGCGACCTTGAGGGCGGCTTCGTTGTCGGGAGATCCAGGGAGACCAATCGAGAACGAGTTGAGCTGAGGAAGATAGGTAACCGTGTCAAGGTTGTTCTCATCGTCGATACCGACAAGACCCTCACCAGACTCGGCTTCACGAGCAGCAGCGTTGGCCTCAACCGCCTTTTGCTTGAGGCGTAAAGTCTCGCGCTGAGCGATGGAAGCAACCAATGACGAGTCAAGGCCGCCAGATAGAAGTACTCCGTATGGGACTTCAGCCATCAGACGCTTGCGTACTGACTTCTCAAGCGAGTGGCGGATGGCCATGTAGTCGACAGGAGTCGAGGGAACGTTGGTGGGATCCCACCAAGTAGGCTTGAAGTAGCGGTTGGTCTCGCCAGTCTTAGAGTCGTAGACGTGACCAGGAGGAAAGGCAACAATCTTGTCGCAAACCTGATGGAGGCACTTGAGCTCAGAGGCAAAGTATACGGCATCGGGTTCCTTCCAAGACCAGCCTTGGTAAAAGGTCGTGATTCCGATGGGGTCGCGGGCTGCAATGACTCTGTCCTCCTTCTTGTCGTAAAGAACGAAAGAGAACATGCCGTCCAGGTGGGTGGGTGCATCAGTGCCATGTTCAAGATACTTTTCATTTGTTAGCTTCTAGCATGTCTGGCCAATACAAAGATGTTGCCTACCAAGGGGATAATGACTTCGCAATCAGAATGTGTCTTGAAAGGGTAAGGCTTGGCAAAGTTTTTGCGCAGAAGACGGTGGTTGTAAATCTCGCCATTGACAGCGAGAACAATTGAATCATCTTCGTTGGTCAATGGCTGGGCACCAGAGTCTAACAAAGCGTAACTGGGTCAGCAATGCCGTGGTTTTCGTCACGGATAACGCTTGCGGGGGCAATTGCCGACTTACCGACACCGACGATACTGAGACGTTCATGGCAGAGAACTATCGCGAAAGTTAGCTCGATTGGTTCACAAATCACTTCCAAAAGAAATTGACATACTAGTGTTGTTGGAAATAATGCTTCCGCCTGTTATTTTTCATCTTGTTAGTTGACCGATCATGAACGACACGAATCGGCAGTAGACTCGAGACTCACTCCAGTCGGGACCTCGGTGACGGATCCTAATGCGCCATTAGCAAATCCAGTCTGTTAATTGCTAAAGTAGTCTAGACTTACTGCTTAGCAAGCTTGAGAGCCGTAGGCTTGAATTTTTGAACGTCGGGGTGACTACAGGGCAGTTTCTGTTAGCACTTTACTTTGCTCATCGAGGGGCAGGCTTGTGATTGCGGCTCCGGATTTGGAGGGGTTCGATTTTGACAGCTGTGAGATTGGCGGGAGGGGGGAGACAGGGCCCAGAACGTACCGATGGCAGGCGAAGATGCCACACATGATTGCAAGATTTGTCCTTGTTTTCTTCTGTAGAAGTAAAGGCAGTAGGAAATAGCGAAAAAGTGAATTGGTAGAAAAAAAGGAAGAAGAGAAGAAATGCGAAAAGGTTAAAACGAGACGCAGCCAGGTGGCGGATGGGGTCTTCCTCTGACTAGGCCCTAGCTTGGCATCTCTTCAGCACCGATAAAGGCGCTACAAGATAAGGCGCCTCCTGTTGCTACTGTAACTCCTGCACGGAGATTTTAGTGGGCCACTATGGTGCTGTTTGGTGCAACTTCAGTGGATTCACATCGCTATAACTGGGTGGTGTCCACTGTACAAAAACGGTTGGACATAGAAGTGAAGACTCATCGCAAGCAGAGAGTGGGTTCCGACTTCGGCATGCTGGGCGCCGCCAGGCGGATGCATGCCGGCACGGTTTGAAATTCCAGACGCTCTTATTGGTCGGCCGTGGAGTAACTCCATGCTTATAAGACGGGCAAGAAGCGGACAACCTGATATAAGGGTGATGACAGGATTGTTTGGAAGAAGGCTTCACGGTGTCCATATCTTCTGGCTGTAAGCTATCGCGGATAGTCGCGTATTGCACGGTATCCTGCGCTCCTGACACAATCTGCGTTACTGCGACGTGTGTTACCATCTCCATTGCCGCTCTCTGTGTTACGGCCCCTGGTAAAGCTCTGGTCCATCTTGCAACAATGTGGAACCGCATATATTGGTAAATGTATTTTTTTTGTAATCAATGGCTTACCAATTGTAACTTCTGCCATGCATATCGTCACAACAGTACTGCTTGTTAGCCAGTGATTGTCTACCCTAAACATCCTACGCGTATGCCAACGACCAACAGACGCTTATTGTGAAAAAAAGTAAAATAAAAGAAGTACAAGGGGAATGCGAAATCTTAAGCAAAAGGGAATGATGATATCAAAGGCAAATCGAAATGGGTCGCTCGTAATTCGTATCTCTAAAACGCCGTTGCAAACAGTACGCAAGTCGACACCTCCCAGCTTCGCGTAGCTCAAGGTGCTGGGTTTTCGCGGACGACACGCTTAACTCTTTTCTCGTATTCGGCGCGATCCTTCTTGAAGAGATTATAGGCTTCGGCCTGAGCTGGAGAGTCCGGGTTGGGGTCGTTAAGGAGATCCTGGATGCCGAGCAGAATCTGTTTAATCGTTATGGCAGGCTTCCATGCCTCTTCTTCGTTGAGGATCGAGAGACAGACAGTTCCAGACGGGTAGACGTTGGGATGGAACAAAGGAGGAACAAATTTGCCTATAAGACTGTTATTATTCATCATCGACAAAAACACAGGGTTGTATTCGTTCGTACACTTTGGTGGCTTGGTCGGATATTCTATGGCGGCTCATGTTAGCAAAGCCGTGGTTGGTCACTCCGCAACATGTGGTGCTTACCATCGGGAAAAGCGACAGTCAACTTAAACTGGCCGCCATGCCATATAGTCTTTTCCTTTCCAGGGATACTGCACTCCCAGTTCTTCATGTCGATAACGCCATCCTTTCCTCGAAGGGGCTTTGCGACAAAGCCAAAGGGGTGATCGCGCCGCCACTGCTTGCTGCTCCTGTGTTAGCTGAATCGGCCTATTCCTTCATAGGAGCATAAGCCTACCGCTCTTCCAATAAACGGTTCTGACACAGAGACATGTTATCAGGCTATCGATTTGGTGATTGGTGATTTGCGTTTGCGTAAACCTTTGGCGCGTAGAAGCGGATCGAAAGTGTGTGCCAACGGTGGACGTCGGCGCGTAGAGACTGGAAATACAGGCAGGAAGACGGTAACGAGAGCAATGTAAGAAACTGAGGGGAATGCTAACTTTTGGGAAATCGTGACAAAGATATTTTGATTGCAGATCCAACGAGCAAGGTTAAAAAGTCACACCGTCGTGAACCAGGCCCGTAACAAAATGGATGGGGCATATCACTTTAGCGGGGTCTGTCTATATGCGCAGGCAGAACAGCACACAGACTAGACTTCCCCCAGCTGCGGGTGGCGGGGTGACTTTGGCGTGGGGCGCGCAGAAGGCCCGGCAGGCTCTCCTTGTCTTCCTCGGCTGTTTAACCTCTGGTTCCGTACATTACAAGACCGAGTTAATTGAACCAAGGATACAACACCCCGATTCACTTGCTCCTTTGCGGAAGCGTACAAAGTCATCTCAACAACTACATCGACAGCGGTTCATTAACCATCCGCGCATCTGTGCATCAAGCGTCCCCGAATTCACATGCTCATGCAGCCATTCCTTCGATAGAGGCTACACGAATTTTCTCTACACATAAGCAAAGGTGCAAAAACATGGGTGCTACAGATCCCACAAATGATGCCGTCGAGAAGAAAGATGAGGTGGTAAAGCCGATAGATCCTAAGGCCTCCGTGGAAGGTGCCGACGAGTTCCCAGATCCGGATGAGGATGACCTCGACGACTTGGATGGTACGCTGACATGTCCTAAGGTGCAAACTTGTTTACTAACGGATTGTTAGATATGCTCGATGACTTCTCAGCAGCTAAAATCACGGACGACAAGGCTCAGAAGCCTGCTGCCGCCTCGGCTGCCGAGCCGAGTGAAAAGGAAGCAACGTCTTCCACGCAAGCCAAAGTTGGTGAGGAGGGGGAGTTTTCCGAGGAAGACTTCGCCAAGCAGCTCCATGCAGGCATGGCGGACCTCCTAGGAGATATGGACAAGAATGTAAGATAGTTTGTTAAGGCTTGTAAGGGGCATAAGCTAAACTAAACCGTTTCCAGCCCGAGATGCAGAAGGAATTCGAGAACATGCTCAAGCAGTTTAGCACCGCTGCTGAAGCCGCCACTGATGGCGACGGCAACCCAACCACTTCGGCAGCCGGTGGCGATGCATCATTCCAGGACACAATTCGCCGCACTATGGAGCGGATGCAGAGCTCTGGCGACCAAGCCACTGCAGCCGCAGCATCTGGTGGCGCCGACGACTTCATGTCAGAGCTGCTGAAGCAAATGTCGTCGGGTGAATTTGGCAATGGCGAAGGTAGCGACGAAGACTTTTCCAAGATGCTCATGGGCATGATGGAGCAACTGACTACAAAGGAAATATTATACGAACCCATGAAGGATCTACACGAAAAGTTCCCTGAATGGATGGAGAAGAACAAAGCTGCTACCCCAGCCGATGATCTGAAGCGATATGAAGAACAACAGACACTTGTAAAGGAGATTGTGGAAAGATTCGAAAAGCCTGGGTATGCGGACACTAACAGCGAAGACCGCGAGTATATTATTGAGAGAATGCAAAAGGTAAGCATTATCTGAAAGATGCAGGCTCTAGGCGGTGCTAATGATTTCCTTATAGATGCAAGATGCTGGCTCCCCGCCTGCGGATCTCGTAGGTGATATGCCATCGGCGCAGGAAGCTCTAGGCGGTGCCGACGAATGCAACCCTCAATAGAAAACGGAGTGTATCGCTGCTCAAAAACTGTCCTTGTTTCACTTTACATCTGGGAATCTGACCAAGATACGAAGTTAGTTGGATAATGTGTCACAAAATAATACATTGTTGTCAATGCTGTCATGGTCAATCCATATGACAGCTTACTCCAGCCAAACTAAAAATAGAAAGAAGCAAAATACGCCGCCATGTCCGTTATATACAAGTAATCATGTTATGTACACGGGTTTTAGATGCCGTCTTAGTTCATTTCCATTTCATCCGCGGCTTGACGCTGCTGCTGCCCGTATTCTTCTTGAGCAATGAGGTCGTCAAAGATGGAATCGTCAAAGTCATCCGAGAAATCTGGCGATGGAGGTCGCCACGCTTGCTCCGACTCAAAGGCAGCGACCATTTGATCATCGAAAGTGCTATAGTCCTCCTCCATGGCAATTTCATCTTCTGGGATTGGGGGGAGATGTTCGTCTTCAAACTTCATGGCTTCTTCAATGTCGTCATCGCCCACTACAGGAGCATCGTGGGTCAGTTGATCCAGATTGGCAAGCCAGCTTGTTTTTTGGAACTGCGACGATAACATGTTAGCAGACGGTCCTCCAGCAAATCAGCCAGTAGGTATATATTCTTACATTTCCCTCGATATCCCGTCTTCTCCATGCTCTTTCCTCAGATTTTTCACGCACGCTCTGCAAAAAGTTGCGGCGCTGTTCCATCTGCTTCTCCTCACGCTTGCGTAGTATGGGATTAGATCGCTGGGCACGCGAGGCGAACTTGAACTTTGGCGCTGGGATCGGCGACGACTGAATCTGTCGCATCGTTGATGAGGCCGCATCGTTGAGGGGTGATGGCGGAGATGTAGCTCGGATAGGAGATGAGGATAAGGGCGACGAGATGGTTGGGCGATGGTCCCAGATGCCCGTGAAGATTGGTGTGGGAGCGGGAGCAAACGACAACATGTTCGCGGCGGGCTTGTCCTTTGTCCTTGGTGTGAATTGCTGCATAAACTATGCGGTGGGAGACTTCTCAATGCCGTCCTGCGGAGGGAAGAAGCCGATGTTAAGTCGTGTAGATGGGGGGTACAATGGCGATGGCTGGACGTGTTAATTGATGGTCTTAGACACGGCGGGCGGCACGGACGCGATGACATTGGCCTGCATGGGTCGAGGGCGAGTCGCGCCGCGCAGTCACGTGCGCGCGATAAATCGAAAGAAACAGCCACGGCAAAACACGGCGCCAGGCAGTGTACCCCACCGTCGCCGACTAAAAGGCACCTGGAGGATTACAGTGGTAGACAGTGACGTTATGCAGGCAGTGCACGCCCCTGTAAACGCTGCCCCCAACGTACCGAGCGTGCCTCGGCGAATCACGGCGCCCGACGGGCCAAAAAGTTGTTGAATCGTTGCATCATGAATTTTCAGGGAGCAGCCTCGCCGCCTATTTTGCTCTCGATGCATTTCTACCTTTTTGTCTCGCATTGTCCACGGTAGCAATTGTTTAAGCTGGCTTCTTGAAAATTAGGGCATCAGCAACAGCTATTCTTTTTTTATATATTTGCTCACTTTCTTATTATGATGAGTGTGCTTACGGCCTAGACGTCGCCACGCCTACCCCATCGCCACAACACAACTACCATGCGGCCGTTTTCGATATCTGGCCTTGCCAACCGAATTGGCTCGCGGTCACAGCCCTGCAACACCTGCCGAGTCCAATGCCTGCGTAGCAAACCCTCGTTTGCATCTCCTACCCGAAATTTCGCATCCACTGGCCCGTCCCGCGTCTTCGCTGGTGCCAAAAGGCGGTCCGCTACACGATTTCTACTACTGGCCACGACAGGAACCGCTGCGGCGGGTACAACAGTGCTGGCCTTTACCGATGATATCAAAAGTGCCTATGATACAGTAGAGCGTACGGGAAGAGTAGTCACAGTGCTTGCGTTGTGCATCAATGAGTACGCCAATGGCCCTTTCATGTGATCATAGTGAATCCTGCCCGCTGACTTGTTGCATAGTTACCGAAAAACACTCAACCATAATGAAAAGCTGGAAGATGACAACGAAAAAGATAGCCTGCTGCGTGCGTGTCACAAGCGCTGCGCTGACCGAACACTAAAAGCCATGGAGAAGAACGGCGGCATATTCATCAAGCTTGGGCAACACTTGGTAAGACTACCTACAGGCCCGCCCAAGTCATGTAATACCTAACACTTAATTTACAGAGCGCCATGAACTATCTACTACCAACCGAATGGACGACAACCTTTATACCCCTTCAAGACAAGTGCCCTGTGTCTTCTCTCTCATCCATTGAGGCCATGTTTCTCAAGGACACGGGCAACCCGATTTCGTACTACTTTTCCGAATTCTCCCCTGAGCCCATTGGCGCAGCATCTCTCGCACAAGTCCACCTAGCCACACTTAAAGACACAGACCAGAAAGTCGCCGTCAAGGTGCAGCATCCCGAGCTCGAAACATGGGCGCCTCTTGACCTTCTCCTCACCAAATACACGTTTCAGACACTGAAGCGCTTCTTCCCTGAATACGACTTGGAGTGGCTCTCTTCCGAGATGGATGTATCGCTGCCCAAAGAGCTCGACTTTCAAGAAGAGGCCAAGAACGCACGCTGGATGAAAGAGCACTTTGCCAGGATCCCGCAGCTGCCGCTCGTCATCCCAGACGTCATCTGGGCCAAAAAGCGCATGGAAGTCATGGCGCTCGAGTCTGGATGCCGCCCCGATGACCTGGAATACCTAGACAAGAACGGCATCGACCGCGACCAAGTATCGGCTGCGCTGGCGCGCATCTTCAACGAGATGATCTTTGGAGACGGCGCGCCTCTACACTGTGACCCGCACGGCGGCAACCTGGCCATCCGCAAGAACAGCTCGTGGCGCAACTTCTTCATCGGCCGGCCTAACTTTGACATCATCCTCTACGACCACGGGCTGTACCGAGAAATCCCGCTCCCGCTGCGCCGCTCATACGCAAAGATGTGGCTGGCTGTTATCGACGGTGACATGGATCGCATGAAGAAGTATGCGCACGAGGTGGCCGGCATCACAGATAAGGACTTCCCGCTGTTTGCGTCGGCCATTACGGGCCGCGAGTTCTCCGTGGTGTCTAAGCAGGGATCGATTATGAAGACACGTACAGCCGGGGAGGAAAAGTCCATGAGCTCCTCGTTGCAGGACGGGCTCCTAGCCGACTTGGTGCAGCTGCTGAGCCGCGTGCCGCGAATTATGCTCCTGATTCTCAAAACCAACGATTTGACACGTAGCCTGGATGAGAATCTGCACACAAAGCAAGGGCCGATCCGGTCGTTCATGATCCTCGCACGCTACTGCACGAGGACTGTATTCCAGGAGCAGCTAGAGCAGATCCGCGAGATGGGATCGTTGTTCTGGCCGCCAAACTCGGTCCGGGTCATTGTTGCGTGGGCATCGTATGTCCGAGTCGGCATCAAGCTGGAGGCATTTGAAGTGTGGCTGGCTATTCGCCGGCTGCTGGGGCTCTCGCAGCTCTCAATCATGTGAGGTATTAATGGTGAAGTTTCACGATCTCATATACATAGAAACCACCTTATTTCATTTGGTATCTGGCGGGTTTGTCGTATTGTTATAGAGTAGAGTCTAGAATAGAGCTGACACCCCCGTACACGGGCGTTTTGGTATTTGCATTATAAATGAGCTTGTCAACGGATACATATGTGCAGTTATATATATTACAACACAAGGATTTTCTATACATTCTGCATACCGCATCCCGTTGTGGTGATGTTACGTGAAAGCGACCGTGCATGCAACACAGCTGCATATTAGACCACACAGTTGCTCTTCATACTCGTCGATAGAAGCTTCTACACTAGTCGGAGAAAATTCTCCGCTAACCTAAAGATTATACACTAATATAATAATTACATAAAGAAGCATAGAGCTAGTTCGCGCCAACGTAGGATTGTCGAACAACTGACGCCTCGTATTCAAGCTCCACTAACAAAAACACTGGGAAATTGCCGGCCGTAAGTCTGCTGTAAATCTGCCGGTCCCATCAACCCCAAACTTTCTGTCATTTCCCTTTTTCTTCGGCTACTTTTCTTCTTTTTTTTTTTCTACATCACAAGCCAATCCTTTTGTATTCAACTTTCTCAAACATCTCCCTCCTTCCGCCTCTCCATCACAATGGTTTCCTCGTCTGCGCTCGTCGTCGCCGCCACCGGCATCTCACTCGCCGCCGCAGCCGCGCCCCTCGAGGTCATCACGTCCGTTCTCGTCATTGGCGCCGACAAGATGCCTCTTGAGGCCTCTGTGTCCTCTGTTGGCCCCTCTGCCACCGTCTTCGCCCTCAACTGCCCCAGGAACGTCGACAGCAACAGCTGCGGCCTCCCTCCCAATGGCGCCGTGATCACCTACGGTCCCTCCACTTGGGCCATGACGTTGACTGGCGCCAACGACAACGGTGCTGTGTAAGTGCTACATAGGACAGGGTTTAGTAGCCTGGTGGCATCTTAAATCATGCTAATGCTTTATATTATAATAGTGAGACACAGCCTGCCAACTGTAAACTTGATCCGGCCAAGGACGTCGCAGTTTGCGCCGCCCCCGGCACCAACAAAGTTGTCACCACCGAGACGGTGTCTAGCTACAAGACTTATTTGCAGGACGTCACTATTACTGCTGGCCTCACCAAGCTTGCCGGTGCTACCAACAGCGGCAGTGCGCCTTCGAAGACGGCTACCGCCTCCGGATCTGATGCCTCGTCCAAGTCCGATGCCGTCAAGACCGGATCGTCAAGCACATCAAGCGGCGCTGGGGCCCCTATTATGACACAGAATGCTGTGCTTGCCGGAGCGGCTGCCGTTATTGGCGCTTTGGCTCTATAACTGGTCCTGTATACCAAAACGAACCCGTCATGTAATACAATACTTATCACACATAACATAAAGTGTACAAGTTTACTAGTCCCCTAACCGTGGGCCACCTTTGTGTATTAAAGGAAAAAGAAACGCCGGCCAAGTTTGGCCACTACCTAGTATTAACGAATATTTGGTCGCTTTTTGTTTCCTCCGTCAAATCGCTCTGCCATGCTTTTAATGATGAAAAATGTCTAAAGTCCTATGTCCAAACACACACTTGGTTTTGTACGAAATTCGTTGACTTTAAAATGCAAATAGGCCGCTTCGTCGTTTGCCAAGAGGATAGACAATCAAGGCGCTGAGGAACAGTCCCACGCTGAGGCTGATGGCCACCTGTAGGACTCGGAATAGGACGGTGAGTCCCGTGCTGTCTAAGGCACTCGATGCTTTCCCGTCACCATGGTTTCCGGCTATCTGATCTGCAAACGCGATGCTCGATATCAGGGATCCGCCTGCAGCAACACTTCCAGGCACAAGGACAAAAATGGCTGGAAGCATTGCTGCTGCTGCAAGGCTATAGCCAACGCTTTGCTTGCGTAACTCGACACGAGTTTTCCGGGGAAGACGTACCGCTTGCGGGTTGTTTGGCAACGGCCACTCTGTCTTGTCTGCTGTAAGTCGCGTCCGGCGAGAGAAGCAGCTCTTGCTCCACTCAGCGCAATGCAGCCATGCATGCTCAACGTGTCGGCCAAGTCTCGAGTAGAGGTTTGCCATGATACCAAGAGTCAATGCCCCAAGAAGGTTAGGGATTTGGCTGTTTCCCAAGAAGTATTGACCACAAGTACTGCTAACGACATATGCAGTACATGACATAGCGAGCATGATTGGTGTCTGCTTCCAGTTGGCTTGGCAAATGATGGCGGTACAAAATGTAAACCCACAAACAAAAATGATGTGAAATCGGCGGTCCAGGGGGTCAGTGCATTTCGTAGCGCTTGATGCGTTGGAGTCCATGATTCCGTATATCGAGGCGCCAATGGTCAGTCCATATCCCAGCAGAAGTGTATAAATCATTGCATAAATCAGACGGACGCTTCCTGCAACGATATTATGACTCTGAAGTTCCAAAGAACTACATAAAATCATGTATCCAGGCAAAATAAGTGCCAGGCTACATTGCGCAAGCGTGCTGAAACAGAATAATTGCCCGCCGTAGAGAGATCCAAAGAAGCGGCCACCAAATGCTGTCATCATGGCGGCCATGACTTCCAAAACCGGAGCATACAGCTCATTGCTTGCAGCACAGTAATATTGAAGTACGCCAACAATGGTGCCCAACAAGAAAGCCGGTGGTAGATCAATAATGCGGCCGCCAAAAGCAACTGGTGCAGCGCACATAGAGATGCCACCGCACATCAAGACGCGAAACCAGACCGAATATTTGTATTTTCGGCCGATAACCTCTTCGAGCCATTCCATAGCTTCGTCCACATCGATTCGTTTGTGAATAACCAGTTTGTAAATCTTATGCGCGTCACGCAACTTTCCTAGATCAATGTCCTGAGGTGCTCGTACAACCTTGATTTCGCTGGTATGCGTACAGCTATCGTCAAAAACAACAATCATGCAGGATGGAAAGTACAGAAACTGGCCTTCGATCTCCAACGCCCGCGCAGAGAGACCCATACACTCTTCCAGTCGATGTGTTGGAGCGCCGTAGAGCATGAGAGCGTAGCAGAGTCGAAGAAGGTAGCGACGTCGTAGCATAACGTCATCTTCCAGAGTCATAGGGCTTCCTGCAAGAATACCAGACGGTATTCTCTGTTTCTTCTCCGCCCATCTTGCTGAAGTATCAAAGGAGTGTGTATCGCTACTCGTTCTGTTGGTGTTGCTGCCATCCTCTGTACGATACATCTGGATCAGGGATGATAATACTCGATCACCATGAGTGGGAGGTGGTTGCGTTAGGTTGCTTTCTTCGTCTCCGAAAGAGGTCATTTTTTCAACTCCGCTGCCGCAGAGGGCGCGTTTTGATTGTGGTCGCTAGCTGCCAGAGCTCTGTGGTGAAGTATCCCTCTACAACGTGAATCGAAAACCGTGGTCTTGCTGTTTTGAGTCTGAAAATTAAACAGCCTTGCAAAACCATCGAAAAGGAAAACGAAGCTGTGACGACAGCGTACTAATGATATAAGGGGGGAATTCTACAGTGGCGCGGCCAATCGAATCAAAACGACGGTACAGTTGTCTTCATGCCTAGAGGCGCTAGGCCGTGTTAGCCGCAGAGCTAAGACGTGGGGGAGGCTGGGTCTGAGTTTTCCACCAGGTATTTCATCTTCTAGCCAGTCGGATAGGCTCGTGGAGGCGTTCTGTGGCAAGTTATTCTGAAACCTTGTCTTAGCATGGCGACGTGAAGACGAGGTAGACAAGAACGATGTAGGCTAGCGGAGAGAAGATGCCGCATTTGTAGGCAGTCTGGCATTGGCTAGGGGGCTAAGTCATGCACGTCAGGATGATGAAAAGCTTGTGCCGGTATGAGGAATGTCTTGGTGCGCGGGTGAGACATGCTCAAGTAGGAAGGAGGGGATAATAACTTTTCTACAAGATGCGGACAAAACATGCCGGAAGAGACTTGTGGCATCTCGTTTGGAACAATTTGTCGGGAAAAGCTTTCCATTTGCCCAACATTTCCATGATGTATGTGTTGTTACCGTGTTTTGGCCGCGTCGTTGGCGATGTTGCCAAGTGGAGGTTTTGGGGCCTATTTTTTTTTCCCTTTCTCTTACCCTTTCAAGCAACTGTAGGTGCCATCGATCGACACTTGGCCTCTCTTTCGCCTCTCCACATTCTCGATCCGACCCGCAATTCAAACCAGTCATATTTCTCATGCATGCCTAGAATGAAATCTCCGATCTAGCTATTCAAGTCACGACTTGGAAAGCTTTGTTCATCGATCGCACAGGGCATGACTGGTCCATATATATCAATCAACCTGGAAAAGTGTAGCAACCCCGGCATTTGTTGTGGCTGGTCTCTCCGAACACGAAACCATAGCTATACTGAGACACATGCAAGTTGTATGATTGCACCGGTGGGTTATTGGCGTCTATATTTGTCTATTCAAGTTCTCCGTCCTAGCTCGTAAATAGATAGGCTGTGACTAGCTAGTACGTTTACAACAACCATCTGATTAGAATGAAATTTAAAACAAAACAAAGAGGGCCCTTGGTGATGACCAAGGGAAAGAAGTCATGGAAGGGAAGTAACGCGTGATTGTGAAAGCAAAGTGAGTGGAAGCGCATGGCTTAGAGGACGAAGGCAACAAGTCCAACGACGGCTGCCAAGGCAGAGACAGCAACACGAGCTCCGCTGCTGGCAATGATGGAGGGAGGACAGTTCTCACCGGTGCAGCCTTCGGGCTTCTTGTTACCAGTGCCAGGGCAGTTCTCGCCATGGCAGCTGTTGTCACTGCCAGGGTAGTAGCCTCCAGTGGCCGATGGTGTGGCCACCAAGGTGTTAGTGCTGTTGTTCCAGCCTGGGACGATGTTGAGGCTCTGGCTGGGCTTGGGGTTACCGCCGGTCTGCTTGGGGGTCTCCTCACCAGGGCAGTAGGTAGTGGTGATAACCTCAGTGGTGACCTTACCAACAGGGCAGTTTGTGACGGTAGGGGCACAGCTGGTGATGGTGTAAGTGGTCGTGATGTGAGTGGTGATGGTCTCGTTGTCACTTCCACCGGTGGGTTTGGATGCAGAAGGAGAAGGCTTGGTGCCCTTGGAAACAGGGCAGACAGTCGTGTATAGGGCAACCGTCTCAGTAGTGACCTTGCCAATAGGGCAGCTGGTCACAGTCGGGGCGCAGCTGGTGATGGTGACCGGTCTGGTGGTGTAGACAGTGGAGGTGGTCATCTCAACAGAGGTGGCAGAAGCCGACGAGTTGGACCATCTGGTGGAGCTGCTAATAGCGGAGGCTTCCGAAGCGCTGGACACGCCGGTGGGCTTGGTAGATGCGGTGTCAGGCTGTCCAGAGCTGGCAGTAGACGAAGCAGAAGAGCTAACGGCAGTGGTTGAAGACTCAACAGAGCTAGTGGACGAGCTCGAGACAGTGGTGCTAGTGGAGGAAACGACGGTTGAGCTAGTGGTGACGGGATCGAGGCGGGAGTCCTGGAAGAAACGAATATCCTTGACCTTGAAGAATGACTCCGCAAAGGCTTCAGGGTGAGAGTTGACAAATTCCGTGCAGGTCGCAACACCAGTCTGAGCACCACATGTATGATCCCAAAACTGGGGGAACTTGGCGGGCTCACCGCAGAAGTCAAGGTTGAGGATAACCTTCTGAGGGCCAAAGTGCTTGTTAAGGTCGCACTTGTTGTTGCTTACGCGCATGATGGGCTGACCCCAAGACGCAGTATCAGGGTGATCAGAGTTGATGTTGCTAGGCTCAGCACCGGTAGAGAAGCCATAGATGCTGATGGTTTCGCCAGTCCACTCAAGAGCATCTATCTTTGAGTTAGCGATATCCAGCCCAAATAGTATATGCCACCAAAGGTTACTTACAAATTCCACCGTTGGAGGAACCATAGGGGGCGCTGTTGGCATTAGCTGAGCAACCTTGGTTGACGAATTGGGTTTGGCCGTCGGTGTAGGTGTTGTCGCAGTTGCTAGTGATAACCTGGCCCGTTACATGCTCATTATCCACGAAGCAAGCTCCGTAGTCACTGGCGTTACCAGTGTGGATGGCGGGCTGGTTGTTGGCATCGAGGTTCCAGTGCTCGTAAATGTCAATCTCGCCCTGGCCTGGCCAAACATCACCCTTAGTCCAGCTAGATTTACGCATTAGCTCATACAATCAACAGCGTACTAGGACACAAACGTACAAAGCAGGCCAAAGTCCACAAGCAGGCTTAGGGAAGTGTGTGAAGCGAGCAATCATCAGACCTTCTGTGTAAGACTTCCTGGATTCGAGGCGAACACTGCGGCGGTAGTCCTTCTTGGTAGTCTCGGGCCTCACAAAGAAGTCATCGCCATCTGAACCAACGAGGCCGAGCTTAAGGGCCTCGGCCTGGCCAACGTAACTGACATCGCCATTGGAAGGGTCATGTTGCTATTTCAAGGTTAGCAAATGTTTGCTGCACCGTAAACATATACGATTACTTGCATCCCAGAAGTTGAACTTGTCGAGGAAGTTGGTCTTGTCGTACGTCTCAACAACAGAGAACTTGGTGGCAGCGACGGATCCAGCGCAAGCCAGAAGAGCCGTGCTGACGGCAGCAAAGGAATGCATTGTTGGGGTAAAGAACGTTTGGATTCAAGCGAATGTAAGCGACACAAGGTCAAGAAATGAGTGTGGTGGACGTTTGATACGTCGAAGAAGAAACAAACCAAGCTGCGTCTGTCGTAAAGCAAGAAGCAAAACTTGAGAGAAGAGAGGACAGCAGCCACCAGAGGCTAATACGGGAGTCCATGGCTTTTCTAGTGATGTGTGTCTGTGTGGCGGCGGCAGCCTCTCTCCCCTATGCAGGCTCAGCAGCGCGTAGGCAACTGGGCTTGCAGCTCAAGGCGACCCAAGTAGGGTTCCAATACGGGGCATCGTCAACACAGGCGGCGAATCCATGACACGGATGGTGCCCGTTATCCAGGTTTGGAGCTCCGCCATGAAGAGCGAAGGGCCGCGCAGCCCGGTGGTCCAATAGGAGTCGATGGCCGCTGGAGAACGTAGCCGTTTGGAAAGGTAGCTCCAAGGTCAACCAATGATTGGCAACGGCGTCTAGTGGGTTTGCCAGGGGTAAACGAGGCTGCGTAGCAAGGACGTCCCAATATTGGACCCATTGACGGAGAAGAGAGCCCTAAGAGGACTAGCAGCGGTGTGGCTGGACTAATGCAAGTGCATAAGCCCTTCTGCAGGAACAGAAACAAAGCGTGTCTCGTGTTGTGGAGTGTTTCCTCGTTTCCGGACTTTGCAGCTGTGCTTAGAATTTCTTTTGTTCAACTACATTCATTGTTCTTTGGGGGACATGCGTAGGAGAGAGTCCGGGTTGTCGGTAGACATGGGGGAAAAAGAAAAGGTCCAGAACTTTGACAGGCAGGGGAAGCGACAGCAGGTGGTGGGCTACCCACCGTCGGACTTTGCGGTGGCTCCTCTCCACCAGAAATCAGGCAAGCAAGCTTGGTCGCCACGTTTCCGCCTCCTGCACAGCTGGTGCCTCGTCTGGCCGGCTACGTGTTGAAATGGATTAAAATAGATGAAGCTAATCAATTTGCATCCAACTCATTTTATTCTGGCCAAGGCGCACGCCCAGCTGGGACGAAGCAGGCGTCTTCCAGAAGTGGCCCGTCAGTCTCTTTGTAGCGGCTTGGTTCCGATACAGTAGCAACCCTGTCAACTAACTCGTATTATGCTTGTTTCTAGGCCTAGAATGGTTCTCGAACAAAATTCAGGGTGCACGGTGATGGCCGATGGGTTGGTGAGGAGGTATATACCCTTGATGAAGGGCATGGCATGGCATGACTTCCGTGCTCATGCTAATAGTTGCATAGAATGATGGCTACGGCGGGATGAACCCACTCAACAGCGGAAAGGGTACGGAAAATAAAGCCTCAGCTCTTGAGTCAGCGAGATGCCACACACAATGCATACGCTGGTGTGCCCGCTGCCCCTGATCCCGTGATCCACGCCGAACAGACGGCGTCGGTGACCCCATCCCTCGATTCCGCGGAACAAGAGAGAGGGGTTTTAAGGCCGACAATGAGGTAAAAGTTTCCAGGTTCCAAGCCGTGCGGGTAGAACAGCGCAGCCCACAGCTTCCATATCAGGATAGAGGCCGAGCTTTTACGCGAACAGCGGATTCTCTACTGTAGGCGCTAACGCCGGAGCCGACGCTAAGAGCGACAAAAACAGGTCGGTAACGGAAATTAGAAAGCAAACTAGTCCGTCATTGCGGCGTCCGAGAGCCAGACCATTCGTCTAAATTAGTGGATGTGCTGAGAGAGACGGTGTTAGAGCTTACTGGCGCCAACGACGTCGATCCGCTTCGTTCCAGACGATGTTGAGTTACAGCGAGATTGCACATCATTACCAAAAGCAAGTACGAGTCGAGTGCCAAGCACCCGGATTCCCCGGTAAGCGCTGTTGATAGTTAGTAGTAGGCTCTCAAGAGACTGCATCCACGGCGCAATACACAAATAACTGCTTAAGGAGTTGAACAATTGAGTTACCATAACTTAACTCCGTAAATGCAGCACCAGAAATAGCAACAAAGTGTTCCTGTTTTTTTTTTCTGTCAACACGGTTTCTCCTGTAGGCAGGCGTCGTGTGGCGGACTCTGATAGTTGCATTGGCTCCCAGGCACCAACGGCCCTGTCAGCCCTGGGACTCCACAACCACGCGCCGTGCTCCTTTGGACCAGAGCTTGCCCCTCATTGTCGGAAATGAAGCTCTCCAACAACGGGCATACCATGTAATGGTCCCGCCACCACCTTCGGTAAGCAGAACACGCCGCTGCGATGCTGTGCATGTTAGACGGATATGGCTTGGCAATAGTGGTACTGATTGTCCCGTTAGACGCCCGCTCCTCGGCGCTTCTTAACCAAACGACCTGGCGCCTCGTCCTCCTCTCAGGCTACTCCAGCATCAGCCGCCTCACGCTTCCAATCGACTGCAACACCAAAGCTTGGTACGCAGCGGCTTGAGGAAGTAGAAGATGTCGAGAGTGAGGATGACCTGATTGCCGGTAGTCAAGATGACCAAGGGCCGCTACATGACAGCGATGGCATCCCTCCAAGCAGCTGGGATGAGCCGCAGTCTGAAGCTGCTGGGAATATTGCTAAAAGACGCAAGATTCTGGACGATAGTGACTACTCTACTCAAGAGCCGCTGGATGGCGAGACTGCCGCTAGACAGTCGCCTGTGGTATCTGAGGGTAGTTCTCAAGAACTGGTTGAGGATGTAAAAGCCGTCACATCGACGACGACAAATCCAGTGTTCCGGCCTGCACCGCGCTTCAAGGCTCCAGCAGAAGAGGACAGTGTGGCAGAGACGTTACTTGAGCAGACATCCCCGCGTCGTAAGCATGCTTCATACGTCCCGGGTGGTCTTGCAGAAGAGCTCCAGTCATGGCTCTCAGAAGTCAAGGGGCAGACCGTGCCCGGGGTTAATTCCACAGACGAGCTGCGCGTGCCTATAGCTGCTGCCCGATCTGGTACGCGGATGTGTCTGGTTGCAGACATTGACGGCAAGAATTACATTCTCGCTGGATCCGCACCGAGCGTGGCCGTAGACAGTGTTTTATTAGTCCGCCGACCAGTATGGGACATTGAGCTATTGGGGGAAACGCAGACGGTTGTCTGGAATTGGGCAATTGAAGAGCGATAGGCTTAATATAGAAGCGATTTGCAATGATTTATATATCTTTTCTTTTTTTTATAAAATGTAATGTAGACAGCGCTGGTTCGATTTACAGCCACTATACACTGGCATCCCTTCTGCGGCCTCCTCATAGGGAGCACTACGCGCCTTACAGGCGTCCTGTTGTAGAACCCGCTAATTGTATCAAAGTTTCCTGGCTGGAAGATATCATAAATTTTCTATAAGCAAAGAAAATCCCATCTTAAAATATATTGCGGGCGGACAAAAAACGATAGATCGTGGTGGTGGTTCAGCAGCATTTTGTATGATGCAAGTAAGCGTATTTGTTGCAACAAACGAATCCAGCCACACGCAGCGGACGAGCGGCTCTCCCCAATTAACCAAGCAACCCGTACGACTCTTAGTCGCCCAATACGCCAAACAACAACATTTCATCTACTAACAATTGCATCCATTATCGACTTACACTTCTAACTACACCAAAAACGTCTTAATTCACAGTAAATGGCGTCTAGGCTAGCTACTCTGCCGCGCCTCCTTGTCCGGCCGCGCCATGTGACATTATATGGGCGATGCTCTCACGCGCGGCTCTTTGCAACCGAGACCAAGCAGTCAGATCCTCTGCGCATTCTGTTCTGCGGCTCTGATGCATTTAGCTGTGCTTCGCTACGTGCGCTGCATAAAGAGCACACCAAAAACAAGGCCCTGATTGAGAGTCTAGAAGTCATGGTCCTGCCAGGGAAGAAGACAGGTCGCGGTCTCAAAGTGGTTAGCGAAGGTAAGCTGCTATTCGCACAAGCTTCACAGTAAATACATACTAATTGGGCAAAAGTTCCTTGCAAGAGTCTTGCTCAAGATCTTGGGCTGCCGATTCATCAACGGCCTACATTTAGAGATTGGGATGTACGTATTTGTTAACGAGGTGCTGTCTTTCGGTTACCCGCTAACCCGTCCAAGCTCCCCAGGGGAACCAATATCATCATAGCCGTATCATTCGGCCTCTTTGTTCCTGTACGGATTCTCCAGTCTGCAAAATACGGCGGGCTCAACATCCACCCGTCGCTTCTACCAGAGTGGGTTTAACTCTTTCTGTCCTGCCGGGATCCTGGCGCGACTAACAAGTATCCAGTCTCCGAGGCCCTGCTCCCATTCACCATGCACTCCTTAATGGAAATACGCATACAGGCGTCTCCCTTCAAACACTACATCCTACGACATTCGACCACGGCGCTATTCTCGCTCAAACGCCCCTCCCAGGCATCCCTATCCCAGGTGACACAGATATCGCGTCGCTAACAAGTTCTCTGGCACTAGTTGGTGCAGAAATGCTTGTACAAGGACTACGAGATGGCGTACATGTTGCACCTCAGTCTGTGATTGAGCAGACAATCACAAGCCCCATCCGCCACGCGCCCAAAGTTCAAAAGAGCGAGGCAGGCGTAAATTGGGCCTGGGCGGGTGACGAGTGGTGTCGGCGGCGCCAGGTGTTTGGCTCACTCTGGACTACAGGCAAGGTAGCCAAGGATGGCGTCGAAAAGAGAGTCATCTTCACCGAACTCGGCGTTGTTCCGTCGTCAGATGGCATGGACGCCATGCGCAAGGTCACGGTTTCAGTTGGCAACGGTCTTGAAAGCAGGTTAGACGAACGCACTGGCGACTGCTACCTGCCGTTGCCTGATGGGTGTTGGGTGCGAGTAGGCAAAGTTCTAGTCGATGGCAAAAAGGAACAGGTTGCCACCACTGGATTACGGCCATTTTTTAGCATGGCATAGGCCAGTTTTGTTTTGTACACACAATTATTGATACCCAGTTTAATGTGAATTTGTTAGAAGTGTCACACATGGATCTAAGCTGTTAAGAAAAAAAGAGATCTCTATCTTCATTCATGCACGATGCTATGAGACCGGCACATATCGCTCTATATAAGGAGGGATTCTGACGTAGGGAGGCGAGCCAAGAAGCGCTTTCTCTAGCTGAAAGCCTCCCTGTTGTTGCAGATCCTATTCTAAAGAAAAAACTGAAGGAGACAAAGTAAAAAACGAACAAAAACTGGGAACAAAACAACAGGCCCGTGTCTAAATTGAGACTAGACCAGAAAAGCAACAAAACGCCAGGTTGTGCAGAGTAGTTATATATAGATGACATGGTTGCGTGTCAAGTTTGGTGTTGGTTTGACGCCATGTTAAGAAGAGAAAAGGGGCGCTCATAGTACAGAGAGTACGCATGGCTCATGCATCCAGCAGAATCCAGGCATTACCAGTATTGCACCTAGGATGCGAATGTGTCGAGGACATCATTGAACTTATTCCTGGCACATCTTTTTCTCTCGACTAGCCGTACCACAGCTCGAAGCCAGTGACATGATCATCGTCTGTAGGCTCGGAATCCTTGATGGGATGGAGCATCATGGATGGAAGGCAGGTCCTGCCATGTGTTTGCTCCCACTTGGGTCCGCCGATACCAGTGTCTGTCCAACCCATCCAGTTGTTGTAGAGTCTGTTTGGCGGCTCTGCGCGGTAGTACCACGTAGTACCTTGATATCTGCGTTCGCGACCCCATCCCATGGGGCTACCATAGCTTCCCGCTGTGCCATTGGGGCCTGGGTTAAACCACTTGTTGAGAAATTCGCCGTTCCAGTTTCGGTCCATGAAGACAGGGTGGGGGGCTTGAACAGCTTTGAGACCGTGGAGCAACGCGACGGTCTGGGGTGTCATTTCGGAAGCGACGTGGTTACCGCGCATGTTTTCAATGTGCATGATGTCGAGAAGACGTTTGGATAGGCGGGACTGCGTGACAATAGTGGATCGGCGAGGAAGCTTCAGATTATCAAAATCAGTGCTATTGTAGCCCCAGACATGAGTGCCGATGATCCAGTTGCTGTGGATGGGATCGAACATGGGACTGACGGTGATGATATCTGCATCTTCACCAACTCCCCATTCGTGATTATCCATGCTGGGCTTGCTCACAGGTGGCTTCGGGCCAACGGGGTTAATGAAAGATAGATTAGGTGGTCCCCAAACCATATCATCGCCGTACGTTTCAGCAATGTCATGTCGGAAGGTAGTGTCATAATCACCATGGTATTCCGGAATGTACCAGCGATCGTTACGCTCCCAAGAACCCTTGCGTGGCTGTTGCCTGGCAAACTTATCAATGTTGTCCAGCAGATCAAAATGGTGGCCAGTATAGCGGAAGTCCATCTCCCAGTTCCAAATAAAGTCGAATTCGGGGTGGTCGTGACTGAACTTTTGCACCGAGAGCCACTGCGCTGTGTGTACCTTCTTTTCTTCTTCATCAGTAAGTTCCGTGTAGATATCCCACACCAGCTCGTCATTCCAGAGAACAGTTATGCCGTGAAATTCTTGCGGAACCTGATCGTCCAGCACCTTTTGATAAGCGCTTCTGCTCTCAAAAATGCGGGCGTCGGGATCTTTGACGTGCATCAAGATAAAGACTTCATATTGGCCACCGGAACGGAGTGAAACTTCACTAATCATCGCCCGGATGACTTGTTTGTCATTTTCCGTATACTTTTTATTGGAATACGATCGGAGGAGAATAGCAGTGCGCTTTTCTGTCACATATTTGGAGTTGTCGGTACGAGGCGACTTGTCAGCGCGTTCTTTGGCGGCATAGATGTCGTCTTCGCGGCTTCGTAATTCCTTGGAAGGCTTCCTGTTGTTACCAGTTTGCTTCGATGAGGTTTTAGAGGACTTCAAGTTGTTGGCAAGATCGGGGTAAGTGTTGATAAATTGGTTCTCTTTGGATTTGGGCCGAGAGAACCGGGCGGCGTTGGACCGCGCACAGCTTTTTTGCAAATCTCCCCAGTTGACAAGATCCCAGCTAACAAGATCCAGTTTATTTCCGACTTTGCGTAGCTGGGCTTGTAGACCGTACGTTCCCAGCCGAGTGTCGCGTTCCCAGCAAATGTTGGGGTCCATGTTGAGGGCCTTGTAGCTTCCAAAGAGAGGGTCTGGGAAGTCATGCGGACGACCCTTGAAGACAAGTAGGTCCTCAACTGGCTCACCGGTCGGACCTTTACAAGGAACAAAAGGGGCATGACCTGATTTGATCCAAGCTTCGCCGTTATAATCGGGGAATGGGCTATATCGCACAGGCTTGTCAATACTGAATGCAACTTGGGCGGCTGGGTCCTCCTTGAGCTTCTTTGCATTGTCCACAGTACGCTGTGACTTGTAATCGAGAGTGGCAACGGTATTTCCGTAAACAAGGTTTGAAGAGTCGAGACTATTTCTTGCACGTTAGCTTTTTTCTTCATGTTGCAAACTGCGGTTAGACTGACTTGGATGTAGCCTTGTACACGTATCTCCAGATCTTGCGGTAATCTTTCTCAGCCGCAAGCCTGCTAATAGTACCTTCGTCGCGATATTTGCCGTCCTGTTCATATCCAGGCTCGATATCGTTCGGGTCTTCGCTGTCGTCAGGATCTCTCCAGTTTCGCAAATCGTCGGCTTGGATGTCCCAATAGGGGACTTGCTTTACGCCTGTCTGTAGAGAGAGTTTGCCATTTTTCGTGGCCTTTGACGACACAACCTGGGTATTTGATTCTGATGCGGAAAATATAAGGTAGTAGAAGGTAAAGGCAACAAGCGTAATGGTGAGGAGGGCCCGTGGCCGTGTTGTTAAATAGAGGAGACGGCGCCTGCTGAGGCGAGAAGTGTGGGACAGCATGGCTGTAGCTAGAATCGACCGAAGGTAAAACGGTGCGAATGGTGTATTCAGACCAAGCTAAGCATATGTAAGTCGTTCAGATCGTGTGCCTTCAACGTCTCGAGGTAGAGTTTCGATAGCGCGTTGCCTGCAACGGTTACAGCTTGGTGGGACTAGCCACAGTGAGGTTGAGGTGGCGAGTGGTTGGAAGAGAGTTAAAGCAGCGGCACGAAAGAAAAAGAAGAAAAAGCAGCAAACAAGCGACGGTGTGGTAAACGCAAGTTAGCCGTGTAGAGGGAAACGCGTCGCCGTGGCAGGCTGAAGGGCTGCTGTGGGGAGAATGGAATGGATGAATCGATGTCTGAGAAGAGACGGGCCGCTAAGTAGTTCCAACGTGCTTTGTGTGTCTGGCAGGTGCAGAGGCAGTGAAGAAGGAGTAGAAAGAAGAATTGATGTCTTGATTAAGACTCGACAAAAGAAGACTTGAGAAAGAACGAAAGAACGAAAATATCGGCAAAAACCAAAGTCAGGGTGAATGGAAGAATAAAGAAAGGGACACCACCGGTGGAATTGGAAGAGAACTCTCAGGAGGCGTTTTGGCCGGTTGTGCAGCACTGGAGACACGCCCCCCACAGATCCACTTGTACCTCCTGGGATGGATGATTTGGGACACCTGTGCTTTCTCTTGATTTTCAGCGACGTTGGATAGATAATAGAGAGAGCTTGAGAAGCAAGGATTTCATACAAGCAAGCATTTGGGTGAAGAGAAGAAAAAAGAAGAAGCAGAAGCTACGGCAAATGCGAGTATTCGTTAGGATGTAGTTTGTACGTGTAGATCGAGAGACGGGACGGCGCCGGCTGTGTGCTGTTAGTGATGAGACGCACTGAGTGCAACTCTTCCTGTTGATCATGACAAAGAGGACTGCGGTGACAAGCTGAGCATCTGGAGGACTAAAAATACCATGATGGTAAGGAGATTTACAGCAAGTGACGTAGAAACATTTATTGTACAAAAAATTCATAAAGAGTCCCCCCTGGACACCTGAGAGCTTTACTGGATACCTGAACTTGATAATGGGTCCCCCCCCCCCAGAAGCACGCAAGAAGTGAGGCCCAAACTGGCCATGATCGGAGAGGGCCTCATCTTAGCGAACCGCTCCTGCTCTCAGCTTATAATGCGCAATAACTGGCGAACTGGCTTATTACACCGGGGCTACCTGTCAAGGTCCAGCATCACCGACACTAGAAGGATGTTAGCGGACTGCCCAGCGCGCCAGTGACCTACCTGAAAGCTGCCGAGAAGAAGGAGAGCTGTTGAACGGAGCAGATACATGTATTGCAGGTGTTGCCCTATAATTGAACCTGGAGCCATCCATTAAGCGCTCTCTCGTGCACCAGCGTACCATTTCTGCGTCTGGTAGAGACCCCTGATGATTAGCAGTCTCTTTAGCTTTGGTCTTTATTCATTAGTGGTTTCGATAGGGGCGCCAGATGCAACGCTGTGATTTATGTTATCATCGGGCGGGTCCCTATTTTTAACACTGCCGGTCTCCACGCTGCGAAGCACCAGCGTGCGCATGATTTTTGTTTGAATTCGCTTTATAGATGTGCTTGTATTCGAAATATATGGTGAATTACCATCGCACGGTTTTCATCTCGTCGAGCCAAAAATCAGGCCACAAATCGCACTGTGCAGGCAAAACCATACTGCTCGCTGGGCACTGTAACTGCACTCCCCTCCCCTGCAACGCTCCACTGTCTTTGGCGCTAACAAACTTGGCTCTTTTGCTAGCATCTCCACCGTCACCAGCGTCATAGCCAATGGGGCAATGGCGATCGCAGTTTAGCCAGAAATTACTCCACGCCCCTCTGCCATTCCAGAAGAAACATGACGAAACGGCACAATAGGTGCGCCGCCGCGCCGCGATTGTTTCCATGTCTCTCTCTGTCGCCTTGATTAGGAGACGTAGACGACCGATATACGCGGCTGCTGCAGCCACGTCGAAGGGCAGCCTACCGTTACTCACCAACGCTTAGTCTGCAGCCAAGACGCCGGTGAAAGCAGCCTATTCATTGTTTCTATACGACAAACTTCACCCGCCGCACACGCAGCTGTGGTTCTCCCCACCATTGGTGGCTGGGCGTCCAAATTCAGTGCTCGGGCCGTGTCACCACGTGCTGCTCGCCAGCAATATTCAACTCCAACCATAAGCTAAGGTATTGCTTGCCAAACATGGCGAACGAAATGAACGACTTCAAGTCCCTTAGTTCCTTTAGCGATATAACTTTGTTCTGAATTTGCTCACCCGTCTCTTACCGTATTGGCTGTACCTAAAAGTAGCTACAACTGCGAATACCTCCGTAAACAGTGCGCCGCTAAGATATCCTACACCCCTTCAGTTTATGCGTTGTGATTTTAAAACCTACTGGTGGACATCCACGGCTAGCTCCTTCAAAGCCTTGCAACCCGTCCCGAAAGTCAACCAGCTTGACGCTAGATGCGCCACGCAGCCTTCTTTCAGCAACCGGGTTTAACCTACCTGCGGCTCGATTACAGCACCGTTTTATCACCCACCATCAGGCTAAACCTCTCAAGGGATACGTCATCGCACCCACCGACTACGAGTTGCGGTCCTAGCGAAACGTTCGCTTATTGCCGTAGACCAATGGTGCACTAGATGCTGGTACAGCGGTATCAGGTATAGTGTTTTGCCCAAAAAAAAAAAAAGGAAAAGAATTAGGCGACGAGAGACAAAAGAAGACGACCAAGTAGAACAATGAGCATTTTAGCAACTGCGTCGCATGCGCCGTTTCATCCCCTTGCTACGCGCTTGGCACCTCGGCACGCGACTTGCTCCCCGTTTGGCATATCGCATACCTCACCCCCAACTCTGGGCTAGCAACTGCGCGCGTCGCCTAAGACGGGCGAATCAGTCAAATGTGCAACTCCATAAAATATGACGACATACCAATCTTGGTTACCAGAGCTAAAATCGGGGGGCAAGCACGTTCCCTTGCTCTTAGCTACGTCCCTGTACTCTATCCCTCATCCGCTGGCTTGTGATAGATCAGCACCACTTCGTTGTCTGCTCGGGCAATAGCCCTGATCAGCAGCCGATCCTCTCTGGTGTTACTTACGGCTGCCCACAGTGTTGAGAATATGAATATTGAATATCTTGATTTCATAATAGCCAAACTGGCTCCCAAAGGGGTCAAGTATTACACTAACTAGCAACGCTACCACCGTGATGCAAATCCATAAACGTATGGATACACTAGAATCCATCCCAAAGTAAACCAAAGAGAGAGCCACCCAAGCGTAATACAAAGAAACATGCGGATAGCCGCATAGTCGGAACTAAGAAGGGGGTATAATATCGTCTTGAAAGACTGAAAAAGGAAATCGTTACAAATAGAGAAGGAAATTGCAGGAATTTTGGATTCGCTGCTCATTTCGTCACAATTACATGATGCCGATTCTCGTCATGCGCTTTTGCATGCGAGTGCCGGGAGGGACTCCGTAAGGTCCTCTCTCCATAGTGAGACCGACTCCAGGTCTGGGCGCCTTCGAATTAGACGGGCGACGAGAGGTCATACCAAAAGCCGGCGGCGGGAGAGTCTCAGAGTGCTCTTGAGGAGATGAAGGGTAAACTTGAACAGGTGATTGGTCGATAGGCTGTGGAGGAGGAGCTGGTTGTTGTGGTTGATGCATGTGTTGGGGCGGAAGGGCGGGCACTGGCGGTGCTGGCTCCATGTGATGAGATCCCTGTACGCGCTTAAGCGCGTCCCGTTCGCAATATGATTGTCCATTGACTTCAAAGTAGCCGTCTGAGAGGGACTGCCCGCAGTCCAAGCATCTGAAACAGCCAACATGGTGCTTGGCTTTCCTCTCGTCCTCCACAAACTGTCCTTCGATACCATTGTGACATGTGCCACAAAGGCTGCCGTTAAGTTCGTGGTAATGACGCCCGCAGTAGGGTTTATCATTGAGCACATAAAACTCAGCAGAAGCAAACGGCTGCGAGCATGTCGTGCAGACAAAGCAGGCTTTGTGGTACTTGCCGGTTAACCGCCCATCGGCAGAGGAGATACTCTTGCCAGTAATAGACATGCCACAGGCTTTGCAATCGCCGCGTGATGCTACACCCGCATCACGGGATCCATTCCGCATAGATGGAGCCGGACGCAACGCTGGGGGTGCTCCGTTCGGGGACGGACCGCGAGGATAACGGGGAAGAGAGCCACCTTGCTGAGGAGGACCCCACGGTCCTGGGCCAGGAGGAGGTGGGTGGCCAAAGTTGTCACGGGGAGAAATAGAAAAAGGAGATTCTACCAATGGTACTGCTATGTTAGGACGATTTTGGTTCTGAACAGATGAGTCGACGCGAAGATCGGGACGTGGCGGAGGAGCTGTGTGCATAGCTCGCATGCCATTATAAGCATCTGAATGCTTCCTTGATGAGAGAGACCTATCAGGGCTGGTAAGAGCGCTCGAGGCGCTCTCCGCAGTGGAGGAATATCCAGAGGATGCTGAGCCCGATGGTGTATGGTATGGGTTGCCAACTCCGAATTCAGCAGCCAAGTCGACGGACCCAGAGGCCTTGTGTCTAGGGATGAGTTCCGTGCGAGGCGGAGGCCGGCGAGAGGTAGGACCGTTACTGGTCGAGGGTCTTTGGACATGACCAGGCATAATTTCTGGTCTATGGCGCTCCGATGCGAACCCAGGAGCTGATGGGCGCCTGTTAGGTACGTCAACTGGAGGCGGAAGCCGGGGAAAGGTATCGGCTCGCGCCATTGGCTTGTCCGATGGGGCTCCAAAACCACCATATCCATTTTGCCTTTGAGGTCTCCCTTGATGAGCTCGGTCATCAACAGGTGTGTCCCATCTATCAAGCGAGTCTTTCCGTTGGGGAAACATGTGGTGTGATGTGGGCGCCTTTCTGTCGATGGCTGGCTGAGGCTGCGCCATATTGTTCATACGTTGCATAAAATCGTCTTCGGAATGGGCAGATGCCGTTTGATCGAAACCGCTGTAGCCTCCAGGGCGACGGCCACTCGAAGTGGGAGAGTGTGCTGAATCACTTCTCGTTGGAAATTGGGGCGGATTGTATTCATTTGTTCGACCACGGGCTCGACCACCTGGTGTTCTAGGTGATGACTGTCGAGAATCTCCGTGCTGGCTGCTACTTTGGCTAACCGGTGTAAGTTGACCTTGATTAAGAATTCCCCGGTCTGTATTAACTGTCAATATATGCAACCGTAGATGCACCCAGTGGGCGTTGATAACGTACCTTTTGCTGCAGACTCGAAAGGCGGAGGCGTCGTGACTGTTCGGTGTTTTGCGAAAGCGTCACGGAACTGCTCAGGCATTTCTGGTACCGGTGATACTATTTTGTCAAATCAGAAACCGAGTCATTAATAAGACACACCTATTCCTGAACCTACCGTCCGGTGTGGGAGTGCAGATGTGTTCTCCCATCATGGAGATTTCGACCTGACGAGCACATGATGAACATGTAATAGTCGGTAGGAACGTAGACTCCCTTGGAAGAGCCATGGTTATGATTGACACACTTGGGGAAGTGTTCCTAAGGTTGTTCTTCCTTGTTGCTTCAACGTGGACCTCGTCAGACGGTCATCCGAATCGTGAATAAGTAGAAACGGAGCCAGCCGATATATGTTGCCTGGTAAGAGCGAGGCGGACTAATTGGAATAGATGATGTTTTGGTTTCTTTCGCTGCGCAAATTTTGTCTTGGTAAGAAGTAAGCTGCTCGGTTTGTCGCGTGTGCAGTGTACAAAGTGCAGCAGGGGCCGCCGCTTGGCGAAGAAACAAGCTGTTGAGTGGTCGCCACTGGTGGCTCCTTAGTCGTAGTCAGTCGTATAAGTGTGACGATCGAACGATCAATGCACGCTGTCGTCGTTCAGTTTCGCGGCTGCTAAGCTGACGCCAAAAACGGTCACGGATTCGAAATAAGTCGTCAGGAGAATGTTTCAAGAAAGCAAAGCAGTATGCGAAAAGCAGTGGAAGAGAAACGGCGAGGTCGTATTGCATAAAGTACGGGGGGGTAACAGGCTGGTGGAGCTGGGGGCGGAGAGAGTATATTTGGTTTGGGCCTGCCACTGCGCTAAGCACAACAGGGGGGGTCATCATCAGATTGCCACCGAAAGCAGAGAAGGAAGACCCCTGAACCCTGGGGCCTCAGTTGGCCCTTGCTCATTGATCCTTTAGTCTTCTTTAGTTTGCCAATTCTGCAGCAATAACAAGGAATGTGAGTCGTGGGTTGTGCACTCACTTGGACCGCCATAGCGCTGATCTTGTGCAGCAAATCGCCGCACTTCGATGTTTTGATGATACGATTCATAAAGATCAAAGGGAAGGCCCAGGATGCACTATCGCCAACAATATCCAACAATTGCCAGTAGCGACACTCAGCCATGTCTCGTTGCTATGCCCAATTCTCAACCCTCTTTTGCTGGGCAAGGGCACCACCGAGCAAGCTCCCTTGCGTGGCCACAAGACATGGGATATAACCCGACCTTGACACTTCTTCAGGGCAGCTGCAGACGCAATTCAGGTCGCCGGAGAATAAAACGGCCGTGCAGTGCGTACCTGCATTTCTGCATCCACGCTCCCTGGCGAGGGAGCGCTAATACATATGATGCGCGCCTCCAATACTACAAGCTTGCGCGAAGCAGCGCCCTGAGAGCAACTACCTCCCTTCTCTAGCAGTCGCACAAAAATAATGAATATCGCATACTTCACATCAGATGCAATCGAATAAAAAGGGCCGACAACTTTGCGCTACTAGCATGGGTTGCTCCTTGGGGGGCTTCAGTGTTGACCCTGTCCATCAGTCTAAACATTCGGAGGTAATGGCCCAATACGGCATTGCAGCACAATCCAAAAACAACTTTCGCCTATTTGGTAGAATCCAAGTCAGGGGCCACGGCAACAACCAGCCATTATGGAACAATCGGCGGGTGTTCTGGCAGCAATTGGTGGAGGCCGCGATGTAACTCGTCATTAGTAGAGGTGATCCGCCTGGGTTTCTGCGTCTGGTCAGCTGCAACACACTGGGCTTGCCACCAAATTTGAGCTTAACCGTGAGTTTGATTTGACCGTCTTCTCCACCGTCTCTTGGTGCGTTCCCCTGAATCATTGGTCGCCAACCACTGCGTGTGTTCGTGTTCAAGGAAGGCGACCAGGTCAGGTGGGGAGCGGCTTGGGCCTGGGGAGTCCACTTTTCCAGGAACAGGCTGGGGTAATGCGACAGGTGATTGGCCGTCTGGCCTTGGTGCTAAGAGAAATGACCAAAATCCTTACCAGTGCAATAGCAAACGAGATTTGCTGTTTCATGCCTCATTAAACAGGAGGGAGCGAAGCAACGGTTTACGGTTCTACGCAGCCCGCTGCAACGACACGGCGTGGATAGAGGACTCAGCGTAACATAACTCAACGCTGCTTCAAATGATAGAGAGTCTCTAGGAGGTGCCAGCGTCCATTTAAGACCTCGCTAATTTCCATGCCTCGCGGGACGAGGAACCTACTTACAAGAGACTACTCTTCAGCGATCGCAGCCAGGGAAAGCCGCTGGTCCGTGCAATCTAGTTCCTTAGATCTACGTAGATGCTGCGCTCGTCTATGGTATAATCGGCTTTTCATACTCGCCTTTGCCGTAGAGTTGTCTTCGTGTCTACCAGCTAAAAACTACACGAACCGCTTGCCATGATAGAGGCGACGGTCATATACGCATGACCGGCAATCACTTGACGGAACCCGTTTGTGAGAGCCCGACACTAGCGCATGCCATCGTAGCTAACAGGGCCACCTTAGACTACTAGCGCCTACTTCAAGCATGCTGCCATATCATAGGTATAGGATATAATCACAGCAACAGATCCCATATTATGATAGGCGAAGAATGCGACTAGTCATCTGCAATGATATGCGACTGCAACTCTACAAATAGATTTCTCAACAGTGCCCAGATTTGGTGCGGCAGGGTTGACGTGGACAGTAACCAAGCCGACATGAGCCGATGGCGCTCCCTCCCACAACCTTCCACATTGTCTGCAGTTGGCACGGGCAAGACTACTCAGTCCGTGAACAGCAAACTCAGTAAAGGCCCTTCTTTGGTCGCAAGCCCAGTTAAATATTCCGGCACTAGCTGCAGCATTTCTTTTTTCGTCTTGTGACAAATTCCTGATACCATAATTCCAGCATTGTTGGCTGCTGCCAACGTCGTCGTGGACCGTCCCGTAGCTTCCGACCCGACCGTATGCCCCCGCCGAAGCCCGGTTCACCGCTGCGGCTCGCCGAGGCGCCAAGCAAGCGGGGTTCCTGCGAACACCTACAGGTGGTGCGTCACGTAAATGGCCACTGTCGTGTGCTTCGTTGGGGTTGCCCCTCACCGAAGCCTCCGCCGCCGGTAAAATGCTCCCTCTATGACCACATGCCATTTGCGGACTCTTCGGCCATCTATTTACAAAACTACCTTCCTGGCCCCCCCACCTCCTCCTACATTTTATCTCTTTCAACTTACAGTACACAATTTACGTCAAGCAATAACCACGTACAGAACGAATCAACTCCTGTTTATTTGGGACCGCATAGCTGCTCATCAGCCCTGCCAGATAAACCCTCACCACAGTTCCACCTGCATATCCCGTTGGTCGAGGCTGTAAACCTCGATCACGCGCCCAGTCGTCAAGACGTTTTCCAATCTTCTCAACTCGTATGTGACTTCCATCTCCATCGCGTAATTCAACACATATGATGCTAATAAACTTTTTACAGGGTCCACCACCCGTTCGCAGGAGCCCGCTGCTCTGCCGACTCTGGAGGGGCATCGGACTCAGTCGACACTCAATAAAAGTCGATCAACTTCAGCATAATTCTATTGTCTGAGCCCTCGCTCTTCGCGTCAACTCAATACTCCTAGCCGCCCATCAATCAACATGGCTCCTCACGCTGACGCTGCAACCCCCGCTGCGAACGGGGTGGGTAATGGCAGCCCTGCCGAACCCACAAACACATTTATTGTCAACTCTCCTAACGTTGTCTACACCGAGGCCGAGATTCGCTCCAAGTACACCTATCGCACTACTAGTGTCGAGACGGATGATCGAGGCAACTTTGTGGCTACGCCCAAGGAAACCCCTTATGAATTCAAGGTCGAACGCAAGGTCCCTAAGGTGGGCATGATGCTTGTCGGCTGGGGTGGCAACAATGGTACCACTGTGACCGCCGGTATCATTGCTAACCGCCACAAGCTTGCCTGGGAGACCAAGGAAGGCCCCCGCGAGGCCAACTACTACGGCTCTGTTATCATGGGCTCTACTCTCAAGCTTGGTACCGACGCCAAGACCGCCCGCGAGATCAACATCCCCTTTCACAACATTCTGCCCATGGTTCACCCCAATGACCTTGTTATCGGAGGTTGGGATATTAGTGGCATGAACCTTGCCAAAGCCATGGACCGTGCACAGGTGCTCGAACCAACGCTCAAGGCCCAAGTCAAGAAAGAGATGAGTGAGATGGTTCCGCTCCGGTCTATCTACTACCCCGACTTCATTGCTGCCAACCAGGAGGATCGTGCTGATAATGTCTTGGAAGGTACCAAGGCTTCCATGGCCCATGTTGAACAGCTTCGAAGTGATATCCGTGAGTTCAAGTCCAGCAACGGCCTCGACAAGGTGATTGTCATGTGGACCGCCAACACCGAACGTTATGCCGATATCATTGCTGGTGTCAATGACACTGCGGACAACCTCCTCAAGGCTATCGAGCAGGGTCATGAAGAAGTTTCGCCCTCTACCGTTTTTGCCGTGGCCTCTATCTTGGAGCAAACTCCTTTCATCAACGGCTCCCCTCAGAACACGTTTGTTCCTGGTGCTATTGAGCTCGCTGAAAGGCACAATGCTTTCATCGGTGGAGATGACTTCAAGTCTGGACAGACCAAGATGAAGTCTGCTCTCGTTGACTTCCTCATCAACGCCGGCATCAAGTTGACATCCATTGCCAGTTACAACCATCTGGGCAACAACGACGGAAAGAACCTTAGCTCGCAGAAGCAGTTCCGCTCAAAGGAGATTTCCAAGTCCAACGTTGTCGACGACATGGTTGAAGCAAACTCGGTTCTCTACAAGAAGGGTGAACACCCGGATCACTGCGTTGTCATCAAATACATGCCAGCCGTTGCTGATAACAAGCGGGCGCTGGATGAGTACTATGCCGAGATCTTCATGGGAGGACATCAGACCATTTCGTAAGCAAATCAGCCCGCTACATGATTAATGAATACTAATATTTCGCAGCATGTTCAACATTTGCGAGGATTCCCTCTTGGCCTCCCCGCTCATCATTGACCTGGTTGTCATTGCTGAGATGATGACCCGCATCCAGTGGAAGGCCAGCGGCTCTGAGGACTACAAGAGCTTCCACAGCGTTCTCAGTGTTCTTAGCTACATGCTCAAGGCTCCTCTGACGCCTCCTGGCACCCCAGTTGTCAATGCACTTGCTAAGCAGCGCGCTGCCCTCACTAACATCTTCCGAGCATGTGTTGGCTTGGAGCCTGAGTCTGATATGACGCTGGAGCACAAGCTGTTCTAAGGCATGTCACTCGTGCTCCACCGCCTAACTGGCATCCATCGTGGAATACTTTACTTTCTTGCCCATTGTCAGGGACCATTTTCAACCACAACCTTTTTTACCTCAGAAAATACCAAAAAAAAAATCTAGATAGAGATTGTTCAGGTAGCTTCCTTACAGTACCTTCTCGTTAATTTAAATCACATCTAGCCAATCCCTGAATATTATCGTGTTTTACTGCATATTATACTAATTTGGCTTACGTTGAATCCAGATGGTGGCCAAAAGTGGCCTACCACAGAGTACGCCTGGCGTGCGTTAAAGTGGCACTTAATGAGTGAAACGGGTCGCGCTGTGGATTTCGCGTTTACTGTCGGCGACAGCGCGCGTCGTAGCGCGTCGAGGTAGACTTCGGGCCCACCCTCCCTCAGCAGACGACATAGCATCTTCATGCAATTCTATATACACTACTAAATCCCTTTGTCAAATTCATTGTGTGTTTGAATTGCTGGACTTAATCCAATTACCAACCTTTCGACTTATTAATGCATATACGAATTTAACGAATCACGAACACGACCGAAAAATCTACGCTCTCCGGACGTCATGGCTTCGTCGACGCCAACTTCTCCCGCCGCGTCCAGGGAAGGCTCACCCGCGCCATTGCTCAGCCCAAGATCGAAGATCAAAGCTCTCCTTGCCACAGTAGATAGCAGTGATGATGAACATACGACTGCAGCTAAACCAAGAAAGGCTTCTGCTACAGTAGCGGATGACAGCGACTCCGACGTTCCAGTACGCCCACGAGGAAAGCTAGCTTCAAAAATGCAGGCTGCGTCAACGACATCACCATCGAGAATCAACGCAGCTAGTGAGACACCAACAGATGCTCGTGAGCGTGTTAGACGTATGCTACAAACCGAGGAAGCCAGCAAAACGCCCGCAGAAGAAGTAGCAGACGGGGGAGACGACGAGGAATTACCAGTTGGTCCCCGCCGCCTGCAAAGACGCTCGGAAGCCGCTTCTACGCAAGAAAACGGCGGTAATTCTTCAAAACCAGCCAGTCCTGGGTTATTTCTATCTTCGCCCGCCCGCCAGTCCCCAGAAAAGAGTATGGAAGCTCACGACAGCTCAGGCTCAGAGGTCGACCTTCCTTCACATAAATCAGATCGATTCAAGGCTCTTGTTGAACGAAAGCGCAAAGAGCGGTTGGCTCGCGAAGCAGAGGAGGAAAGAATCCGTACTGAACGACAAGAGAAGCTACTATCGGAGACGACACAACTCCAGTCTGAAGACGACAGAATGGACGGCATCTCTGATGATGAAGGAGGCCACAGAATGTCACTCTCAGCTGCACCGCAGCGCAAGGCTAGTAAACAAGCCATGGAAGAGATTGAACGTGAAACACAACGCATACAAAGAAATATGCAATTAAAGCATGCAGCTCTTACTCGAAAGAAAGTCACGAAATCAAGCCTTTTCGACAGGTTCAACTATCGACCAGTCGGCGAACCCGAACCTGCGCCAGAAAAGCCAGCCCCTCCGCTGCAGCAGTTGCCTAGTTCCAGTAGACCGACAACCCCTCCTTCTGAGCACGAGATGAAAGATGCCGAAACGCCGCCGAGCTCACCACCTACATCCGCGAAACGTGCTGCTGCTGTTGCTGCAGCTGAAGCCGCCGCAGCCGCTCAGTCATCGAATGCTATTCAAGCAGCCAGCAAGGAAATTGAAGGTCAGACAAAGGATGCTGTAGATGACAAGACACCAAAACCACACCGGAGGGTTCAGGTACGAATGCCTATTAAAAACATTGGTAAGATCTCAATGGGCTCTGATGATGAGCTTGAAGTCATGGTCAATGAAAAGGACAAAATAAAGGCTATTTTCGATAACGTGCCCAAGAAAAAGGCGGAAGACGCTTCGTCTCTGCAAGTTTTCCGCGCATTTGCCATGGCAAACTCTCCTGAGCGTGTCGACCGTCGCAAGAGAGGGCCGAGTGGTACAATGACCTCGACTGAACTACAGGCCTCTCTACAACAGCGTGCGCGTGCTCAAGCCAAAATTGAACGAGACCGTCGCATGGCAACTCTCAAAGCTCAAGGTATATCTATTCAAACTGCTGAAGAACGTGAACGCCAAGAAGCGGAGGTTGAGGATCTGGTTGCGAAGGCTAGAGAAGAGGCTCAGCGGTTAATGAAACAGGAACGTGAGGAGGATAAGAAAGCAAGGGCAGAGAATGGAGAACATGACCCCCTTGCTTGGGACGACAGTGATGAGGAATACCAAGACTCCGCAAATGAGGCGGATGTTGAAGGATCTGAGCTTGAGCTTTCTGGTTCGGAAGATGAGGAGGCCAGTGATGGAGACAACGAGAGTGGTGAGGAGGATGACGGTGTTTCAAAGCCCATCTTTGATGACGATGCTGCTGAAGCGGAAGCACCCGAAGAAGCGGTGGAGGAGGTACAGAAAGAGATTGACGCAGATGAGGGCATTCCGTCGCAACCAATGGGCAAGCGACGCCGTGCGCGCAATGTTACTGCGATCTTGTCGGACGATGACGTTGACATGGAGGTCGAGGCAACCCCTAGACCTCCAAAGTTCGGTGCGACGCAGGCGTCACCAAAGCCTGGTACGAACGACTCTCCTCTTGCCCCTGGTTCAGTTCTTCGATCTGCAAAGAAGACCTTCATCCCCGGACTACCAGTCCAAGGCCCTGCAGGGATGGGGCTCACTCAAATTTTTGCTGGCACCATGGATAGCCAGATGAGCCCTTCGGGTCCTACACAGAGCATGATGCCTGACTTTGATCAATTTCCGGATTCCAACTTCTCAGCTACGGCACAGGACGATGTAATGGAGGATGTGATTAAGTCGTCACAGCCTCAGGAGGAAGAGGAAACCCACGAGCCTGAAAACGTGCGACTCAATCTATCGCAGTCTCAGATGCATGGATTGGACAGCATTATTCGGAACGACTTATTTACCCAAGCCACGCAAGATATTGAACCATCTCAGGATGTGGGCTTACAGACGTATACTCCCCTCCGAGAGCGTTTTATTGATGTGCCACATGCCACAATGGATACGGTTATACAATCTGGTCAACTAGACCAACAAGAAAGCAAAGTTCAAGATTCACCTCTTGTCCGTCGAGGTCGACTTCGCCGTAAGATTGAACCAGAGCCTGCTACAAGTGATGAAGTGCGCGTCACGCAAGACATCAATGTTGATGCCTTTGCTGCGATGAAAGAAAAGGCTGCAAAGGAGGAAAAACGCCGTCTTGCTGATGAATTCAATCGCAAGAAGAGCAAGGCTAAGGAAATGGTTGAAGAGCAGGCTGAAGAGTCGGAAGATGAGTACGCAGGTGTTGGTGGTGCGGATGGAGAAGACAGCGACAACGAATCCAATGCCTCGGTACAGGAGATGATTGATGACGATGCCAGCAACAACGTTGACGAAGGCAAGCTCGCTGCGTTTTATGCGTAAGTTATCCACTCTCGCCCGACAAAAATATTTAACTAACAGAATATAGTGATCGTGAACGAGCAGATGACGAAAAGGCGGTTGAAAAGCTGTTCAAAGATATCACAACTGGCATGCTCCGGCGCAAACGAGGCGCCGATTATGATCTCTCGGATTCTGATGACGGCGGTGAGGCCCGTCGGCGCATGAAGCGCAGACAATTTGCAAAGATGCAAAAGGCTCTCTTTGCGGATGAACGCGTCAAGAAGATTGCTTCGGATCCGGGCAACCAAGCGTTCCTCCGTACCATTGAGGATCAAGGCAGCGACGATGAGATTGACCTCCTTGGCGCCATGGATACGGATAATGCCAATCAGGATGACTCTGACTCGCCTGCCCCCTCACAAGACGTAAACAAGCAGCAAGTAATTCCCGACAGCCAACCTCGCAAAGCCCTCGCATCCTCGGCTGATAACCGCGCCCCGGCGCATATGCGCCGTACAAAGGACGGCAAGAAACCATCCAATATTGGCGAAGTTCGGGAAACTCTTTCAGATCTTCTTGAAGACCCCGAGGGTTCGCTCATTCCTGCTACTGAAGCTGGGTCGGACTCGGAAGATGACGCTCCATCAAGCAACAAAGAAAACGCCTCGCCAAACAGGCGCCGTTCCCGCGCAGTTGTTGATCGAATCTCTCTCAAGCGTACAAACTCGAATGCTTCCACTGGTAGCAACTCTCGTCTTGCATTCTCTGCAACATCATCTTCTTCTGGCTTCAAGGTCCCGATGCTTCTACGCCGCGCTACTACCAACTCATCCTTCATCTCCACTAGCACCAGCTCTTCATCTGCCGGCAAGGATGTCGGAATGGGCGGTTTTGGAGACGAGGGCAAGATCAAGAAGGCTGCCAGCAAGAAAAGCGGCGTTGTCAGAGGCGTCGAAAGAGTCAATGGGGGTAGAGCCAAGATGGAAGAGAACGAGAGGCGACGAGAAGAGCGCAAGGTCCGTGGTGCCAAGGAGAGAGTTGGCATCGTTAGTGGTTTACTTGGTAAAGGATCATTTGCTTGAATTCAGCGAGGTTCATTATGGATATTGGAGTTATAGGTATTCCTTTGCATGTACGGAGTTTTTCTTTTAGGGTTTAGCTTATTTTAATTCATGCAAGATGTCAGACATAGCTGTACTACCAGTTTAGGCTTTCGAGTTCAGATCCATGTACGTGATTTGGGGCCAGTGAGCCACAAAACGGTAATGTGGGGGGTCAACCCTGGATATACCCTAATAAGCGGGAAGCTTTCCAACAATTACCCGATTCCGTAGTCTAGTCGGTTTATGGCATCTGTCTAACACACAGAAGGTCCCCGGTTCGAGCCCGGGCGGAATCATTCTTTTGCTTATCAAAACACCACTCTTGGTTATCTTTTTTTTGGCCCGCTCCATTTGATTTGAATCTTCAAATAGCGATTTACCTTCAGTCATGTCATGTGATCAATTGATTCCGTAGTCTAGTCGGTTTATGGCATCTGTCTAACACACAGAAGGTCCCCGGTTCGAGCCCGGGCGGAATCATAGCTTTTGCCAATCAAATGTTCAATTTTTTGCCTGAGAGCGTCTTTTGGGTTCATTGTTCAATATTTTTGCTTTGTTTTTGCTTTCAACATTCACGGGTATGGGTATGGTACACAAAAAAGATCGCTTTAAATTAACAGATTAGACTAGAATATAACAAGCAACACGCCCAACGCCTCTTATAAACGTAACACTTGGAGTCTCGCCGTCTGGCTTCTGCTGCTTAAACGACTCTTGTGCGAACCCATTCAGCCCACTCGCCCAGATTTTCCAGGCGTTCAAGGGCAGTGGCCAGAATCTCGCGCGTAATAGTCTTCTTGCGCCTCTGACCATTGACATCGAGGATATTTTCGGCCGTGATTTCAACAGTGCCTCCGCCGAGGATGCGGAAGGAGATATTTGCGGTTGAAGATCCCATTGGGAATACAACCTGCATGTGTGGCGCTGGGTGGACCCAAAGGATCACGTCAAGGTTCATGTCCTGCTTGTGCCCATCATCGGCTGCATTGTCGGCAAGAAAGTCTGCAAGTTGGTCCTTTACGGTAGTAGTCTTTGATGATACAGTGGCATCTTTGGATTCTTCGCTTGGCTTGATGGGATCTCCGTCGTTCTTGAAGCTAGTTTGCAGCAGCGTTGAGAGGAAGGCGTACTGCCGCAGGAGCGGAAGCATGTCAATGAGCTGCCGTGGGTGTGCAAAAGGCATCTCTGTGACCTCTTGTGAGTATATGGGTTTATAGATGTAGAGAGAGTTCCGGTGGGTACGCTGGATCAGGTTGCCTTGCTCATCGTAGGTATTCACGTTTGCGGTCTGGGAGATAGTCCTGGCCTCACTGGGGTCCTGCTTAGCTCCAGATGGCAGTGGAAAGAATAGAGCGTCAAAGGTAGGGGGAGCCTGTCCAAAATCGGCGGTGGTAGGCGGCGGTTCAACTCCCGCAAGAGCATAAAGTCGTGCCCAGTCGTTCTGGGGGAGAATCAGGGGATGATCAAATGTAGCTGTGAACATGACACGTGGGACACGGGTTGTTGATAGATCGGCTTGCAAAAGCTCCATACCAGCGTCTTTGTTCTCTTCAGATGGGGGGAGAGACACATTGTCCGGTTCTTGCCAGTCTAGAACATTTTGTTGTTGCCCGTCGGCTCCTGTCGCCTCTTGCTTCAAGATGATGTCCGAGGAGATCCAATCTTTGGAAACCCGTACGGGTGGCAGACCAATACCATCAATGGCAGCGCAGCCCAGTAGTATAGACCAGATTCTTCCATAGGTTTCATCTTTGCGAGCGGGTCTGTTAGAGAATCGGCGGTGCTTCCAGTACTGAAGCGCGAGTCCGACGCGGCCACGTGCATTCATTACCGGCTTTCCGTTCTTCTGACACATAACCAGTGAGTCTATAACAGGATCTGGCTTGCCTGCATTATCTGGGGCTCGTTTTGCCTGCTCGATGTCCCAGCTATGTAGACGCTCTAAGCTAGAGAAAATGCCGACAAGAGCTTCATGGCAGTCGAGACCTGGCACAATACTGAGCTTGTCAAGGAGTGCCAGGCGTTCAAAATTGGCAGCAAAGTCGTCTAATGTCTTGGTCAGCGGACTTTGGTCCTTCTTCAGCTGGAGATCGCGCAGGAGGATGTCGCTCGCTTCTTCAATGTATGGGGCGACAGAGCTGGCATTTCCGTGGTATGAGAGAGTCGCGCTTAAAACAATATTATTTTCCAGTACAATGTCCATAGCGACTGCAGAACCGGCTATTGTCAATGTCTTTGTCTTTCGGCCGTCGGGTGTCGTCTGCTCTTCGGAGAGCAACTCCATACCCAATCGTTGAGCTAATCGTTCGATGCCTGCGTCGCTTACAAAGCCCTTCTTCTCCTATACACTTTGTTAGTAATATTACCGCTTGTCTGGGGAGAATCTGCAACAAACATTGAGCATCTTGAGGATTGCATCAAGCCTTCTCAGCTTCTCATCCTCGCTGGCAAACGCCGCCGTCAGGGTTTCCAGTCCGCCCATACCGTCAAGGCCAACGTCAAACCCGTTGCCCATTCCAAGTGCCCCCATTGCCGCTGCGGTCGATGGGCTATCGAAATTGAGCGCACCCATATTTGGCTGGCCAAGGAGCCCTGATGTTGCTGGAGACTTCTTGACGTGCTGTGGGGAGCGCTGGCCGCGGGGTGAAAAGGCAGCTTGGGCAGCGTTTGAAAAGGGTGTCGATACTGGCGGTGTTGCTGCAGCTAATTGAGATGGTGTCCGCCCCTGAGCAGTAGCAGAAGGTGTGCGACCTTGCTGCGAAGGCGCATGCTTCATCGGCGTTGGCGTGGCCATGGTCCCTATCAACCCTGTTCGGCCGCTACTTGCACTTGCGATTGACCCAGACGAAGCATGCGCAATATGCGGTCTTTATAGTCGGTGGGTATTGCAGTTGTTTAAAGGTTTCGGCAGCGTCCAGTCGAGCCTATCGTAGTAGGGATGATGTTGAAGTCTTGGTGCGTGGTGAAGCTGCGAGGCTGGAGTCGTACCCACAGCGCCGCGAATGGCTCCCTGCGCAAGCTGTCTCCACCACCAGCAAAGCTTCACTCCAACATCGCGGCAGAGCGTCACTGACGGATCTTGGTATTTGCCGTGTGATCCTGTGCTTTCTATGGGAAATATGGCAAACGTACGATAGTTACAACACCTTACCGGACAACGATGCGCAGGTTCTCTTTCAACATCTTGCGACGGGCGCACCTGCCGCAAACCTCCTCGATCCGAATGCTGACCGGCTCGACAAAGGCTGCGGCAACAAAAAGACAGAAACAATTGTTGAGATTAATTATTGATCCCGTCCCTTTCACAATGGCAGATCGCCTGTCAGCTCTTCGGGTCCTACAACAGTATGGAACAATCCAAATGTTCAAAAGGATTGAGGTATGCGCCTTGTGACACACATTCGCAGCCCATGCTAATAACAGCAGAATGGCCTTTTCCATGTCATAGCCGACGAGGAATCAACAGCTTCGACGCTCCTTTCCAGCAGCCCGATTGTCTATGCGCTCTCTTCCGAAGGAGAGGTTGATAGTACTTGCGATGCACCCTCAGCGACAGACAGAACTACGAACGATAGCAAGCGGCGCGAGATACATATGAGCATCTATCCAAATCATCCCGAGGACGTCTCCAGTCAAATAAATAAGCATGCCTTGGCGGGCTCTTGGTCGAAGGAATATCGAGGTCAAAAGACGCTTTCACAGCAGATTCTGGACCAGAGCGTACCATCTGGTATGGCTCATGAAGGGCTTACATACTGGGGCTTGGATCTCATCAACTCTGGTGAAACAGGTGATGCGCGGATTCGCATGAAAAAAATGATGCCCAAGAACATGCTGAGGCCAGAGGACAGAAATGCGATCTTTGGCGGAAAGGCTGAGATATCGACCAGCCAGGACACAGATAGTGGTCAATCAGCATTTGGCACTATAACTGAAGACGATTTGGCAACATATTACTCGTCTCGCATGGCGAAACCAGGCAAGGACAAATAACGTGTCGTCGTTATTCGTGCCTTGTGCGTCGCGGCATCACGCCACGACAGGTCACACAACCTCGCTGCTCTAACCTTTGTTTGCGTGGCTAATTGCACAGGGATCAATGTTCCTGTACTTTCGAACTTTTTCCTATATCTTCTACGTTTGGCTGATGTTACCAGTGTGGAGGCTGGTGACAAGCCCATGTACAATAATATCATGATACCCTAGACATTGACATTTTGAATATCTCTTTCTTCAGCCAACTCTCCAGATACTGTTCTTCGTAATTTCTTTTTCTCTTCGTAGTAATTGTATTTTTTAAAGGTATTGCTTTTGGAATAAGATTGCCAAGTTTGTATTGGAGCGATGGTTTAGGTTGACCAAATGTTATCATTCGAGGGTCCAGTCGCCGCCCAAATGGATTCGCGCAGCCCAACCACGTGTTAGGGCCACGTTGGAGCTTTCAGATCTTACTACTAGAAAGCGTTAAACACCCAATGACGAATAGATAACGGTTAATCGACTACGAGAAGACAAGCAATAGCTGAACCAAGGAAAAGAGGGCAGTTGCCGTTGGGTACCAAGGAAAAGCAAAGCCACAGTAGCTTGCTGGCCATGTGCTTCGGTACAATTTTTTTTTGCGCCACAATTCAAGTTTTTTGCCTTTCGTTTGCTGCTGAATAGCGAAATCAATGACCTCACTGTGCATGACAGGGGTCAGCCACATATCGAAAAATGACACCGCCACATTACAACCCTAGGTGGCTCGACGCGTTTCTTGATCTTGATATTGGCTTCGGCTTGGCCGGCCACATGCACAGTCTGTAACGTCAGGGTTAGCCTGTATAGCAGTGCTTTATGATCCCCAGACTTGAGGGAATGAGTACGTAAGAATGAGGCCCGATAGAACCCATTTGCGCTCGTTGTGGCTCGTGTTGAATGGTGGAGGGAGCCTCTGGGTTGTCTCATTTCCCACCAGAAGCGCTAACGGGTCGAGACTGGTTCGCTGCAAATTTGCCTGTGTTGGTATGCTGAAACGGTCACTGGAGTGACTTGAGGCAAGCTGCATCACTGGTGTCTCGAAAAGGACCGTCGCTTTTCTTACAGGGCCGTCGACCTAAAAGCATCAATCGCATGGTCGAAACACCGCTTACAAGAGGATGCATGGCTGAAGGGCGTGTCTTCAAGCATCCATGCTTTCTGCCTGTGATTCGAATTGCATGGGGGCCGGGCGCACACTTCGATCGCGCATCCGGCGGAATTGACCGCTCTTGCGCTTTTTTTTGGGCATCTAACCGACTGTGTACCCTTGTCCGTTACCTGCTGAGCTGGAGCAGCGCGTGAGTGAACGCGTTGGATATGGCGAGTTACTTTCTGTAAGAGACCTTGGCAGCGCTAAGCAAGGGTGTGCAGAGCGTGTTGTGGCGCGCGGACGATGCTACGGCAGTGGGCATGGCTCATTTCACAGCGGTTCATTTCATCGGTCGTAGGGGGCCAATCTGAGGGCCGGGATATGCGTACAAAGCAAGAAGCGAAACAAACCAGTGGAGAGAGATGGAGAGACGGCCCCATAATGGTCGGGGCATAGACTACGGATTAGGCAAAACAGGCAGCACAAGCAAACCAGCACCGTGGCAAGGAGGGCCAAAAAAAGAGACGACGAATCGATGTGGCTGACGGGCTGAGCCTTGCTTTGGTTTCCTTGGAGGAGAAAAGAGTTTTGGGGCTGAAGCCCAGAATTGGATAAAGGATAAAGGAAACCAGGGAGAGACGATGTGTGGTGGCTTGGTAGCGTGTGGTGAAGTGACCTGCGATTAGGATTCATGATGCCTACGTCACCCAGTGTAGCTTTTGTTACAAGGCACTCAAGTAGACTGGGTTGGTGGTAAATGGTGTTGCTGAGCAGCATAGAGCGCCAACAGTCCCTGTAGCAAAGGCCCAGCTGCAGTGTAAACGGTAGTGCAGTCTCGTCTTTTGCTAGTAATTACTTGTGTCGATGTGTGTAAGTAAGCCGAGCACAGCGATTAGTTGTCGAGTCCCGTCTTTCTCGGCGTCTTCCCAAGGACGAAAGCTGTTAAACTATTTGCAAAGTACTATTCTTTCTTCTTTACCCTTTTGTTTCGCTAAATTTACTTTATCCTGCGGCGATTTCGCCAAGAGCGCGCGGTCTGGTTAATAGGTACTGGGGTTGTGTCTCGTAGCACACCTATACTTCGCCGGCAGGCTTGTGACGTACTCGCAGCCACAAGTGCCGATTGCCCACTGTCCAGCGAGAAGACCCTGGTAACCTGAGCACCTGTTGTGGCGCTGGCTTTTTTTTTCTTTCCCTCTAGACCCACCTGAAGCGAAAGGAAGAGAGGCTTGTATCAGCGCACCAGCAGCGTAACACTCCCCCCCGGCACCACCTGTGCATCTCGATGATCATCATGACGACAACAACCGATGGCTATGTTTGCAGTGTTCGAGGCCTCCATAAAAACATGACATCACAACATACAAGGGCCACTTGTGTGTAATGGGATTTGGCTTCCTACAGCGCTTGCAATTATTCGGAACTATTACCAAAATGATTTCTTCTTTTCTTTAGTCTTGGAGGGGGAATAATTCTACAAAATTACCAGTCCTGTCCCCTCCATTCCTTTGCAGGCGGGTTGCTCGTCACACGCCCCCCTTCGATCCCCACTGCCCCCAAAGCTTAGCTTGCTCTCTTAGCACTGCACCCGGCAACAACTAGCAGCAAACAGCGCCAGGTACCAGCTGGCGACCAGCTGCGCTCCCCACCGCCCCCCGGCTTCTCGCTTTGCTTCCTTGGTTGAGGCAGCCAGGGCTTCCCTGCTACGCAAACCGACTGGCTCTCTCTTGTATTGTCTCGCATGTTGTTATAAGTCTTGCTTATCCCCCCTCCTCCAACCGCTGCGACATCTTCATCCTCCTCCTCCGCTACGCACACATCTACACCCTGCCCTCGGGTTCTCTCCTCTTACACCACATCAACAAAACATCTCTACTACGTCTACTACAACCACCAGCAAAATGGGTGTCGGCGCTTTCTTCCACCACATTGGCACTTTCTTCCTCTTTGCCGCCACTATCCTTCTCCTCATCGCCTCAATCTCCTCCCCCGTTATTGACGGCATTTCGATCCTCAGAGTCGACCAAAACGCCGGCTACTACACCTTCGGATCATGGGGTTGGTGTTTCCATAACAATGGGTAAGTTTTCTAGCTACTGTCCTAAGCGTTTCGCGCTTTGCATTACGAGCCTCTGCTAACGCTTGTTGAACAATAGTGGTGATACGGAGTGCAGCCGAAAGATGATCGGCTACAACCCTGCTGATCTCATCCGCAAGAACGACCGTGACATTGATGTCAGCGGTGCCGGTGAAAACACCTCCAAGGCTCTTACTCGCGTCATGGTCCTCCACGCCGTCGGCTGCGTCTTGTCCTTCATTGGCTTCATTCTCGCCATCGGCCGTGGTACTGCCACCAACTTCCTCTCCTCTCTCCTCTCTGGCGTCGCCTTTGTTGTCACCATCATTGTCCTGGCCACCGACTTTGCTGGTATGGCCATCATCCACCACGATGCCAACGACAGCAACAACAGCTCTGCCTCCTACGGCTCTGCCATCTGGTGCGTTGTTGGCGCTGCTATTGCTCTCTTCTTCGCTACCATCCTCCTCTTCCTCACCTGCTGCGCCGGCCGCCGCAAGAACAAGCACTCCGACACCGAGAACAAGGTCGAGGCTGCTCGCGCTTCTCGCCGCTTCAACTTTGGCCGCAAGAAGGCCGCCGCTGTCTAAGCGCCCCTTTTGCGTCTACTAATGCCAATCAACGACTAGCAATGCGACCCTGTGTGTATACAGACCAGTCGCAACGGAAATATGATGTGTAATGGCTCCATACCATGGTTTATGCTTTTTGGCTCGATCCTATGATACCTCGATAACACACCTTCTGTACTATCAGCACGCTGTTGTGATATCCACTTTGATTTTGTTTACTACACTAATGATCCTATACCTAATACATTCACATGCATATACTTTACAAATGATTCTGAATCTGTGACAAGGTCTATTTTGTATAACTCCTAACTGGGTCTAAACCTGGTCTACTCAAGCATTTTTGGAGTTAACTTGCCCAAGTTTAATCCACAACTCGCGCAACAGTGAGTCCATCCCAGAGGGGAAGCAACACAGTCTGAAGTCTCTTTTCTTGTAGACAGAATTCGTTAAACACCTGCGCTGCTGCAACAGACGGTCTCTTGCTTTCGCCATCCTTGACAACGCCACCAGATTGTAGCACATTGTCGGCAATGATGAGTGCGCCTGGTCGGAGCATGCGTTTGGCGCTTCCTGGCTGGGAGCGACCAAGTAGAGTGTTGAGGTAGCCAACATAGCCCGCTTTGTCGGCGTCGAGGAACACAATGTCATAGGGGTGCTCTGGTTCGAGATTTGGAAGGCTGGAAGCAGTGTTAATTGCATGTTTAAATCAAAAGCAAAGCCTTCGCCAGACTTACGTTTCAGCAGCAGGGCCAACAATAATATCAACGTTGGAAACATCATTATCGGAGCATGCCTTGCGCGCAATGGTAGCATACTCCTCGCTGTATTCGAGGCCGGTAACCTGCCCATCTTGGCCGACAGCATGCGACCAGACAAGTGCCGAGTAGCCAAGGAAGACGCCAATTTCAAGAACTGTTTTCTAGTTTTAGCAATTGTGTCATTAAACAAACATAAAAAAACAAAAGCTTACCGCGTTTAGCGCCAATGGACTGAGCAAGAAGCAAGTGAAACTTGGATTGAGAGTCGGCTGTGAGCATCATAGCCCATTCGTGCGATGAAGCAGAGGCATGGTATGCGGGGATGTGGGCAGGTAGAGGGGTCGAATGGGCGTCGGAATACGTGCCGATTTTGACGGTCGTCTCAGCATCTGTAAAGAGGCCTTCGTGGTTTTGCTTCATCGTGTCAAACAGGAGTTGGTATTGGACAATGCCTGGTGATGTTGGGTGCGAATTGTGGTAGTGTTTTACGAGAATCACGTTCGCAAGAAAGACGTGGTGGTAGCGACGGAAAAGGAGCAGAAAGGCAAGCGGAACAAGCACGGCTTTTATATTTTAATGTACAATACCACCAACTCTGCGGCGATTTCGGCTGTCGGCGGCTGGAACACTAGATTGATAAGGGAAACTGGGGCAGCGGCTGCATCCCGTGCTACAGCGGCGTGCGGGCAGGCGCCGAGCCCATGATCAGCTACAGCGCGTCACGCACACCTCCGACGTCCTCCGAGCAGCGCCGAGCCTCTCTCTTCTAAATCGGCCATCCCCAACACATCGGCTCGTCGCTGTGATCTACAGAAACTCTCTATTTCTACCACCGATGCGAAGTTCCGACCGCCGCCAGCGGGGCTTTCTGTTTTGATGGATGAGGAGCTGACACTCAGCTACGCTGAGGTGGCCAGCGCTGGTGATCGTGACGAGCGGGCACAGCTTCCAAAACAGGCAAATCAATCTGCCGTCTTCCCTTTGCTACAAGACAATGAATCACTGGGAGGCGAAACGCAGCCCGTCGCAGGGCGGGCACGCACTGGCACTGAGGACAACGACGGTGAACCGGCGGTGGCCAAGCCTTTTGTTCGCACATCCAGCCCGGGCTCAGAGGAACGGAAACAGGACGCTTCAGCCAGGGTATCAGACCAGTTTGAAAAGGGATACGATGAAAAGGATTCACCACCGGAACGCCTGGTCTACAAGATGCACAAATTCAGCCTGTACGAGACCGCTAGTCGCTTTTACGTGGTAGGCGTCGACGTCAGCGAGCAAAAGTATCGCATCCTCAAAGTTGACAGGATGACAGAGGATGACGATGGGCTGAGCATCACTGACGACAAGATATTATACAATATGCGAGAGATGAATCAGCTGCTGGACACCATTGACGACGGCAACAAAGGTACTGGTGGTATCAAATTGAGGTGCACCACTTGGGGCATATTGGGATTTATCCGGTTTACCAACGCCTACTACATGCTTCTCATTACGAAAAAAAGCACCGTGGCTATGGTCGGTGGTCACTATATATACCAGATTGAAGGCACCGAGCTCGTACCACTGACCTTTGGCATGTCGAAGCCCGACAAAAGCAATGCTGACGAGCAGCGCTTCCTTTCCATCCTGCACAACATTGACCTTACCAAATCCTTTTACTACAGCTATTCATATGACGTTACACGCACGCTGCAGCATAATATTACCCGCGAGAGAGCCGCATTAGCAAAGGGCGAGATGCCTGAAACTGACGCCGACTTCAATTCCATGTTTACGTGGAACGACTATCTGCTTCGACCCATCGTAGCCGCAATAAAGGACCCTTATGATTGGTGCCGCCCAATTATTCACGGCTATGTCGACCAAGCTGCCCTCTCGATATACGGACGAACAGCTCACATCACAGTGATTGCACGTCGATCACGTTACTTTGCTGGTGCCCGATTCCTTAAAAGAGGAGCCAACGATTGGGGCTACGTTGCCAACGATGTCGAGACAGAGCAGATTGTCGCAGAATCTCAGACTACGTCCTTCCACGCACCCGGCGGACAGCTATACTGTAACCCGCAATATACGTCCTATGTGCAGCACAGAGGCAGCATCCCGCTTCATTGGACACAAGATAGCACTGGCGTGACCCCGAAGCCACCCATTGAGCTGAATCTCGTGGATCCATTTTACGGGGCTGCAGCTTTACATTTTAATGACCTATTTGAGAGGTACGGCGCGCCAATTTACGCCCTGAATCTTGTCAAGTCGAAAGAACGCCAGCCCAGAGAATCAAAGTTGCTTGATGAGTACACAAATGCGATCAAATACCTTAACCAGTTCCTTCCGAAGGATAAGCAGATTATACACAAGGCATGGGACATGAGCCGCGCCTCTAAAGTGCGTGGCGGCGATGTCATTGGAACATTGGAAACAATTGCAGAGGAAGTTCTCGAATTAACTGGCTTCTTCCAGAACGGTGATGGTGTAACGAATCCTTCATCAGCACAGAATGGAGTCGCCAGAACCAACTGCATTGATTGCCTTGATAGAACGAATGCGGCCCAGTTTGTAATTGGCAAGCGGGCTTTGGGTCATCAGCTGCACGCGCTCGGCATCATTGAGAATAGGACAGTCGAGTATGATACGGATGCAGTAAACCTGTTTACCCACATGTGGCACGATCATGGAGATACCATGGCCCTCCAGTACGGCGGCTCACAACTTGTCAATACGATGGAGACGTACCGGAAGATCAATCAGTGGACCAGCCACTCGCGCGATATGATTGAAAGTTTCAAAAGATACTATAACAACTCGTTCCTCGACAATCAGCGCCAGGAAGCGTACAATCTGTTCCTCGGCAACTATGTCTTTGCAAAGGACCAGCCGATGCTGTGGGATCTTAACACCGATTACTATCTGCACCATGCTGATCCCAAGGACTGGTCGGCAACCAAAACAGGCAACTACGTCAACTGGTTCACGCCAGAATTCCTCAAGGAGCGTACAATTCCACCGCTTGCACGACCGCAAAGAAAGGGCGCTGCAGAGTCGCATGCCGTAGACTTCTACGACGACTATTGGCTGGAGTACTACCGCCCAGCGACGCTCTCATCGTTTCCAAAGATGTTTGCCTACAAGATGAACTCCACTATCAAGTACATTCCCATTAACTCCACCAAAGACGGCCACTATGACCTCAGTCCGTTCAAAGTGCGCATCGAAGACATCGACCACGACAAGAAGAAGGCCAAGAAGGGTGGTGCACTATCGCCCAACCCTAGTGCTCGCAACCAAGACGACAACGAGTCCATAGCATCTGATAGAACTGCGTCGAGGGGTGTTTCTTTCCGCTGGTTGCAGCCTGCCCACAAGGATACAGAGCAGCAACCAAAAGGTATCCAGTTTGATGCTTCTGCTACCGATGCAGCCAAGACGAAGCAGACGGCTCTGGAAAAGTCCGATGCAGCGCAGTGGACTTTTACCAAGGCTGTTGACGACTCGCTCAACCCATCTGTCAGCGCCCGCGAAGCAGACGACTACGCGCGGTACATTAAGCATCCTCAGAACCTCCCGTTGGTGGTGTCTAGTGATACACCCGCTGATGTGGATTCGTCAGAGTATGAGGCTTATGTACACGGCGAATGGCAAGAGCATGGTCTCATGGTCCTGGAGAACGAAAATGAGGCCGAATTGTACGCGGAGCTGCTTAAGATTGGCGAGAACCCGCTTACAGTTACTGAAGAGGACGGGCCCAAGAAGCGATACAAGGCGTACCGCAAGTGGCTGCGCGGCAAGTCGTTTTTCAAGCAGCAACCCTTGGACTAAACAAATCCCATCTTATGAATTTTGAATGCTACAGTTGGTTGTCATGGTTCTCATTAATTCCTATCTTTTAATTCTATATACCCCGCAATGCCTTTTACATCATACAAACGCTTTGTATATCTATTCCTTTCGCAGCTTCTCGTAGTGCGCATTTGCCTGATCGATAAATGACTTGATTTCAGGCTCATCCTGTATCATGGCCTCCAGGGCCTTCCATGCGCCATCGTCGGTGCATACAGCACGGAGCACTGCTGCCGTAGTAACAAGAGCGTCGTTGAGCAAGTTCCATGCCGCAGGTTGCTCGGCTTTCAGGGTCGACTCGTCCAGCAGGTTGATCCAGCTATGGCAGACAATGTAGCTGATTTGCTCCTGAAGACTCCTCGATTCGCGAATGCGCGGCCAGCAGCACGTTATCGTAGCCTGGAGGGCTTTACTGGCCGCGATGACGGTGGGCGGGTGCATAAATGCTAGCGGATCGGTCATGATGTTCGAGAAGAGTTCCAGAAGCTCCTAAAGATGCAGTTAGCATTGCATATGCAACAAAGACTTGCCAAAAGAAATGATTCCATATACCTGTAGGTGCTTGGTTGCATGGACACGCAACTTGGAAACAATGACCTGCAGCGTGTTGACGAGCTCCTCCACAATGCGAATGTACTCGTTTGCATGCGCGTATCCTGCTAGCACACCCTCGCACAGCAATCGATCGAGCAGCCCACGCCGAGGCTTGCCGTCATCGTCGGGGTCGCAGTCGAGCTCGCCGAGCTGAATGAGGGCGGCGTACGCAGGGCGCAGAATCGTCAGCGACTCGGCCTCGGGGGTGATGGATGGCAGGAACATGAGGCTTGGGAAGACGGCCTTTTCAAAGACAACGTCCACCCCGGTGGATCGGAGAATGCGTGGGGGGCATTTATGCAGAAAGTCCGACAGCGACTCTAGGCCGCGCTGGCGGAAGCGGATATCGGCGTCTTCGATGAGGGTGACCAGGACGGGCACGTACGACGGCCAGTTTTTCGAGATGGTCTCGGCCTGAGGCAAGGATGTTAGCAAAGACAGACACGGAGTGACTCAGCGAGGAGCATACTTCGGAGAGCGCTAGAAGGCGCTTGAACTGGTCTGCTACGAGGGTTCCTTGCTCTTTCCAGAGAAGGCCTGGCTGCTGCGATGCGCCTATTGTTGGCGGTGCGCCGTTCGATGGGCCGGCAAAGAGCGGGCGAAAGTATTCCCGGAGCAGATCTTCTATACAGGTTGCGAGCGGCACCTCTTGGTCCAGGTGCTTGTCTATGATGGATTTTGCGGCATCTTGGGAAACTTGTTGCGACAGCAAGTCTGCGTAGACCGTTAGCAGGCTACAGGTGTAGTGGTGGTGGTTTTTTTCCTTGGAGGGGGAGGGGTAGTCGAACCGGTTGCTATAGCATGATGTAGTGTAAATTGGGGGCCGGTTGGCAGTCGACTCATTATTACCAAGCCAGCTGCAGCTTGGAATAGGTTAGCTGCCGTACTATTCAGAGGGAATTTTGGGTTTGCGATAGGCTGGAGATGTTGTTGAGCGCAAGNGGGGGGGGGGGCCGCCAGCCGCATCGATCAGCGAGCAGCACGGCTGACGTGGGTTTATTCAAAGTGCAGGGAATTATTGGCGGCCGCCCAACGTATAAGCACAACGACTGTGGCGCGTGATGATGACTGGTACGATGCTTCTGCTGCTGCTGATGATCTTGTTGAGAAACTATACTATTGTCTATATTAGAACATAGCTAACTTATACATATATAGTATATATATGGATAGGTATGTATGAATGTATGTAGCAGCAGATGGACACATATCACATGGACACATGACAATTAAAGCATGTAGTTCTTTTTTCAACTTTTGTCTATCCTGTATCTATTAAACAATGCCTAGCTCGTCCATCTTGGCCCTGACCTCTTCAATTGCGGGCGCAGGATCCGTCGCCTTAGGATTTCTCAGCTGCCACGCGACACAGATATCTAGAGCCTGGCCCGTCCATTTGCCAGGCTTCACACCCAGGGCCTTGGCGAGCTCACGGCCGTCAATGAGACGTCTCAGAGTCGGCGCTTCCATAACCTCGAGATGTGACAGGTGATCGACAAAGAGCTCCCATTCTCTGATAAATGCATCTCGCTTCTTGACAGCCTCCTCGTCCACCTTTTCCTCGGATATCGAGCTAGGCCACGACTCCAGCTTCTCCATGGCCTCTACGAGCATTGCGCCGAGAACCTGTAGCTTCCACGAGCCGCCCTGATGGTTCCATCGGCGGATTGCCATGCCGAACCTGTCCCGCTCCTGAATGTAGGGTGCGTTTTCGCAGACAGCAGTCTTGAGCTCCACGATTTCCAGCCTGTGTTTGTGGCACGCTGACATGACGTCAGTGAGCTTATTCGATGCCTTGAAGCCTTCGCGGGCTATCACGCCAACAGGAGGGAGAGCATTGGCCTTCTTCTTGGTTCCTGGAGGATCGGCAACACTGATCCACGGAGCAACTGCGGCCAGGTTCCAGGCGAGGAACTTGCCGTCTTCGCCTCGGACCAAGACCGATCCTAGTGAGCCTGGAGACTCATTGGCGAGAATCTCGCAGAGCCCGTCATATGCGACGGGCCAACGCGAGATATCAGGCTTTGTCTCGTCTGACTTGGCAGGATCTGTGAAAATGGCATGGTACAGATTCAGCCTGTTGATGATCTGTAGCGCAATCCTGGGGTGGGTGTCCTTGGTCATCTTTTCTAGTTCAATGCCGACGCGTTCGCGGCTAATCTTGACTCGCAGAGCCTCTAGTACGGAAGGATCGGCCATGAAGCGCTCCGTTTCGGGCGCAATGCTAAAGTCATAGCGGCTCGCGAAGCGCACCAGGCGCAGCACGCGAAGGGGGTCGTCGCGGAACGTCTGCAGTGGCTCTAGAGGAGTACGGATGATACCGGCCTTGAGGTCCGCAAAGCCAGTGGTAAAGTCTTCAACAGAGTCGGTGTTGAGGTTGTAGAACATGGCGTTGATTGTGGCATCTCGACGCAGCGCGTCCTCCTCGGCGGTGCCAAACTCCATCTGGGGGTTGCGGCTGTCTTCTGCATACGATTCTTTGCGCAGGTTGACAACATCCAGCTCGAGACCAAAGATGGGAATCATAGCCGTAGCGAGATGCTTTGACTTGTCTGGGTTGCTTTTGATCTTGTGCAAATTGCCAATATCGTCGGGGCCAATGTCGTGAGCCTTGATCACCTCGGGCCGCTGGCAGTACTCACACATGAACTCGACAAAGGGCTCTCCAGTCATGGCGTTAATGGCAATGTCAATGTCGTGGCTGTCGAGCCCAAGCAGCTTGTCGCGGACCCAGCCGCCCGCCCAGCGCAGGACAAGAGGTTCGGTGACCTTGCCTGATGCATTGAGTGATCCCGCGACATCGAGAAGCAGGCTGCGCAGCTGCTGCTCCTTCTTGTCGAGGGTGATTGTGGGATTTTGTGTGTTCATGGTGTATCTAGCGGTAAATGTACTCTTTTCTCTTGCAAAGTAACCAAATTTCCTCTTCATGACGTGGCGAAGGATATGAAGACGCGAGCGCATAAAGCTGGTTACTCGGCCATTCCGAGCGCTGCGTTGATGTCAATTTGGAGATGTGCTGAAACGGTAGTGATAATTTGCGCCGTCTTTTTGAGAGTATATGACACCGGTTTGCTGTGTCGGTATTTGTTAGGCTGCAGTGTTGTGCAACGGAAAGACCAGTGAGTCAATGGTGACTGACGTCGCATGAAAAAAAAAAACCTGAGCGACATCGCGGGCCTTCTCCACAGGTACCATCGCTCGACAATCGCGACTTTTAGAAGCCGCGACTAAGCAATAGTGCACAACAAGCAATGAAATATAAAACCAAAAAGACTTCAAGAAAAAAGAAATCTCTCAATGAAGGCTTTCAAAGATTATTCCAACCTTAAACCCTCTCGGAACCAGGCATCGATCGTGCTCATCCAACGGGCAGCTACTGGGTTGACTAAATATACATATTGAAGGCAGGCTGACCGTCTAGTAATACGTCATTTACGTCAAAGGCGTCCTAATTTAAGAAACTTTATATTGGCATTTAAATAGAGAACAAAAGGGAATATCGCTGGTGGGCGCAACATCTGCTCTTCCCGCAGGTTACTTGTGTTGATCCAGAACAAGGTCAGTTTAAATCCACGACAAATCGTTCGCATAAGATAGGCTCTACAGGCGTTGACGAAATTCAATTATTTCTACAACCGCTAGTATCGCCCGCAACGTTACTAAGAGGTAGCCACTGGCACACGACTCTGCCATGTCCGTTTCACTTACATACCGGCAGCCGACGATCAAGCCCACTCTCGATCCCGCCCTCTGAAACCCTGAGCCGTGTCTAGACAAACTCAATCGCTGTAAGAGCCCCTCCCCTCTCCTCTCTACGATGTCTCGCGTGAGCATCAGCAATGCAGCTTGGCTTCATACCGCCGATGGACCTGCAGACCCTGCAGCGCTATTGCGCAAACTGCTGCGCCACTGCGAGTCCCCATTCAATCCCTATCGCTCAAGGTCCTATTTGCGGTCACCTGTCACGGGGTGTTCTACCCTTTTTTTATCCAATATGCAAGTTTGTATCCCGAAGTAGACTAGCCATGACGAGGAGGCGATGCAGCGCCGCGCCCATCGGGAAGCAAGTCCGCACGGTTCGATGCTACGTCAAAAGGCCCGTTTTCACGAAACAAGCTTTTTAGACCGATGCACTTATATCGCGCATCGCCTGCTGCCGAAAGTCATTGTGCAGCAGCCTTCTCATAGAAACTGTACATCCAACCGCTGAGCGATTATTTGCAATGGGAGGCCGCTCCTGTGTGACACCTGGGCTGTGGATGGCTACTGTAGTGATGATGTATTGCTTACCTTTTTGGGAACTTGTCGAGCAACGGGTGCAGACAGACAGTATGGCTCGCAGAAGTCGTCAGGAAATGTGACGCATAGGAGTCCGCGGGCACGCGAGGGGTTCAAGATGTTGCACCGGTGGTATCAGTAGCAGTAACAAATACAGCAACATGAGCAGAAACAAGTAGACGGGTGTGATCTGCTGCCAAGCCCTGCAGATATAGATGGGCGCAAGCAACTGTCACTGCTGCAGCTATTATCAAAGACCTAGCATATGGGAGAGATGAAAGATATAGACTCTGCATTGCATTCATGTATGGAGGCTGCCAAATGGATGTGCTGCACCTGTACCGGCGCATTAATACTAGTTTGTGCATCGTGACCAAGCGCTTTGATGTTGAACTTTGACGTCATAAGCACACAATGATCCTGCATCATCAGCCCTTTTGCGGCACCCCCTCTCTTGGTTCTGATGCCAGGAAATCAAGCATGCAAAACAACACTCCGGCTGCCGATCGGCTGTTGTGTACATAGGCTGGGCGGCGCTTGCCCACCGTCGAATTAGAGGAGCTAGAAACGACCTGGGAGAAAAGAGGCTGGTCAAAGCTCCGCCGCTGGCATAGTCTACGAGCTGCGGCTGGAGCTAGAGCTAAAAAAAAGCAAAGTACCAGCCGTGGAGTAGCGGACGCTGTCATTCGGCGAACCGAAAGAGAAGACGGACGCCATGCCGTGGGCTAGGAAGGGTGTCGTGGATTGCAGTCTGGAACCATTGGTGGCCCATCCAGACACAGCCTCCGTAGCGGGTAGTGGTGGTCGTGAGAGTGAGAGTGAGAAAGAGGGGTCAGCAAAGGGTTTCGTTTTGGGCGACACACGGCAAGGACTGACGCAACAGGTTGCATTGGTGATAGAGTTTAGGTGCGTGTGTGGCGACGCACGATGAGCAGCACCACCACCAGCGCGGGCACACGGGAGTGAAGAGGTATGAGCGAGCATATAAAGAGGGACATGCGCCCTACATCTACCTAGCCATTGCTTCATTTGTTCCATCTCTTCTTTTTAATCTTGACGCCAAATCTTCTTCCCAGAGTTTTGTATCTTCCACACCGGTCGTATACAATAACAGCTTCGACTTACACCAGCGACAACCAACGACTAAGTTGCCACTCCAACAACGAAACCCAAAGATAAAAAAAGAAACCAAAAAAAGGGAAACAGACGAAAAACACACATAAACCTCCATCATGAACACAGATACAACTACAAATCAGCAAACCGACGCTTCGACCGTCACACAGCCTGAGCCTCTCATTCTTGGAGAACCTGTGGCCAAAAACCAAGACCGCCGCATGAGTGACGAGTGGGGTAAGCTCCGAGTTCCCTTGTTTTTGCCTCCCCCCTCCCCCCCAAATGCCCTGTACAGTACTTGCAGCCCACTGGTACTCCGCTGGCGCGGCCTGCCACAGCATTTTCTGGTTAGCGTAACCACGCCAGTTCTAGCGCAAAGCTTAGCGTGGGCAAGCCCGCTGCACGGCAGCTGCTACAGTGTGCCCCATCCCCGCACTTTCAGCACCTGCTCCAGTGGCAAAAGCCTCTCTTCCCAGTTGCAGCAGTTTGTCCACCAGAGTACTTTTGCGAACCACACGTCATGGTTCGTCATGAAGGCGACGGCGCAGAAATAGAAACCCATCAATCGAAAGCCATCGCCTGCCGAGGCATGGAAGGGAAGACAGAAAAACAAAATATATACTAACTACTTGCTACCCCTGCAGATGCCTCCAAGGTTCCCCCGTCTCGATTCCAAAAACGCAAAGGCTCCATCTACGCCACGCCTAGCTCCAGAGACGGACATGTCGACAGGAATTACCAGGACAAGTACCATGCTAAGATTGCCGAGATGAACACTCGCAAGAAGAGTGTTTCCTCGTAGCACGCACACGCTATATTCCCCCCGCAAGCTCATTGGGCAGACACTGTTGGTGGCGTAGCCCAGTCAGCGGGGGGAAACCGTCAACAGCGCTTTACCACTTACACCAACCACACCACCACCCGTCCCACACAACCTCCTTTGTCTCGGCCGTGCAGCGTTGCGCCGTGTTGGCTCGCTAGTGGTGTGATGGCTTCTGTGAGCATTTTGCGGCAGGTGACTCACCTGCTCGACTCGAATAGGCGTTGGTTGATGGTATCCATGGCTGTTTCTCTAATTTGCACCGGGATCAGATACTTCCAGGGGTTCTTCTTCAATCTTCTCGTATTTTAGCAAATAGTTTATGCTGTAATTCTATGTTCATCATCTGCCTTATATTACAAAGATCTTTATAAATTGGTTGAAAAAAGAAAGAAAAGCGACAAGGCACATCGCGTAATTGAAACAGAAAGCAAAGATAACAGAGCGGAAAAGAAAAAAAGGTGTGGCAACCCAATGACAAGAAGAGTATGCAGCAGTACATCAAGATCCCCTGCAGCCCCAGAGGTAAACACCAATGGAAGTAAAAGACAAACAAAAAGAAAGACGAAAGAGGAGCGATCAAAGAGAGCGGAAGGGGATTGAAAGCAAAAGCAATTTCTAGCTCCCCAAGAGATAAATGAAAACAAAAACGAGCAACCTCAATGCGTTGCAAGAGGCTCTGTTTGGTAGGAACCGAGAAAACGCCCCCCCTCCTTTTAAAAAAACACACAATGCCATTATTCGTCATCTCCACTGTCAATATCGATAGCATCTGGGTTAAGCTGAGCAGGAGCAGCTGGCGCGGCACTCTGCGCACTCCCGCCCACAGGTCCAGTGCTTGCCGCCACAAATCCGTGCGGTGCCTGCGCCTGGCGCTCCAGTGCCGCCATGGCGTCGGCAGTTTCTGTGTCTCCAGAAGCGGCGGCAGCAGCTTGTTGTCTTGCCAGAGCCTGCGAGGCGATAAAGTTGACGTCTGTGTTGTATTGCGCCTGCACACTGCGCTTGATGCGCAACATCTCCTTGAAAGTGTCTTCGTTGCCGTGCTGCACCTCAAACTGCTCCCACTTAGTCCAAAAGTCGGCATTGGTACGCGGATCGCAAAATTGCGAAGCGTGTCCGTAGATGGCACGCGCACGATCGATCTCGCCAAGGCGCTTCTCCATATCGGCAAACTTGAGGCACATGTCCTTGGCCTCATCATCAGGCAGCGCCGTGATGGCACGCTCGTAGATGGGTCTTGTCGATGGCAGCCCAAAGTTGGACGCCGACTTGGTGATGTAAAAGTTGAACATGTCGGCACGGTCCTCGTCTGAAACAGCACGCGTCGCTCTCTCGTAGATGCGCATCGCATGGCGCGCAAGGCCACGCTCCTCTTCAAGATTGCCGTACATGAGATAGATGGTCTTGGCAAACTTGGGCGGGCAGTCCTCCACAGCTTGTTCAAAGAGATCGCGTAGACGCTCGATACCAATTTTGCGGTCCACCGCCTTGGTTAGGTACAAATTCCACAACTCAAATGCGACTGGGTAGCTAAACAGGTCAAGACCACGCTCGTAGATCTTGAACGACTCTTCAAAGTATTTGTGCTCCTCCAACAGGTTGGCGTAGTTGACCACCGTCTGTGGCGTCGCAATGCGGAGCTCAAAGATGCGCTCGTAGACCTTTTGCACCTCTTCCAGCGTCGACACACTTTCCACCAGGTCCACGTAGAAGCTCCAGAGCTTCCAGCTCTTGTGTACCCGCTGCTGCGGAGACAGCGTCTCGTCAAAGTAGTCAACGCCGGATCGCTTAGGAGCCTGAACCGCCTTGGCCATAATCTTAACAGCCTCGTCAAAGTTCTCATTTCGCAGCTCCATCTCGGCCCATTCAATCCACATGTCGGCCAATTCGGCAACAGATTTGAAAGGAACCTTGACTGCCTTCTCCATGATGATTCGAGCATTGCGCAAATCTCCACCCTTTTCATAAAATCCGGCATAGCTTGCCCAAAGTTGATGGAATGCGCCAACGGCTCGTTTGGGGCTGATGGCAGCGATGGCGTCTGTATATGTCTGGGCAACCTCTTGCTTGTTGTCGCCCCAGAGAGCAACTCGTTTTTCCCATTCAGCTACCTGGTTCGGGTTCTGTCTCAAGAGCACATCGTTCAAGAGGAATGGGCGGCGGTCCATCAGGTGCTCGAACCTCATCATGCGAATGTCGAGCTCAAAGTCGGCGTCTTCATCCTCAATGCCCTTGTCGCCGCGATCGGCCGCTCGGTCCATCAAGGCGCTAATGATGGACTCTTCAAACTCAATATACGATTCAAAGATGAGGGTGAAGTCTCGCACAGTCATCACTGTCGTGATGCCTTCTTCGTAGACGTCTCTAGCGCGCTCAAAACTGCCCCGTCTGATCCAGTATGTTGCCAATCCGGCCCACAGCTTGCCGCGCTGATCGGAAAATCGGTCGATGCCGCTTCGTAAAATGTTTTCAACGTCGATGCCAGTTTCGATTCCAGTTTCTACGTCAGAGGCGTGGTCTACCAAGAGCTCGACGAGTTCCATCCACAGTTCGTAGTGGCCTTTGCCATGCTTGCTGTTGAATTTGGTATTGTTCAACACCTTGATGTATGTCGTCGCGGCTTCCGTATACGATCGGTTCTTGATGAGAAGTTCGATGAAATCTTCAGCATCCTCTGGATGGACTTGCATGTAGCGTCTCCAGATCTTGACAGCGGTGTCACCCGAGGCCGCGTTCGCAAAGGGGACAAAAAGTGCCCAAATGCGGTTATGCTGAGTGATTGGCAGTGCTCGTAGTGCTCGATCAAACGTTCGACGCACGGATGTAACTAAAGGCTGCTGCATTAGGAAGTCCAAGTACATTTCCCAAATCTTGGGCATCTTGTTGAGTAAAATCAGAGCTCTCTCAAAGACGGCGTTGACCTTGTTGAACTCGATCGTGTGAACAGCAGGATTCAGTTTCGATACGTGCTTGACCCGGAACTCGAGATACTAAATACCCAAGTCAGTAAATTAACCTCAAGAGGGAGACTTTTGGCTGCAAACTTACCATCTTCCAAAGCTTGTATGATCTCGGTAGCTGGGCGCAGGCACGGGCCATGACGAAAGCTTGTTCTTGTAGGCTTCCATGACGAGATTTAAATTCAATATACACAAGCCAAGGCTTTATGCTTGATCCGTCGCGGAGGATGTCTTGTTCGTATACGGAATCTTCGTTGGACTGCATAGCAAAAAGATTAGTATCCAGCGCAGCGCGTACATCATACCAATGATTGATCACCTACCACCAAATGAAGGCCGCTAGAGTGATTGAGCGAGCCATTCATGGCATTCGCCATAGTTTTGGCAACCTTGGCGGTCATGGTTGCGGATTTCGTTTTTCAGAGCAGCCTGGTCGCGAGGGCTGGGCGAGGAGCGTAGTCGCAGGTGGTTGGGAGCGTTTACCTCGATCCCATTCTCGTGAACAAGCGAAATAAAAGTCCGAATTCGTATGTATGAGCCCAACACCACAATTCTAGTCTTGAAGAAAACTGGTTAGGTCACGGTGGTTGGTTGATGCTGGAGAGGCCAGTGGTGCACACGCGAACAGTGAGTCGTGAAAGTTGGCGTATCGCTTCCTAATGCGAAACCTCGTTTGAAGCATAAACCACCTTTTTCTGCTGTAGGCCTACCTGCGCAGCAGTTGACGCGCTAGCTGCATACAGCCTAGTGGATTGTGACGCAGCACGGTGGGGCTACAGTGGCCAGCAGCTCTACGGCGAGGTGCTTCGACCTTGCTCAAGCCTAGCACTTCCCGGTCTGGCAGCATTGCAAACGTCCCTGCTGTGAGACAGAAAATATCAAAATGTCCGGAGCACCTGTAAGTACATGATGAAGGGGAGCTAAATAGCCGGTGGAATGCCACTAACGAACCCCATGCAGGATCGCGAAGCAGTGTTCCCGACCAGGCAGTCGCTGGGTCTGATGAAGGCTAAGCTCAAGGGAGCCGAGACTGGACACAGCTTGCTCAAGCGAAAGAGCGAGGCCTTGACAAAGTAAGTCGTAACTGAATGTGGCGATATTGTGACATCTAGGCTGACCCATTTGCGCCGCAGGCGATTTCGAGGTTCGTTTTTCCAATGACGATACACGAGCGACATACACTAACCATGGATGAAACAGAAATTACCAAAAGAATCGACGAGGCAAAGAGAAAAATGGGTCGTGTGATGCAAATTGCTGCATTCTCGCTCGCAGAAGTTACATATGCCGTTGGAGGTGACATTGGTTACCAAGTCCAAGAATCTGCCAAGTCGGCTCGCTTCCGCCTTCGTTCTAAACAGGACAACGTTTCCGGTGTCCTGCTACCGGCTTTTGAAAGCTATCTGACTGAAGGAAATAACGATTTTGGCTTAACTGGTCTCGGCAAGGGTGGACAGCAAGTTCAACGATGCCGAGAAACGTATGCCAGAGCAGTCGAAGCATTGGTGGAGTTGGCCAGTTTACAAACCGCCTTTGTCATTCTTGACGAGGTCATAAAAGTTGTAAACCGCAGAGGTAATATAAAGAATCCAGGTTTAACTAGTCGATATATGCTAACGCGCCACAAGTTAACGCTATTGAGCACGTCATTATCCCTCGAACTGAAAACACAATCAAGTATATCAACTCTGAATTGGATGAGCTCGATCGCGAAGAGTTTTATAGATTGAAGAAGGTGAGTTTTAGGATATCTGCGAACTAAAGAGTATTCCTGCTAACGTGTTCAATAGGTTGCTGGGAAGAAGCAGCGCGATAATGCCATTGCCGACGCTGAGCTGAAGGCCAGGCGCGAGGCGCAGGCTGCAAAAGAAGCCGGGGAAACAAAGACGGACTCTAAGGCTACTGAAGATGCGCCAGCGGATATCCTGGCTGCAGATGATGATGAAGAGGTCATCTTTTAAGTGCTGTAGAATATATCAAACGGGGCAGACGTAAGCGACCTTGCTGAGGTCGTTTTGTTATAATTACAAATACACGCTTTCATTATTACACTTGATGGAAGAAGCTACTTTTGTTACAGTTTGACCACTATTGGCGCTGGTATGTCACCTTGATCACCCTGTCGCCCAATGTCATACCGCCAGTGCTCTCCTTTGCCGAGACGGCACCGGCTTCAGCATCGTACTCGACGAAAGCAATGCCCTTGCGACCAGGAACGGTACGAACCTCCTTGAAACCCTCGAAGCGTCCAAAGATCGCCGTAAGGCCCTCGACAGTATAATCCTCTGGCACATTTTGTAAGAAAAGAATCTTGTTGGGGGGTAGATATTCGTCCGGGATGACCGCGCTTTGTGGTACACTTGTAGACTTGAGGCCCGACGATTTGGCTATCTTGGATGGGCGGTCGTGCTGATCCTGGGCCGCTCGCTTTCCGTTGCGCTGCTCTTCGGCAGCCTGGGCAGCCTTTTTCTTCTCTATGTGAGGCAACTGGGTTAGCAAGCATAGTTGGCAACGTTGGGATAACGGGGGAGTGGCGAACCTTTTTCCGCAAGTCTGTGTTGCTTATGCGCCTCTAGGTCTTCCGGTGACGAAGTCAACTCAACAGTCTTGTCGCTTCGCGACTTTGCCATGGCGAGTCGCATGGGCTTATCGAACAAGGGGAAGCCATCGATTTCTTCAATGGCCTCCTTTGCACTGTCCTCTTTATCGTACACAACAAACGCCTGGCCTTTGGCTCTGAGATTTGTCTTTATCACAATGTCAACAACATTGCCAAATTGTTTAAACAGGATATTGAGGGTGTTGGATAATGTGTCGGGCTTCACGCGCTCTTCAAGATTCTGGACGTAGACCCTGCAATCGATTGTTAGCCAAGTTTTGATCGTATTCGGTGTCGGAGTGCAATGACACGAACGTCGATATCGGTGCTGCAGCGGCCATGTTTTTTCTCCTTGATTTGGGGCAACAAGGCGTGTGTTCTGGTTCTAGTCGTTTGGTCTGGCTACCTCGAAATGCTCTACGGTCGCGACATAGAAATGCGCCGCCCCAGTATGCAGCTAGACCAAATCGGAAGGCTTGACCCCTTTAAATGCATATCTGTATTGGACTCTTTCTTACAACATCAAATATTAACAGTTGGATTAAATGCGCTAAATACCAAATCTATATAACAGAAAATCAAACATATGCGAGTTGGATATCATGTACGCTAAGCTTTCAAAATTTCATAGGAATAAATGCAACTCCTAGACCGCGTCCTCGGTTGGGTCTTCGGCAATTGGTCTGATCTGGTTGGCTTCCCACTCGACCCGTTCTCGAACCATGTCGTGCTTACACCAGCGAGCAGAGATGAATGCCCAGAGGGTAACCCAAAGGAATGGGACTGCCCAGCAGACGCCGTAAGCAACAGTTTCGGGTACGGGAGGGATGACGGCAACAACAGTAAGTATCACCGCTAGGACAAGTGCAGGGATAGACCAGAACCACGATTGGACGTGCAACATGCGTCGGAAACGAGGGCTAGCCTTATATCTAGCTGCCAGTGCCTCTCTGTAAGGCCTTCCGGCTCCAGCATTGACGGCAATGACATCCTCAATGAAGTAGTAGACACCGGGAAGCACAACTCCTCCCTTGGGAGTTGAGCTCAAGCGAAATGGTGCGACCCAGCCCATCTGATGATATAATGTTGTGAGGGCCAAAACACCTCCAACAGCATACAGAATGGCAGGTGCAGGCATCGATAGAACGCGCAGAAAGACGATATGTGGAGCGCCACCCACAATGAATAAAGCCGTGACGACGGTTATTGTAATGACAGAGGTCCACGTAAGAAGATCGAAGCACCATCGGCTATCTGTACCAAGTGGGCGGTAGAACCGTTCCTTCTTGATTAATCGAAGAGTACGTATAGCAAATTCGAGGTACGTCGGGCCTCCCCAAATTGTGGTGACAACGGCAAAGATAATCCAGCCCTCGACGTGTCCGGCATATGTCATGCCGTAGTAGAGGGCAATAGGTAGTGCTGAGGCATCTATAAAGACTACAAATGCCCAGAAGAAAAGACGAAACCGACGCCAGCCGTGATGCCAGGTAAAAGGCAACTGTGGTAGCAGGTCGGGGTTGTCATCGTAGTATTCCTCAAGCGTCTTACCACGTCTCTTCCATTCTGTACGTGTTGCGGCTCTCGAATCGTAGTAAACGTCGGCAGGGCTTCTTTGATTGTAGCTTAGGCTTTGTCTGGAATTATGTGGTCGAAAGTTGGGATCGGTAGAGTGTCGAACGGGTTTCCGAGCAGAGTCTGGCGCGGCGAGTCCCTCGAAAGTGACTTCGTGAAGCGATTGCGCGCGTTGGGGAGGGCTAGGGGGCGATGGCTTTTGGACAGGGCCAGTGGAAACCTTCTCCATTGCGACAGTATCGACTTCAGTCGAATTTGTCGTTGTCGACGAAAGGGTCGCCGGTTCTGTAGTCATGGGTCCAGAAGGTGACGCTAGGGAATAGGAGATCGGAATTTTGGTGTTTGCTGTCGATTTAATTCATATCGGAAATGGTCTTGTAGATATTTCACGCAAAATTGCTATAACAAAATGGGTCTGGCGTCTGTTGAACAAATGCGCAGGGACGGCGTAGATGATGTAGAGTTGGCAAAGAGCCAAGCGAATGCGAGCTGCCTCCTGGATAATGTCGGCTGCGTGTGGCCCTTTTTTTTTTATCCTATTATGAGCCGCCCGGTACCACCGGGCGCGCGGGTGACCGATTACAGTGGCGACGTCGCCGGATCGGCATTTTGCCCAAAGACCGCCGCCGTCGCACCCTGCAACTTTAATAGCGTAGCGTCGCCTGTAAAATGCAGCCTAAAAAGTTTAAAGGCCACCACACATTCTGCTGCAGCTAATTAGCCTGTGGTCCATTGGCGCATTTAGCCAACAGCACAGCCGACGTACGCCACGTAACATATTTACAAGACGCAATGTATCCAACACACTGGATTAAGCATTAATGTTCGGGAGGGGTATGGCAGAATATATAGAAAAATCAAACGTGCATGCGTTGCGAAAACAAAAGAAAATATACATTGCTTTACACACTGTCCAGGATACCCTCTGGAACAGTATACAAGGCACAAAGCAGCACAGCCTCTAATTCTGCGCCGAGTCTTTGTTCAAGTTGGTAATGGAGCTTAGGATCCTAGTCGGGACGGTCAGCAAGTAGCTTTTTGAGTTGAAACAACCATAAATTTCACTTACTTGAGATTGCGATCGGCCATCTCTCGGTCTATGGTGTCCATCTGCTTCGCAGTCAAGCGAGCCTTACTCAACTGGGCGCAAATACAGGATCAGCATAAAAAGGTGCCAGGTAGAACTGGTGGTGTAAACTAATGGACTTACCGCGGCCATGGCAATGGAAGAGTGATCCTCATCCGCCTCCTGACCAGCATCCTCGTCAACAGGCTCCGTTTCGTCGCTCTCTACTTTGGCGAAGCGACTTCCAGCGAGGCCCTTTGGCTTGGCTGGTGTCGAAGAGGTTGAGGCGGTCTGCTTGGCCTGGTTGTTCGCGTTTTAGTTAGATCAGATCATATCGTGCATCGCCATCAGAATCCGTAAACGTACCTTAGCCTCCATAATTTCAGCATCCTTAACCTTGAGCTGAGCTTCGAGTTCCTCCACCCTCTTTGTGTTATCGGCAGCCTTTGCATTGAGAGCCTCAATTTCGTTCTCCAGAGCCTTGGATTTCTTATCCGCTTCTTCAGTCAGGCTTGCGATCTTATCGTTAAGACCTTGGTAATCAGTCTTAGCCGCCACATCTTTCTTGGAGTGTTCTTCCTGCAACTCCGTGTACTCCTCCTGCATGTTTTCCAAACTCTGTTCAGTGGCAGTGAGGCTCTGCTGAGCAACGGTAAGCTGGTCTCTGGCAATGTCCAATTCGCTTTGTTTAGCCTTCAGAGCGGCCTCTGCAGTAGCTAAGGAATCTTCAAATGACCGCTTCTGATCTATCATTTGACTCTTTAGGTTGTCTGATTCCGACGTATCAGCCAGTCCTTGCTTCACCGCATCCAGATCTGCTAGAGCAGTCATGCGCTCCATCTTCTCTTGAGCTAGTTGTTGTGCCAAATCTGCAACCTCTGTTTCAGTTTGCGCCAGTGTAGTCTTGACCGCCTCTAGAGAAGCTAGCAATTCGCTGTTTTTGGCACTCTGATCGGCTATTTGTTCTTCAAGAGCCTTGTTTGATGTCTGATGCTTTTCTACCAAGCCTTCGATTGCCTTCGCATGAGACTCCGTCATTTCTTCAACATCTTTCTTTGATTTTGCACCGTCAGTCTTCAATGCACCCAAAGCTTCTGAATGAACAGAGACAAGTTTCTCAATCTCCTTGGCATGATTATCTTCAAGTTCCTGTCGCAATGCCGTTGTTGCCTCTGCACTACTCTCCTTCATAGCTTCAAGGTCGGCGGTCTTTTTCTCTAGTTGCGAGCGGATTTCTAGCAGCTCTTCGGCATGGGCCCGCACCGCTGCTTCGTGAACCGACGTGGCTTCGTTACCAGAGTTCCTCGTCTGGTCAAGCTCCGAGGACAGATCTTTGATCTTTAGTTCTAAGTCGCGCACCTCCGTAGCATGGTTATCCTCCATGGCGCGACGGATGGCAGATAGTTCCTCAGCATGTGCTTGCTTAGCATTATCTTGTGCCTGTTGCATCTCATCGATATGAGTCTGCTTAGCGTTATTACGTTCTTGCTCAAGATCATCGGTATGTGCTTTAGCAAGTGTCTCACGGACTGTCGCAAGTTCAGTTTCGTGAGCCTTCTCAGCAGCCTCTCGAGCAGCCTCAGCTTCTTTTCCATTGTTCTGGGCTTTCTCTAGCTCTTGTTTGGTTTGCAAGAGATCATCTTGCAGCGCAGATAGCTGGTCGGCGTGTGCTTTGTCTACAGCTTCACGGGCAGAAGCGGCATCCGAGCCGCTGCTCTGGGCAACCGTCAATTCCTCGTGAGCCTTTGCTAGCTGCGCATGGAGTTCTGTCAGAGCGGCAGCATGACCAGCTTCAGTGGTAGTTTGATAAGAAGCTGCTTCCTTGTCTTTAGCCAATAGCTGTTCTTTAGTTTCATTGTGTTCCTTAGTAATGGACTCGAGGATGCTCTTGTGTGTGTTTTCTAGTTCTTCAAGAGCCTTTGAGTGTGTCGCATGGGCTTCCGCAACAGCTGCCTCCATGGCAGCAACATGCTCGGTGTGCAAAGATTCGATCTGGCTGGAATGGGCCGCCGCTGCCGCAGATTCACCATCCTTGATTCCTACCAGTTCCTTGGTGTGTGTTTCGCGGAGAGCATCTAGTTCGGCACTGTGGGCTGCATCCTTGGCCTCCAACACAGCAGAATGCTCAGTTGATAGGTTTGCAAGGGCCGTCTCATGAGTAATTTGTGCTTCTTCAGCAGAAAGCTTCAACTCGTTATACTGCCCTTCCAGTTCTTGAAAACGACGTTTGAAGAAGGCGTCACCTTTAAGGCTCTCGATTTCATCCTCGTAGTCTTGCGAGATCTGTTTCAATCGCTCATCATGGGTAATTTTAAGCTTTGCGATATCTCCATCCCGTTCTCCGAGGGACTCCTGCATTGCCGATTGCTGATCTTGCATCTCCTTGATCGTCGTTTGAGCAGCAGAAAGCTCACGCTCTTTAACAGCTAAATCCCGTTGCAACCCCATAACTTGAGACCCGCCATCTTCTGCCGAAGACCGCGCATTGCCAACTTCGGCCTCTGCAGACTCCAACTTAGTCTTGAGCTCTGCAATCTGAGCCTCGAGTGATTTGAGGGCATCAGATTGACTGTCTGCTACGGATTTAACTCTTGCTTCGTGTTCAGCCGCCAAAACATTTTTAGAGGCAGTGAGGGCATCGATCTTCAGTTTCAAGTCTTCGATTTCAGCCTCATGAGTTTTCTGTAGCTCGGACAAAGCGGTCTGGTGCTGAGACGCGCTATGCTCATGCTGTTCCAAAACTGCAGCGTGCTTCTTATTTAGGTCAGCAATGGTCGTACTATGCTCCTCAGCAAGAGAAGATCGAAGTTGCTGCATCTCGGCGGACTGAGCAACTTGGGTTTCTTCCATTTCGTCAAACTCTTTGGCTTTCTTGTCCAAAGCAACAGCTGCAGCATCTCGAGCAGCTTCGGCTTCGGCTAACCTTGAGCGTTGCTCTTCTGCATCTCGCTCTGCCTTTTCCAGCTTTTCACTAAGAACAGCCAAGCGATCTTCCAAAGAATTGATTAATATATCATGTTGCGACTTAAGATCAGCAATTGCCACACTGCTCTCGTCTTCATTTTCGGTTAGAGCCTTCGAGTTATCATGGGCACCGTGAACCTGTTCTTTGAGCTCTGCAATCGTTGTCTCAGAGTTTTGTACCTGCTCAATGAGCGAAACAATTTCTTCGTCTTTTTCAGCTAGAGTAGCTTTAAGCTCCTGCAGTTCCTTAACAAGATCAGCATGCGCGTCGAGGCGAGATGCAGGGCGTGCCGCCAAACGAGGTGTAACTGGTGATGATGCGGCAGCAGTTGATAGTCTCTTGGTAGCGGTCGTCGTGGTTGTGGTTCTAGCAGTAGAACCCGGCGTTGTGCGGCTAGTAGCTACGCTGGGTGTCCTAGTAGCACCAAGAGAGGCTCTGGAGCTGGGTGTAGTAGTTGTTGTAGGTCTGCGAGTGGCAGCGGTGGCAGTCTTGCCCGGGCTACCAATCACGGACCTACGGGAGGTGGCCGATGCAATGGACTTTCGTTCATCTTCGCTAGCACTGATGCTGGCCCTGTGGGTTGACGCCGTGGTGGAAGAGGAAGTTGGTCGACGAGTAGTGGTCGACGACGTACTCGCAAGAGGTCGAGTGGGTGGTTTATTGAGACCAGTCGATGTACGTGTCGTAGTAGTGGGAGCTCGAGAAGCAGGCGTCGTTGTCGTTGCTGGTCGACGAGCTGTACTGGATGTTGCTGTACCAGCCAAGCGCGCTGTGGTGGCAGCTCGAACAGAGCCAACGCGGGCAGTAGGGGACGTGGTTGTTTTGTCGGCCATCGTTCCAATTTCCTGGTGTATGATGCAGCTAATCAGATGCTATCACATCATATGAATGTTAGCAATGCCACGTACTGCAGTGGGCAGGTGCTGTCGCCCTAGTTGGAGCTCGAATATAATGTTCAGGGGAAGCTGTGGTGTCGCAGCGTTGATGATGTGGGGGAAGGAGGACTAACTCACGTCGACAGGCGGCGATGGCAATGCTATGTTCGAGGTGATTCAGGCCCAGCACTCGCTCGCTACTCTTCTAGTATATGGCAGAGACGCTGTGAAAAAGCAGAGCAAAAGGGATAGAGGACAGGGAAGCCCAAAAAATTTAAGCGAGAGATGAGTGCATAGCGCCGCAGAAGTACTATGTAGTGGCGGTGGAGAGGAAATTAATGGGTGATGGACCAACTAGGAAGCAAACTACAGGGGTCTGCAGGAAGCTACAGGGGACGAAAAGGGCCTAAAACGGGAAGCGGTGGGTGGTGCAAGTTGCTGATTCGCAGTAGATGTTGGCTCAGAATGGACAACGTGACGTGGCGAAGAATGTAACAGGACATACCGTAAGGAGCAAAATACGACAGATGCATTATTCAAGACAATGCTCGCGAAAGTGGCTAGTTCAGCGCGTTTTCCTAGTCGCTCTGAAGTCACTACAGCGCCGCATTTTCCCTTGGCTGGCGTGTAAATTTATAGTCGGTAGTGTCCATGACCCCTGGAATAGTGGAGAGGCTCCCTATTGCACCCCGGCGGGGAGGAAACAAGATGTCCACTGATGCCGCCTTTTGGCGGCCAACTCACAGTAGGCAGGTTGTCAGCCACTTTATGTGATGTTGCAAAGATAGCACTGAAAGATGTGGTTTACTAATACACAGATTCATATGGCACACCGTGTTGCGAGAGCGTCTAGCTGCTCAATGCCCCAGCTCCTAGAAACAGCAGCGGCTAATCATCGATTGCCCTTGGTGAGATTCCCCCATGTCAGGTACCTTCAACTGTCATGACTGTATCTCGACGTCCTGTTTCCTACAGCATGAAGGAGACAAAGCACTCACTAGGCTATAATCGCGGGATTCCAATCTACTAAGCGCTGCTCATGCTTTAGCGCATTTCCTATTAGACGTTGGCCAACAAGGTGCACCCAACTCCACTCGTGCGTCGAAGAAAACGTTTCCCCTCGCGCACATTGTTGCACGTCAACCGTTGAAGAGTGATTTCGAGTCTCGACATATAGTACCAGGTGTACATGCCAATTACTTTCATTTCTATACTACATAAGCTATATTTTTCGCTTTTTAACTTAGCAACATGACAGAGTCCAAGAACGTCATTGTTGTTGGCGGTAAGATCACCCCGCTGTTGGAGGGGTAGCATAACAGTGACTGAAATGATTTAGCTGGCATCTTCGGCCTTTCTCTGGCAGTTGCGCTGCGTAAAAAGGGTAATTATACATAGTCTGCTCTCTGCCAGCCAGTTTCGAGCAATTGCGCTAATATCCTCGTGACAGGCCACAGTATCACGGTCTTCGATAAGCAAGTGTATCACGAGACTGGCTACCAACCACCAGAGAACGACGAATTCCAAGCGGCTTCAGTCGATCATAACAAAATTGTGAATTCTCTTTAATGATTCCAATGACGAAACTAAACGGCTAATTACATCTTAGTTCCGCGCCTCGTATGGGTCAAAGCTACACTACCAACGACTTGCATATGAAAGCCGTGATGAATGGTTGCGGATTAACAAGGATGCTGGTTCTGATCTCTTCGTCGACTCTGGTATGCTGAGAGTTCAGCCAACTAGCGAATTGGGCGCTCTTGAGAAGGAAACTCTCACTAATATGGAGCGCGATGGTCTGCGCCCCTCGCAGTTCATCAAGAGCGATGCCGCTGATCGCGAGCGAGCAAGGGCCGAAGGTTGGGAGGCTAAATTGCTAGAGTTCCCCATTCCTGATGACCCCGAGCAGAAGACATTTGAAGCTGTTCTCGATTCCTCGGCTGGGTTTATGCGCTGCTCTGCTGCGTGCGAATATTACCGCAAGCTTGCATTGTCCAAGGGCGTAAACTTCAAGTTTGGTCCAAAGGAAGGCGAGTACGAGTCCATCGTCTCTATCGAAAGTACCACCTCCCCTGGTAAAAACAGGGCAACGGGCATCAAAACCAAGGATGGCTTGACTCATCCGGCCGATGTCGTTGTCATTGCTGGTAAGTTCTCCAAAAAATGACAAAAACGGTAATCATCTAACAAAGGTTCAGCGGGTTCGTACACCACCCAGCTTCTCCCCGATATGGCTTACCATCTTGAATCATCTGCTGGCAGCATTGCCACCTTCAAGATTGACGAGTCCAATACCGCTCTTTGGGACAAATACTCGCCTGAAAAGTTCCCTGTCATCACTTGGAAAAGTACCCCCCGCAACAAGGCAGGTAAAGACACTGGCAGTGTCTACGTTCTTCCTCGTACTCCTGAAGGATTGGTCAAAATTGGATACCGCGGGATCAAGGTTGGTTATATATTCGCCCAAAATAGCTTTAGCATGCACTAAACGTTGCGCTTTTGTATCAGTTTACAAACTTCCAGCCGGCCCCTGACGATGCTTCCTTCAATCAGGATGGCAAGTGGTCGGTTCCCCTGTCCCCGAAAGACAGCACCAAGATTCCTGAGCCGGCTGTTGACGCCATCCGCCAATTCGTTTCTATCTTCCTTCCTGATTTTACAAACACTGAGTTTTACTCTTCTAAGCTCTGCTGGTACACAGACACACTCGACAATTCGTTCGTGGTAAGTGTCGTCCTATGTCGCATGGTTCTGTCTTTTGCTAATGGGTCTTCAGATTGATTGGGTTCCTACCTACGCCGACAACTCTGTTTTTGTTACCACCGGTGGTAGTGGTCATGGAGCTAAATTTTTGCCAGTCTTGGGCAAGGTAAGTCCTCTGACACAACATCTCAACCGTTAAACTACGCTAACATACGCCACATAGCATGCGGCTGACATCTTCGACAACAAAGAAAACAACACAAGTGCCATGTATCCTTTCTGGCGCTGGAGAGAAGATGCCAACAGAGGCAACGGTCTGTCTGAGGGTCCCAATGGCCCCCGCAATTTTGATAACCTCGAGTAGAGAATGGTCAAACTCGTTGTAGGTCAAATTCACCAAGACCGAACAGTTACGAGTTACACGCACCGCCGTACTATGATATTATTGCGCTTAAATTAGAATTGGAGGATAGAACATATATATTCAAATACATTTAGCATTAAACCTGTCCAAATTCTCAATATTAATAAAATTAAAATAAAATTAATCAGGCATCTTGATATCTCAATGTTTGCTTACCTAAAATCCAGCGAGGGGTCAATCACCCCACCTTCAAACACTCACTCAGAAGCGTGACTGCATCAACAACTGTTAGCGGACAACGAAACGATGACATCCCAACTCCCAAAGCTGGACATATTAGATGTCAATACATCCCTCTCTTTCACAACTCCCGCGAAGCTCATTAACGAGACAAGTCATGTCAGCCACTTCTTAAGATCCAAGGCTTACCGCGACATCTGCACCTTCATCCTTCAACTCAATCGCTCAGTCTGTCCAAGAATTGCACAGGGATCACCGGTGCCGACCCGTTTCCCACTTTCGTCGAAGCTACAGCCATCGCCCTCTATCGCAGCCTTGCAGTCGCTCTTATCTGACATTGAATCACTCATTGCGGAAGCCCCCCCAGTACCAGGGCCACAACGATTTGGAAACGTTAGTTTCCGAACATGGCACTCTTTACTTGAGCGCAAGGCTGCCGAGCTGTTGCAAACAGGGTTATTAAATAATACCATATCGTCAGCGGTCGGTTCAGTTGCTGAAGTTAAGGCGTATCTATTAGGCAGCTTTGGGAGCGCCCAAAGGATCGATTATGGAACCGGTCACGAATTAAGCTTCATCGCCTTTTTAGGTTGCTTATGGAAGCTAGGGTTTTTTGAAGCAAGTTCGGTTGATGGTTCAATTGAACGGGAAATCGTTTTGCAAGTAATACAGCCGTAAGTATTGTAACACAGGCTCGAAACTTCAGACTGACATTGCCTAGGTATGTGGTATTGATAAGAAAACTTATCTCGACCTATAACCTAGAACCAGCAGGAACCCATGGTGTCTGGGGTCTTGATGACCACTCCTTTGCACCGTATATCTTTGGATCAGCCCAATTAACGCGCCCAATCCATGATGATGAGCCCATGCCGTTAGAAGGCTCTGTTCGAGGTGCTCCAAAACCCGGGGACATCACTAAGGAGATGGTTGTAGAGGACGAGCGCCAAACGAACATGTATTTTTCTGCCATTGGCTTCATTAACGACATTAAGAAAGGGCCCTTCTGGGAGCATAGCCCGATGCTTTTTGACATTTCTGGGGTAAAAGATGGCTGGGGCAAGATCAACAAGGGCATGATCAAAATGTACAACGCTGAGGTGCTATCGAAGTTCCCAGTGGTTCAGCACTTCCCATTTGGACTACTCTTCTCTTGGGATAAAGATCCAGAGGCTCCCCAGCGTCATCAAATAAGTGAGAGCACGCAGGGTGTTACGCCAACTAATACTACGGCCTATGCTACGCCATCTGGCACAGGGTCTTCCTGGGCGCCTACAGCGCGTATGCAGCCACCTCCTGGTGTAGGTACTGCTGCAGGTTCTAGTATTCGGCCAAGTGAAGGGGGCAACTTAGGAGACGGTCCAACAAAAGCACCATGGGCCAAATAGAAACATTGCCTTGACGTGAACAAGAGACTATTGCTACCTAAAATCAACAAAACGAAAACGAATCGGGTATCCAGCAATGATTGCGCACAACTGCCATTACAGATCTTCTCCTACGCAACGTGAAGCATTATGGCCCCCTCAGACGCCGTGACAATTATCATATTTGGTGTCTAGGCAGCAACGGGGGCGGGAGCGGGAGCGGGAGCTGTAGTTTCGGGTTCAACAGCGTCAGTGGTGACAGGCTCTGCGACAGCTTTATTTGGTTAGATAGATGAGCAAGCTATGAAGTCAGAGTAGCTTACCAGGAGCAGCCTCAGCAGCGGGAGCGTCCGCAGCAACGGCAGCTTCAGGGGCAGTCTCAGTGGCGGCGGCACCCTCGGCAGGTTTTTCCTCAGACTTGCCCAAAATCTTGTTGAGTTTGCTCTTGACGAGGTTCAAGACCTTGTTCTTCAACTCCTGAATGTTATCGAGAGCTGGCCAGGCTGTATTAGCGTGTTCTTGTATATTTACTAATGGGAGATGTTTATGTACTTACGAGAGCCACCCATGATGAATATTTGACGATATTGACGTGTACGAAGTTGACGATGAATAGTTCTTTGCTGTAGTTTTCTGACCAAAATATTCAGCACTTGGGTGTTATTGTGTTTTAAGAGACAAGAGGCGACGGCTGAGGAGGCGGTATACGTCTGGAATGATACGTACGACCGGCAGTTGCGGTCTTGCCCAAAACGAAACAAAACAACAAAAGGCCAATACTAACCTTGAAATTACGCAAGAGATGGTTGCCAAACCAGAGTGCAGGGAGAAGAGCAGAAAAATGACCAAAAACAAAGGTGCAGATCGCCAGTAATTAAATCAGCGACAGCGCCCTCTCGTCGTGGGCAGTCTACTGGACGACAGCTCACGGCAGTGCACAAGCAAGGGTTCTAGTCTAGCGGAACTCTAATGCTACCATACCCATCGATCGCTGGTGTTTCATTTACCCAATGCAGTAGCAGTACTAGCGCTACGCCTCGCTAATGGGATAGCCCCAATGGCGAGCCATCAGCTGATGTGCTATTAGGACTGGCGGAACAAGAACAGCGTTCAATGACATCGATGGTGTGCACGAGGAGCGCCACCTACGATGAAATGCGAGACCGTTTTGCGTGCTTCCTTGTAAGGCTTACGAGATAGTGGCGAGGTCATCCTAGTGTTGTGGCGCGAGGGACAATAGCAAAATACAAAGAAATCAAGACAGTGAAGATGCTAAGGTTGTCATTCCGACGTTATTGGGGTCGCTATTCATCATCCGTCGATACGCTAATTTGCTTCTTCGAAGAACATGTAGGAACCCGTCCAGAGCTGTTACCTCGTGCATTGGTTGTGGTGTGTTCGCGGTCTGGTGATCGCCACCTGATGCGTATCAGTTGCTCTACAGGCGCCCCCACTCCATCGACCGCCAGTATTCGGTGCAACAAGCTTTTTACGCCCAGGCGGACCACTGGGGGCGCAAGAGTGACCTAATAACAAAAATGACGTTGGAGACAGCTTCATAGTATGCGATTTAACTCATTGGTAGCAAAAAGACAAACAAAGGCAAAAAAGCTGGGGCCTGACCGGGGATTGAACCCGGGACCTCTTGCAGTTGCGCATTAAACCCAAAGCAAGAATCATACCACTAGACCATCAGGCCAGTCACTCAACAGTGTGGGGAATGCCGCCTAAACTAGTACATACATTATTGCAATGATTGTATATGCAGCCTGATCTCGAGATTCAGCAATAGATAAATAAATTATTCATTTAACTACACAAATATTGTTGTGCGGTAGGTGGTTTTTATTCTACTAGACAATATGTTCATATTTCGCTTCTATGCACATGAGTTATGGTGTGGCATTGTGCAACCGTTGGATTGTAAATCTGGTTATGCCATTGGGAATCGAGCTGCCAACCAATCTGCAATTATTTTGGCACCAGCTGTATTCAAACTTAAATCAGGTCGTTCATTACCAACATCAGCTAGTTGCACCCGCCGCTTTGCTTCGTTGGCCCAGACGGCTATCTCATCGTCCCATTTAGCTCGTTCTTTGAGCTCAACGACGTCGACGCTGCGCCACATAAGCTCTGCAAGCTCCATAGCCTGGCTACCAAATGTGTTGGAAGCCGTCTTCTTGACTGTTTTAGAGTTTGCTGCCTTTGAACGTATAAACTGAGGAACCGAGTCATGAAGCAGCATCGTTTCCGGAATTTTGAGGGTAGACGAGCGCGGGGGGAATATGAGATGTGATTTGCGAACCTGCTGTATATCACCTACTGGTAGCTCTCCATCCGCAATGGCTTTGATTGCAGCGGCCTCTTCTGAAGATTGGTAGAAAGAAGCTGGCTCAGTAAGACCAGGGTTGTGGAAGAAGAGACTGGGACTACCAAAACAGTCGAAAAGGTTGCATGGCTCTCCAAATAGGGCAGGAAGCTGTTCCCAGAGCGACTGCATATGCTCACTTCCAAACTTCATCGGCTTGGAGACCATTTTAGTCTTTTTTGGAGACCGATTCACTTTATGATCGGGTAAAAACATAGTCCAGTTGTAGATGCCATTGTATGCGACAAGACCACGTACGGCGAACGGTGAATGTGGGTGGCATTCGGTCAGGGCCAATGATGTTGCCAATGATGCGCCCAGGTAAGATCCATAAGCATACACAAATTGGCGTCCGGAACCCAAAGGCCTCAGATTCTCCGAAAGCCATGCAAAAGAAAACCCTACATCGTGGACAGGCGTCGGCCAGCTTCGCGCCCTTCCTGTGTCGTAGATGGGGGAGCCGGGGATACGGCTCTCGAACATATCCCAACGATAGTTAATGGTGGCAACGGGAAACCGTTGGATGAAAGCGGGTAACGGCACGCGCGTGTCGTCAATCGTTGGTGAAGGTGGTAAATGAAGGAGGAGGGGGGTGGTTGGCGACAGCTTATCGATGTTGTATAGGCTAGTTATGTCGGTTAGTTCGTGGTGAATCCGTATGACATACAATACACATACTCAATGGAAACATCCCCCGTTGATCCGCACCGGACTTGAACCCTGTCATGGGTGAGGCCAGAACTATATGATCGAAGACATATTGAGAGAGGGCTTTGGCGTGCTACCGGTCGGTAGGGACAGCGCAGGCGGAGAAAGGCGCGCGTCATATGCAGCCAGATTGGTCGCTATACCATATGCATCTAACCCAAAAACTATAAGTATGTCTTTCTTTTAGGACAGTTTTGTCCTAGATGCCCGCCGATGGTAAGTTTGCAGGGTCTTGCAACGGCGCTATTGTAAGGGTAGTTCAGGCACGCGTCCGTCGTGCCAGTGGTAGTACGGGAGGCTCAGTGGTCGACCCCACTGTAATTTGGGTAGCCTGGCGCTGGTAAATTTCAAAGGAATTGCCTTACAAGGCGCGCAGCACCCGCCCGGCATTGCCGGAGCTGCAGTGCACGATCAGCAATGAGAATCTCAGATCGTGTCTTCCTACAACCTCCACCACTGCCGCGTCTGCCGCTTCCTCTTTACAAACGCGCTGCCTCCAACACGTCGTAAAGCCATTTAGTCGATTCGCTCGTCTCTTTCGTTGCTTGCACTTATTTTAGCTACCTCCAACCTTATTGGCCCGTCATCCTGCAAAATGCAAATCTAGCGCGCCATCAACAGCCACTCGCCCGTCTATCTCCACCACGTGAACTCAAAAAAGCGACTGAGCGACAGACAGCCACGAGAGTCGGACCACTGGCCAACCATCCTCTCTCGTACTCTGTTTCTGCTTCTCCCAACTACGACGCTTTATATTTCTTGTCCATTGAATACCTCACAGCCTAGCGCTGCTGAATAACATTCCCCAGCGTCTCCTGTTCCTCGCGATGGCCATGCTATTGCCTTGATAGCTAACCATCGAACTTTATTACTTCACAGAAGCGTTAGCATTTCATTTACCATGGCAGATATAAATATGAATCAATCGCATGAGAATGGAGACCCAAATGGCGATAAACATGATGAGATCAACAGCATGGAGCCTTTACACCTTACGCCCAGCCGAGCAGCACACTTCGAGGCCACGCACCCCGATCCAGCGTAAGTGCGAATTTGTGTAACTCGACACGCCTGGGAAAATGGTCTAATTCGCAGTTAAGGCGCTGGTGGTTCATAGATTCCGCTTTCCCCATGATAGCTGGCACTCTGGGCCCGGTAGCAAACGCCTTCAGTATCTGCGCTCTCGCTCAGCCATGGAGGACTCGCCATATCCCAGACACTGACATTCGCGATACTACTGATATAGCGGATCCGCCATGGTATGTTTTCCTAGTCTTCCTTTCCGCTCATGTCGCCCCTAACTTACCAGTCTAGGCTTTTGGCCGTCAATGCCGTCCAACTGGTGCTTGCTTTGATATCCAACTTTACACTCCTACTCAATATGGCAAGGCGGCTTCGATTTACAATCGCTCAGCCCATCACAATTGGTGGATGGTAATTTAATGCCCCTTTAACGCATAGTTCCTGCTTCTAACTAAGCGTAGGTATCTTTCTGCTCTCTGTTTAACTTGTCTATGCGCCACTGCTGCTGGTCCATTGTTTGCAGGGCTTGAGAATCGAGACGACTACATTTGTAGCCAGGCTTTCTGGTATGGTGTCTGGGCTGCTATTCTGTACTTTGTCGTCGCAACTCTCATGTCCATCACCTTCTGGGGAGCATACACCGGCCGGTTCGGCAAAAGCTTCAACCTTACCACCAGCCAGCGTACGCTTATGTTTCAGACGATTCTCTTCCTCATGTATCTCCTCATTGGTGCTTTGATATTCCACGCCACGGAGCCGGATTGGAAATATCTTGATGCACTATATTGGGCAGATGTTACCCTTTTCACAGTCGGTTTCGGCGACTTTGCTACCACGACTCAGGTCAGCCGTGGACTCCTCATCCCGTATGCTCTCGTTGGGGTTATCAGTCTCGGTTTGGTCATCAGCTCAATCCGCAAAATGATATTAGATCATGCCCGAAGACATGTAGGCATTCGGATGCAGGAAAAGACTCGCAAAAATTTGGTGCGGCGGGTCACTATGAAAGGAAACGATTATATTCTCCAACCTGTTGGCAGCTTGCCTCGTCAAGATACCGAAACGCAATCTAACCACAAATTTCACAACGAATATGATCGGAGACGAGTTGAGTTTGAGCTCATGCGAAAAGTTCAGCGCAAGGCCCTAATACGACGGCGATGGACTGCAATGGCGACATCGACGGGCACATGGCTCGTCTTTTGGCTCCTCGGTGCCCTGGTTTTTCTTGAATTTGAAAAGCCTTATCAGGCCTGGTCTTACTTTGACGCATTTTACCTATGTTTTGTAACGTTGACAACGATCGGCTATGGCGATAGAACACCTATATCACCGGGTGGCAAATCCTTCTTTGTGTTTTGGTCTCTGCTTGCTCTGCCAACCATGACGGTTCTCATTTCCAATGCCGAAGACACGGTCGTCAAGTTCATCCGAGACACTACCAACCGCATTGGTGACGTCACGGTTCTACCAGCAAAATCGGATCGAAAGGCTCGTCGGCTTATGAGAGTTAAGCACCGAGAGGAGGAGGGGGGGAAAGCAGCTGAAGAAGCAGCATCCACATCTATAACGGTTCTTCACCCAGATCCAGGTCAGCATGCCCAACACAAACGCAAGGTTCACAAACAAGATAAAGATAAGGGCGTGCCATTGAGGCATGCGGCAACAATATCTGATGGCGTTGCTCCTCATGTGAATCTCAAAACACGCCTCCTGGAGCCCCTTCCCACCGGCCGCAAGCTTCACCTTCTTCTTGTTAATGAGGTTCAAAAAGTTGCCAAGCACATCAATGATAAAACAAAGCATCACTACACGTTCGACGAGTGGGCTTGGTACTTGAAACTTCTCGGGGAGGACGAGAGCAACCCAGACACACACTCCAAGGCCAAGGTTCGAGCTAAGAAGCATCACACGAACGGTTCCCATAGTACCTCGGCTCAAGAGAGTCCACCGCAGATACAGCAAGTAGAGTCTGCTCACCCGAAATGGTCGTGGGTTGGCCACCGCAGCCCGCTTGGTGCTGGACAGGATGAGAGTGAGTGGATTATTGAGCATCTAATGCTTAAGCTGGAGGAATCTTTAATAGACGGACTTGGGCACTAGTCTCACTATGGGCAAGAAGCAATTCAATCCCCACGCCTTGCTGTTGATTTTGCACATGTAGATACTACTTGGAGTTGCAGTATATGTTATTAATTTTAGCTAAAATACATGATATTAACAAGTTATAGTTCCCAGCTTCATCGTTATATGTACAATACTTTACACGACAGGATCTCAACTGACTAGCTTTAGTTAGATCCACCTAGCAAAAGCCTGCGGTTTCTCTTAATTACGGCATTCAAACCCTTTTCCAACTTTTCTGTCTCCTTCTTTGCAGCCACCAGGGCAGCTTCCGCCTCATCCACCGCCATCAAAGGCATGTTGCCTACTCCAGAGAAAGGTCCTTTAATCATATCGCCATGATGACCAGGGGCAGAAAAGTCGTGTGGAGGGCGCCCTCCATCCGCCGAACTGTAGATACCTACGCCAGCCGCAGCGTCAGGCCCATAGAAGTACGGAGCAAGGGAATTCAGGCTAGCGGCAGCAGTATCGCGCGGCGATGAGGCATTCTTGGCTTGGCCAGTGGCACCAACATTAAGCCTTGGAAGCACATATTGGTTGATATAACTTAGTGCGTCCTCACGCTGAAGCTTACCAATAGGGTCCTGTGACTGGATCTTGGAGCTTGTTGGGAAGATGTTCGGGCGCCCATTTGGTACTGCGCGGCCTTTGATTAAAGAAAATGCGCCAGTGCCAGTTTGGTGCCGGGGTGCCACAAATGCACCAGGGTTTTCCGCGCCTAATCCGATGGAAGTTTGTAGAGCCAAGAAGTCTTCTTCTTCTTCAGGGCTTAAACTGCGGATGCAGTCACCATTGGGGGTAATAAGCATACGACTACCGTCAACATGAAACTGTTTGCGGACAGCCTTGCCAGCTCGTAAATCGGTAATATCATCCGGTTGAATCTCACCGCAGTTGCAGCTGGCCTCCTTGCATTGGCTAGCCTGTTGCTTGGAGGACATGTTCTGCAAAATTTCGCCGCGAGGAACGTTGTTAGAGACCGGCTTAAAGAGATTAAGCTTTTCCATTGCCGAAGTCCAGAGCGAACTTCGGATATCTCCAAAGACTTCAACTGGTCCAATCGCCGATTGGAAGGAGTCAGTTGTATCTTCCTTTTCTTCGATAGGGGCAGAAATATCAGTGACTTCATAGCGCTCGTTGGCTACTGCTGCAGGTTGTTCTACTACCGTAGTTTCTGGCGCTTCGCTATGAGTCGTAGGGGAGTCCTGAGCGGCTGACGTGGCATCGTTGCGTGTTATTCCGTCATTATCATCCGGTACTTTTGATTTGCCTTCGGCAGTATTCCCTTCAGTCACAGATGAAGCTGGAGGCGTCGGTTTACCCTTCGTCGGTTTTTCCTTCTTCTGCTTCTTCTTTCGGCCAATCACGGGGGCATGCTCCTCTGCTTCGACCTTAACGGTCTCTGCAATCAGTTTCGTTTCTTGCTTAAGCGCTTCACGGCGCTGTTTGCGTTGCTGGCTCTTTGTAAGCGTCTTAGAGGCTTGTAGTTTGCTTTGAATTGGGGAGTTGGGTCGAGATATAGAGATAGAAGTCGAGACCACCGAGGCACTATCGCTAATCATTTCACTGCCTGGCGTCTCTGGTCTATGTCCATTGGTTATCACCCTAGCTGGAATGATTGTAACTGGAGAAGGCATCTGAGGGACATCTGATTTGTTCGAAGAAACAACCCGTAGGGCTTTCGGCGCCATTCGAGGCGTAGGAGTAGGACTCTGAACTGTCTGTAAATCCTCAGGCCCAGTAGAGCCAGGTGAGCCGTCAACCAATTTCTTAGATTCATCACTCTTATCAACTGTTTTCATAGATGTCAATTTTGTCGCCAACGACTTCGGTGTGGCCAGCTTATGCGCAGTGGATACGGCACGTTTGTCGATTTTAGTTGGTGGTGGTCCGAGGGCGGGAAATTCCTCTTCTCCCATCAATAGAGGCTTCGTATTTTGTACTTCATCTTGTTGATTCGTGATGGGGTTTGACAGAGATCCCGCCGCTGGGGTCGGGGCTTCAAACCCAGGTGGTGGGCGGCGAGGTTGAGAGTATTGCGCCTGGTTTGGAAAGCTCTGGTCATCAAATGCTGAGGTTGCCTCCAGGCCAAGACTAGACGTTGTTTGACCGGTTGCAAACTGAGGGGGGGGGGATGTATCGTCGGACACCAAAGCTTCGATTGAGCTTACAGTTTGCTCGTAATAAATCTCGTCTTCTGCAAAAAGAGCTGTTAGCGCTTATGAAGCTCAAGAATGGTCGTTAAAAACAATAATCAGAGCACAGCGAGAGCTAAAGGTTGCGGTGAAACGGGTTCGTCTACAGCGCACATATCGTCTTCCAAAACATTCAAGCAGCAGCAAGTTAGATCATTAGGGAACGGGGGTATTGGTAGTCTATTTGGACCAAAGACCCCCGCCACAGGGGATCCATGTGATCTGTAACGTACATAAAATGGCGGCGGAAGACGATAATGGCTTGCCTGACGTAAACCCCGTTTCCAACCACACCCCGCGAGCTAGCGGAAACTGACTGGAGCATCAGACTGAACGAAATGGCGAATGAGCCCGTTCCAAATCCCATCATCCATGCAAAACAAAAAGCAGGCCCATGACCATGGCAAACATAATTGACAAAAAAACAATAAAGATATCAATGACACCATGCGTTGCAACTGAAATGCGTCTCAGCAAAGACGACTTTGGATTCAGAACTGCACGCTGGTGTCATATGCGCGATCTGTCCAAACAGACAAGATACGCCCGGGTCTATGCAGGTAAACGCCTCTCCCAATACACTAATATAAGCAAATGCAAATTTCAAATCACACCCATTCACCATCTGGTATAGCCGGTATTATACATCATATTCGGGTTGTACCCACCTTGGCTCGGCCCGCTGAAAAGGTTCTGTCCGGTTCCGGCATTGCTCTGATTTTGGTGTTGCATCCTGGCTTGTAGGATGCTCGGGTCTGCAAGATCTACTAAGCCACCTCCCCCAGAGGAGGAAGTGTTAGCATGCCTATGCTTCTTTCCCTTCTTCTTCTGCTTCGAGCCCATATCTTGGAATGCCCCAGCATGGTTGCCATAGAGCGACGCCAGGAGACCGGAAGTAGGAGCAGGGGTCGAGCTTGAGGAAGGTGGGTACTGAGTAGACAAAGAAGAAATCATGGACTCACGCTTTCCATCTTGCGACTGGCCATTGGCCGTGCGGTTACGGCCAATGAGGCTCTGAAGTAGTTCGTTGGATGAATCTTTTGGGACATTATTGAATCCTGGTAAGCCAAAACCCTGGCCGAAGAGATTGGGCGGTGTGCCTGTCGATTTTAAGCCAGGGGGAGGGCCAGGAAGCGACGTGGCGTAGAATTGGCTACCAGCTTGAGAAGGGAAAGAGCCGGGGCCCATGGCGCGAGAGTTCGCAGCAAGCTTCATGTTTGTGCCTGGTCCATTTTCATTGGCAAAATTGAATCTCGAGGATTGGCGGTTGTGTCCCTGGCTAGCGAATCCGTTATTAGGGGCACCAATGCCAGGCGGGAACTGGTCAGCGAAGCCACCCTGTGATCTCATGGACATAAGTTGTTGTGGAGTGAGAGCGCGTCCTGTGGGGTTACCACCATTTTGACTGAAGCCAGAGTTGCTTGGCGTAGGGCTGAAAGCCTCATCATTGATACCTCGTTGGAGGGCAGCCTGCCTCTGGTCAAATCGTTGATCTTCACCAAGTCTCTCTCGCTCATCAATTTCACCCGCATGATGCATGCCGCCAGTTTCACCTTCGGCGTCCGACTGGGCATCACTAGGATCTCGCTGCTCTCCATCTAGACGGGCTTCTTCGTCTTCGCGAATGGCTCGTCGCTTCTCTCCACCTTGAACGTCGAACATGGGAGGGCCAAGATCTGTGGTATTGACTGTAGGTAGCGCGCAGGCGTAGAGAGCGTTCAACAGTGCTGTAATAGACGAAATAGCTGGTGGATCGGGAGTTGGTTCCTCAACTTCGGGGGTATCGTCGATTGGCTCCACAACAGGGGTATCACTAGCCTTGGCCTTAGCTGGTGAGAGTTCTGGTGTAGAGGTAGCTGGTGCTGCGTTCACAAGAGTGGGTGTGGCACCATTAGTAGAATGGCTACCGCGTCGACTGCGCTGTGGTAGCCTAGCCCAATTGGCCGAAGAAGGTAGAGCAGATCCGTCGGCTGCCGTATCCAATCCGTCTTTACTGGAAGATCTCACCATACTATGTGTCTGCGACATAATTTGTACCGGAGGGGGTGGTGGAGGGGTGGCGACTGTTTGTTGTTGGGGTTGTTGGCGAGAAACTGTACGAGTTGATCCACCACCTTGTAGAGGTCTCTGCGTATGAATGCTATTCATAGATGAAAGATCTTGTCGCGTATAGCTATCCTCCTCATCACCCTGCTCGTGAAGAAACATACAACCTGGATTGTTGCACTTTTCATTCTTGAGCCAGGCAGAGCAATATTTGGTAGTGCCATGTTGGGCCTTTAACACTCGATCGCCATTGTGAGAGCCATGCACAGCTTGAATACAGCGCATTGCTTCGTCAGGCGTCTCAAACGTTACATAGATGCCGAGCGAGTGGTGTTGCCCATCAGGACTTTTGCGGTTGCTGATAGATATCTTTTGAATCGTTCCATATTGGCCAAAGAACTCGGGCTTTCGCAGCGTTTTGAGGAGCTCATCTTCCCTTACGTTGGGTGCCAACCCAGTAATATAGACGAGATTCTTCTGAACAACTCGGACACCGATAAGATTTTTCCGATTTTCCTTTTCGGCTTCGCGCTTCTGGACTTCTTTTTGCCGCTGTTCTTGAACTCGCTTCTTCTGGTTCTTTTGGATGTTGGCACGGAATTCGGCAACCCTGCGCGAGGTCAGCATCGTAGTAAAACGGGCATCTTAGGATACAACTTACTCTTCCGTCGTGACGACCTTCCACTGTATCGTTTTTTCGTCGTAAGGCCGTCTGCACGCAGGACAAAGGCCGTTCATATTATTCTTAATATTGTTGAAGCAAAACTGGCAGACCTTCAAACAGTGTAAGCAGGGCGCGGTGGCCTATTAATTTGCATCAGCATACCTGATAGCCGCATGGGCATGGCCTGAAGTTCTTGTCCGATAAATCGAACTCTTCAATGCAAAGGGGACTAAATGCGCCGTTAGTAGTGGTGGCGATTAACTAGTCGCGAACATTCGCGCTCCCATCGGATCTTCTTACCAGACATCTTCTTCTTCTTCTATAAATGAATCTTGGGGAGCCATGATCTCAATATTAGGAGGGGTGAGGGTATCGTGGAAAGGGGGGAGACGTTTCCCAATAGAAGGCGCTGGAATAGAAGAGATTTGGAGATAATTCAGACACGGTCTGGCTTTCGGGAGAGAAAGTCGACGCCCAGCACAGCCTGTATTTGGCTTAGTGGATTTTGCCAATTCACGTGACTTGCTCTGGTGGGTTTCCTTCTACAATAGCAGGTGACTTTACTCTAGCGTGCTTGGCATAAGCAAAAACAAGTAGCTTGCTATTGGCGGTAAAAAGTCGGAAATTTGGGCTTTTGCTGAATGTTGCTCAAACGAAGCCATCTCAACGTCGACACTCTCCTGCTGGGCGTCAATACCAACAACTCAATTGGCCAATCGACACCATCTTACGGCCATGGCTAGCAACCTTTCCAAGAGCCGCCAGCTGGCTTCAGCTTTGCGGCCTCTTAAGCAATCCGTTCAAGGTCGCAATGCAATCGTATCGCGCTCCGTGTCTACCTCTGCTCCTCGCCTTGTTGCCATGCCCAAGGAAACGCAAAACATGAGACACGCCCCCCGAGACCAAATCGGCTCCCTACAGGCCCCAATTGTCAATCCTGCCGACAAGTACCAGAGCAAGGCCGATAACCTGCATCGATATGGCGCCTGGTTGATGTCCTGTCTCCCCAAGTACATTCAGCAGTTTTCTCTTTGGAAGGACGAGCTCACCATTTACATCTCCCCTTCTGGTGTTATCCCTGTCTTTTCGTTCTTGAAGCGTATGTAGATACGATTCCATATACACCGCCATGATTGCTAACCATGATTGATGTTACATGTTTTTAGAAAACACCGCTGCCGAATTCACCCAAGTAAGCACTGTCACAGCTGCTGATTATCCCACCCGCGACAAGCGCTTCGAAGTTGTCTATAACCTTCTCTCTGTCCGTCACAACGCTCGTATTAGAGTAAAGACGTACGCTGACGAGACGTCCGCTGTTCCTTCCATTACTGGCCTTTTCGACGGTGCCAACTGGTACGAACGCGAAGTGTACGACTTGTACGGCGTCTTCTTCACTGGCCATCCCGACCTGCGCCGCATCATGACCGATTATGGCTTTGAGGGTCACCCTCTGCGTAAGGATTTCCCCTTGACTGGTTACACCGAGATTAGATACGACGAGGAAAAGAAGCGTATTGTCACAGAGCCACTCGAGTTGACACAGGCATTCCGCAACTTTGAAGGAGGCTCTAGCGCTTGGGAGCCAGTTGGGGCAGGCGAAAACCGTACCCCTGATACATTCAAGCTTCCTACACCGAAACCAGAAGAGACGAAGGAGGAGCCTAAGAAGTAAGCTGTCAATATGCGGCGTGTATATTTGAAGAGCTAGAACTGTCTGTCAAACATGACACGATTATTGTACCAATGTATGCTTGAAATCACAGCAGTGTCATTAAACAAGGATTGTACCGTGATTAATTATGGTGAAACGACATAGCCATCCACGCTCTGCACCATGTAAGCCATTGGGTTATAAGTGTAAAATAAATTCATTGTCGCTATGCACAATTTCCCCATTCATACTGCCTTCCAAATGCCCTCCATCAAATACATTATAAAATTCGTAGACTGAGATGTGCAATATGATATGCGCTAAACGTACACGCTTTCAATACTAGCGCCATTGAAACCAAGAGAAAACTCCATACAAATGATAACGATATTGTCTGGAAGCACTGGATGTTCCTAAACACGAAGAGCAAAAATCTAACCGAAGAGAATATGTCGAAAATGCGTAGACCCTACCACATATTGCCGCTACGGCCTTCTTGATGGTGGTCCGGGCCGTCATCGCGATAGTGATAGTATTCCTTGCCTTCTTTATTGTAGTCGTTGGTCGAATCATAATCATATGTGTTGTGATCACGATCTTCCCCATGATCATCTTCATATATTTGAGCATCATCGATGTAATCAACTTGCTCACTCGTATTTGTGTCCGCATATTGCATAGCAGCCTATAATGTTAGTATGGTCTAGGCCAGAGGTTGCCAGGTATACTCACTCGGTGATATTCAAAGCTGTATTGATCCGTGTCCTGTTGATCGTCGTTGGGGTCAATTCCTTGCTGAGCTAGATAGTCCTGCTCCTGTTGCTTGCGTCTAGCCTCCTCTTCTTGTCTCTTCTGCTGCGGCGAAATGGGTATGTTCATTTGCGGATGCATAGCTTGCACAATTGCTAGATAGCTGTACATGAAGTTGCTTAAGAGAACTTGGCTTAATAACGGCCTTCGGGGATTTGCCAGCTTGATATGAGCCATTCGATAGATAGCTCTTTCTTCCAGTAGAGGGAATCTCGTCCAGTTGTAATCAACATCCGGTTGGAGGGGTTTGTAAGGCTGTGGTTCGTCGAGGACGTGCAAGAACTGCGATTTCTTGCCTGCTTTCTCCTTCTCTTCCCTTTTCTTGCTACCGCCAAAAATAGAAGAGAATATACTACTGTCTTTGTCTTTCTTAGAGTCGCTCTTTCGATTGCTCTCTTTTCTTCTTTCTTCTTGAAGCTTGCCATCGAAAGAATCACGATCAAGAACGAGACTCTCTCTACTTCTGCGCCCTGACTTGTCAATCGAGGTCTGAAGTACGTCGAGTCGGACATTGTCCTGGGCCTTTTCAACCAAGGCTCTGGCTTTTGAACGCTTGCTGTCATCTTTCTTTTTGTCCTTGTCATCACTTCCACTTTTGAACCATTTCCAACCACTCGACTTGCTAGACACACTTGACGAGTCGTCATCACGGTCCTTCTTGGACTTTTTGTCCCATTTTCGTTCCTCGGTTGTGAGTGTAGGTATAAATGTAAGGGCATCTGTTCGCGTGACTCCGCTACCTAGGTGGGCCGGACTAGAAGCCAGTCCTTCACTCAGTGATTGTGGCTGTGATAGTGGTTGATGTTTATGCATGTAGGGCGATTGTGGGCCAGAATGACCCATTGTAGGAGACGAAATCATCATACCAGACTCGATCCTTTGGTCGTCAAACACTACGTCATTTGCGGCGACCTCAGTATTTTGGGATGAGGATCTCTCCGGAAAGCCTGCAAATTTGGGATCAGCCTGAGTCGTGTAGATATCTGTTCGAAGCTCTGTATCATTATTAGAGCCGGCTGACCCAGACAAAGAGCGAACCGTGAGAGTTTCCTGAATAGGAGGGCGAGAATCGTCGGAAAGCGCCATTCCAGGTGCGTTACCCTCAAGAGCTGCTAGCGCATCTGGTGATTCTTGTGAGAATTTGTGTTGTCGTCGTACTGATCGATTGGGGCGGGAATAATTTTCGGTGATCGGTTCAGACTGTACTCTAGCCAGGCTGTGGCCCCTGGGTGATGTTTCCGTTGTTGCAGCTGAGCTTTCATCTTCAGCAGATTCGTCTTGCTGCTTGGAAACGACCCTTTTCCCTGATCCAGATCTATCTCCATAGCGCAAACTACCGCCCTTCCGATAGGTCGTTCGGGTGGAGCGGCGAAGACCCATTCCAGGCGCCATTGGAAGTATCGGCATATCATCTGGGTTTGCTGTTTCGCTATGCTGAAGCTGCGATTCTTGCGCTAGCTTCTGTACGGCCCTCGTTGGGTCTTTCACCAGTTCGTCGAGACTCAATTCCGGAGGTGGATGGCTTCTGCGGGAGCGTTGTCGCTCCAGTCTTTCCGCCCCATCAACATATCCAACAGCTCCGGAACCATCTGCATTGTCTATTTGATGAGATAGCATTGATTTCCTTCGTTGCAGATCAGAATTACTGCGTCCCAATTCCCCATCGCCGGACAAATGCGAGTCGCCAGATCTCCGCCGTATAGATTGTACTCTGTTTTCCAGGAAAGATTTAAATTCAGTCGGTGCTAATTCCGGATGTACTCGGGCGGGCACCCATAGAAGTCTTGACGGATCGTTTTCATCGTCGTCTCCAGTAGGGGCGATAGCAGGTATAGCTGAAAAGGTCATGGGCGGCATATCAGGATCGATACCATTGCCAACATCCATGGATAATCGGCGTAGAGCTTGAAGGTTACTAAGCTCCTGTGCGATGTCGCTCGGGTTGTCGATATTGGTAAGAGGGAATCGTGGGTTGGAAGAGTCAGAGTGAACGTCGCGTAATGACAACGAGTCTGCCGGGCTCCGAGACGGTGACGGCGGACCATGGTTACGATAGGGTTGGCCATGGTAATTTAAGGTCATCGATTTTCGTAGCCCAGAGGTTTCAGTATGAGGAACGGCTTGCGCAGCTGCTTGGTCTGATATCGATCGCGTGAGGCGCCCTCGTGCGGAGCTGGCTTGTTGTGAGTGCTGATGCCGTACCGGCCGCTGTATTTGTTCATGGCGGGCATCTGTAACGAAACTTAATGGTCGACCAGCATCCGAGCTGGGCTCATCTTCGTCACCATAGAGCGTTCCAATAGCCTCGGTGACGTGGTGGCTCGGATCGGAAATCGAGAGTTGGCTCGAGTGTCCACGTCTGCTGGTAAAGGCGCCGGGTGCTTCGCCGCGTAGCCCAGATGATGTCTATCATTATCTTTGTCAGTAAATGCCTAGTAGGCCAAGGCTAACTGCGACTAGCAGTTATGCAGACATTGGATTCGGCGGGTATTGCAACGTACCATCATGGAGCACGGCGTGCCGGCCGCGAACGGGGCCGTTAGAACCTGTGATAGCTGTTCTGATTCCAACCGAACCGAGTCTAGTTTCGTGTGAACTAGGCAGTAATAGATTCCGCGTGAAATTGTGGCTCAGGATTCAAGTCGCGGTCCGCCACTTTCGTCGTCGCTTTCGTTTGAAAAGTGCACGCCTCCTGAGGTACGTTTGAGATGAAGGACTATCGTGGCATAAAAAGAGGTTTAATCGGCCGGGGATGTAATAAGTTGATCGAAGTGCTTGAATATCGGTGTTGCAGTCTCGTGCGCGGCCCCCTTTCAGTGATTTCGGTTCTATTTATTGAAGAAGATGAGGCCTTCATGTAGCTTCAGATGTTCCGGTGCTTTCCAAGGACGTGCCGATGTCTGCGGAGTACATGGTACCTCCGTCATAGATGGTGCGCCATGCTCAGGGGTAAACATTGCTGCAGGTGGCCTCAAATTGACTGCCCCTCAGGTACCTGGTACATGCGGCCTCTTGACGACGCCTTTCTTGGTACAGGTACCAACGGACAGCCCCATCAAAACAATACGGTCACGTGGTCTACGAGAGGCTCAGCCTTCGTACGCTAACACCCCGTCACTTTTAAGTCAGCGCTCAGCATGAAACACGCCCGAGCAAAAAGCTCCTAGCACTGAAAGCCTTTGCTTTTAAATTCTGTCCAATGTGAGCTTTTTTTAGAAGCTAGATTGGCTATCGTAAGATTTGTCATACTGCTTTTCTCTGTACTGGTATAAATATTGCGTAAATTGCAGCGCCTACAACATGTTTTTACATGTTTGCAACATCTTGCTATCTAGCCATGCACTGGGTAACATTGTACCTGTACCGAAAAACCAAATAACAACCAACATCTCATGTTAAAGACCTAGAATATACGTAGTAAACAAGTTGCTACATATAATAATATCCTAAAAACCCTCTAGACACTCTCGGTCCCGCTAAAATCGTTGCGTACGAGCAGATTTACTGCCCATGACAACACTGGTTGATCCCCTCTAGGTTAGCGGCAGCGGGCGGGTTATGGTAGGTTTACAGCGCGTGCCACAAAAGCTACAGGCAGCTCTGAACGCGCTAGTCCCAAGTCGGCCCAAGGCGCATCTCCCCAGCGTTGCCCAGCTTTGCGTTGACAGGGTCGCGCCCAGCAAAATTATCTCCAGCCATTTCAACCTTAGCCAGGAGCTCCTACAAACGTTCCCGTTCGCGCCACCCTCAACTTGGCTCTAGCACAACCCCATCACCCCCGTGCTTCCCTTCCATCATCGGAGACAATTCCCATCTCCATCCGCTCTAAAGATACCCCCTTCCCGTATTTTATTTCATACACAATACTATTCGACAACAGCACAATCGGTTGACTCCTGTTAGAATGGCTGCAGTACGTGAACCTCAGACCCTCTCCTTTTACGTGCCCGACATCGCATCTGTTTGGCCTTACAGTGGCAGCTTTCATTTACCAACGCAATCGACGCACTTTGCTAATAAACACTAGTCGAGACCATACAACAATTCTGGATATCTTCCCAACGGTGCCAGCGGAGTTCAGCCTGGCGCCGCGCCTTTGCTCCCTAACCAAGGCCGTGTCATCCAAACTGGCCCCATCAGAGTCCTTTGCATTGCAGATGTTCGAGGTATGCTCGAAATTTGATAAAGATCCAACGCAATTGCTAACATGTATGGCTAAGGTAACTTGCGATCTCTGAATGAATTGGCGAAACAAGCTCGAGCGGACCACATCATCCACACTGGCGACTTTGGCTTCTACGACGACACATCACTCGATAGAATCGTGGAGAAAACGTTGAAGCATGTTGCGCAATACTCGCCTCTAATCTCTGAGCCTGTCAAGAAGGCTATTCAACAAGGAGGAGCTGGACCCATCAAGTCTCGCTTTTCTCCCAATGAGCTACCCCTGTCTGAGCTCCCTTTGCTTCTCAGCGGCGAGCTCAAGCTTGATGTTCCTGTTTATACTGTTTGGGGTGCCTGTGAAGATGTCCGAGTCTTAGAGAAGTTTCGATCCTCCGAATATAAGGTTCACAACCTGCACATTGTTGACGAAGCCAAGTCCATGCTACTGGAGCTCGGCGGAGTCAAGCTCCGACTCCTCGGCCTTGGCGGTGCTGTGGTCATGCACAAGTTGTTTGATAATGGCGAAGGCAGGACTACGATCGCTGGTGGACAAGGTACCATGTGGACTACGCTGTTGCAAATGGGTGAGCTTATCGACACGGCTCACCGCGTTTACGATCCAACTGAAACCCGCGTTTTCATTACCCATGCATCACCTGCTAGAGAGGGTATATTGAATCAAGTCTCAGTTACCTTGAAAGCGGACTTTTCGATTTCAGCCGGCCTTCATTTCCGTTACGGTAGCTCTTACAACGAGTTCAGCGTCAATCCAACTCTTGACCATTACCGTGGCAAACTGGCTGCATCCAAGGCGTCTTTCAACGATGTTTGGGAAACGGTCAAGAGTGAGGTTGAACCGGCTATTCAACAGAATGAAGCTCAACAAAACCTACTGAAGAACGCTTTGCAGATCGTTGAAAAAATGCCCACTACAGCTGCCGGTGGAAACCCCTTTGGCGGACCTGTTTCTGGACATGCCGCTCTGGGTCAGATTGACGAAAGTGCCTTTAAGAATATGTGGAATTTCAACTTGGCAGATGCCGCTTTCGGCTATCTTGTTCTAGAAATCCAAGATGGTCGGATTGGTACCGAGATGCGCGCACAAGGCTTCAACTTTGCCCACCGTGGTTCTAAACAACAAGCTGGCGCTGCCCCAGTTGCCCCTAATGCTGGAACCGCATCACCAGCACCAACTGGTTCCCAGGTTGCCCCCCCTCCTACCGGCAGAGCTGGGTCTGATAAGGCTAAAGCAAGCCCTGGCCCAGGTCAGCCCGCCACTCCCCAGCCCACGCAGGACAATAACAACGGTGCCTCGGAGAAGACACCTGGTGTAGCTAATGGATCAAACGGCCCGGAATCTGCGTCTTCTCCGGCTCCCAAGACAGCTGCTTCTGACATTATTGGGTTGTTCATCATGAATGTTAGTACTGAGGAACAATGCAAAGAACTATTCTGCGATGAAGACAAGGAAAAGATTACCAAGATCGATAAATGGGGTAACTCAAACAAGGTGGTGCACTTCAAGACTGTCGAAGAACGAGATACTGCCATGGCCCGCCTTCCCGACTCTTCGAAGACGCGAACCCAGGAAGACAGATCTAAGCCACTTGTTAGAATCTTCCAGCCGCGTGAAAGCAAACCTATTGTTGCCCGCGGGGGTGCTGGAACCTGGGGTGGAAGCACTCGTGGAGGTGCCACAGCTAGTGGTTACCGCAGTGCAGGTGGTGCCAGTGACTCCGAGAGCAACCGCCGCGGTGGACGTGGTGGACGTGGTGGACGCGGCGGAGACCGTGGACGAGGTGGACGTGGACGTGGAGGAGCGAAGGGAGAGACTGGTGCTTCGTCTCCTGCCGCACCTTCAACGCCCGCTGCCGAGTAAGATGCGGCGGTCTGCCTTCGTTGAGATTCCTCGACGGGTGCGACAGACGGCCATATTAGACAGATGCTTGCACATAATGCAAGATGCAAAAATTTCCCAGTCGAACACAAGCGTCGACTATTGTCTATTTTGTACTTAATGATATTCTCGAATTCGAGGAAAGGTTGTAAGGACAGTTGTTGGGGATACCCCGTCCGCGTTGACTAATATGATGTATAGTCATAGCTAGTTGATTCTTTAAAGATTGAGTGTACTGCTGTAGCCCTTGAACACTAAATATTGTCACACTTGTATTCCCCTAATTCTATTTGTGAACCGCTAGTTATCATACAAAATCTAAGTATACAAAGGCTTGCGCCGTTAGAGAGAAAAAAGAGCAGATGACGAATTAATGGCACTGCCATTCTCTCGTTGAACCCTCTACAAAGGCTTGATACCGCGATGGATGGCAGCGACACCACCAGTTAAATCTTCATAACCCGGACCAGCAACCTCAAATCCAGCCTCGACAATCATGTCCCTAAATGCCTCTTGGCTGGGAAAGCGTTCAATACTCTCCACAAGATATTGGTAGCTATCACGGTCGCCAGCAACCAGCTGCCCAATAAGGGGAATTGCGCTGAAGGACCATTGCTTGTACATCGCATTGAGTAGAGGATACTTGTCTACTTTGGAGAACTCCATGCAGGCAAAGACACCGCCAGGCTTCAGAACTCGGTAGGCTTCCTTCAGCGCGGCTGGCATGTTTGAGAAATTTCTGATGCCAAAGGAGACTGTGTAGAGGTCCAGCGAGTTGTCAGGAATGCTTGAAGGGAGAGTTTCAGCATTGGCTTCGAGGAAAGATAAACAGGCTTGTTGGGAAGCTGGGAGTGCAAGCGAACGCTCACGCCCGACTGCTAACATGGCTGGGTTGATGTCCGAGATTGTAATGTGGATGTTGGGATTGCCGTTCAGTACATGGGAGTGTTGGAGCATGCGGAACGCGATATCTCCAGTACCGCCAGCGACATCGAGGATCTTTTGGGGCTGGCCAAGAGGAGTTGTAGCTCCAGGGTTCAACGACGATACGAAATAATCTCTGTAGGAAACACAAGGTTAGTAAACCGTGTTAATCTAATCGTCGCGTATAGATCGACAGGAGCAACCCACTTCCACAGGCGATGCACACCGAAAGACATGAAATCATTCATCTTATCATACGACTCTGCAACACTTGTAAACACACCCGCTACGCGCTCTTGCTTCTCGGTCTCTGTAACGGTTTCATAGCCAAAGTGTGTTGGACGGTTGCCAGTCGGCGTTGAACGGGTGCCGGTCTCCTGGCCCAGGGCGGCAGATGTGGAGAGTGTTCGAATAGCCCGGGTTGGTGTAGCATTTCGGATTAATCTGGCGCAACAGCGCATAGTTGGGCGAGCAGCCATTGTGGCGGAGACTCAATTGGATGCGGCGACGTCGGTTGCGGATGCTGGGAAGATGGTGCTGGTGGCTTTCCACGATAAATTTTGGTAGGGGGCGAGCCACTGTGGACAGTTGCCGAAGTTCAGCCCGGTGTCCGCAAGATGTGACTAAGAATACCTGATGAGTAAACGTCCAGTGATAATGGTTCGGTATTGCCTGAAAAAAATTAAAATAGTTAATACATTGTCAATTGACTCCTTTCAGCCCTTCATTTCACAAATAATACTAAGCAGACCAGTGGTTCACATAAGCCGCCTTGTATGGTACAAGGCGTTGCCAAAAGCCGAGCTAACAGTTCGCCCGCAAAAGCCGGATTTTGTCGGCTTAAACAGTGAATCGCTCAGCTTCGGCTCGCCGGCGTAGGCGAACAACCACCTTGAACCGCAACCACGGTTTTATTTACCCCAGGTTTTCTTTTCGTGCCTCCCCTCACAGAATTTCACCTCAGACTGCTAAGCGGTATATTCTAGATCAACCTGGAACCTGTAGTATAGCTTGAAATCAGCATGAGATCTCGCGTTCTGCAAAGCATTCCCCTTCGGAGGGCGGCCACCAGTATTAGCCGGGGCCGTCTGTCGTTCAACAACATCCATGCTCGATCTGCCAGTAGCGTCTCGCAGCGTCCAAACTCCGACTTTGTTTCTTTCCCTGGAGCCTTGAAGAGCTCCTTTACCAGCGACCTCAACTTCGAGTCTCCAGAGTCACACCAGGCAATGCCCACGTACCGCGTTGTTGATCAGCACGGTGTTGTCGTCGACACGTCCTTTGAACCAGATCTATCCGAGGCCGAAATTGTCAAGCTTTATACCGATATGCTATACATTTCTATTATGGACCTCATCATGTTCGACGCCCAACGGCAAGGTCGACTCAGCTTCTACATGGTCAGCGCTGGCGAAGAGGCTGTCAGCGTTGGTAGCGCTAGTGCTCTGGATAAGGATGATGTAATGTTCACACAGTATCGTGAGCAGGGCGTGTTTAGAGAGAGGGGATTCACAACAAAGGAGTTTATGGGCCAATTATTTGCAAACAAGAATGATAGTGGCAAAGGCAGAAACATGCCTATTCACTTTGGAAGCAAGGAACTCAACATTGTAAGTTTGCGGACAAAATCGACCTACTCTTTAGTATTTGTGTAAACTAACCCACTGGATTCAAGCACACTGTATCTTCTCCTTTAGCTACCCAGTTACCCCAGGCATCTGGCGCTGCTTACGCCCTGAAGATGCAGCACCGACAAGATCCCAGCTCTAAGCCGAGAGTCGCGGTTGTCTACTTTGGCGAAGGTGCTGCTAGCGAGGGTGATTTCCACGCAGCTATGAATATTGCTGCTACTAGAGCTTGCCCCGCTATCTTTATCTGCAGAAACAACGGCTTTGCCATCTCGACACCTACTCTTGAGCAATACCGTGGTGACGGCATTGCAAGCCGTGGTGTTGGTTATGGTATTGATACCATTAGAATTGATGGCAACGATATCTGGGCTGTTCGTGAAGCAACCAAGAAGGCTCGTGAAATCGCTCTCAAGGACGGCGGTAGACCTGTTTTGATTGAAGCGATGACCTACCGTGTCTCACACCACAGCACATCTGACGATTCGTTCGCCTACCGTGCCCGTGTTGAAGTTGAAGACTGGAAGAGAAGAGATAACCCCCTGACCCGATTGCGCAAGTGGATGGAAGCTAAGGGCTACTGGGACGAGGTTAAGGAGAAGGAGGCTCGTGACACTCTTCGCAAAGAAATTCTAAAGGGTTTCAGTGAGGCAGAGAAGGAAAAGAAGCCCGCTCTGCGCACTATGTTCGAGGACGTCTACGAAGAACTCACTCCTGACCTTAAAGCGCAGATGCAAGAGTTGCGTGAAATTCTCGATCAGTACCCTGATGAGTACGACTTGGCAGAGTTCGAGGGTGGCAAGGAAACGTTAAAACCGTGAGCGCGCATGTGGCACAACCAGCGCTGAATCCGGCGGGAGATACAGAAAAGCAAAAAAATATATGTTATAGTACGGGTTGATAAAGGATATTCAAGAAATAGACGCAAGTCCTCCTACAGATTTATGTCCTGATAGCCACTATTTATGATGTATACAATTGATCAGATGCTATAGAATGTTCCCGTGCCTGGCGTGCACTGGCCACAGCGGTGTAAACCTCCGCCACACCCCACTAAAGCGCTTGCAGCCATCGCTAAACCGTTCCCATTTTGGGCGCTCTGGCAACAAAATGGCCACCCTGAAAATCGAATCGTGTGCGCTAACTTAGCCGTACAAGGACAGTGCCCCACGAAAGCGGGCTTGCTGACTGACCGCCGGGCGCCACCAACTGACCAGATGGGTTGACGAGACTCATCAGCCAGAGCACGTATTTGCACAACCTCCAAGGCGAATCAGCAACATCGCCGTCCACGAATTAAATAGAAACACAGCTGGTAAAGTGCATCTCCTATACTTGCACAGCTGTTTTTAGGACTCCAGTAGTCTATCTTCAACCACCTGCGCCACTTCAGCTTTCTCCGTCGACGTGGCCACGCCTACCGCCGAAGACTAACCACCTCCCATTACCCCAAAAACCAACGCCGAATCCAACCATCACCAGCAACACGAGCCTTAGCGCTATCCATAACTCATCCTTGGACATACGCTGCTTGCTGAGCCCAGCGCCAGTCTCTATATCTGATGGCGTAAATAAGGGCATGGCAGAACGAATACCAGCAGGCGATAATAAAGTGCCACTTTCCCCATCAGCCGCTTCAGGCTTGCCAGTTGCAAAAACTGCAACTGCCTATAGGTATGTTTGGTCCCTATCGATACGGCCTTATACTCGTTTGTCCCTTTCCTGTCGTCATGTTACTTTCTTCTTGGCTCGCATTGTTCTTCCTTGCCTAGTTGGCTGTTGCGTCACTGTACACACAGTTGGCCCCGTCGCTGTGAACGACGTTTTCCCCGTTTGCCACTGTCACGAGAAATTCACAGCGACCAAGGTTATCCCAAAATTTAAAACAGACTGCAAAGCCATCTCCAAACATAGTTCACCTCTGCCACACAACTAGAGCCTCGAATGGACTGCGAGATCGCCAATACACACACTATCCTTCAAACCCTCAGTTTTCATTTTGTCGTCGTTGTCGCTGCACTCTTTCCCGCATACGGACGAAGCCGTTCATCAAAGAAAACAGTCTTTGTCGTTCCAGCTAGATCAGTCTCTTACTCATGTCCTCTAGATTAACCAGAGCCGCCGCTCGCCAAGCTGCCACGCGTGTGGACAAGGCGTTGCCAACAGCAGAATCATCAACATTTCCCGCCCCCACAAATTCGATTGCGGAACAATCTACAACTGCTACATCTCGAAAAAGAAAAGTTTCTTCTGGTAAAGGATCGGGTGTCGCGCTCGTGGCTGTGGGCTCTCGAGTGAAGAGACAAAGGGTCCCAGAGCCGAGGATAGACTCAAAATCTATGGCGAAACAGCATATCACGGGACCAGAGAAGAGCAAGGAATCCAAAACGATGGATAATGAAGAGTATGTAACAATCATCAGAGATTCCGATTCATATGCAAGAGATAAACTAAACTGAAAATAGGGATAGCAATCGCGCTGCTCATCGCCCAGCAGCGTCAGAGAATGCAGTATCAAGCAGTAAGATCTTCCTAAAGTAACGTCCCGGTTTCTTTAATTTAACTGATTATAGGTGTAGCCGATACTGCGATGGGCGGGATGGAAGACCATCCGCATGAAACTGGCGTTGGTTCTCACGACGAAGACGACTTAGTTATGGAAAACACCAGAGAAGCAGGCGATGACGGTAGTGAGGATGATGACCATAGCACCGGACATAATCCCGAAGATGACGACGACGAAGATGAGGAAGACGAAGAAGACCAAGAAGAAGACGATGATCACGACGGTGAAGACGATGAGGAAGAGGACGAAGATGACGACGATCCATTTGGCGGCTTTGGAGCCGCTGGGCTTTCATCCACTCTACGTGCCCTTACTGGTATGATGTCCGGACTGTCAAGTAGACTGCGTGACATCCTCCACAATCTCCGACAAGATGATCTTTCCATACAAGTAATTGCTCTACAAGAACTGGCAGAGATTCTCCTTGTTTCGAACGAAGATAATCTTTCGGGTATGTTCTCTCCAGACGCATTTGTCAAGGAGCTTGTCCCTCTGATGAATAGAGAGGATAGCCCCGAAGTCATGTTGCTTGCCTGCCGCTGTTTGGCGCATCTGATGGAGGCTCTTCCGGCCAGTATTGCCAATGTCGTCTATCGAAACGCTGTTCCTGTCCTATGCCAGAAACTGCTTGAAATCTCCTTCATCGATCTAGCTGAGCAAGCTCTCAGCACCTTGGAGAAAATCTCAGTCGAATATCCCTCGAGCATTGTCCGTGAGGGTGGACTGACTGCGTGTCTGTCATTTTTAGATTTCTTTGCTACAAGCACCCAAAGGACTGCTGTCACTACTGCGGCAAACTGTTGCCAAAACATCCCTGACGACTCTTTCCCTGTGGTTAGAGATGTGATGCCAATCCTTCTCAACGTTCTGAATAGCAACGATCAAAGGGTTGTCGAACAAGCTTCTCTCTGCGTGTCAGGAATCGTTGAAAGTTTCAAACATCAACCAGAGAGATTAGAAGAACTCGTCAGTGCTGATTTGCTCAGGACCGTCCTGCGACTCCTAGTTCCGGGCACAACAAATCTGATTGGGTCCAGCATCCACACCCAATTCTTACGAGTATTGGCCTTCACAGCAAAAGCAAGCCCGCGCCTCTCAGCCGAGCTCTTCAAACTGAATGTCGTTGAAACTCTCTATCAGATCCTGACAGGCGTTTCACCCCCAAGCGGCACTGAAGATGTTGCGTCTAAACTTGACAGCGTAGTGGTCATGCAAGCACTTATTCATCGTCCCAGAGACCAGATTGTCGAAACGCTCAATGTAATCTGCGAGCTTCTTCCTGGTATACCACGGCAAAATAACCCAGCGCTACCAGAAACTCTCGCGTTACCAAACATTTCCGGCTCTGTTTTTGATTCCTCTACAGACGATGCCACAAACGAAAGACGAGTAGAGCTTCTGGAGGGATGCAAGAATGAAGTTCGCCGATTTGCTCTAATATTGTTCCCTACATTGACGGACGCATTTTCCAGTACTGTTAACCTCGGAGTGCGACAAAAGGTTTTATACGCACAGTTGAAGATGCTCTCAAACCTCGATGTGACTATTCTAGAAGAAGCCCTGAACCCGGTGCCGTATGCTTCTTTCCTTGCATCTATTTTATCTCAACAAGATCACCCATCTCTCGTTGTTTTCGGCTTGCAAGCGACAGAGCTACTCCTCCATCGACTAGGTGGCATTTACCGGTACCAATTGTATCGTGAAGGTGTCATTTTAGAAATTGAAAAGCTCTCAAAAGCGGATGTTGAAGATACTACAGAGGATCAGGATGCAGACCGGGAGCATGCAGAAGTCGACGACCACGAGGAAGGAGAGAACCCAGAAGATCATGATATAGGCAGTGGAGAGCCGCTTGACGATACAGAAGACATTAACCTGCATGGATCCATAGATGTCATCGCAAACGTCTCTCCAGAAGATGACACACATTTGTCAGATGTGGATGCCGAAGAAGGTGCAAACGAGCCTGCAGAAGACCAATCTGCAGCTAGCTCAAGAGATTCGACCATTTCAGTTGAAGTATCGACTGGCCCGTATGCTACACCGTCCCGTACAATCAAACACCGTATCAAAGAGGCCGCACGAAAGTTTTTGGACTCGCACGAACAAGAAGGCCAGGACCAAGAAATGAAGTTCAAGGCCAATGTGATTATGACTGAGCTCACGAATCTGGCAAACGAAGTCGAGGCGTTTGCTCTTGGCCAGGGATCCAAAGATCTGAACACGGATGAAGGAAAACAGCTTTTCCAACGTCTCGCATCCCATTTCGATAAGGATGTATTGGAAAGTGTGACAAGCGCCGAGCTTCTCGCTTCTGGAATGGTTCGTGCGCTCCTCGCCGTATTCTCTAATCAAGACGAAAGACTCGCTCAATCCGCACGAGCAGTTTTTCTCGAAACATTCATGAACGAGAGTGTAAAGTCGAAGCCCAAAACAGCCACTGCGGACTCACCAGCAACCCCTTTCAGCATTATGATACATAAGCTTCAAGATTTGCTCAGTAGATCTGAACACTTTGAAGTTATAACAGTGCACCAGAATGCGTTTGACGGAAGCCGGAGCAGTCCAGCATCGATGCTTGGTAAACAGATCCGACTTCGACTCGTTGCGGACGAAGATTCCAATATTCCTCGTCCTTACAGGAACATCATGGTCTCAATTCATGCTATTGCCACTTTTAAGTCGCTGGATGACTATTTGAGGCCGAGGATAAGCCTTTCTGAACGCCCCCGTCCCTCTAGACGTGATGGATTATCGCGAGCCCTTGCTGCCATTGCTGGTGTAGGTGGCCTGAGTGGTGCGGCCGCTCGTCTCGCTGGGCATTCAGTCTTTAGCCCTGGCGCCACACCGGCGACTCCGGCTCCTGGCGGACTCCCTACAGCTGATGCACTATTAGGTCATCGCCCAAACACCAGATCAACAAGTCAATCCAATGTCCGAACACCAGGAGCAAATGGCGGAGGCGCATCGCCTGAGAAGCGCAGTCCCGCGGAATCATCGAGACGTTCTCAACTGCTTCCAGCGGCTGACAACGATGACAAACCCAATGACACTCTTGACTGCGCAGATGAGAAACAAGTATCAGATGGAGATAATTCACCCGCAGGGGGAGACATGGCTGAGGTAGTTGGGCAGCTAGATGAAGACATAGAGGGCACAACTACACCGGATCCGTCTGCCATCAACGTTGAAGTTGCCAGTAGTGGCCAAGCAACGGCACGAAAGGACGACGGGACAAGAGTCTCAACTCCTGCGGCTGGTGGTAGCACCACTCAACCTGGATGTGGTCCAAGCACGCCGACGCCATCCTCAACGGCACAAACAGCGATGTCTTATGCTTCAGCATTGCAGGCTATACCTCAAGACTGGCACATTGAGTTTAGCCTTGATGGTAAAGTTATTTCCAATGAAACAACGATATACCGGGCAGTCTTCACATCTGCTGAGAATGGGGACGACCAGCACCTGGGCCGAAAGATATGGTCGACAACACACTCTATAACATTCAAACGTGTTGCTGGCCCCCCTCCCATTAGCCCAGCTAATGCATCTCAAAACTTGGAAGCACAATTGGAGACTGAGGCTAACATCCCAGCGTCGCTAGCAAAGAATCCAATCTCTGCTTCAATTCTGCAGCTTCTCAATATTCTGCACGATATGAACGCAAACGTGGACGACGTTCTTCTAGCGACTGGACAGCCATTGGTTTCTGTCCAGGTGGAACCATTATCACAATTTGTAAATACCAAACTCACGGCAAAGCTAAATCGTCAGTTGGAAGAACCGCTTATCGTAGCGAGTAGCTGTTTGCCAAGCTGGTCAGAGGATCTGGCGAGATTGTATCCGTTTCTATTCCCGTTTGAAACGCGCCACCTTTTCTTGCAGTCCACCTCGTTTGGGTATGCTCGATCTATGGCACGCTGGCAGAATGCTCAGGCCACAGAGGATAGCCGACGTGATCGATATAACGATCGCCCATTTCTGGGACGTCTCCAACGCCAGAAAGTACGGATTTCTCGAACTAAAATCCTTGAATCGGCCTTGAAAGTAATGGACCTCTATGGAGCGTCTCAAAGCATTCTTGAGGTAGAATATTTTGAGGAAGTTGGAACTGGTCTTGGACCGACGCTCGAGTTTTATTCGACTGTTTCGCAAGAGTTTGCCAAGAAAAAGCTGCGACTTTGGCGTGATATGGATTCCATAGGATCCGAGGAATTTGTCAACAGCCAAGTTGGCCTGTTTCCACGACCACTTGGTGTTGAGGAACTAAGCACACCCAATGGAGAACGCATCCTTCACCTCTTCAAGATCTTGGGCAAGTTTGTAGCTCGCTCTATGATTGACTCTCGAATCATTGATATCCACTTGAACCCTATCTTCTTCCGCATTGCAGATCAAACTGGCAGAGGAGTCAAACCATCTCTTGGAGCAGTCAAGCTAGTAGACCCTGGGTTGGCTCGATCGCTAAAAATGATTCGCAAGTTCGCACAAGCAAAGAAAGAGGTGGACGAAGACCCAACTCGTACCCCAGCGCAGAAGGTCGCCGATACAGAGGCTATCTGTGTCGATGGCATAAAGCTAGAAGATCTTTGCCTCGATTTCACGCTTCCAGGTTACCCTGGCGTCGAGTTGGAAGAAAATGGTTCGCAGAAGCGCGTTACTATGGACAATGTTGAAGCATATCTGGACGGCGTCGTTGAATTCACCTTAGGAACCGGCGTGAGTCAACAAATTGATGCCTTCCGAACTGGGTTTTCGCAAGTGTTTCCTTACACTGCCTTGAGCGCCTTTACCCCTGATGAACTAGTGTCACTCTTTGGCAGAGTAGAAGAGGACTGGTCATTAGAAACACTTACAGACTCTATTAAAGCTGACCATGGATATAACATGGACAGCCGGAGTGTCAAGAATCTCTTACAAGCAATGAGCCAATTTGATGACGTCCAGAGAAGGGAATTCTTACAATTTATTACCGGAAGCCCCAAGCTTCCAATTGGAGGATTCAGAAGTCTCACTCCGATGTTTACAGTGGTTTGCAAACCAAGTGAACATCCTTATACATCTGATGACTATCTTCCCAGTGTCATGACTTGCGTCAACTATCTGAAGCTTCCCGACTATAGTAGCCTCGACGTCATGATACAGCGACTTTCTACAGCGATGAAAGAAGGACAGGGTGCCTTCCATTTATCATAAACTATGACAATACGTTGTCTGTATATGTGGTGCGCCTCTGGATTTCCTTCGAAGTTGCAGCCAAGTACACGATCTACGTCCCTTGTGGCCGTAACTCAGCCACTAACAACCAAGAACGCAGGCATTGCATTCTTTGTATTTGACATATATGCAATTCACATAGATATTCATAGGTCCACGGGATACTTGTTTACCAGCAACTAGCCAATTAGAGTAATGAACTAGCCAATGGATACTAATTGTTACTGTTATTATAATATTCCCTTTGTAACGACTGGCACCACGTAATCACCAAGTAACATAATATGCTCCTCTTTCTCATGACCCATTAATAAAGTATGTACATAAGATAATTATAAATCATAAAAGATAAGTCTAGCTGCTAATGTCGTCCGAGTCCCATATCTCATCAGGCATAGTCTGGTCGTCTCTTAATAAGCTGTCTGGAAGCATTTGACTTTTGGTAAGCAACTGGTACGACGCATCTAGAGGCATAGAAGACCCTAATATACTAAAGGGAACAGCTATTGAAGACGAGTGATTAAGAAACCTAACGCTGTCGGAAGAATGCGCGCCCTCTTGGACCTCTCCGTCTTGTGAAGGCAACGGTTCAGGACAAGTCAATACGTCCAAAGTTGAGAGTTGTGAGGAAGTGCTTGTCTGGGAAGCGTTGGGATGTATCGTAGAGGACTGCACATCGGATGCAGGAACTACTGATGGTGTGGTTTCTACTGCTCCTCCAGACTGAGAGCCTGGTACAGCGTTACCATCTTCGAGCGTAGACTGGATTGCCTCAGAATTAGCTGCATGTCCTCCAGCCGCGGATTTGATTTCTGAAATAGCCTCTACCAGCGATTTGACTCTATCTGGCCTTGGGGTTGAGACGTTGCTTGACTGCATGACACCGGCATCCTCTGTGCTAAACACTGGATGGCGCAAGTTATATAATAGCTGACTGACGACGGCAGGAGGGAAATACACGTAACGACCGATTTGACCGTAGATCCAGTCCTCAGCACGCATATCGTCCTCACTTGTCGGATTGTTCAACTCGTAGATCTGATCGACGTTATAGACCCAAGTACCTGCGGGATCAGGAGAAGCAGGCCTGGTGGTGATATCTGCAACGTAGCGAGTTGTTTTGGAGTTAAAGAGCCAGGCCCGTGCAACAGAGTCTGGAATCTTGAAAGGCAGTGAGATGGACAGCGTGAAGCCTCCGAGCAAGTCGTTGAAAGCGTTGTCCTGGAGCGGTAGAAGGATATCGGAGCGGGGAGAGGTAGGCGAAAATGTGTGGAGGATGGAAACAGCGACGCGCTGCGATTCTAGGGGCAGACCTTGTGTGCCCTCTAGTGGGGGATGTACGATTGGCCACCGAAGGCGTTTACGGCTGTGTTGTGTTGGCGCTGGTTGCTGCTCTCTTGCAGATGAGAAAGGAGTTTCAGAAGGGCTAGATGGCGCTTGGATCAAGGTCTTGCAGCTCTTAGCGGAAGACTTGCCCCATTGCGACGTGCTATTAGCCAGCTGATCAAGGATGAGTTGTGTCTCGTTGCCAGTGTCGAAAACATCATCGTTGGTTATCAGCTTCTCTCGCTTCTGTTCTTGGTCGTCGGCTGACTGATGGTATTGTTTGGAAACAACGGGGAGGGTTGGTTCTTCCTCTGTGAGGTCTGGCCTAGGCAGATCCTGGCCGAAATCCGAGTATCCGTCCTCTTCATCGGAATCGGGGATTTCGTATATGCCATGGTTGGGCGGCTTGACTGCCGAGCTACATGCTTGCAGCTGCGGGCTGCTCTGTTCTGTGAGGTCGCTTGTCGGGTCTTGCGGCAACATTGCAGCTGGAATCTTTCGTCTAATTTCTGGAGATGGAGATGCTACGCCAATTGGTGTGGTAAAGGCCAGGCCTTGTGATTTTGAGGACATGGGTGTTGCGGCAGGAGGCGAGCTCCAGCTGTCCGTGGCATATGAGTCTTGAATCAGTGAATCCCGACGCACTGTTGGCGTTGAGTTCTTGGTAAGCTTAGAGGGTGATTCAGTCGAGCCTGGGTATCCATAACGTGCGACCCGAGCTGTGGATGGTGTGGTGAGCTGTGCTGATATCGGGAGTTGGAACCGCGTGTTCTTAACAGGGGTTTGGGGAATGACCGAGTCTTCGCGCTGCTTTGCGGCATGGTCATGGCCATCTTCAGCCTCAGTTTCAGCCTGGGATTCTGTTACCCGAGTAGAGATGTTTGCGGGTGACCCGGCATGACTGGAGCTGTCACCTAACCACTGAAGGAAGTCCTGAGGCGGGTCACCATCTAGGCTATTATCGTCGTCTGAGTCTGCAACAATAGGGCAATGGGTATCGACGCGGGTTGGAGACTTTTCAAGGCTGCTTGTGGATGACTTGTTGACAACTTTCCTCTGATTTGAGGCTTCGTCCCCCAACGTCCGTCTTCGCTTGGTGCTGTCGTCCTTGTTGGCGAGTCTGCTATTCCGCTTCCGTACTCGTGTTATAGGTCCTTCATCCTCAGATTCTGTGTTATCTTGCTGCCCAGCTTCACCGCTCGTGTCGGTACCTTCTACGGATGCTTTATGAATGCTCTCTTCATCCTGTTCTCCATATTGGTCGCCCTCGGTGTCACTTGAGGGGTGTTCCCCGTTGTCAGGCAAGACAGATGACGTAAACTGTATCAGAGTCTGCTGCCGCAGACGTTTTGTGCTACTGCTAGGCGGGGGCTCGTTGGAAGTATCTGGATCTCGCACTCGTCGGCGCCTCGCTGGGAATTGGAGCTGTTGCAGCTTTGGTGGTTGCTGATATACGATGCTGGGCGGCGGTGCCTTGCCCCCCGATCGTGTGCGGGACGACATGGGCGAAGTGTCTCAAAACATGGGATGCAGGATATTCGGAAACGGCCGATGCGAGACGATTTGCCAGTTTGGTTCTTGATTAAAGCAGATTCAACAAGTGGCTGTTAACAGGCGAAGGTTCATAAGCGGCGTAGTCCAAGCACGCGTCTCCACCGCGTTAAGAGAAACCGTTACGCGCCCTTCCACTGACGACATCTTGGCCTCACAGTTAATCTATGCAATGACAAGGAAAAGAATGTGAATTAGGCCAAAATAATTTGTAGAAAACTTGATTGACATACATTCGTCTACCGTTAAAAATAAGTTTAAGCTAATCATACAACGAAAACGTCTTCATCACATTTAGAGACACGCTCTCTCGCGTTTGGCGTATAGCAGCGCATCCATCACTTAAATGCAGCCTTCACATCTGCTCTGGGCCATTCAAAGGGCACGTCACCACCATACACATCTGTCGTGACTTGTCCAATTCTCGTCTCCACCGATCCGTAGAATGCCTCACATTCCGTGAGAACCTTGGCTACTAAGCCTCGGCTGAGCGCAGGCTCGTCTGCATCACCAAAATGCTTTTCAACTCTCTTGCGCAGAGCTTCAATGCCCTTGCGCACTTCTTTCGAGTCGTATACTCCAAGCACTTTGCTAAACACGGCTTGGCTGTTTGACGGCTGCCTGGCAATGGCTGTTGGTGACTTGCCTGCCTGGATCTGGGCTTCAATGTTTTCAAGGTTATCTAGAAGCTTTCCTAGAGGTCGACGCATGACGGCGTTGAGGTAGAGTCCCATATGTTCAACATACTCCGACGTAGCTTGAGTTTTCCACTCATCCAGGACATCGAGGTTATGGCCTTCGGTTCCCTCCAGGAAGTGGTTCATATTTTCAATCAACAAGATATGGAAGTTCAGAGCCTCTTTGCCTTCAGGGTCTGCAGAGCCAGTTGTGGCAGAACCACTTGTTGGATTCTCGCGTGCAATAACCATGAGCGAGTCAAACATGGATTTTAGAATACGATCATATTCGCGGTCCAAGGTTCGGCGTAGCGTGGTGTTGGGGTCAAAAGCTGCCAACATATTCTCAACAGCGTTGAGGAAAGCGGGAAAGACTCTGATGAACGAGATGACGCCCTTGCGCTTGTTGATCTTGACCTTGGTCTCTTCGATGGCTCGTATCTGCTCATCTACGAACTTCGTAAATTTGCCTTCCAGCGCATCGTGAAGCTTCTGAAGCATCATATTGGAGAATTCCAGGTTGGACTGGCCAATCTCGTTGAGCTTCTTGTCTAGGATGGCCAAAACGCCAGCGCCCTGTAGAGGGTCTTGGGCAATGACCCATTCCATCAACCGCTGCAGCTCACCTTCCAAGAAAGAAAATATGATTTCCATGGATCGTGTCACTCGGCGAGCGAGCTCTCTGTCGGGTTCCATCAAGCGATGACGTTTCAGATCACGGCATCGGCGATCCCTGGGAACATTTGCCGCAACCGAGTCTGGAAAATCTGCTTGTTCCAAGGTTGTGGCATGGAAAAAGTCAATGACAAAGTTTTGTTCCGCCTCAACTAGTGGAAGAAGGTCATCCAAAGCGCCTAAGAAGACTTCGTAAGGTAAGGAACCGACACGGGCTGCGCTCTTGTCCACTGAAGTTCGATGGCCATCGGCCAAAGGGGAACGAAGGGCTCTGGCGAGTGTCTGGCTGCGCTTTACTGTCATCTTTCGTGCAGCGGTTGCGACTCCTTCTTGCTGCTTTTCAACATGCGATGTAAACAACAGTTCAGACTCTTCACCAGTGAGTTTGCGGGCGTTCTTTCGCCAAACTGCAACCACGCCCTGAAATTCCTGTTTGTAAACAGGATGGGACATATCTTGGTAGATTTGCATCATGCGATTCCAGTTATCCAAGTCAGCATCACGCGCGTAAAGCATAAGGGGGCTGTATTTGGAGAGCAAGTCACGCCCTGCATCATGGTGTGTGGGATCGACCTTTCGCGATAGCGCACCCTCAATCGTTCGTTTTGTTTCAGTGGATGCTTCTTCAAACTGGCGTGCCATAAATTCAACAAGACGGCGCATAAAGCTCCCGCTCTCTTGAAGATACATTTCCTTCTTTTCTCGAACGATACGCATCTTTCCATAGTCTTTGTCGACGGTAGCAGCGGGGTCAGGTTTGTCCTGATCTTCTGAGGGGTTCAAATCAACTTCATTCAATGTAGGATCGATCTTGAGCATAGCCTTGTAAAGGATCACCAAGGCGGACTCCACGTCCTCTAGTCCACGTAGGTGATCCAGAGGTGCAATACGGAGCGCTTCGAGATCTTCTGGAGTGATGGCACATGTCTCTAATAGAGATTCCAGTTCCTTCTTGAGTAGTTTCTGGTTCGAGGTTTGAACCTGAAGACCTTGGCCTTGAGCTTCGATGTAGGCGATGTCGTCTGATAACGTGGACAATTCGACCGAGTAGAGCGTAAGAAGATTATCAAGTTCTTCGCACTCAGCCATTGCCAAGTCTACTCCGCTCTTGATGGCATCCACGCGCTCATCATCTTCTCTGAATCGTGCCAGCCAACCGCCAGCTTGAGCCTTATTGAGTTCTCTGTCGATATCGACTTTGAGCTCATCAGCATTCCTCGATCGCATTTGCACTCCGGGTACCCATCCAAAATAGTCCAGCCATTTACCAAATTCATGGCTTCTATCATCCAAAATAGTCGGCTCAATGCCAAGCGACTGTAGGTACTTGGAATCGTTTCCAGCAATAATGGAGCGCCGTGTTGCTTGTTTCGCATTATCTTTGGCATTGGCTGCTTCGTTACTTTGCGCTTTCTTCTCGCCCTTGACGGCGGCGTTAGGCTGTTCCGAAGGGGTGGGAGGTACAGATGCAACAGCTGCTTCTCTTTGTGCGTCTGCTACGGCAATTGGTGCACTGGCATTTGGTTCAGTGACTTGTAATTCGGGCACGACCGGCCCTTGCGTTTCGCGTTGTGGTAGAGGTGTTGGAGGGGCAACTATAGCGGGATGTACGGGTGATTCTTGAATAGGAGTAGGTGCCGGCTCGGGGGTCTGTGGCCGCTTCTCGATTCGAGGGGGTGCAGGTACAACGCCATTGATACCATCGGGCCCGTCATCGGTATTGTTAGTTGACATAAGTAAGCGGTCACCGGCACCGCCGCGCCGGGGTTTGAAGGCTGCATGAGTATTCGCCGCTTTCCAGAACATTCCAGCAATCTCATTCTTAGATTTCTTAGATTTAAGCATGGAACTCAATCCCGGTCTTGTATCATCCTCTGCTGGCTCATCCAGTAGCTCGTCAGTTGGCTTTAATCCGGCCGATGCTAGTCCCTTTTCAGTTTCTATCGGTTCCGCAGCACTCGGTGTGCTGGCGCTTGGTGGTGGGACAGGCTCAACATGCCTCTGTGTCTCCAATGCAGTAGTATCGGCTGCTGTGGTAGCGGCAGATGGTTCTTGCGCAAGCTTTTCGGACGATCTTGTCGAGACTAGCGCTGGTGAATCTTTCTTTACGGGGCTCATCAAAGGGGGTGGCACGAGGTCCCGGTCCAGTGGTCTTGATGGATCCATTGGTGGTCGCCGGCGCTCTGGAGGAATACCGTCTCCATTCTGGCGAGTCTGTCCAAGAACCGGCGGAGCATCACGAGGGGAATCGGGGGTATCGCGAGGATCCGGGAAGCGACCTGGGGTTGTCGGCCCATTCATACCATTGCGGGATCGCGTCGGCGCCAAGGCATTTTCTTCGCCTCGTGAGATGAATGATGATGCAGATACAAATGAGGCGGCAACGGAATCTTGGCTCTTGTTATTCTGTTGAGTGAATGGTGGGCGTGGCGGTCGACTATGGGAAGTCGTTGAGTCAAAGCTACCTGCAGGAGAATCACTGGGATTTGGAGGCCGCATGCCAGGTCCAGGTCCTCTTTGGAAGCGAGGATCCATTGTAGCACCGACTGGAGGAGGCGCTGGCCCAGATCCTGTAGACGGAGGGGTTCGTTGCTGACCTGGACGGCCAACAGGATCGGTTGGCATTGGTGGGCGAGGGGGTTGCCCAGGCGGCGGTCGCCTTCCTGCGCCGGCACCCAGTACCTGATCTAGCTCCTTGGGATCGAAACCAACGAGTTCTGGGGTCTTGCCACTGGTGTATTTGCCGTAAATTTTGACCAGACTGGCGATGAAGAACTTCTTTTCCTTGTCCGTCTGGGCCTGCCAAAAATAGGGCCGACCTAAGGTAACCAGGAAGCCTGTTTCTCCAGCCCATTCTCGGTTGTGGGGGTTGACTTGTGAGGATGTAAACGAGTCGATTTGGGACAGATCGTCAAGGTTCCACGTTTTGCCAATGGAAAAGGTGCCGTTGGCGTTTTCTTTGGATTTGTGCATGCGAACTCGACCAGATTTACGCACGGCAACTATGATGACTCGAGGCTTCTCGGTTTCGGGAGTTCGAGACGCAGGAGGAGGCGGGGAGGAGGGATGCGAGGAGAATTCCGTGATTCGGATGTGCGTAATGTAGCTCTCCGAAACTGTCGCCATCAGTTAGCACGGCATGGAAGGGTATGGCGTGTCGCTGCGAGTGCCACAGGTGGCATCTCAAAGGCAGCGCCCCGTTGGTTGTAAGCTGGATGAATAAATACTTACGAGAGCCATCGGGTTCCTTTTTCGAGAAACAGCTTTCGATGATGCGACGCTTCTCGTCCTCGAAGCGTTCAGCCCTGCTGGCTGCCGCTCCGGGGCCAGCTGCATCTGCGCGGTCCATTTCCGTATGCTGGTGGCTATCATGAAGGTATTTGCCTTCAATAGCAGACCATGTCCGGATAGCTGGCGCGTGGGTGCAGGCTTGGGCGATTGCGGATGGTCTTTGTTGTGGTGGTTGCGTTGTCTCGCACAGTTAACAGGGTCGCGAAGTGCCTGAAGAGTGGACGGGGTACATACTCTCCCCCTGTGACGGTTACATGGATACTTAAACCTACCATGTAGAGGCAACCAATTTCAATACTATAGCAATTCAAAATAAACCAATTAAATTTCTTAAAACTAATTACATTGAACATAATCAGCCTCTAGTTTTTATTTTTACACAATATCTATATTTATAGCTTTAAGATGCCTCTGACTCAAAGCTGTTGCGGTATTGCTCTACCGACAGAGCTTCAACCATGCTCCACATTGTTAACCTAAAGCTCATAAACGAACCTTTACCTCATTGCCACCAAATCGGTTCAGGGTGTCATTATCAATTATATGTATTCGAACGACACACTGATTAAAAAGCTTCTATCTTAGACTACACTACTGCCACCGGCTGGATACCAATAGTGGTGGTAGCCGAAACACGAGAAACATGCCCATGAGAGATACTTGATGTAGAGGCTGCTAGTTGCTGTCAAAGAGGCTGACCTTATGCCTCTTCATTTGTAGAAGCTATAAAACAACGAATTATTCTAGGCCCCGTACATCAGTTTATATACCCGATATGTTATGTCTCACCCTTTTTGCAGATAGCCATGGCCGAATCTCATTCGTGTTGCATCAAACCCAACTCCTGGCCATTATTGTGGACGGTGAGCACTCCAACGTCAATCGGGCCGTCAGTATCGGTGATGAGATCGGCGCAAGAGATATCGGCATTCTTGTCCACAACAAACTGAGCGATAAAGTCCGCAACAGGGTGAAGGTCTGTTCCTTGAAGATCATTCCAGCTAGCCTCATTCATTAACGTTTATAACGTTCTTCGGGGTAGATGTACTCACGCGGCTCTATTGTTATCCTCCCAAAAGTAGGTAGAAACAATGTGGCCTTCATCGTTATTGTCATCTCGCTTGTGGCTTGCACCCGTTGCTGATGTGGCACGGATAGCCATGATACGGCCTTGTTTCCGGAAATGCATCTTGTGATGTACTCCGTGAACAGTGGAGTTACCATACTCCATCCATTCACCTTCTTGGGCACTCTCCTGAAGCATGTCGAAAGTGCTTGCTGCCTCTGTCGGCTGGAAGTCCTCATGAATGAGGACTGATCCCATTCCAATAGCCGGGAGCGCACCCGCCGGCTTATCAGGGCCTGCAACAGGGACGAAGATCGACGCAAAGTTAGCGAGAATACTAAGGACGCCGACAGCGATGCACGCAATAGGACCGCCGCCAACGCAGACCGCACCAGTGATGATAGCACTCTGCGTGATAGCAGCCACAACGGCCTCTACCCGGGCAAGTTGAGTACTAAACTCTTGAGAACATTGCTTGTAAAGAGCTAAGTCTTTACGGGTCCATTCGGGTGAAGTGTTGAATGGCTCAGAAGGTGATACGACACTGACGCCCCTAGAATCAACAACAAGCGCTGAGCCAAGATGGCCAAGGGGACAAGAAGAATTGTTCAAGATAACTGCATTGTAGCAATAGAATGGGTTGAAAAGGTTTTTAATTGAAGAAACTGAAGTGATGTGTTGCTGATAAACCAATTTAACATATGGTAAGTTGGCCCTTCTTATACCTTTAGATTTTGGGCTCAACAACAAACGTAAGAGCATTAGTACCTTCGGACATTTCCTCATTCAGTAATACCAAGATAAGTTACTGATTGGTATAAAATGTGAAAGAACTTGTCAGCCTATCATGCTCTTCCTCTTAATACTTTCCGCTCACCGGCTCTATGACCGACAGGTATGTACTCTACAATAGGGCAGTCGGTATCCTGTCAATCCCGGTAAATGTTCTTGAACAAGTGCGATTCTAAGCGGCCCATCCTGGGTCGTTACTGAAGCAAACCATCCAGCCTTATTGCAACGCTATATACCAAAGCGTGCTGTTGATGAACGGCTCCTTTGCCGAACTACCCGGCGGCGAAGTCATACTGCGACTCTACTCTCCTCTTTGGCCATCAGTAACCAATGATATTTCAGCTTGCTAACAATTAGCTTGGCCTTTCATTCATTACGGCTTGCGATTGGTTTCTAGAGCTACCATGAGGAACAGCTTCCTATTCTTGGCGACTTTGCCTGGTAAGGTGAACTGGCGACGATCTCTCCGGGGTGTGGGGCCGACGGGAATACTGCAAGAGCCTGAGCGCATCAGGCAAAAGGAATTAAAGTCATGTCGGCGTCACTGGACGTATGGTTAGAATTCTCGGCCAAATACCTCCTGTATGGCGCCTCCATCAGCGTCTTTGACTATGGCATATACCCAAGAGCGACTTCATCGACTTCCATATACAGCTAGCGCTCCAGCCGTGCGCCAGTACCTGGCTGCGACGCTTGTAAACGAGTATGGTCTCGATTGGAAAGAGGCCAATGCTTTGGCCAGTCCGTGGAAATATGGCCGTGGCGCAGATATGCATGAGTTTGATCAGCCGACTTTCCGAGCAATTCTAGGCGCCGAAGTTGGGGCTATCCTATGGCTACACGTTAGACGTGTTTCAAATAGCCAGAAGCAAACATTAGGAGTGGCTGGCCTGTTTGCAAACCTACCCTCTATCGGTATGACGGCGATTTTAATATTGGCAGTGTCACCCAAAATCCAGCTTTGGAGACTAACTTCACCAGAATCGCTCATCTATTTGTGCTTTGTTTACAGCGCAGTATGTGGAGGAATAGCAGCACTGATGATGTGGACACATTCTAACATGCAGGACGATGGTAGGGGGCTGGCAAAGATTTCGACTGTTTTATTCATGGTGTCCGTGGCAAGTTTGATATCCCGACGTTTTCTTCAATTATAGTATTAGGCAATTGTTCATTTTCATTCCCTTGACTGAGTTCGGTGGTCACTATAGGGGTTTCTCCCTTCCCGGCCCATTTAACAGTTACAATGCGAACCATTTACCAATGTGAAATGTAAAATTAAAGGATAATTGAATCCGATAAGCTCTGTTTGTAGATAAATCACCAATGCATACAAAAATGTCGAAATCCCGTGATAATCTCCGTTGGGAGTTTTGGTGGTGGGGTCGACTGATTCCACCCTAAAACAAGCAGCGTTTGGGTGTCACACCCCAGATTGCCGGGGCTTACTCCGGTTGCTGCCCCGCATTGGGCCTAAGTTACTTCCTCGGTTGGAGCAACACGGCATCCTTGTCTCCGCACCAGCATCCTCAACAGATTGTTTAATTCATTCCTCGACAAGACAAGACAAATTCTTCCTGATATACACATTCTGTATCCCAATTGAAATATCCCATTGCCATTCAAACATGGTAGCTCCCATCAGAGCCGTCCCTAATGTAAGTCTCCCACCAGCCCTATTGTATCCCAACAAGTACTGAGTGCTTTCGACTCCAATTAGGCGGCAAAGCGAGCGACTAGCCTGCTTCGAACAATTCAATACACTCATCCACCTTCATGCCCTTGTCACTCGAACCCTGGGTACCACAACCAGCCCCCATCAATCGTCCCGCGCATCCGCCAACCCGGCGTCCGTCGCTATGCTACACCAAACGAACCACAGAAGGAATACGCCTTTGAAATGGCAGCATCCTCTATTCGCTTCGGCCCTGGTGTCACTAAAGAGGTCGGAATGGACTTTAAGAACCTGGGCTCGCAACGAGTCGCTGTTGTCACCGACCGCACTGTAGAGAAACTCGACGCCATGAAGCAAGTTATCGAAGGCTTGACCCGCGAAGGTGTAAACTTCCAAGTGTATGCCGACGTCCGCATTGAACCTAAGGACAGCTCGTAAGTCATGGCGAACTACACCACGGCCTCTTTGCGCAAGCTAATTTTTATTGTACACAGTGTTAAGGAAGCTATCAATTGGGCTCGCCCATACAACCCCGACGCATTTCTCGCAGTTGGCGGTGGTTCTGTTATGGATACCGCCAAGTTGATGAACTTGTATACTGCATACCCCGATGCCGACTTTCTTGACTTCGTCAATGCGCCTTTGGGTAAGGGCCGCCCCGTCGACAAGCCATTGAAACCCTTGATTGCCGTACCCACCACTGCTGGCACAGGTAGCGAAACTACTGGAACAGCCATCTTTGATCTTGTTTCCAAACGTGCAAAGACGGGTGTAGCGCACAGAAACTTGAAACCCACGCTCGGTATTTGTGATCCTCTCAACACAAGAACCATGCCTCCGGCAGTTATGGCGGCCTCCGGCCTCGATGTTTTGTGCCATTCGCTAGAATCTTGGACTGCTATTCCATACTATGAGAGAACCCCCAGACCATCCAACCCGATTCTAAGACCTGCGTACCAGGGGGCCAACCCCATCTCTGACGTCTTTTCTTTCCATGCTCTACGAAGTACCGTTAAATATCTTCCACGCGCTGTCAAAAACCCAGACGATTTTGAAGCCCAGAGTGAGATGCTTCTCGCCGCCACTCTTGCTGGTGTAGGCTTTGGTAATGCTGGTGTCCATCTGTGCCACGGTATGTACTTTTATTTTGGAATAGCAATTGTATTGTTTCTAACACAGCTCTAGGCATGTCGTATCCTATTTCCGGCCAGAACCCGGCCGGGTACAGACACAACGGCTACGAAGTACCGCAAGCACTGATCCCGCATGGTGTCTCTGTCGCAGTGTCCGCTCCTGCTGTGTTCAAGTTCACCGGCGCTTCGAACCCGGAACGCCATCTCCAGGCGGCAGAAGTGTTTGGTGTTGACATTTCTAACGTGAAGAGAGAGAGTGCGGGAGAAGTCTTGGCGGACGCACTCGCTCGCTTCTTAGATGACCTTGGTGATCAACCCAAGGGCTTAAAAGACCTTGGCTTTGGCTCTGAGCACATTGACGCCCTGGTGGAGGGAACAATTCCTCAAGCGCGTGTCCTTATGCTTGCGCCCGGATTGTCCAATGAGCTGCAAACTGAGCGGGACCAGCTGCACCGCTTGTTTGAGGATGCTCTTAGCCATTAAAGTAGTATAGTATCGTGTGTACCATTTGCCAAATGCCAACCTCTCACTTGAACTTATCAGGATTGCTTGGGATCATATTTTTCAAGACAGCAATTTGTTTGACCATGGTGACCTTGCGAATTTCAGAGACCGCTCGTTTGTCGATACGGCGTGCTCCATTGGAGAAGACGACGGTATGGTCTGGTAACACAACTCCTGGCGGTATTACTGACAGGGCGGAGATAGTACATTGCTAAAGAGTACAAGTCAGCTGCATGCGGAGATATGGTGTAGTTTTGATAGGTTATACCTTTCCAATCTTGGCGCCGCTGCCAATTCTGCTGCCCACTTGGATAATGCTGCCCTCTCCTATCTCGGTGCCACCGCACTCAATGACTGAGCCAACCTCAATTTGTACATAATCGCCTAAGCTGACACCACCAGACTTTGCCGTGGCCATGTCTTGTGCTCGAGCACCAATGTGGGCACGTTCATGTATAATGCAGCGCCGTCCAATGAGAATGCTACCATCATTGGACTCAAAGCGGCATCGTGGGTGAACTACTGTCTCAGCTTGAAGGGTGATTGAATGAGTGCCTTGCAGAATGGCATTATCGGAAATAATGAGCGATGATGAGAAGTTTACTGGTGGTTTCGGACCACTGCGGTCAATGGCAGGTAGAATTGAGTGTCGTTTGTTCGACATAACAAGCCAGCTGAGGAACGCGTTGCGTGCGTGTATGCTTCTTGACGGTTTGATGTTGCAAGGCTGAGTGTGTAGAAATATTTTCTAAATATTGAGGCAATAGTAAACCAATATGACTCGCTTATCCCCGTAACAGCTTGTTTTGTCCAATAAAAACAAACAAAAATATTAAAATGCAAAGAAAGCAGCGAGGTCCCCGTGGGTGTTGCGCCGGAGCTTGGGGAAGCTCCTGACGACTGGCCAATTTGAGTCTAGTGCAGTAGGTGGAGCGCTTGTTTATTTGCTGGGATGAAGAGTACTTTCTTACACGCGTGTATTTCTGTGGACTGCCATGTTTCTACTAACACTCCTGCTTAGTCATTTTTAGGACCGCCATTGGCCAACCACAACGCCCGCATTTCTGATGGTCAGATTAGTTGGAAGCTCGGCCTGGAAGTAACGCACAGCAGGTCTCTTCATCCCCCAAATCGTCAACCAAAGACTGCACAACAATGCTGTCCACGAGAGCGGCGCCCAAGCAGGCAGTGACTCTCACAAGGACCGCCGTGAGAGGCCTGGCCACTGTCCAAGATGGCACCCCTAAACGCACCTACGGCGGGTTGAAGGACCAGGATAGGATTTTCCAAAACCTGTACGGACGATTCCCGGCCGACCTGGCCAGCGCAAAGAAGATGGGCGACTGGCACAAGACCAAAGAAATTATTCTCAAGGGCGACAATTGGATTATCAACGAAATTAAGGCCTCAGGTCTCCGCGGTCGCGGTGGCGCTGGCTTCCCCTCGGGTTTGAAATGGGTGAGTACTGGAATTGGTCGTATGTCGCGTCACTTCGCCTGCTAATCAGCCAATTAGTCGTTCATGAATACCAAGGACTGGGACAAGGACAAGAAGCCCCGATACCTTGTCGTCAATGCCGATGAAGGCGAGCCCGGCACCTGCAAGGACCGCGAAATTATGCGAAAGGACCCCCACAAGCTCATCGAAGGTTGCTTGGTTGCCGGCCGTGCCATGAACGCTACTGCCGCCTATATTTACATCCGTGGCGAATTCGTTTACGAAGCTGCTGTTCTACAAGCCGCCATTAACGAGGCATACAAGGACGGATTGATTGGCAAGAATGCCTGCAACTCTGGCTACGACTTTGATGTCTTCCTCCACCGCGGCGCTGGTGCCTACGTTTGTGGTGAGGAGACATCTCTTATTGAGTCTCTTGAGGGCAAGCCCGGCAAGCCCCGTCTTAAGCCTCCTTTCCCTGCTGCCGTCGGTCTTTTCGGCTGCCCTTCTACCGTCGCCAACGTTGAGACCGTCGCTGTCGCACCGACCATCTGCCGTCGCGGTGGAAGTTGGTTCGCTGGCTTCGGTCGTGAGCGTAACCAGGGAACCAAGCTATTCTGCATCTCCGGCCACGTCAATAACCCTGCTACTGTGGAAGAGGAGATGTCTATTCCCCTTCGTGAGCTTATTGAGAAGCACTGTGGTGGTGTCCGTGGTGGATGGGATAACCTCCTCGCTGTCATTCCTGGTGGCTCTTCCACCCCCATTCTCCCCAAGAACATCTGCGATGACCAGCTCATGGACTTTGACGCGTTGAAGGATAGCCAGTCTGGTCTCGGTACCGCCGCTGTCATTGTCATGGACAAGAGCACTGACGTCGTTCGTGCCATCAGCCGTCTCAGCCATTTCTACCGCCACGAGAGTTGTGGTCAGTGCACTCCCTGCCGTGAAGGCAGCAAGTGGACCGAGCAGATTATGAAGCGTTTTGAGAACGGCCAAGGCCGCGAGCGTGAGATTGACATGCTTCAGGAGCTTACCAAGCAGGTTGAAGGCCACACCATTTGCGGTGAGTACAATGACTCCATATTGATAGAAGCCATAGAACATTACTGACTCTCTTTACCTTTAGCTCTTGGCGAAGCTTTCGCTTGGCCCATTCAGGGTCTCATCCGCCACTTCCGCCCCGAACTGGAGGCAAGAATGGCCAAATTTGCGGCAGAGAATGGAGGTCCTGCATTTGCTGGTGGTTTGGAGCGTGGCGCGCGTGCTCAAGGAAAGCTTGTGTCTCCCGGTCAATAATTGTGTCATCTAGATTGCAAGGAATTCCTGCTTAGGAAGCTGTAGATTTCCTAGGTTTGGCGTCTTGTTGTTACCACTGCTTGCGCATGCATACTCGCAGTTGCTGGTCCTGTATTTTTTCTTTTGTTTTCTTGAATGATAATCTAGAAGATTGTCCCCCAACTGGAAGAATTACTGTGAATAGAGTCTTTAGCTGTGAACGTGAATGTTTTTTATGCATGTTGTGCGGTGTTTGGCACTTAGCGTATCTCCACCGACTTTAGGTGAACCGCGAACACCACGTATCGTACTTGCGATCTAAGCAACTCGCTCTTAAACGTGTCAGCCCCGCCACCCTCGGAGTCCAGTTGTCTCTTCTCTTATTTTACGCAGTACTACTCGATCTGTCCGCAATGGCATCGTTTCTAGATCAATTCATCGCCTTTGGCACGGATGCTGGTAAGTTCTAGCTACCCCTGAAGTTGCCTTGATTACGTGTGGAAAAGCAGAAGAAACGTGGCTAACGTATCACCGCGCAAATAGCTGGACTGGAAAGAACTATGAGATTTATTCAGTCAATCGCCATAATAGTTGTGTCTTATCCGGTGCTGCTCAGTCAGCTGCTCAGCACTCACCCTGTTGCGAAGCATGCTGTCTACTTTCTTACGATACGGAAGCTGATGGACTGGCTCAATGTAACGAGACGCTCGCTACGAACCTTTAGATTTCTTGAATCTTGGAAGAAGAGCCAAACAATGTACGAGTCCCAGGCTGCTAAGAGCATTGAGGATTGGCTGGACATAATTTCGGCGTCCACTATGGGAATGTACGGCATGCTTGAGACTGCTACATTGGTTGACGTGTTGCGCATTGAAAATCTTTCCATATTTGGTCAAGAGCGCAGTGTGACTCTCAATGAACGGGCACAAATGTTCTGGCTCGTGGCTCTCTATTCTGCCGCCTTGGGCTCTGGTATTAAGCTACTCCGTCTGTTCGCCTACCGCGCTGTCCCAGACTCAGGTGCCGGCTTCGCTGGTAAAGATTCCAAGAACGATGAAAAGAAGGCGAAGAATGAGAAAAAGTCAGCTGAAGAGCGTCAGAAAGAACGTGAGGCCGCGAACCGTGAGTTCAACGGCAAGGTTTCGCAGCTTGGGCTTAAGATGCTTGCTGAGGTACTGGATCTTGTTCTTCCTACGGCATCACTCGGCCTGATGAAGATCTATCCCGGAATCGTTGGCATTGCCATGCTATGTAGCACGGTGATTACGGGCCGGAACGTCTGGATTAGATGTGCACAGAAGCTACCGGCTTAGAAGGTGTGTAATGACCTATTGACAGGGAAGGTCTGATGTGTGTCTTTGTGGATTTCGCTATATATGCTAGGGTATTCAAAAAGCAGTTCTACCGTCTAGTTCAGGGAGATAAGCCTCTAAATAATGTCAAATTCGGCCGTAAATGGTAAATTTACCAGTGCCCACTTCAACCCTCCAGCCGTCTTGTATCAAGGCCGCAGCAACGGCCTTTCGAAGTGGCGACACGCCTCCTGCGCTGTGGCGACCAACGCCCGTGATTATGATTAATGGATGCTGCTTTGCCTTTTGAGACTTCATGTCGCCTAGATTTTGCCACCAGTTAAGAGACTTTTGGCGTGCGATACGAACACCATCCTGGACAAAGACGCCGTGTAGGTCTACCTCACCAGGTCGGCTTTGTTGATCTACTAGTAAATCTGCAGCGGTTGAAGTTGCTTGGGAGGCGGCCCGACTGTGCTCTTGCGCCCGCTCAGAGTATACGACGGCGGCTTGTCGAAAGAGGGGGTTGCTCGCACCGTTGCGATACATCTGAGCAGCTGATGCTCCAGCTTGTCGTCGCTGAAGATTGTGAGAAGCAGATAGTTGTAATGCCTGAGAGAGATTCACTGCTGGAGTTTGGGGCGACGCTAGGGATGGTAGCATGTGCTTGGCTCTTGTTGTCTGGGAGGTAGATTTGATATCGGACTCTCCTTCTATATCGTCGTAGGGCAGCGGTGTCAGCCTCGTACCAAGATTCAACTTTTGGCCCTTCGACCGTCTAGCAAATTCCTTGTTCAAAAGACCTGCTAAATCTTCAGAGAACTGGGTGATGTTGCTTGTTGACTGAACAATACGCTCAAGATATTTCTCGGGCACATGGCGATATTTTCTGCCAAGTACCACTGACTGTGTTTTAATATCATCAGAGGGCGATATTGATTCATGCACCTCTTCCTCATTAATGCATTGGTCGAGAAGAGCTATAGCGCTTAAGCTCAAGGACCTATTGTTGGTGTAAAAGACATCTGCTACCTCGTCAATTGTGCGATTTAAATGCTCTGCAAGATAGCTGATATTAGTTTGGTCTTGGCAAGTGACACTGTTAGCAAGAGGATGCATACTCGGCTTAAAACTGCTTACCTTTGACCTCGCTCAAGTATATTCCTAGGTCATTCTCATCAGTGGCCCGGTCTGTCTCCCTGGTGCCAGGGTTTGTGTTTGCTTTATTCTTTTTCTTTTTCTTGGATTTCTTAGAGGTGTCCTGATCCTCATGGAAAAAGCCATCGATGCCCTTGACTTGCTGTCCTGTAGCTTGGAGATACTGTAGATTCAACAGATCATCCAGCGCGTCCTGGAAATCGCCGTGATTCTTTTTCAAAGCATACTGTATGTCATAGGCTTTGAGGCTGGCAAACATTGATGAAAGCTGGTTGAGCTTGCCTTGCTCTGTTTCATTATTAAAAGAAGTGAGCTGAGGCATGAACCAATTTCCATCATTCTCTGACATAGGTTGGCCAGCGCTTGAAGAGTCTCCTCGTGGAGTTTGAGGGGTCGGTTGTGTTGCAATGGTAGAGGATTGTGTAGAGTCTTCTCTTGTGTGACGGCTAGTGTCATCTAATGACTCTATAAGTCCACTAGGATTGAAACCAGTAGCTTCTTCAGCCGGAACATCTTGCGCTAGGCCACTGAGGATAGTACGCGCTCCTTCATATTCAGCCGCGTTTGTCAAATCATGATCGCCTGCAATAGCCGCAACAAGGGATTCGTCTAACAAGGTTCGAAACAGCTCCTGAGATCGGTTAGTGATAATGTAGTCGCAATGATAATAGTAAGATTGGACTAACTACTAGCTCATCAAGCTTGTCTTGCTGCGTCTCAAGCATTGCTGCGATGTCGAGAAGTCGATATCTAGGCCAGCGTTCCTCGACTCAAAACGAACAGCTATTGCTGGTATCTCATGCTTAATGACTGGTGCTAGAAAATCGAACATGCGTATGGAAGTTTCAATTAAAACATCAAAGTTGATGTGCTCGGTACAGAACAATGCATTGGCTTCCGTCTATTGACCCATCCATACTATTCTTCGAATCACGTGCGCACAACTTGAACTGTGAGGATCACCCAAGATTGAGGTATGTGTTTGGTTTTGAGATTCTCCTATGCAACTTGTGAGATCCTCCTAGAAACCAGATTTTGCCTCGGTGAATGCCGACATTCATTTTTTGTTTTGACATTTTAAGCATTCATCAGACCCGGTGACCTTTTCCTTTCATCCTAGTTGATAGATGCCCTGCACGTGCAGTAATCAGCAGGCCTTCGCCAACGGCCCACACCCCGCTGGAGAGTTGGGGTTGGCTGCTGCAAACTCCACTGCGCTACCATGCTCTTTAAGGCGGAAGCTCTGCCGCTAAGGTTGCATTACGTCAGGCAAGACCATGTCACTGCCCAAGCTCGGCGGCGTCACAGCTTCCTCCTTCCACTTCACACCCATCATCATCATCATTCATCACCAGCTGGGCCAGGAGCGGCCACATTCTCGATTTAGCGTACGAGCAATAAATTTAGACCGACTTACCCAGCGTATTTAGAGTTGAGCACTCTCACCCATCGCCACAATCGCCGAGCACAGGGCCCAGGTAAGGGCGTAAACCGGCACCATGCGGTACCAATCCATCTTCGGTTTCGCCGCTCTTGCTTTTGGAATTAGCGGTGCAGCCGATCCTTTGACCCCAATCCACGAAAAGGGGCGCTGTGCATTCCGAAGCACTTGCGGCAAGAAGGGCTTTTTCGGCAAGGAACTGCCTTGCGTTGACAATGGCGTCGCTCACGACCCAGCCTCCGAAGCCGGGCTACGCGAGGAGCTGGTAGATCTATGTGGTGAAGAATGGAATGAAGGTCCCGTGTGCTGCACTCTAGCGCAGGTAAGTTCTTGTTATGTGAAATGGGATGTATAAATGATGCTAACAAATGTGACAAATAGGTAAAAACACTCAAGTCGGAAATGTCCACCGCCCTAAACTTGATCGGCTCTTGCCCTGCATGCAAACACAACTTCGTCAATACTTTCTGCAAGTTTACCTGCTCGCCCGATCAGTCGACCTTTATCAACATTACAAGAACCTCGATCAAAATGGGCAAGGTGCAAGTAGCCGAACTCGACCAGCTCGTGTCCGAAGATTACAAGACAACCTTTTACGACAGCTGCAAAGAAGTAAAGTTTGGCGGGGCGAACAGCAAAGCAATGGACTTAATAGGTGGAGGAGCCAAAGATGCCCATGCCTTTCTCAAGTTTCTGGGAGACGAAAAGTTTCTAGGGTCGCCGTTCCAAATCAACTTCCCAGACAAATATGGCGACAAAGATATGGCACCATTGGATATGAAAGCCAAACCATGCCATGGGGGTGATCCTAACTTTGATTGCCTGTGTATCGACTGCATTGAATCCTGCGGAGAACTTCCACCTTTGGAATCCAACGGATCTTGCCACGTTGGTGTGCTTCCCTGCCTCTCGTTTGCCTCCATTTTGACGTACACTCTCATGCTGGTAGGAATTGGAGCCCTTGGTTTTGGGAGTGCGGCTTGGAAAAGGTATGCTCAGCGCCAGGTTGAGCGTAGCCGACTATTGCATGAATCATCTCATAGTGACGATGAAGACGAAGGTGGTCCTGTACAAACGCAGGCCATGCGCGATCGACCGACGACCCGATATTGGCTGAACGACCGTTGCGATAAGGCTTTCTATAGCCTTGGACACTTCTCAGCGAGGTTCCCTGTTTTGACGATTGGTGTATGCCTGGTTGCCATTACTGTTCTGAGCGCTGGTTGGTTTAATTTTGCGCTGGAGACGGATCCGGCCAGACTCTGGGTGAGCCCAGCATCCGATGCGGCCCAAGAAAAGGCCTACTTTGATTCAAATTTCGGCCCCTTCTACCGAGCTGAAAAGATATTCCTTGTCAATGACACGGACAGCGAGACAGCCCCTGTTTTGAGCTACGATACTCTGGAGTGGTGGATGGAAATTGAGGCCAGTATTGAGAAGCTCAAAGGCCCCAAACATGGGAAAACACTTGATGAGCTCTGCTTTAAACCAACCAATGATGCATGTGTCATCCAGTCCGTGTCAACCTACATAAACGCAAATGGTGGCTTGTCCAAGTCTTGGAAGCGGACCGTTGAGAAATGCGCCAGTGAACCTGTCACCTGCCGTCCTGCGTATGGACAACCCATCGAACCTGAAATGATTTTAGCGGGATATACCGACAAGATTACGGACGCAAAGGCCATGACTGTCAATTGGGTTGTCAACAATGCAGACCAAGGGACCCGCGAGTTTGAAGATGCTGTTGACTGGGAGAATGCTTTGCGAGACAGACTCTTGGATGTTCAGAAAGAAGCAGCAACACGTGGCCTGCGACTATCTTTCAACACGGAAGCAAGTCTAGAGGAAGAGCTCAACAAATCCACCAATACGGACGCCAAGATTGTGATAATCAGCTACCTTGTCATGTTCATCTATGCTTGCCTCGCGCTTGGCACACCGCTGAAACACATCTTCCGCAATCCTGCTGTGCTGTTGGTTGAGTCAAAAGTCACACTCGGTCTAGTTGGCATTGTGATTGTTCTCATGTCAATTACGGCTTCCATTGGTTTCTTTTCATGGGTTGGGCTGAAGGCAACCCTTATTATTGTCGAAGTTATTCCGTTTATTGTGCTCGCTGTTGGTGTGGATAACATCTTCCTCATTGTTCACGAACTGGATCGCGTCAATGTCAGTTGTCCCGATGATGCAGTGGAAGAACGAGTCGCTCAGGCTCTTGGCAGGATGGGTCCATCTATCCTTTTCTCCGCGTTGACAGAGACAGCAGCGTTTGCTCTAGGATCAGCAGTGGGCATGCCTGCTGTTCGAAATTTTGCAGCATATGCCGCTGGCGCTGTTCTGGTCAATGCTGTCCTGCAAATGACCATGTTCGTTTCCTTCTTAGCCTTGAATCAGATCCGTGTTGAGGATCATCGTTGTGAGCTTTGGCCTTGGTGGCAAATCAAGAGTGCTCGTATTCATCTAAATGGAAACAACAGCTATGCTACTGGCAGAGCCTCCGATGTTGACGAGGAGAGCATGCTTCAAGTATTTATCAAGAATGTTTACGCTCCAGCACTACTTGCACCTAGAGCAAAGAAAGTCATCGTCGCTGTCTTCTTTGGTCTCTTTGCTGCCGCCATTGCCCTCTTACCTACCATTCAGCTTGGCCTTGATCAGAGAGTAGCAATCCCAGACGGCTCATATCTTATTCCATTTTTTAATGATATGTACGACTACATGGAGGTTGGTCCACCAGTCTATTTTGTTGCTCGAGGCGCCAATGCATCTATCCGGGATCAACAGCAACAACTTTGTGCGAAATTTACGACTTGTAATGAGCTATCGCTTACCAACACTCTGGAACTTGAACGACAACGCGACGATCTATCCTACATTGCGTCGCCCACCGCTAGTTGGATGGATGACTTTTTTGCATGGCTCAACCCTGAAAATAAGTTTTGTTGTAAGGAGGGTGGCACCACGTGCTTTGTTGGACGCAGCCCTCCTTGGAACAGAACAATGTCAGGCATGCCAGAAGGCCCAGAGTTTATGCACTTCCTGCAGAAGTTTCTCCAGTCGCCTCCCGACGAGGAATGTGCGCTGGGTGGAGAGGCTGCGTACAGTACTGCAGTTGTCTTGGATGAGGATAAGACTGGTGTGAAGACAAGTCACTTTCGCACGGCCCATTCTCCTTTGAGAAGCCAAGAGGATTTCATCCAAGCGTATGCCTCTGCAAGGCGTATCGCTAATGAAATGAAGAGCTCCACGGGCATCGACGTGTTCCCATACAGCGTCTTTTATGTTTTCTTTGACCAATACCTCAGTATAATTTCTCTAACTGCCAGTCTTTTGGGCGCAGCTGTTGGTATTATCTTTGTTGTGGCTGCCCTGCTGCTGGGCTCTATTCTCACGGCCGCCGTTGTCACTCTCACAGTCGTAATGAGCGTGATTGATATTATGGGCGCCATGTCGGTATTTGGCGTCTCACTGAATGCAGTCTCACTGGTCAATTTGATCATTTGCGTTGGCATATCAGTCGAGTTCTGTGCTCACATTGCAAGAGCCTTCATGTTCCCATCCCGTACTGTCCTTGAAAGCAACACAAATGCCCTTCGAGGCCGTGATGCTCGTGCATGGACCGCACTTGTTAATGTTGGCGGGTCTGTCTTCTCCGGCATTACTGTCACCAAACTCCTCGGCGTCTGTGTTTTGGCGTTTACTCGTTCCAAGATCTTCGAGATATACTACTTCCGAGTCTGGCTATCTTTGGTTGTTTTTGCCGCACTTCACTCTCTGGTATTCTTGCCAGTTGCGCTCAGCATTGCAGGCGGCCGAGGCTATGTTGATCCTGAAAGCGAGGGCACCGCTGCACAAGATTTGACGGATAGACGATGGAGAGCTATTCGTATTAATGATAATAGCGACTCTGAAGATGAATTTTAAGCGACATCTACTACATAGCGCCCTCATATTTTGTTTAGAATGTTTTGGTTCTTTTAGGCTAAGTTAATCGGTAAATACACGACTGGATGCTCAAAATTTAAAAAGAGGCAATTAGTGTAATATGTTATAGTGAAGACTATGCTGGAGGTAAGAAAGACGAATACAACGCCCCTTGAATCCCAGCATACATGACCATGAACATTATGCACATTTGGCCTTTCGCACGGGTTTTGTCAACACACAAGGAAGCAGCAATCCACCAATACCAAACTGGATATCCAGATGCTACACGAGCAATAATCTGTACATGATACGTTGTAAGTGCAAGGACAGCCATAGTCATCTGGATGGCAGCTAGCGTCATAATGAGTGTTTTATGGCTCTGATTCGGCGCTCCACGGGTAGGAATTGCTCCAGCCAAGAACAGATCCCATCCGGACCGACTAAGAAGAAGTAATGTGGGCGCGGCAACGATGAACAAAGGTAGTTGATTCAAGGTCCAATACCTGAGAAATCCAACGTCCCTTCTAGTAGTTAGAAGATGCTCAAACAGATATATAAGATGACTTACCAGTAATAATCCTGTACAAAGGTGTATATGCTTGGGAGCGTATTGTTGCACCATGGACGAAGGGCATCGGGATAGCAGTAAAGTGACCAGGCTGCTAACTGCGGAATTAAAATACCACTTCCAGCAAGCGAGCCACCCACGACTGTAGCAGCGACGTGAAGAAAACCAGCCGCGGTGGGCTGCTGGAGAAACGCCAGTCCGGTTTGGACAGCCTCCACAGCAAAAATCAGACCATATGATAGTCCATTGCTTCGAATTGTAGTAGCAAGACCAAGTAGAGCACCTGAAGCAATGACTAGCGCGCAGCGCCTGAGTGTTGATCGCCCAGGTTGGCTTCGCAGAGCAAATAGCAACACGGCAAGGAAGCAGAGAAGACTGCAAGGGCCTTCACCATAGGGAGAGGATAAAAATAGACCACCATGAGACATAATCGAAAGAGCCGAAGAAATAAACGAAAGCTTGACGTCCTTTGTGAGCACCTCTGTGAGCTTATAAAGGGCCAAGACGGAGCCTAGATGTGATACGTTGGAGATGGCAATGCCCGCTAGCGGTTCGATTCCATATGCTTCGACTCCAAGACTCTGAATGAATTGTGTGAGGTACCGAATAGACAACGCCACACCCGTTCCAAAGGCCCATTCCTGTTCATAAACGTAGCCATCCTTGGCTGCGTGGACATAGTAGATTGCATCCCACCGCGTCAGGCGGGTAGTCAGGGCGGACGCTATGGGTGAGCTAGAGCCATAGAGACGCTCGAAAAGCAAAGAAGTTGATGTGTCGTATCCATTCTTGTTAGGGGTACTTAACGCGACGGTGAATAGGAAGGCTTTCCACGCGACGAAGAGGGTTACCAGTGTGCGCAAGGGGCGACTCTGGTATTCGGCAAAAAGCGCCATTTTACGCGATTTGGTATCTGATAGTCGAGTGATATAATGGCCAATGATTTAGATACTGATATATATTCATGAAATGGCGCAGCGCTGTGAACTGCAACTTGATGTCGTCGCCACAATGAGGTTTACGAGGGCAGGCAAACACATCAAGGGGCATCGTCACAGTGGAGCCACCCACAGTATAGCGCCTGCTTTGCTGTTAACAGCAGCAAACAAGAGCATTCTTTAGAATAGGCACATTTTTAAAATGCTAGTGAATTATATACATATATTAAGAGTATTCTTCCTTTTGTATTCCCTTTAAATTTTCACTCCTTCTAAAATCGGCTTTGCCTCGTCGCTCTTCCACCAGCTGACGCCATCCTCGCCAGGGAACGTGTACTTGTCCATGCTGTCAGGCTTCATTTCGACACTGTAGCCGGCCTCCATAGGCGTTTTGTAGTAGCCATCGGTAATGACTGATGGGTGCAAGAAGTGCTCGTGGAGATGGTCGACATACTCGAGAACGGAACGTTTTCCGCTTACAACAACGTAGTCAATGGTGCTAAGATGCTGAGTGTACTCGGGCAGACCAACACCACCGGAGTGAGGGACGATGGGTACACCGTACTTCTTGGCCATCAAAAGCACAGCAAGGACTTCGTTGACACCACCCAGACGGCAGGCGTCAATTTGGCAGACATCAATGGCACCAGACATGAGCAGCTGCTTGAACATGACACGGTTCTGGCACATTTCTCCCGTGGCAACACCGATGCCATAGGGCTTGAGGGCTTCGCGGACGGCCTTGTGGCCCAGAATATCGTCTGGGGATGTGGGCTCCTCAATGAACCAAGGCTTGAACTCGCTCAACTGCTTCATGTATTCGATAGCCTCAGGGACCGACCAAATCTGGTTGGCATCGACCATGAGGACGTTGCCCTTGTCGTAGCCCAAGACACTACGGGCAATGGAAAGGCGGTGCTTGTCATCTTCAACGCTGCCGCCGACCTTGAGCTTGAAGTACTTGTATCCATTGGCAAGAGTCTCTTCCAAGAGGCGCTTCATCTTTTCTTCACCGTAGCCAAGCCATCCAGCGCTGGTGGTGTAAGCAGGAACGGCGCGGCTCTGCAGGGCATCCTCAATACGAGCAGCCTTGCCAGACTCTTGTTCACGTAGCATAGTGATGGCCTCTTCGGGGGTGATGGCGTCGGTGATGTAGCGGAAATCGATGCAGCGGACGTATTCCTCGGGCGTCATGTCGGCGACGATACGCCAGACCGGCTTCTGTAGGACCTTGGCCCAGAGATCCCAGACAGCGTTGACAACGGCACCAAGAGCGAGATGGATGACGCCCTTCTCAGGACCAATCCATCGCAATTGGCTGTCAGAGACAAGGTAGCGCCATGTCTTGCCCCAGTCCTCGACAAGAGAGCTGAGAGTCTTGCCCTTGAGGCGGTCTGCGACTTGGTTGATGGCGGCGCAGACGATATCGTTGCCTCGACCAATGGTAAAGGTCTGAAAGAAGACAGCAGTTAGAAAGGGTGGATCGGGAGAGTAGCAGTACAAGCAGCTTAACATACCATGCCGTGGCCCTGGTACTGAGAGTCGGTTTGCAGAATACAGTACGCAGCAGAGTAGTCGCCAGCAGCGTTCATAGCGTCAGAGCCGGTCTTATCGAGCGAAGTCGGGAAACGCACATCGCGCGACTGGAAGCCGGTAATGGTGATTTCGGCCATGGCTGCGAGTAATAAATGTGGTGGGGGAGGGGCAGTGATGAGGGGAATGTACTGTGTTGTAGGAAGGTTGCTTGTCTATGTCGAACGACTGGCAGTTCTGAGCAGGTGGAATAAGCTGTCAAGATTCTGCGAGTATCAAACTGAGAAGTCAAAGGGAAAAGAAATTGGATGGGGAGGAGGAAGAGAAAAAGAAAAGCAGCAGTTGGAGACGTCACAAAGGGACTTGAGCTGGTGGGGTCGCTTTCTCTGATGGCCGACGGGATTGATAACGCCTGGGACAAATGGCAGCGGGGAGCCACCGGGTAATTAGTTCTTACAATGGAACTAGATAGGAATTTTATGGGTAGAGAATTGTTAGGAGATGCATCAGTAGTAAACTATATGGTTTTTGTTGTCTTTTCACGGGGCATAGCGAGGCAAACCACATAGTACTGACAGTGTCTGGTCAGTTTTGGGAAAACACAATATGCAACAATACAGAGTGTGTTTAGAAGTGAAAAATACTACGAGCTTTGAACAACCAAGGGAGTTCAGCGAAAAAGGAAAAACACACACATGATTCAACCCCATCAATTAGTTTCCAGAGCGTGCAATGGTAGTGTCCGTGTCCAATTACCCGACGGGCAAATTCACACATCCCCCACCAACCAAGCTCCCCGCGGCGGGCCACTGAAATTTTAGTGGGTCGCCCCAGCGCCGTCATCGCTGTAAACTGAGCTGCCCAACGCCATGTCACTCCAAGAAAAGCCGGACCGTGAATTTCAACGGCGCTGGCGCTCATCAACGACCCTGCACAGCGGCCACCTCCAGCTACTTTTGCACTCTAGCTTCCGAAATGCCATCATGGCAGACGAATACGGCGCCGACGATGACCTCATAGCCGCTCTTGCCGCCACAGAACGCTCACACGCGGCTCGCTCGAGAGTGACACAACCAACGCCTCAGCGCATTCAACAGCCCAAGCCGCAGCGTCTTGACAATGCGCCGCCTCCAACGTCAGGATCCAAGATTGTGCAGCCAACACCCCAAGCTCTTCCACAACGTTTGGGTGGCTCTAACATTCTGGTGTCGCCGCGGCAGCGTGGCAACCCCGTCCTAACATCCATCAAGACCACTACTTGGGAGTACAGTGACATACCGGCCGATTTCGTCCTCGGAACCACGACCTGTGCACTGTTCCTCAGGTAAGTAAAACGATTCCCATCTTGCATTAACTATCTAACATTGCTTTATAGCCTCAAGTATCATCGCCTTCATCCCGAATACGTCTACAAACGAATTCGCGACCTGCAAGGCAAATATCTACTCCGAATTCTTCTTACCATGGTCGATATTCCCAATCATGAAGACTCGCTGAAGGAGCTATCCAAGACATCTGTCGTCAACAATGTCACGATCATCGCTTGCTGGTCCGCTGCCGAAGCTGCGCGCTATCTCGAGCTCTATAAAGCGTACGAGCACGCCAACTTCGAAGCCATTAAGGGCAAGCAGTCATCGACGTACGCTGAAAAGTTGATTGATTTTGTCACCGTTCCACGAAGCTTGAACAAGTCGGATGCTGTATCGCTGGTTGCTAATTTTGGCAGCTTGAAGAATGCCATCAACGCAGACGCGGAGCAGCTCAGCTCCTTGAGCGGCTGGGGTGGCGCCAAAGTCAAGCGATGGACTTCGGCAGTGGAAGAACCATTTAGGGCAGTCAAGGCGGCTAAGAGAAGGGCAAAACCGCGGGGCGATACATCAATCCCCGTCTCAGCTGTCCCACTGCGAGAAATGTATGGCCCCACGCCGTCAAGCAGGTCTGGCGCATCGACGCCCGCTACCGGGAGCCATTCACAAGCTTCCAACACAGCACCGAAGAAGACTTTCCAATTTGCCGCTGAACCGAGCGATAGCGACTCCGATGACGATAATCCCGGGGCGCAGGAACCCAAGGTGTCAAGTGAAAACCAACAAAAGCCTCCTTCTGAAGAGGTGTCTGATGGGGTTGCAGCAGCTCTTGCGAGGCTGCGCCAGCCATGACAATTTTATACATTAAAGCATTTTATTTGGCGTTTATTGGGCTACCGGCGTTCTTTGGATATGGCACGACCTGTGCTTATACAGATGAGCCAAAATATAAATATGGGTACTTGGTTGCCATTCCATTCGTGGTTAATGTAGAAGCGAGTTTTCTATTTATAGGCCACATAAAGGCAACGTTGAGAACGGATATCAATAAATAGATGATGGTATTTCCATAAATAACTTCAAATCCCGCTAGAACACTATTATTATACAAACCAGGCAGCTTAGCCCTGTAGAACAATAAACAAAGCTACTAAAACTCTCTGCTAGCACCAATATCGCAAACATCAAACACTCCTTCTTCAGGGATACCCTTTCTCACAAGTGCCTTCTTGAGCAATTGTGGCGGCTCCAGAACCTCCTCCATCGTCAGTGCCCATGTGCCCCAATGAATGCCCATGGCCTTTTCGCATTTAGTGTCGACGAAAATCTCGACAGAGTCGAAAGGATTCGCATGCATTGCAGAGAATGCGGCTCGGGGGTAATACGCGCCAATAGGGATCAAGCCAAGATCGAAGGGCCCGCGCAGATCGCCTATTTGTTTGAACTGTGGGCATCTAGGAAGGGCTTCGAACTCGGGGCCGTAGTCGTCTACGTTGGCCTGGATCTGAGGAACGGCACGATAGCCTGTGTCTCCGCCAAACCAAACACTCTTCTCTCCAGACTTGACAGCCCATGAGCACCAGAGCGTGGTATCCTTGTCAAATGGCGTTCGCGCCGACGTATGCTGGCAGGGTAAACAAGAGATATGCGCCGTGATGGTCTCCTCCTTCTCTGCGCCTTCGCCTTTAATTGTTACTGTCAAATCGGCATCTTCCCACCAATCAAGCTCGGTGACGTTGTTTAGGCCTGACTTGCGGAACCAGGTTTCCAAGCCGAGACCAACAAAGAATTGTACCTTCGGGTGCTTCTTTTGGATTTCAAGGATCGACGTGTGGGATAGATGGTCGTAGTGGCTGTGGCTAATGACTACAGCGTCAACGTAGGGAATGTCGGCAATATCGCAAGGGCGTGGAGTGAATCTCTTGGGGCCCATGAATGTGAATGGGGAGCATCTGTCTTCAAAGACAGGGTCAAACAACACTCGGAGGCCGGACGGGTATTCGACGTAGTAGCAGGCGTGGCCAAGCCATGTAGCGCGGAGCTTGTCGGATGCTTTGCGACTAGGGAGCCATTCGGGCTTAACGACATTGACAGTCGGGGGAGAAGTATCAGGCAATTTTAGCTCGCCTGTCAAGATCGGCCTAAATGAAGAGGATTAGCGCTACTTGTCTTACGGAGATACTGCAACTCTGTTGGGCGTGCTTACCAGACCACTCGACGCAGCATCTTGGCAGGGCTGACGAGGTCGTTCCATGAAGGATATGGGTTTTTGAACCCAGTCACGCTGCCACCTTTAACAACATGGTGAGGATTAGACTTTGCGTCGTTGGGGATCAAGGATCGACCGGGGATCTTGGAGACGGTCGTGGAGTATGCAGCGGTTGCTGCCACCGGGGCGGTATTCGATGACGATGAGGCACTCATAGGATTTTTGGGTAATGGTTGATTGTTTGGTGGCGTTGAATGTGTCAAAACAAAAGGCAACGACTTTTTGAGTCTGCCTAGAGTTCGCGTTCTCATAAATGAGGGTTACGCGATGTGACGAGACCAGGGTGTGAAGAGAGGAAGTGAACGGGAGATGACTGGACCCCAGAAGGGAATTTAAGAAAACTAGAGAGGTGTGACGCCGCGTTGTCTTGGTGGCTTGGTTTGACGAAGCAAATAGTGGAAAGCCTAAAAAATGTATTAGGATAAGAGGAGCTAATAGCGTCCTACCACCAGAAATGAAGAAGAGGGTGTCAAGGAAACAATGTATAGCAGACCCGGTGCATGTGCCACTCCGCTGAGCAACTGCCTCTAAAGTCCGAGCTTGGCCACGTCGAAGCGCCGCAAACGGGGGAGGGTCTCGCCAAGTTACAGTGGGCTTACGACGCCTGGGCGTTAGCGGACTTAGGCCTGACCGGCTCCGGTGGAGCGGCGGAATAGGCGGGTTGCAGTGCCGGCGCAGGCAGGTGGACTCGCCTGGTGGAATTATTGGTTTCGAAGAATGGTGGCGCCTGGTGGAAGAAGCCAAGAAGAAAAGAGAAGCGCTATTGGAATGGCAGAAATAAAGTAAAAAGCAAAATGTGGTTAATTGATACCGGGTTATCGTGAGTGGTGTATTAGACGTGAGACAATGCTATCCGTTGCTACAAGTACAAGAAGGCTTGTACTGCACACACACATACACACAAACAAACATCACATGGGACCGGACCGCCTTATTCGTGACAAAACGTAGATTCGTTATAAAAGATCTAATGTGTAAAGAGGGGAATATGTACTCCTAGAAAACTCCATCCCAACTGCGTAAGGACAAAAGACAATGCAGAGCCCAATCGTTGCCCATATCCCTCTCCGCGGCTATCAAGCAGCCGCACAACCACCAGTCTTTTACATCTGTTTACATCCGTGACTTGTTTTCCAATTTTTTTGATTTAAAAAAAGGAAGCCTTCCTTCCTCCCATCTAACAGCCACCTGCATTTCTGCAAAGGTGCTTCTTAGATAGCAAGTCTCTCGACCTTGTCGCGGAGAGCCTTGATCTGGCCGGCAAGCTCACTGGCCTCGTTGGAGTTGATGGAGGCAGCAATGACGGGACGGCTGACACCGCAGGCACGGCCAAGCATGTTCTTGCTAGGGACGTAGACGTAAGGGGTGCCCTTGTCTTCGCACAGAAGAGGAATGTGCAGGAGAATGGCGAGGGGCTCGGTGTCGGCGGCGAGGATAGCGATTTCGCAGGTACCGCGGTTCAGGGCCTTGGTGACCTCGTTGGCACCCTTCTTGGACTGGCGGATGTGGGTGGCAGACTGCAAGAGATCGAGAATCTCCTGAGTAAGGGCGGCATCAGCCAAGGGCCAGGCTACAGAGCAAAGTTAGCAAAGAGCGATCTTATAGATGGCAGGCGTTCGTACGCCAATGGCAGACTGTACATACCGACGTTCTCCTCAGACATTTTGGAAGGTAGGTTTAAAAAGACGGAGTTGGATAGATGAGACAGCGGCTCGCCTGAGAAAGGTTCACTGCCGTGGTTGGGGAATTGGCACGAAAGTGAATAAGCTGGGTTGATGTAGAAGCGGACCTCCAAAAGACAGTGCAGCAAAAAAAAAAACTTGTCGTCGGTCTCCAGCAAATGCGGAAGTGGATAAACATTATTCCGCCAAGCTTAACCACCTGTTTGGGTGGTGACCCACATCGACTTACACTATATCTGGGACCTCGATGGTGACAATTTGTGATGGCTAAGATGCAGGCGCAACGTGGCATAGAGACGCGAAAAAAACAGATACACTTCATTAGAGTCTTATTGGTCAAACCTTGTGTAAAGATGTTAAAATAAAATCGTTAGAAATCATTATCTTGTACCATTCCCAAGCCCAACGCCGTTATGCTCCTGCTAGCCAGATACTCATTGCCCTTCCCATCCCAGCCAAGCGCCAAAGAGTTATTAAAGAAGAAAATCAAGACAGTCATACTATAAGTCCAGTTGGCGGGTATCATCGTTCATATCATCTACTCCGAGTTCTTTTTCCAGTTCATCGGCAACAAAGCCTTCGTAATCGTCGAGGTTCTTCTGAATGTGAATCTTGAATTTGATCACGTCATTCAGCATGCGGTCAATCTCCGTATGCAGTTCTTCACGCAGTGCACCAGCATTGACGAGAAGTTGTTCATACCTGTACCCAAAAAGTTAGCCATGGTGAGATGCACGCAGACATCATCAGAAAATCTACTTACTCGATTGTGGTGTTGATTTCACGTTGCTCAAGGAGCTGCACAGATTCGCTCAGTCCAGCCCTAATACGAGATAGATCCTTTTCCATCTTCTCGATTTGGGCGTCCGACCCCATTTTTTGTGTGTTTGTAACTTCGCGAGTCTTCTCATGCTCCTCCTCGGCGGCACGCACGCGATGATTGAGCGCCTCGACTTCATTTCGCTTATCTTCAATGGCCTCCTTAATGCCGTCGAGGAGCTCGTGATCCTTTAGCATCTCATCCATAGCAGCGCTACGGCGTTCCGAAATTTCTTTACGTAGCTGCAAGAAGCTGCTGCGCATCTGGCCCTTGAGGTCGAGATTCAGAATATGGCCAGGCTGATAGCCATTTGACGAGTCAGCCAGCAGTCTGTCAGTCGACCGGCCATTCATGTTCGATGTTGTGAATTCGGAGTTGTTGTTGATGGTGATTCGTAACTCAAAGTCACGGCCCTTTGCATTAGCCGCGCTCGCGGGAATGAGAGCAATCTTGTACGCTAGCGTGTTATAGGTGTCGACCAGTTGACCGAGCTGGTCCAGTCTCTGGCTAGCTTCTGTTTCTGTTTCCGCTGCACGCTTTTTCAGTTCTTCTAGCTTTTGGCTAGATGTTTCAATGCCTTTCTGAAGACGTTCACGCTCAGACGTCATTCTGTCAATGTCTGACATGGAGATACCAATGGCATCAACGGATTGCTGGAGGGAGCGTCGCTCCTCCTCGGCGGTTTTGATTTCTCCATGTAGTTTCTCAAGCTCTTCTTGAAGAATTCCGACGCGGTGTTCGTATTTCTCGGATCGCTGGGTAGCCAAATGGTTATAATCCTCAAAGTTGGCCTTGTCCTTTTCCATAATCTTGAAATGATCGTCCAAGGTTGCTGGATCTGGCGTCGACTGCTCCAGGTCTTCAATCTCTTTCAGAAGACGGGCATTCTCAGCTTCTAAGCCTTCCAGCTCTTGGGTATATTTCGCAGTCGATCTGGTAAATGCTTCCGCCATCTCCTCTACGTGTGGTGCTAGCACACGCTCAGCATCCTCGTCTCCGGCATCCTCATCCATGGCAAGCCAATCTCTGTAGGCTCCGCTCAAAAAATCGAATATGATGTGGTCGCCGGTGATATCTACTCCCGCATCGGCGCATGCATCGTCGTATCGGTTGCTGGAGTATCCTTCTAGCATCTCTGCCAGCTGCATCATCCAGTGTAGCAGTCCCAGGAATGTGCTCCAGTTCTGACCACCTACAGCAGCAATCTGACTCTTAGTTAAGCTGCGCTCAAACGGGTAGCGCAGCTGCTTTAGAATCGGAGGCACTTCTTGGTCGATATTGCGTTGGAAGCGGTAGCTAGGATCGATGCGATGGTACAGCCATTGGAACATGTAGTTGAAATCCTTTTGCGTCGGTGAGCGCATCACATTCTGCGAGAGAACATGCTTCATTTCAATCTCAAAGTTGTTCTTGCCCATATAGTCCAACAGCTCTTGGCCAATCTTGGCTTGGTATGCACGATCTCGCAGTGGTCTAGGGTCTCGCGGAACACCAGCCGGCTGTGGTGTTGTCTGGAAGAAGCTTTGGTGTGTCACGGGCGCAATAGTAGACTGTCGTGGCCGGAAGATGCTGCTTCGTCGGTCACCATCGGTCGATATTCTAGTCGTGGCATTATTACCAGTGCCTGCAAATCCTCCGCGGGGATTGATAGACGCGCGCCGTACGGATGCCAAACCGGCATCAACGAGGTTAGTACCGGATGAGGTTCTTTGGAACAAGGGCTGGCTCGGCCTCGGCATGCCTGCAAGCGACTGCCTAGATCCAGATGTGGTTCGTACATGGCTGCCAGTGCTAAAGCCAGGATTGTTCGGGTTGGGGCGTTTCATTGTTGAGTTTGGCGCTGGGATTCCCGTGTTTGCATTGAGCGTACCCAAAGTCTGTGACCAAATGAATGTTAGAATGTACTTTAACACAGATCAAAAGTTGCGCTGCGTCGCGCAACTCACCTCGCGGGGTCGGCGCGCGCTGGGATATCCAGCATCGTGCGACATGATGATGAGTGGTGAGTTTTAAAATTGTTTATGAAGGTAGTCTTAAGAACAAATAACAGTTGTCGTGTTGCACAGAGTTTTCGACTTTGCTGCAAATAAGATAAGTTTGGATGAGACGCAAGCTTCGTGGTGCATGACAACCATCTCCAACGGCCTTCGAAGTAAACAAAGAACGGTAGACGCCATCTGATTGGCTGGGGGCGGATGGTGAAGAACAAGCGGGTCAGCCATCGCGAACTCACGTGACCATGCTCTTAAGGACAGAGCTGCCTCGGCCCGTCCTGGCCAGCGGCCGAATTCTCCACAATTACCGAGCGCATGCAGCACATGTCCGTCTCGTCCCAGCTGTCGAAGCTTCCTCGCCTTCTTCTTTTACAATTCCCATCGACAGATTTCCTTCATCAGCAGAATTATACCCGCTAAGCACATCGCCCACAATGGCGATTCGCGAGGAACTCGTTGCTTCGGCGGTAAGTACCCTTCTCCATGCTCTTGTTCGGTCTCCTCCGACGGCCTGCTGACAGCTTCCCCAGACACAATGTGAGAATCCCCGGCGACAGCATTCCCTCCAGCCCAATGCCGTACTAACAGCCAGCAGTCTTGCAGGACCCTAGCGTCGCATCCTCATCTGTCGAAAATAGAATAACATTTCTTCGCTCCAAGAACCTGACCCAAGAGGAAATCGACGTCGCCATGTCCCGTACTGGCGCTGGCCCTCCTCCGCCACCTCCGGGCGCTTCGCCCTATGCCAATGCCGTTGGCCCAGCCCAACCGTACTACCAGCCCTACTCACAGTATGCATGGCAGCCTCCTCCTCAGATTCCTCGTCGTGACTGGCGCGATTGGTTCATCATGGCAACTGTCGTGAGCGGCGTCTCATACGGCCTCTACTCTCTCGGCAAGGTGAGTTTTCGTTTCCGGCGACTTGCCTCTTATATGTGATAATGATATTAATCCCCTTCTTCTAGCGCTACGTCTACCCTCTTGTGGCACCCCCGACGCCGGAGAAGCTCGAGCAGGATAAGCAGCACATTAGCGACCAATTCGACCGCGCCTTTAATCTAGTAGAGCAACTTGCTAAGGATACCGAGGACCTCAAGAAGACCGAGCAGCTACGATCGGAGAAACTCGACACGGCCCTGACTGAATTAGAGACCGTCATGGCTGAGTTGAAGACAGCCAACCGACGCCGTGATGATGACGCGCTGCGCATTCGCGACGAGATCCAAGCCTTGAAGGATGCTATTCCCAAGGCCATGGAGGGCCAGAAGAAGGCTACTGACAACCGTCTGTACGAAATCAACACCGAGTTGACTAGCCTTAAGACCATTATTTCGCAGCGCATGGCTACGGCTTCCAAGATTGCCACCACAACCCCTGCCTCTCCAGCTGCTCCCGCATCTCCCGCCGTGCCGTCTCCCAAGGTGGAAGACGCACCAGAAACCCCAGAGCCTGCTGCAGCCAGCACCTCATCCGAGCCGCCTAAGACGCTTGCCCAGGGTGCCTACAACAAGACTACACGCCTGTCTGGCTCCTCGGGCAAGCCCTCGATTCCCGCCTGGCAGGTCGCCATGGCCAACAAGAACAACGCTACCGCAGAGGGTTCATCCAGCAGCTCATAACCGATCTCGGGGCGTAATGAACAATATTAAAATATCCTGACATTTTTCTTGATTATTTTCAATGCTGGTGTAGAGAAAGTGGTACTCGGCTCTGTTGGGACGCATTGCATTTTTCTACTGTATACTAGGGTTAGCTTATGGCGAATGCATCATCTGTTTATTTGAAAGCCAGTGTTTGTCTCAGGTATTTTAAAAAAAAAAGATTCCATGTGCAGTGATATACCCATTTTGAGAAGGCTGTTTGCGCCCAGTTAGCGCTGTATGGCTACGACGTCATGGCCTTTGAAGCAGGCGGCCCCGTCGTCCTAGTCCGGTTCCTTCAACTTGCACCAAGCAAGCCGAGGTATGGAACCACGGGCGACAAATCGAGCTCCGCCGGGCGGACTTTGCGCCCATAGCGGTGCCTATTTCCTACCAAGAATAATTACATCTCTCGTATATGTTTATTTTGTTTTGTAGTTCTTACAGAGAACTTATACGCCGCAAACATCAGCACTTATCTTTGCAAAAGGCGCACCAAACAACGCCCATTTAGTGCCAGTAAACGTCTAAGCGCATCATGGCCGCTGCAGAAAGCACAGGCACCAAGGCCAGCAGCACCAAATCGTAAGCTACCAGCGCCGCGTTTTATGCTACATCATGGACGCTAACAAGGTCAAAAGCAGGCAAGGCATGGCAGCCCAGGGCCTGAAGCTAGTCATCGCTATTGCGTTTGCGGTTCCCGCTGCGCTATTCGCCATTGTTGGCCATCCGTTTGGTGTTGGTAAGGGCTCTAAACACCACAACCTCCGCGGCAATCTCTTTGTCAGTGTTCTGCGTGCGCTTCTGGCTAGCGGGAAATGGGCCCCTGGCGCATCCATGACCAACATGCAAAAGGTGACGGGTCTCGGTGCTGACATTAAGGGCAAACGCTGGATTGCGCCGTACACAGCGCCAGCACCCCCCGAGGACAGTTGCCGAGACGTCGTTATGGGTGCTATTGAACGCTTAATGCCGGATAAGAAGCACGCCCGTGCCACAACTGCGGCCGAGATCGTGTCTGTGGAAGGAGAATGGCAAGGAGTACGGCCCAATGTCGACGACAACGAGCCGGAGCCCAAGATTCCCGATAGCGAAAAGTACCAACGCTTAGTAGAAGCATGCACCACGAAGGCGACAACGTTGTACTTCCATGGCGGCGGATACCACTTTGGAGACCCTGGTACGCACCGCAAGACGACACTTAAACTGGCTGAACTGTCGGGTGGAAGAGTATTTTCTGTGCGTTATCGCCTTGCACCCCAGAATGCCTTCCCTGCGGCTCTGATTGATGCGCTGGTGTCTTATCTTACGTTACTCTACCCGCCTCCCGATGCGCTACATGAGCCAATCAGCGCCCAAGACATTGTCATTTCTGGCGATAGGTAGGTCCCAGACTGATACTCACACTGCCACCGTTTCCGATTACTGACTACATGTTTGTGTACTAGTGCTGGTGGCCATCTGTCTGCATGTTTAGTGCAATTGCTCCTTGAGCTTCGCCGTAGCAAAACGACAGTCAAGTGGTATGGCAAGCAGCGCGACATCCCGTTGCCCGCTGGTCTTGCGCTCAACTCACCGTGGCTTGATATCGGGCTCCATCTTGTGCAGTTGGGTGACCAGCAGAGGATAAAGCACGATTACCTTCGAGTTCCGGATGCGAAGAAGAACTGGACATATCGCATCGCCCATGAGGCCGGGGTCTGGCCTCCGGTGGTGCCGAGAGAAAACCTGATTGTTGAAGATCACCTCCTCACTCATCCCTTAGTGTCTCTCATCACTGCCGACTGGGAGGGGTGTCCTCCGGTCTACGTGTGCACGGGTTGGGAAATCCTGTCTGTTGAGGATGCCTTCTTCGCCAAGAAACTTCACTCTATCGGCGTCCCTATCCAGTTCGAGGACTATGAAGGCATGCCTCACTGTTTTGGAATGACGTTGAAGGGCAACGGAAGCGACAAGTGCCTGGCGTCGTGGTCTAAATTCATTAGAACTGCTGTCGAAAATCCCGGAAGCATCTCTTCTAGCGCAACTTGTATTAAGGCAAAGTCGCTGGAGGAGATTCCGCTGCAGTTTGATGAGCTTTCGACAATCTCACAGAAGCAGGCGGAGGCAGTCATCTTTACGGAATAGGCCACCCCCATAAAACGATAAAAGTAAAACGAAAATAAAATACATCTCATATGTAATACTACTCCATTCCCTTTAATATAATGAATAATAAATACCTTGTAGAATACGTGATCCCACCACGCTGCTTTTTAATCAGATAGCTCACGACGACTTACACAAGCCACCCGCGCCCCACTGCGAGACAACCTACAACACCTCGAGAAAAAAAGAGACCCCGTAGCTGTCACTTCAACAAAAATCACCTCCCCCAATTGACGCCGCAACCTCCTCTGCCCGACATGGAGCGTCACGCGCAAGCCGTCGGCAAGATCGCCACCGCTGTCCGCGGCTTCTTTGAGCGGCGAGAAGCCTACCGCATCTTCCACGGCTCGACAAACAGCACCCGCCCGCGCCCCCGAGGCGGCGTCGTCGATATTAGCAGCCTGTCCAACGTCCTCTCGGTCGATCGTAGCGCCCGAACAGCGCTTGTCGAGCCCAATGTCCCCATGGACCGCCTTGTCGAAGCAACACTCAAGCACGGCCTCGTGCCCCCCGTCGTCATGGAGTTTCCCGGTATCACAGCTGGTGGCGGCTATGCGGGTACAGCCGGCGAAAGCAGCTCATTCCGCCACGGTTTCTTCGACGACACCATCAACTATGTCGAAATGGTGCTTGGAAACGGCGAGGTTGTCAAGGCGTCACGCACCGAGCGCGAGGATCTGTTCCGTGGTGCTGCCGGAGCAGTCGGCACTTTAGGCGTCACAACCATGATGGAGCTCCAGCTGATCCAGGCGCGCAAATTCGTCAAGACAACATATCACCGAACGAGCTCTATTGCCGAGGCTGTCGCGAGAGTCAAGGCCGAAACCAAGAACCCAGAAAATGACTACGTTGATGGTATCCTCTTCTCCAAGGACCACGGTGTCATTGTCACGGGCACTATGACGGACGAGAAGCCCGCCGACAAGCCTGTCCAGACTTTTAGTCGTGCCAAGGACCCGTGGTTCTACCTGCACGTCCAGGACCAGACCAAGGCGTTGCCGTCGGCGGGCCCTACCGTTGAGAACTCGGCGCCCGCCGGCTCGGTCGTCGACTACGTCCCGCTTGGTGAATATCTATTTCGGTACGACCGCGCTGGCTTCTGGGTTGGTGCACAGGGCTGGAAATACTTCAAGTTTGTTCCATTCAACAAGTTTACGCGCTGGTTCCTGGACGACTTTATCCACACACGCATGATGTATAGAGCACTCCATGCCAGTGGTGAGTCTGCTCGTTTTGTTGTCCAAGATTTGTCGCTCCCATACGACAATGCCGAAGCTTTTGTCAATTACACCGCCGACGAGTTCAACATTTGGCCTCTGTGGCTCTGCCCTCTCAAGCACACGGTCCAGCCAACGTTCCACCCCCATACTGGCATTACTGAAAGGTCCGCAGACGGCACCAAAGATGAGCCGGCGCAGATGCTCAACATTGGCCTCTGGGGCTGGGGCCCTGAGGACTTTGAGGAGTTCGTGGTGAAAAACCGTGGCCTAGAGGATAAGCTGGAAGAGCTTGGTGGTCGCAAGTGGCTCTATGCGCATACATACTACCCAGAAGACAAGTTCTGGAAGGTCTATGATCGTCCGCATTACGACGCGCTCCGCGAAAAGTATCACGCCACAACATTACCAAACGTGTACGACAAGGTCAAGATTGATGTCGAGGCCAACCGTCTTAATCGCCAAAAGCTTCGTCAGTCGGCTAAGGGCAAATGGCCCGTCGGTGGTTTCTACGGTATTTTGAAATCCATCCAAAGCAAAGACTACTTGCTGCACCGCAACGCTGAGTGGAAATACAAAGGCGAACGGAACTAAATCCAGTCCGGTCCAAGAGGTTCTGTAACATAGAGTGGCGGCAGCCGGGCCAAGGTAAAACATGTACAATTAGATCACAAAAGGAAATGTAACTATTATCATATGTAGTGTCTTGTTTGAATGCATATAATTTTGATATAAACGGCGCATAGTTGTCCAAATATTTACACAAGCCTGGGCTGCTTGGCTCACCAGCCAGAGTCCAAAGCTCAAATTACACGTCCGAGCGCCTTTTTGTCTATATAGTAGAACCCGCGTTCTCTGCTCGAGTCCTCCCACTATTTATAAAGAAAAAATACTTGTTCTATCCCTCATAATAAAGTCATGCACCATCAATGCTCGTCGTTGGAGCATATTATAATCCAATTGAAACCAAAATGCAATACGAGTCGGTTGTTCGATTCGCCCGTTTAAGCCTGGATAGCATACTCGCGCTTGAACATGTCGTCAACCTTGGTAAGGTAGTATGTGCCAGGGGTAAGAGTGGAAACCTCACCCTTGGGGGTGAAGTCCTTCTGGAGATGGGCCTGCTTGCGGAGATCGCACATCTGATCGTAGGTCTCGGGGGGGACGGCGCGGCGGGCCTCGAGGCGGTTGGGGATATCGAGGGCCTTAGAGATGGCCTCAACGCTGCCGTTAACGCGGAAAGACATGAAGGTGGAAGCAAGACCAGAGCCGTAGCTGAAGAGACCGAGGCGCTTGCCCTCAAGCTCCTTGCTGTCGACAAAAGACAAGAGCGAGGCAAGGCCACCCCAGACACTGGCGCAGTACATGTTACCGCACATGGTGGCAACCTGGATGGAAGGGTTGACGCGCTCCTGGAAGCGCTTCTTGGTCAAGCCCATGAAGGTCTTCTCAACAGCCTTGTCAGTCAACGACTTCTCATAGTCCATGTCGCGCAGCTCGGGAGCAACCTCGGCGAAAGCAGTGGCATCAGGGTTGGCGAGGAAGTCGTGGTAGAGGAGACGAGCGTAGGACTTCTGGACCAGCTTGCAAGTAGGGGCGTGGAAAGCAAGGTAGTCGAAGCGGTCAAGAGCGGTCTTGTCACCAGACTCAGCATGGCCGTTGGTGCCGTTGGTGGACTGCTTGGCCTCACGCTTGGAGTACTCGCGGTAAGCAGAGTCGAGAGCCTTTGTGTAGCAGTTGACAGAGTAGTGACCGTCGACGTAAGGGTACTCGCTGGTCAGGTCGGGCTTGTAGAAGTCGTAAGCGTGCTGCATGTAGGTACCACGCAGTCCGGGCTCAACAACGACAGGGGCGTCAGGGCCAATGAGCATAGCAACGGCACCAGCACCACCGGTAGGGCGAGCATTGCCCTTGGCGTAGAGGGCAATGTCACCAGCGACGACAATGGCGTCACGGCCGTCCCAGCCAGAGGACTCGATCCAGTTGACGCTGTTGAGGAAGGCGTTGGTGCCACCGTAGCAAGCGTTCATGGTATCAATGCCCTCAACGTTGGTGTTTTCACCAAAGAGCTGCATGAGGATAGACTTGACAGACTTGGACTTGTCAAGAATTGTCTCAGTGCCAACCTCGAGACGACCAATGGAGTTGGTGTCGATGTTGTACTTCTTGAGGAGGTTCGAAGTGACGGTCAAGGCAATGGAGTAGATATCTGTTGGGAGCAAGGTCAGAAAACATGTTTTCAAATAAGCCATCATCTTTCATTCACATACCTTCGCGGTCGTCACAGAAGGACATCTTGGTCTGGCCAAGACCAATGGTGTATTTGCCAGCGCTGGCACCGTCGAACTTTTCAAGCTCGCTCTGTTCAACATACTGCCCAAAAGATTCTATGTTAGCATATTTTTCAACAGAAAAGGCCAAATACCTTTTGAAAACTCCAAAATGTTGCAAAGGGGCGGTGACAAGCTAGCTTGAGCAGAGCCCCGAGCATCGGTGAGGAGGGGCAATGGAGGGGCACGAACCTGGCTGGGGAAGTAGATTTCGATGGCCTTAATGCCAATGTTCTGGGGACGAGCAGCCATTGTGAAAAAGGTTGTAGTGTTTGTGAGACGATAAAGGGAGGATAGAGAAAGGGACGAGGTGAAGATGAAGAATGAGAAAAGGAGAAGAAGGAGGCGGAAGCGGGAGGTGGGCAAGGAGGGCCAAGATAATTAAAAGTGTATTTTCCCGCCTCTTTGTCCAGCGCTGTTTTGGTAGCGTCTTCCCAATCTGGGTAGCGGTCTCCGTCAGCGGTGGAGGGGCCACCAGGCTTTTTTTTCGGGGCCTTGCAGGCGGCTTGGTTCTTGTTCGTTATCGCTACCTACCCGAAATCGCAGGGCACTACCTAGGCGGCACTGTTTCACCGCCCCTTTCTGCTGAGTGGCCCGCTGAAGGACCCTCCCAAGTGCAGTGAGGTGACCAGGCGGCAGAAAAATAATGCACGGCCGATTTTGTCCCCCCTTCTACGTTAGCGCCTCTGCGGATCTGCCAGGGACGAAGCCTTAGGCGCTGCAGGGAAAAGTTTTAAACAGACCGTCCCATGGTGGGGTAGTACTGCGAAAAGCGTTGGGGCCCGACCAAGGACTACAGTGTACAGAGCAACCACTGGTGCGAATAAGAGGCGTATCCATCGTCATCGGAACCACATCGGGCTTCACGAATCACGCTCGCCAGCAGCCTGCCTCTGCGGTCTCCGTGGTGGTCCATAGTTGTTCTCCTTGATATAACAATAGACTTTGCCCATTGATACATAGATGCTGCATACACTCCAATTCATTCTTTTTCCTTTGTCGACCTCTGAAATCTTATTTGCTGTCGACTCTCTACTCTGCCGTTAACAACGCCTCTACAACGAACGACGATCCGAATACGAAAACGCTATAACCTCTCGTCGACTATCTCATTTCTCGAAACCTCTCGAATTACACCACTGCAGAGATGGAACACTACGCGCACAAATAAATAGGTGATGTCTGATGCCAGGGCTTTTGTCTCAGTTCTATTTTATTTTCAACACATCGCGGCGGGCACAGGAGTAGCGAAGACGACTTTCCATCCACGGCGTTTCTATCGATCAGAGTGGTCGCACCCTCTCCCCCTCCTGGGATCCATCCACAATGCCCTTGCGCTACATTACTAGTACGGTAGTGTATCATCGCGCGCCGCGCTAGGAAATCGCCCGCCAACTGAAGAAAAATTTAGTTACGGTATACGGTATTGTCTACAGTCTAGGATTGCACGTCATACGATCAATGTGCCCACGAAAGCTCTCCTTCCATTATAATCGATTTGCCATGAACTCTCCGCTCCAACAATCTAGCGACTTCATAAGGCGCTGCTGGAGACATTCCATGCCAGGTCTTAAATTTAGACGCTAGCGACGATTGGCGCAGACACATTGACCCGCCACAGGTCTCGGTCTCTGCTTCGTCTCGGTAGTGGCTTGTTAGAAGCTGATCGGTGTGAGCGTGAGTTGGCGCTCTACTTTGTATTCCACCAAGTAGACACCACCCTGTTGTTAGTCTACTGAAAGCCAGTTAATCGCAGGAATAATATCATACATTGGTATGATTCAGCACTTAGAGAGTTTGATCGCAAATAAGCTTTGCATAGAAGCTGGAAGCACGGCGCTCCCGCATTAACTTAGCTAATGATATATCGCAACGTCTATATTGCCATCCAGTGCAATTATAAGTTGTCACAAATGGTGAGATGTTCTAATATGGGCAGAATATGCGCTTGCCTGTACAAACGAGTTTGATGATATAACATGAGTTGGCAGACCTTTCAGACGGCAAGTGACAGGTTCTCATCCACTACAATACCTGGAAAAGATTGCCAACTAGCAGTATCCCTACCTTTTTATTTTCTCCTCTATCTTATACGCTAATTATGACGTGGGTTTGTTAATGATTTCATTATAATGCGCAAGCCAACAGCGGCCAAAGCGCTACATCTGTTTGATGTATTATTTTGATTTTGTCTAATTCTTATATTCTAATTTTGTACATATTACAATACAGATATTTTATGTGGTATCATATCCTGAATCTGACGTGCCCTTCTTCTCGCCACAGTCGGAAGACGAATCTTTCGAATCACCTTGCTCTCCAGCGGTCAGCAGATTAGACGATGCGTCTGTATCAGACTCGTCAGTTTTGGTGGCGGTGGTTTCTTCGGTGTTATTGCTGTCGGTTTCGTCGTTGGCCTCGTTCTGTGCTCCCTTTTCCTCAGTCTCCTTCTTCTCGGATTCCTTTTCTTCAGTCTCCTTCTTCTCGGATTCCTTCTTAGCAGCTTCCTTCTTTGCAGCTGCTGCCTTGGCTTTGTCTGCGTCAGCTTTCGCCCGAAGCTTCCTTTCTCGGCGAGTGTGTTCGACCCATTCTAAAGCAGCATCAACAGCAGACTGTGGTTGAAGCTTGTGGCGAAGAAGGAGACCTTGAACTTCGGCAGGACTGAATTCATCTTCAGGAATAAGCGCCGCAAATTCTTCAGCAAGCACATCAACCTCAGCTTCAAGGTTTCTCAGATGTGTTTGGATCTTCTTCTGAAGCTCCTCGGGATCAAGCTTTTCATTCGTGCCGTTGAGAACATGTTTGGTAGATAACTCGTTTTCAAAAGGAGAGTAGATGGCGCGGAAAATAGATGCAGCCATCTCGCGGTCCGCTAGTTTGAATGGAACCATCATATCAATTCGACCAGGACGAATGAGAGCCTTGTCCAGCTTTTCAACGTGGTTTGTAGTCATAATCAACAGGCGACCCTCCTGAGCAGCGACACCATCAAGGATGTTCAGCAAACCAGAAAGTGTAAGCTGTCCCGCAGATGAGTCATTATTATCGTCAGAAGTCTTTTCGTCGTCGTCGCCGTCGGCCTTTTCACGGCTGTGTGTAATGCCGACTGTGTCAATATCTTCAAGAAGAACGATGCAATGTGTGGGGAGTTCCGTAAAGAGACTGGCTAGATTCTCCTCATTGAGGCCCTTGGAGCTCAAACTGACAATGTAAATCTTCATTCGAAAGTATCCAGCCAATGCCAAACTCAATGAGCTCTTGCCTGTACCGGGAGGGCCATGAAGAAGGTAGCCGCGGCGGTAAGGGATACCGCGGTTGGCGTACCATCGTCTTGTATTGCGATCGAGATAATCTCCTGCGTCTGTGATAATGTTTTTCTTCATATCTTGAGGCAAAATGACTGTCGAAAATGGGCGATTAGGGCGTGACATACAGCGCTGCCAGTAGTGGTTGGTTGTTGCGCGGTAGATGAGGGTCTTGAGATCGTCCTTCTTAAGATACATTGCGCGAGCATCTTTGAGGAGCTCTTTCAAGATTGTAGGATCTCTTCCAAAGCATGAAATAGATAGGACTTCGCACTCGTTGGCATTTCGAAAGTTTTGCTGCTCCTTATTCTCTTGGCGATCAAAGCAGAGCAAGCGGCGCTTATACCAGAACCAATGACGGCCAGGCGAAGGGGTAAAGCGAAGAAGATTTTTCTTATCAGATGTTCCGTCTTTTTCAGAGACACCATCTTCGCCGACTTCGGCCCCGTCGTCTTCGTCGTCCGACTCATCATCTTCGTTGTATCGCCACTGATAGCTGTTTCGTGAAAATACATTGGTGTTGGCAATAAAGTGTCGAGTATTCTGGGCAAATGTCTGGCGAGTAGTCCATAGCATAAGCATGTCATACGCCTCATCATCTGTACGAACTGTGAATGATGAGACAAAATATGCGTTAATCCATCCCATTACAACACCGTCGAAGTAGCCCCATAGGTAGTTAAACACGAGCAGAGCAATAATGTATGGTAGATAGCGCTCAAAGTCTGCTCCAAATGACGAATTGAGTGTCGATATAAGCATTGAGTATCCAGGGAAGAAATAATTAATAAGGGCGAAGTGAGGGGCGGGGACGCCCGCCAATGTTTCGTTAGCCGCAGCTTGTATAGGATTCATGGTGAAGTGAAATCGAGGGTTGAAGTAGGCCCTGCCGTGCGGAAATATGTTGCGTTGTTCCTGGTGGTTCACGGCTCAGAGTACGGCGTCCTGGGCCCAGCACGATTGGTGAGATAGGTAGTATGAACAGATTGATGAGGAAAAGTAGAGCTTTTTTTTTTGGAAGCCGTGCATCGCAGTATATATATATATATTGATTCACATGCACCAGGCAGTAGCGTGAAGATTCAAGCAAGGCAAGGCACCAAAACCATGTAGGCGCACTGCCTGACTGGCCAGTGGGGCCATGCCGCCATTCTTCATTGGGCAAGGTTCCGTAAGGCGGCCTCCCGGCAGCCGCTCCCGCAGAGGCGCAGCGCCTGTTGCAGTGGACTCTAGGAGGGTTCTGTCAGTGAAGAGCCTGCCTAAGCAGGCATCCATAGCCAACGGCATGAGTCACTGTGCAACTAGCCCAATGCGATCGCCATTTGCAGTCATCAAGTTAGGCGGAATCGTCGAGATCTCGCTGCTTTCAGCAAAGCGGCCGAGAAACGGAATACCGGGGTGACTGACCGTGAGAGGCTAACCTGGCAGTTTCTCATGTGACGCCTGGTTCGAAGCTGGCCAGCGTTGTTTATCGCATCAAGATACTGAAAATGGACGATATTGCAATGCCAATGCTAGCTACCGTTGAAATTAGGCACCATAGTATGCTCCAGTCTTCGGGTCTTGATTATAAGCAGGCAGTGCAGAAGGAGATACAAATACGAGCCTGGCCTAAAGCCGTAAACTGGGTACACCGCGTACCAAGGCAAGAAAACGTGATGAACAGCCTCAATCCAACAAAATGGTAGCCTACCCTAAAAAGAGCACAATTAAACTTCAACTCTTATTCTACTGGCAGCAAAAATTTAGGCCCAAAAGCGACACGTGTAATCTAGTACCATGGATCGCCAATCTCGTTGCCGCCGGAGATGGACGCGGATGCCACTTCAGAATTTAGCCGGCGATCTAAGAAATGCAGCCATTCTTAAGAAACTGAGACAACAGGGGCGCGCGTGTTGTTCTTGTAGAATACATCGTATTAAATCAAAACGCGGACTTATGTTGTTGCCATCGCCTGTTACGTAGTATCACGGGCAGCCGTTCACGGCCCGGGACCGAGAACGAGCTATTAGACAAGCGTGACCAGTAGCGTTTGGTATATCAACCAACACTGTCTTACTATCAGGCGAGAACGACGGATCCTCGCCTGTCTACGCGTTTCAAGAAAATGGTTAGCCAGGAAAGATCTCCTGTGGTGGCTTGCAGAGCAATGCCAAAGGCCAAGCATTGGAGCCGTAGCGAAGGGACTCGCCCCAATTCACCACCAATCCCCTTGAAAGTGAGAGCAATGTTGGGATTAATGATCACCTTGCGGGTACTACAATAAGATCAAGCGCCAACAGATACAAGCATTTTGTTTTGGGGCCCATCGCAGAGCCTCACGTTAATCCCCCTGGTGGCTCGACGACGGAGCAAATGTACCTTTGGTGGGCGGCGACTTGCTGTAAGTGGCATTAGTGCTTTGCTTAGCGCGCCGTTTCGGCAATTCAGGTGCCGTTCGAGGGTGGCTCTGAAACCTCATTTGGACGGCTAAGTCGGAAAGGTGCAGCGGAGAGGGGGGCGGGTTGGCACTCAGAAGAGCGAGTGGGTGGTACGCGTGCGCCGACAACTAAGGGGGCCGGGAGAGAGAACAAAAATAAACCGAAGGCCAAAAAAAAATGGCATCTGATAAATCAACCGGATTTCTTTGGCATTGTTGTTCTTCCCTTGCCTCGGGTTTCATATTTTCTCCTGCCTCCTACATCTGGCGCTTGAAGACGGCACTGTGCTTATGCGATTACAACGTTCGCCGTTGGACCTGATTCGTACAGTGCCGTCGCAGTCGCTGCAGGCCGCACACATTCATTCATGCACCTCCGCCACAGACACTTCAGTGTGCTGCCACGTCCGTGATCCGCTTCGATCGTAGTGCGGGCGGAAGGGGAACGTGAAAACTCTTGGATAACCATGTTTGAAGAAATTAGTTCTTGGTACTGTGTGTTATCACTCTGATTTTGTAACCTGTATTGTCCTCTTTTATATTCTACTATTTAGTGTCCGGCACTCGCTACGACGGCCGGTGGCCATACGATCCAGACCAGCCCCTGCAGTGCAATCAGCAACACAACCCGCGTTTACAATGATGGCTACTTGCGTTATACCACTAGAACACATACGTTTCTACTGTTGGGCCGCGGTACCTTCCAGGTCCACTCAGATGGCCTCCACCCCCAGACACCTGCCAGTGTCCAGCCCAGAGCCCACTAAAGAGCCCACTAAAGAAAAGCCTACTCCCCTCCTCAGCCTAGGCCGTCTGTTCCGCGCACTACACTGTGCTAAAGACCGCTGCATATCACTTTCAGCACAGTCTTGCGCACGCCCTGACCCTCCCCCCAAAGAATCCTTCTCTGGGCTGACGCGAGCGTTTTGTTTCTCTGGTCAATCCATTTCATCCACCATCCGACGCCGTATATACCGTAAAGAGAAATATTGACGCTCCGATATTTGCTGTCTTTATTTGCGTCGACGATCGCCAAACCCGACCTCGAATATTCCCTCTCCTGTAGACTTGTCGCTGTCGTACTCGTCCGCTCGATAACCTCAGCCGCCCGGCCCTTCTCGAACTTGCCTTTCCAGCGTCCTCAACAGTTCCGCTCGACTTTATAGGACATCTTATTTGTATTATATTATTAACAGCAAGCAGAGGGAATTTGTCCATATTTTTTCTTTCCCCTTCCTTGCCATGGAGCCCTCCTCGACCCAACCGGGCATCCCGCGACCTGGTTCAACAGCAGAGGATCTATCCCCACAAGTCCCCGATACTGACGACTATGACTTGGCTGCTGAGATGGTTTCTGATGGCTTCAGACCACCAGCAAGATCATCACCTTCCTTGAGTGCATCTCATGAAGCCTCATCCCCAACACAACTCCCGGGAACCTCGTCATCCGCTGCACCACAGCCGACCTTTGCGAGCCTCCTTCCGCGGGCGCAGCAATCCAGCCCTCCCCTACCACGACCATCTAGCATTTCAAAACCCCCTCGACCGCATGATTCGCTTCGAATCCAGAACGATGGCTCCGTCGAAGATTCCTCCGGCCCCTCACACCCATATCACATGTATCCTCAACGAACATTGAGCAACACCTCAGATAGACGTCGACAACAGCCGGCTGCAGCAGTTGTGGAGCAAGAGTATTCCCTCTACAATGATGAGGTCGAGCTGCCGACTATTGCTACGGAGCAGGCATTGCCAGTACGATTTGGCGAGTCTAGTAACGCATACCACAACCGCATCGGAACTCAAGAGGCTGCGACCGCATTGGGCCATGCTGAAGAACTGCCGCCATATTCAAGATACCCCGAAGTAGCGATGACAAGAAAGCCAGAGCCAACTACTGCACAACAAGATACCCCTTCATTCACAACATCTTCTGGTAGTACGTCTCCAGAACGTCACTCACAAGAAGAGCTTGAAATGCAACCACAGCAACCGCGCCCACGTCCAGAGCCACATCAAGCACAGTCACACCACTCATCATCATCGATTAACCAGATGCCTGGCGCTGGGGGGATGGGCATTGCTACCAGAAATCCAGAGTTTGATTCGACACAAGAAACGCTCGCCGCTTCGCAGTCTCGGCCATCCACCTTGTCTAGTCACGATCTCAACATTGCTGCAAAGGACCTGGCTGAGAAGCCTACACCTACTAAGTGGCAGTTGTGGGCAAAACGAAAGGTATGCGGTGTGGTTCCGTACTGGGCCATTTGCCTCGCGTTGATAAGTGTTGCTCTTATGAGCATTATTATGGGTGCCGTCCTCGGTACACTACTGCACAGACACCAGTACAAACCTCCTGGCCGTCCGTAAGTGTGCTCTATTCCGCACCTGCATCACACCAACGTAAAAAGCTAACCAATTAACAGTAGCGGAGGACCACCAAATCTGGACCCGGTCAAAGGTTTCCCGTCTGAGGCTAAACTTCCAGAGGGCCGCTTCTCGCCGCCACCGACAAAGCCACAGGTAGCTTCGCCTAGTTGTATTGCTCCCGGGCCGGCCCAAAATGCCTGGGACTGTAATTTGAGCTATGGCAGAAGCGGATCGGGGTTCTCACTGGGCATCAACTTCACTGGAACAAACGACGAACCCAAATATGATCTCTTCTTCGCGGAGACTGGCCGTAGACTCACCTACGGTGCTCAACCTCCCAGAATTGATGGACCTGTTCCCCTCACCCTGTATAAAGATTCCATCAACCCGAAAAAGATGGTTTGGTTTGGAAAGCATACATACACAAAAACCGTTATTGCTGAGTATGGAGATCTTGCGCCACTTATTAAACGCGAAAACGGCAGTGAGGGGAAGCGCGCATATGTCCTTAACGATGGCCAAGGTGGCTGGTACTGTAGCTGGCCCAACATCGTGTTCCGAGTGTCAATTTTTCCCTGTGGTAACACGAATGGCCAACCGAAACCGCAAGTCAATTTCAGCGGAGCATCGCCATCAACCCCAACAAGCTCAGCTGCTGAGCCGTCGGCAACTGTTACCCGCCTACCCCCTCTGAACAAAGAGCTCGTTTTTGAGGAGGTTCGACAACAATCTGACTACCCATACGTAGGCACATGTCGCCGATTCACCTATGACCTTGCCAATAACAAGAAAAACTTCATGTCTGACGAGATATACATCAAAACCAATCCTTTTACACCTGAACAGACTATCAGATGGAACCGACAGTCAGATTCATACACATTACACAGTCGCAACCCAAGTGCTTCCTTTGCAGAATGCAGTTGCGAGTGGATGACCTGATACCGGCGCGCGTCTGGCAAACCGAACGAAATGTGTTATGTTTGGGACATGTAGGCACTTCAAGCGAGCCTGACCCTTCTTCTTCTTTTGGAAACTTTGATTCTGTAAATATTTCAGGGAGCGCAATTTGCCGTCATTTGTTTTTAGTTTCTGTTTGTTTGGGATATTCACACCAGTTGCATCGGCTTTTAACGTCTTTATGGGATATGTATTTTGCTCTTACTTTGACAAAATTCTACATTATATCATTTATCATTTTTATCGATATAGTTCATGGCAACTCGTCAGCCAATAAGCATTGTCTCCACCTTATGTATACTTTGTGTCGTGCCGATACATTTATGTCTTGCTGATGCGCCACTATAACTACAAGATCGTGCTATAGAGCTGCTGTGCACATGATGTGGATAGGGGGCAGTGGAATCTTCCGCTATCATGGTATTTCCTGTTACGTTTCTGTGGCTGGTCCGCCGGCTTGTGTAGATCGTTGTGATACTCGGTCATTTGTGAGAGTAGTCACGTCTCGGAAGACTCGCCCGTTTCACCATCCGTCTGTCTTATCTCGTTGTCCACAATATCCTTTCGTCCGTCGCGAAAATCTCGCATTAGTGAGAGGAAAACCGAGTTTTGCCACTTTTCGCCGCTCTCATGCTGCACTGATTCGAGCAATCGTTCGGCAGCCTCTGAGACGGCAGACTTGCCCTTTAGCGCGTCAGCATCTTCGTTTTCGGTACCCATTAGCTGCTCCTCTTCCACCGGTTGAATAGGCTCTTCGGGCAAGATTGCATCGCGTGCTTCGAGCGAGAGGTTATTAATCTCTGGTACATCCAGATCAGAGAAATGCGTAGTCTCGGCGGCAGCGGTTGCACCTTCTCCCTCTGCTTGTGAAAGTGCTGCATCATTGAGCTCAAGCTCACGAGCCATTTGCTCCATAGCGGCGTCAACTTGCTCCATGTTTCCGCCGCTGTTGTTTGCCATCCACTGTGCCATCTCTTGATCAAAGTCTGCTTCTCCGGTAGCGACAGCCGCACCTGGTGCTGAGTATGCTGCTCCCGCTGGGGCAAAAAATTGAGAAAACCCTGGGTTGATGGGCTGTTGGGGGCCGAAGGCATATCCGAAACTTGTTTGCATTGGCGTCGCAGCGTGAGGTTGTCGTGAGGCACCGATGGTCCTTTGGTTTTGTGGTTGGCCCTGTTGATTTGCGAATCGGGTAAAGTCAGCAGCCCAGTTGTTAGAACTAGCCATGGGTGTCGGTAGAGGTTGCTGGGAGAGTTCTTGGGGAGAAGCAAAGGCCGGCGCTCGGGCGGGTTGGAGAGCGGCAGCATGAGCCGCTAATCGTCCAGCAGGGTCATGCTGAAGCATAGGCATAGGCATAGCTGGGGAGTCCATGAAAGCTCCAAATCCATCTTGTGGCGCCTGTGCATGCTGGGGAGTGGAACGAAAGCCCTATCCTTTAACATTAGAGGGAGCTCAACGGCCTGAAAGTGTAACTCTCGAACTTACGCCTTGCGCTTGGCTGGAATGGTGCACAAGACGATCTTGATGTTGGCTAACATCTCGGGATTGATGGTCGATAAGGCGCTTGAAGGGCGTACCGCCACTACACGAAGCGCTGTCCATGGTAATGTGATTAAAGGTGGCGATGGCCGGGAACGACGGTTAGACGAGTCTCCGCGGGGTGCTGCGTCGGTAGACCGGAGCGCAGTGTCCTATCCAAGGTGGGGAGGTCCGACTGAATAATAGTTATTGTTGCCTAATACGAGGTGTGATTTTGCTCGAGCTGGAATATAGAGAGTACGTTTGAAAGCAGAATGGTTGAGAGCGGTGGAAGGAAAGATGAAGAAGCCAAGTCCAATGGCCGAGGTGAGACGATCTGCCTGTGACAGGAACGTGGAGCCGGGAGGCTTTCCTCTTTAGTGGGGGTTCCGAGGCCCGGGGCCGGCTTGAGGATGCAGGGTAGTCAGAGGTTTAGGTAGAAGAGCATATGAAGGTTGTCTGTTGAGACATCTGCTATATATTTTATGGATACTTTCGGGCAAGTTACTTTATAAAAGAACGACATTTACTCCTATATAAGTAGTGTTATCCTATATTTTTGCTACCTGATGTAAATCGCAACAGATTGGCTTACCATCTATCAAGCCATTCTCAATTAGACGTACCTGGTAGAGTGTCATTGCTTTTCACATGGAGCAAATATTTGTAAAATCACAAAACCACGTTAAAAAAATGCATTTATGCATTTATATATTAATTAACGTATTTTGCAACCTCCAACACCACTATCCACGCTCCCTGCTCCAGGCAGATGCTTCTCATACTGTACCGCGTCACGTGCAACCACTCGCCCCATCTTCCAGCAACCTGTCCTGTCGCTGCGACAGCACAGCACAACGCAGAGTGGGACGCTAAACCAGGAAGCAGGAGGCAGCTACGCAACTGAAGCTCTCCAAATCAACATCTCTCATCTGCTACTTTCGCCGTGCGCACCACCCAGTTTGGCGCCGCATATATTTTGCTTTTCTTTGCACAACGTAATCTGATTGGATCGATTAAGTCTTCAATATGGTACGCATCCCTTGTGCCCTTGCCGTATTCCTCAAGAATACAGAGGCAAAGTTGCCCCTCCTCGACCCGTGTCGCTAACTACTACCTATCTAGGCGGCCCAGGTCATCTCCAACTCCGGCCATGATGACATGATTGTATGTACTACCCCAACAGTTGAACGCCTATAGCCAATATCGAAGACGATCACACATCGCTATTCGACATCCGCGATCCTCGCATACACCGCCCCAACGCTCGTCCGCTAACACTGCTTGCCTCATAGCACGATGCCGTCATGGACTACTACGGTAGAAAGCTAGCCACTTGCTCTAGCGACCGTACAATCAAGATCTTCGAAATTGAGGGCGAGTCGCAGCGTCTGATTGAGACTCTCAAAGGGTAAGAACACGCGCCCCGATAACCACGACTTTTGTCGCTGACTAGTATTGCGAATTTACAGACACGACGGCGCAGTCTGGAGCGTCTCCTGGGCTCATCCTAAGTACGGTAACATCCTCGCATCGGCCGGATACGACGGCAAGGTCTTCATCTGGAAGGAACAGGGAGCCCAAAACAGCCAATGGCAGCGCATCTACGACTTCCCGTTGCACAAGGCTTCAGTAAATGTTGTAGCCTGGGCTCCTCATGAGGCTGGATGCCTTCTTGCCTGCGCATCTTCCGACGGCAATGTTAGCGTTCTTGAATTCAAGGATGCTAGTGTCGACCACACCACCTTCCCAGCTCATGGTCTCGGTGTGAACTCTGTCTCCTGGGCACCCGCAACCGCCCCGGGTAGCATCGTCAGCAGCTCTCCCAGCCCCAGTTCCGTTGGAAACCGCCGCTTTGTCACTGGCGGCAGCGATAACGTGCTCAAGATTTGGACATTTGACGCCGCCTCGCAGTCCTACAAGCAGGAAGGTGAGGCTCTGACCGGCCACTCAGACTGGGTTCGTGACGTTGCATGGTCACCTACGGTCCTTAAGAAGTCATACATTGCTTCCGCCTCACAAGACAAAACCGTTCGCATCTGGACTAGCGACTCGACAGCTGGCAGCCCGAGCAAGTGGGACTTTAAGGTTCTTGAATTCGAAACACCCGTCTGGCGCGTAAGCTGGTCGCTGAGTGGCAACGTTCTTGCCGTTAGTGGCGCCGACAACAAGGTATCACTGTGGAAGGAGAATCTCCGTGGCGAATGGGAGAATGTCAAGACCATTGCTGAGTAAGAGTTGGATGAAACAAACGGTTCGCGAGTTTAAAAATAAAAGACGAAAATGGCGAGGGTTGATTAGATGCTGCTCTTAGAGGGCGTTTAGCAATCATGCACTAGTCATAATGAAGTAAATAAAAACATTTGAAAGCAAGCCGATATTCGACATGATAAAAATGGCTCTATATGTCTAATCGTGGCCCCAAATTGAAAACTATGGACAATAAAAATGGATTTATACAAGAATAAATGACGCTAGAATGACCGCCAACGAGACAGTAACCCAACCGGGATGTAACATCGTACCAGTACTGCCCTTACCATCACTGGCGTTGGGGTCTTTTTGCATGACGAAAATCTCACCGCTATCAGAGGAGAACCAAAGACGACCTTTGGCATCGAGGGCCAGGCCTACAGGACGCAGGCAGTTGGCTGGCTTGGTGCATTTTGACAAGTCGGCAGCGGTAATCACATCTTTGGCAGCGTCAGTGCTCGAGTGTGCAGCAATAGGCTTACCATCCTTGAAAGAGATGGAAGCGATGCGATAGCCGACAGGGTTGGGGCTGTTGACTAGTTTTGGCAATGTTAGTACTCATGCCCAATAACTTTCTAACTGTAAAACTTACAGCTGCCGTGAAACGAGATGTAGGCTGTTGAGCCATCCTTGTTAAACTTGATATCCAGCGGTGCGGAGTGAGGCTGGAGAGCAAGGACGGGTGCAGCATATTGTGAGTTGCATACGCCATCCGTGATATCCTTGGGACCAAGGCCATCAGGAACTTGATCGCCAACATTTAGATTTCCAAGGTCGGTAATGTTCTTGGTGCCCCAGACTGTGAAACAGTAGGGGAAGCCAAAATTCCGACCGCGGTCTTTATCGTCCGCTTTATCAACCAAGCCGTGATAGTTGAGCTCTTCGCCTGGGTTGTCGGCGTGGAGATCGACATTGTTGCGGATCAGGTTGTCTACCGAGTTTTCGACAGACCAGATACCGCCAGTGGTTGGGTGCTCTGCAACACCGACGGAGTTGCGGAGACCCCAGCCGATCAAATCGCCATCAGTGAAGCTATACGCAGAATCGGTGTGCTTTGTGAGATCAAAGCTGCGGATCTGAGAATGGCCAGATTGCTTGTCGAGCGAATTCTGATCTTCGTCAGAGGCACTACCTTGCGAGACTAGTAGAGTACCGGGAATTTTGCTCGACATGGTCAATGTGCGAGTAACCTGATCGATATTGGTCATATTGGAGATAACAGTGCGGTTCGAGCCACCAAGTTTGATGGCCTTGCTATCGTACGACCATGCGTACACGTTTGTTGGTGTTGAGGCATACAGAGTCTTGCCGTCTTCTGAGAGGGCAATGCCGTGTGTGAGCTGGTAAGCACGACAAGTTAGCTTTCATTCAATAGGCAAGTTGGGAGACGTACGCCTTTGTTTTGAAGAAGAGTTGTCTTATTGGCGGTTACGCATGTATCGCCGTCATCTTTCAACGCGAGGTGGAAAATGCCGACTTTGGCATCCACCACGAGCAGGCCGCCATCCTTGTCGAATTGTATTCCTCTTGGTTTTGTAAATCCCGTCGCAACAGGGCGGTAAGACCACCCATTGGCAAGCTTGGCATCGTTAATTGGCTTGAGGGTGTTGGCGCAATCGGCGGCGACCGCTGTAGTTAGCAGCAACACTGAGGTGATTTTGGATGCTACCGTCATTTTGCGGGGTTGTGAAGGCAGACACAAGGTAGGCAAATGTCTGGCTGCTGGAGGTGCAGATATGAGCAGACGCTGAGAGCGATTGCGACAATTCTTCGTTCAGAAACCTAAGCTAAAAACATTGGCTAAAAAAAGTTGGAGGAGATCGTACCGCAAGGCTGGGGCTGGCTTGGTGGAGGAAGAGGGGCAGGAATCCAGTGGCATTCCACTTACGGTTTGCCAGCCCATCATCACAGTGGGCATACAATCTTAGCCTCCTGCATAAGTAAGAGAGGATGATAAACGAATATTCCAGACGGAGTAAAGTTTCTGAATAGCAGTGAATATAAATTTTCAATTTACATTCCTCACCCTTTGGTCTCGACTGCGCAACATTAACGTTGTAGCATATAATTTCACTTGGTACGGATGAACAAGTAGATGTAGATTAGTGTATACAAAATTCATTTCAATATACCTTGCGGACGCATACGACTATAAGTCAACAAACGAAAGTAACAATATGACAAAAACGCAAAAGAACGCATACAAAACAGACGGGGCCAGTAGGCATGAATGCCCGTTTTCTTGTACCCAGGTGCCCGCCGGATATCTTCATCTCTTCTCTTTATGCGACAAATCCCCCTTCCATATTCATCTCAGTCCAATGACGCTCATTTCGAGCGTCCAGACACGACGGACCCAGACCTTGAGCTTGCCAGGAACGCCATCTACATTCTCCAACTCGATACCCTCCCACCAGCATCTTCGGGCTGGCTTGCGCCAGAACAGCAGCAGCTTCTGGGCCATACCCATGGCAGCATTGTTCATGTCATTTCCTCGGATGTCGCTGCGTAGACGGGCAAGAGCAAGGCTGCAAATGACGGCCTTGTTAGGTTCGCCAGCACGGTGGCCCCAGTGATCGTCATGGTTAAACCCACTAAAAGAGTCCATGTTAGCAGCTGGTCATGCTTAAGAACTCGATTAACAGATTCTACACTTACCCAGCCGTGAGCATTTCAATAAGATGAGCTTCCGTAGTTCCAGGCTCGTCGCTGCGCTTCAATCCAGAAAAGATGCCATCTTGTTGTTGCAGAGCGTTAGCCGCAGCTCTCTTGATCTGCATCATGTGCTGGTGAGAAATATCGGCGCGAGGAGGAATGGCGTAGAAGTCAAGGTCCTCTCGGAGGACAATAATACCAGCACGGTTAGAATCATCGCGCTGGCCGAGAGGCTCCAGCGGCGCCATGTGTTCATCCTGAGAATCGGGTGATGCATCATTTGGGATCGACTGTGCAACTTCACGGAAGAAGTCCAACATGTACTGCAAGGATACGGGGTCGTACTGTGGCAAATATTGTTAGCAGATTGGACCTGCATCAAGCATCAATAGCACCTACGTCGACTTGGAGAGCGTTGTCCTCGCCCGGTCCCATATGACCTTCAGGGAATAAACCGTTAGGGAAGAGGGAGAGAAGAACAAACTCAGGAAGTGTCAGAAGCTCATCTCGCGATAGAACAAAGCGCGTTCCGCTATCTATTGTCAGTACGCTAGTCAAAGAGTAACGTGGTACTTAAAGGACTTACCGCAGGTCCATTGTGATAACCTCATCGATACCAACATCTAAAACAAGTAAATTAGCCACTGTACAACTAGCTAAAGAGCCACAAGAGCGGCAATGGCGATAATTACTAACCTCCAATGGAGTTGATGGGGGGTCCGCCTTGCTGGACCTGAGTAATAATACTCGCAGCTCCTCCGGCAGCAGCCATGACGTATGTAAATGAGTCTAAGGGGACAGATCCTTCAGAATATGCAGGTGGAGGCTCTGTATCGTCGTCCTTGCGACTTGATTCTCCCTTTGTATCGGAAGGAAGAGCGCGCTTGGTTTCGGCGACGTGATCTAGATATGCTCGATCGGAGCCCTGGTCTGGATCAAAGACGACGTCTTGGTTTTGCTCGTCAGTGTACGCGGGAGCGGTAAATGGTTGAGGCGCTTTGACTTTGCTAAGGATAGAAGCAAGCTGGCCGCGTGAACTGTCGCCGGGTTCGTCGACGGTAGCGAAGAGGGAGGAGAAGGGCGGAGGTCGAGAGGAGGAAGACGCCTCGGAGGCGGGATACTGCGGCGGGGGTAGGTGATGTGTTTCTTGATCGGAGGCGACTTGGACGCGGTTCTCTGGATTGGTGGGGGATACGGCAACAGCGTGCTCACGGGTCACCTTTGCCTCAACAAACTCCAAGGACGCTGACGGTCCGATTCCAACTTGCTGTGGCTCAGACAATTTGGCGGATTGGTGATGTGCGTGGAGGCCCCTATACGTGCATAGGAGACAGGATTGCGGTGCGGGATAAGAAGGGCTGCGATAGGAGAGGTGGCGAAAGATGGAAGTCAAGCAGACAGCAGAATATGACGGGCTGTTGTGATCGCAGACGGTGTGCAGAGCGGTTACCAATGTGTCGTGACTCGCGGTTCAACGGGGCATCGACAGGCTGGAAGCGGCAGCGGGGGGCGAAGAGCAGTCTCTATTCGGAAGAAAAGAATATGCGCGAGGATGTGTAAGCGACGGATATCAATTCGGATGTCGGCGGCGGCAGGCCAGAAAGCGATGATGGGTACCTAAATAAGGAAGAGCAGCGGGATTGACGATGAGGTGTGAAGCTGTTGCAGAGTGGAGGTGAAGGGGAAAGCGTGGAGCTGGGTCTTCTGGGTGCTGGGCTTTGGGGAGGCCAAAGCAGCCAACCACGGCACGGCTCTGGGGGGTTGCGGGAGGGTAGCAGCGCCTGAAAGGAGGCCCCGGCGCCAACAAGCGCAACCTAATCTTACTGGCGGCCTTGGATGGAGGGCGGTTCCCGCTAAGCCCAGCCTAGCACGGAAAGAAAGCAGTGCGGGCGCTAAACGAAAACCAATGACTGTTGATTGGAAGGCAAGATCCGAGATAAGAATTTAAAAATTCGAAAGAAAATTTCCCGTAAAGGTCAATGTTACAGCATAGAATAGAATATAGTTACAGTGAGTATAATGGTGTATTATGGTATGCTGTGTAGGTAGCTCGTCAGTGGAGTACATAGCGTCCCGCCTTGCACACAATACACAGCCAGGACTACAGCCAGTAGACAGAAAGGCTCACTCGCTTTATAACCTCCATGAAATACCGAAAACAATATATAATAACCACAGCATGACCAATTGCAAACCCCCAACACCCCCCATCATAAACCCGTTTCTTTACACACCGAGGCCACTGTCGCCCTCAGAACCGCCCAGCCCCATCACCTATCGCCCAGATCTCACCGTCGAGCTTATGTCTAGCAAAGATCTCCATGGCCTCGTGTAAGGACCATTTTGTCCAGTCTGCGTTAGCATGGCTCCCATACCATTCTGCGGCAAAATCCCAAATCTGCTGAATCGGTCGAACATCGCCCTTGGCAATGCCTCTTGTTGCGCACCACTCGTCGACCTCGGCCTCGGTCCTGAAGAGCAGTTGTACCGAGCAAGTGTACACCACATTGTCCCAGACGTTGCGCATAGGGACTGGGAAATGGATCACAAAGTCCGTGTCGACAAGCTTGCCATCCCTGGCGGTCAGCGTGACTTCGTCGCCAATGGCGCCTATCCGCGTCCTAAACGTCGATGTTCCGCCTGCGAGATGCATCACGCCCAACGAGCACCATGCGCAGTTCCCCCACCATGTACGATCTCCAGACGAGACTGTGCATGTCGTAGGTGCAGCCGAGAAGGGGTGAGCAATCCACACCTCGTCTGATTTTGGGTGCAGCACGGCACCGTGGTACTCGGCTAGCGCTCGTAGACTTTGCCTCGCGGTGGCACTATCGCTACCGAAGTGGGCGGCGACCTCGTCAATGGTTGGGGCACGCTGCTTGTCAAGGAAAGAGGAGATAATAAATGCGTGGAGACTAGAGTGATCCATGGCTGCAGGCTCCCCGTAGTTGGTTGTTATTCTGCTGGCGTTTTGTACGTAGATGTAAATGTACAAGTTTGGCCCACATCGACTTGCAGAATGAAAGGGCCGACGATCTAGCGAGCGCGCAAGAATAAGCGCCAGGATATACATTAGACATAAGACTGCCGAAGATAATGGACCAGAATGGTCGTTTCTAATTTTGACACTATATATTACAGGTGGTTGGTATTCATTCATCGTCATCGCTGTCGCCAAAAATGGCGTGCAGCACATCGGCATTTGCTGTCTTGCCCTCCACCGCGGCATTCTGCGTAGGGTCAATTTCAACTGGTTGTGGTATTTCCAAGTCTTCTTTTGGTTTTATCATCAATGCGTGGGCATTTACTGCCTCAGAAGAAGAGGCAGCATAGCCTTGTGCAGCCCTCGTTTCAGTTGCCAGCGGCTCTTCGGCATCCTTGCTAACATGCTCTGGAGGCCTGACATTGAATCTCTTGCACAAGAGTCGTGTTGGGTAAAAGTCAATGACTGTTCGTGTCATAGTGCCATACATTCCAACCTTTGCAGCTTCTTCTGCGGGGTCTTTAGGTGCTGCAACCGGCTGTGTTAGCAGATCCTGCGAATTGCTAGAGCCTGAGCCCGGTAGAGTCGATGACGATTTAGCGGTGGTAAATCGAGATGCCATAAACCCCGTCATTGGTTTAAATATTCGTGCACAGTTATAATATTCGCTCATTTCCTTGACATAATCGTCTTCTGTTGTGTTTGGGAGACGCTCTGGCAGCGCTGTTTCCGACTTGATGGCGTGTTCGAGGTAGACCTTGTATCTTGCTCGTTTGGCTTCGTTATCTGCATAGGGGCCTCTTGATCCTCGTGCAATTGCCGCAATAGCTGTATCACGATCTACCAATTGGATGCGGTCAAGAAGAGCTGCGTTTCGCTCTTCCACAGAGGGCTCGAAACCAGCCGGGATTTCTCCCCTGGCTGGGGGCAGATTTGCATTACCAGAAGCAGAAACCATCTGTTCACGTGCGGCTGGTGAGAGGAAGTCGAAAACGGATTTACCGGGAAGAGCTTTTTCTCCTAATATTGCTGCTCTCGCTTTGGGGTCCAATGTTGACTCCTTGGCGGCATCAATGGTTGACTTGTACACTGCACCCTCTGTAGCTTGAGGCGATATAGATGACTTCCAACCTTCTGGTATCGTTGGCGGAGCAAATTGCACTAGTTTGGCAAGCATTGCAGTCACATCCTCAATAGCTCTCGTTAACACAAACCCGTCCAGCGGTAGTTTGCCGTCGTGACAGCGCTGTAATTTGTTCCCAGATCTAGAGCCTTTGGGTATAAAAACTGGTGCGTTTTTCAGTGCCGGATTGATGGCCGCCGTGGCCTTTTTCTTCTTCTTCTTTTCTCCTCCCATGACTCTATTGTATTTAATCGAGGGGCCCATCTCATACGGATCTTCGTCATCTGAGCCTGTGTCGTTAAGAATACCCATACCTATGCCACCTCGTGATTTGGCCTTGTGTTTGCTGGGGTTGTCGAGGCCGAGCTGGTGGTCTATGTCGTCATGCGTGTCATCGGTCTTTGATAAAGACCCCAGCTTTCTTTCTCCTTGGAACCCAAGGCCCTGTTTGTCTGTCTTTTCCACTAGCTTGACAACCGGCACATTTGTGGGAGCAAATGAATGCACCGTGGTATTGGCCTGCAGAGAGCCGTTGCCGTCATCAAGTCGAGCAGCGCGCTTGATACGAGGTCCAATACCTTGTCCATCTTTCCATCCCATCCTTCGCAGTAACTTTAAGCCCATTGTTTCGCCCTGAGGTCGAAATAATCCGGCAAGACCTCCACCTTCTATTTCGCGTTGAGTCGAGTTGCCCAATCCACTAAACGCATCAGCGGTTTGCACACGTTGAGCCTCGGCCGCATCTGCTAGATCTTCGTCATCCATGTAGTCTTCGGCTCGTTGTTGTATAGTTCGATCATCATCCTTGTGTCGATTAGACCGGCTCGATACGAATGTAGACGGTGCCCAGCCTTCTTTGGAACCGACTGTGTTGAAGTAGCTACCATGGAGGTTAATACACAAAACAAACATGCGACTCGAGGGGCATGGGAACACTTACCCAGCACTCCAACCTCCTGTAAATGCGCCGTGGAGACGCTTGCGACCTCGCTCATCGCGGACATCCTGTTTCCACAGTGGTAGGTAACTATTGTCGTCTCTGTCGGCTTCGTCTGGCAAAGGGGTGCCAAACACCACAAACGGGGCGCTATTGCCGGACTCGTAGGTCGACCTGGATCGTTTGTACGCCATGGTCAACTACGCAGAGCTCCGCGCGCTCACAGACACGTAGCTCTGAGCCATGGAGGTGGGTGTGTGAGTGCAAGCCCGTTGATGAGCGCAAGGCAACGACGCGAAGCTTTCGCTTTATCGATAAGATGGGGCCGGTTTGAGACAACCTGCAAATCGAGATGGGTGTGTCATCGGCGCAACCCTGGAGGCAGAGAGGTTAATGCGATGTATGCTATAAAATATGCAAATAGTGTTTAATTTATGCGCTTCATGTGTAAGTCGATAAATAACCAGTGGTCATTATATGTCATTGAGCATAAAATGGTAGCTTCATTTCGCTGGTAACCCTGCTCTAGAGTACAGTACTATCCAAATGTGGCGCTGTTTACAATGGGTATTGGCGCCGCGCACACTGTGGCTAGCCTGGTTGGTTGGTATGCAAGGGAGCGCCCTTAAGCAGGGCCTGGTTCTAGAAGCAAGGGCATTGGAATCAGATCTGCGCGCACAAACATTTAAGCGAGACAAGCTTTATTCGCGGGCTACTTGCTTGGAAATCGACAACGCAGCAGCAAGTCAAACATTTTTCTGCAGTATGCCGTGGACCATGTTTGTCTTTTGCAAGTTGAGGTTAGACAGGCTTTCGCCTCAGCGGAGCGCACCACTCTAAATCGTCTGACGATGACGCCAGCATACAGTACGTCAGGCCTGACTGCCCAACCACTAATTGGCCACCACGCGCTGGGAGGAGCCGTAAATAGCACAGGGCGTCGTTGTGGTCTTTTCTTTTTCCTTGGCTTTTTTGTGGCACTGCTGGACTGGAGCAAGCAACACTAGCTGCTGTACGGTACGCTTATCAAGCCCAGCATTGCGGCCTTTTGGCAAAATCTCCTGAAGAGCAGGCTAAATAAGATATCCTCTGTACACTATCAGAAACATTACCCGTGCAAGGAAGGAGACGGCGAAGGGCGAGGTACAGTAAAAGACCCTGGTATAATTACTGTATAACTTAAATGCCTGCAGAGAATCTGGTCTCTTGCCCTGTCGTTTGGCTTCGTGGCCTGGCCTCTCTCGTTTGCAGCTAATATCCTGCCGCCCCCTCTTCTCCTCGCTGCAACGCTGTCACTGCAGGTACCTCCTGCGCTGCCCATACCGCCTTGCGTGCAGCAGAGGCGGCCCCTGAAAAAAGTAAAATTTACAGCGCCCTTTGGCAACTGTGCTACAGCGCACTAGCCGACGCTGCGCAGGGGGTACGCCGCCTCCCAAAAGCATCTCCCCGTCTGCGTCACCACCGCTGCGCGGCCCCCGTTTGCCCCCTCTTTCCGAGCCGCTGCACTGGATCTAGTGGTCCGCTGGAAGGGGTTCCACCCCCCCGTAACCAAGTGCAAGCTTCACTAGAAACGGTACCACCGTCGTCTTAGGCGGACCGTGCCTCTGGACAAGAAATCAAGATTGTCATTTCTCGTTAGCTTAGAGAGAGGAGCTTGGCTGGTAAACAAGGCCACGGCGTTCTCCTCGCCTCGTAATCTGGTGCCCGTCCGTCCTCATCCTCTCCATAATCTGGCTGCGCTTCTTTTCTTCCCTCCCCAGCATCTGCCAGCAGCCGCGAAAAGAAAACGTACAAGAAAAACGCCCGCCGCAAAGAAATACTCCAATTTGCCTGTAGCTTAAGCTTTTTCAGCGCATATCCACTGCTGCCGGGCCACAGCGCTCACAGCAATCATGTCGAGCCGCGCTGCTACAGGCGGTGGTGCTGGTGCTGATCGGGCTCACGCCTCCCCGCCACTGCACACCCCAACCAGGTCCATTTCTCGCTCGTCTCGTCCACCACCAGCAACATCGTCCCCTGCTGCCCCTTCTTCCCCCAACTACTACACCAACTCCGACTCCTCTCACCATCGCCATAAGCGCACTACTTCTGGTGCCCGTTACACGCAAGACGCCGCTGCTCGCCACGACTATGAGCCTTCCCCCGTAGCAAGACATCCTCCTCGCAGCTCCAGCCGTGACAAAGCCCCCCCTCCCGCCTCATCACGAGGCATAGAGACTCGACATCCCCGGCGCAGCACCTCCCATTCTGACCATTCATCTCGTCGCCCACCCGACATGTCACCATCCGCAACCGCTCCAGCTTCGTCGTCTGGCCGGGCCTCGACCAGTGCAGATGCCCCAGCCTCCTCGTCAGGCACAAAGTCGAGATCGTCGCGAACATCGATTCCTACCCAGTCAGGCAAATGGATCCTCGGCAAGACTATTGGCGAGGGTAGTATGGGCAAGGTCAAGCTTGCCCGTAAAGAAGACGGAAGCGAACAGGTACATCTTGCATCTATACCCCCTTACCCCAACGGCAGCAAAAACTAACCAACGTGTAGGTCGCCTGTAAAATCATCCCCCGCGGATCGACAGAAAGCCACCAAAGTCGCGCCGACAAAGAACGAGCCGACCAATCAAAAGAAATCCGAACAGCTCGCGAAGCTGCCATTGTCACGCTGTTGAACCATCCTCACATCTGCGGCCTTCGCGATGTCGTTAGAACCAACTACCATTGGTATATGCTCTTTGAGTTTGTAAATGGCGGCCAGATGCTCGATTACATTATTTCGCATGGCAAACTCAAGGAAAAACAAGCGCGCAAGTTTAGCCGACAAATTGCGAGTGCCTTGGATTACTGCCACAAAAACAGCATTGTCCATCGCGACTTGAAGATCGAAAACATTCTTATCAGCAAAACTGGCGACATCAAAATCATTGATTTTGGCTTGAGTAATCTCTTTTCGCCACGCGGGCATCTGAAGACCTTCTGTGGCAGTCTTTACTTTGCTGCACCGGAACTGCTTCAGGCTCGGGCGTACACGGGACCCGAAGTCGATGTTTGGAGTTTCGGTATCGTTTTATACGTGCTTGTATGCGGAAAGGTTCCCTTTGATGACCAGAGCATGCCTGCTTTGCACGCAAAGATTAAGAAGGGCCTAGTTGATTATCCTGGATGGCTCTCCAATGGTAAGTGAACATGTTACGCGACTGGCCCAATGCCTGCTAACTGATGTCCATTAGAATGCAAGCACCTCATGTCAAGGATGCTCGTTACCGACCCGAAGCAACGTGCGACGATGCAAGAAGTCATGGGTCACCCGTGGATGACCAAGGGATACAGCGGACCACCCGAGAACCATCTTCCTCCCCGAGAACCACTCGAGGAGCCGCTTGATGCCGATGTTATCACAGCCATGCAAGGTTTTAACTTTGGATCACCGGAACATATCGAGGCACAGCTTCTAAAGACGATTGAATCCGAAGAATACCAACACGCTGTCCGTTTACACCAAAAGGAGAAGGAAGCCCCGCAGCCTCAAAAGGATGTTGAAAAGAAGCGAGGCTTTGGATTCGACTTTTACAAGCGACGAAATTCGGCTAACAGCCGTGACACCCTGACAGCGCCAAGTTCTGACACACTGCAACTTGGTAATGACGCACTGAACGCCTTCAGTCCCCTTCTCTCTATATACTACCTAGTGAAGGAAAAGCGCGAGCGTGAGGGCGGAAGCTCTACGCAGCTCCCCAGTAGCTCATCCCGCGATAAGATTAAAGAGCGAGAGCGTGAACGTGAGCGCGAGCGCGACAAGGATAAAGAGCGCGAACGAGAACGAGAACGAGAACGTACACGTGAGCGCGAACGTGAGAAGGAAAAGGTGCAAGTTGCAATTCCCGAATTGACTCCCCCGAGACAAGCCCATGTCAACTCGGGGGCCTATGAAATGCCAGGCGAAAAGCCGACTGGCGGCCGCACACGACCAAGAGCCCGGACACAAGGAGAAGAGGATGAGCCTGACGTCCTGAAACAAGCGCGCCAAAAGGTGACAGCAGAGAAGTTGGAGACTCCGGTAAAAAAAGAAGGAACGGCTGCAGGATTGCTCCGACGATTCAGCACACGTAAAAAGCGAGATCCCTCCCGGCACGAACGCGACCGATCACACCCACCTGTCGTACAGGTTCACACACCAACCGAGACCTCTCCCGCACCGCCGCGCAAAAGCTTCAGCATTCGCCGCGGCCGTAACGATGTTGACGATGGCACTTCGTCATTGCGCAATGCTGAAAGTCCTAGACAGCATTCCGATCTATTAAGCCCACCCAAGTCGGCTGGTGCTGGTAGCAGACCGAGGGGAACTGGCCTGGGCCGATCTACTAGTGTGAATTCCGGCGACTATCGCCGACGCGAAACATCCAAGTATGCTAGAGATCATGCTGCAACAAGTGGCTCAGACCAATCTGTGGGTAATGCTCCCAGTCCATCCCATCAACGTGGTCATAGCCACTCGCAGTCTATGGCTGTTCGAACCAAGTCCCTTGGTCACGCTCGCAGAGAGAGTGTTCAACAACGTCGCCTGCGACGTGAAGCTGCCCATGAGGCGGATGTGCCCGAGGAAACTGACCAAGAGCTTGACCAACGAAGTCCGTCAAATGAACGCCTTGGCAGCTCCGATCTCGCGAAGCCCGTTTTCCTCAAGGGCCTCTTTAGCGTATCAACGACATCCGGAAAATCGGTGCCTGCAATTCGCGCCGAGATCCGTCGCGTGTTGAAGCAACTCAATGTTGAATACAGCGAAATCAAAGGCGGGTTCGCCTGTCGACATGCCCCCAGTATCGATCTGAACAAGGTTCAAGATCCAGTCTTGCTCTCCCCTGGACAAGGCGGTGGCCACCGTCGACGCTTCAGCTTTGGTGGCTTGATGCGAGGTGACGAGAAGGATCAGGATGAGATTCGTGATTTGGATCGACCTTCGATTGCTTCCCCTCGCGCAGCTGGCCGATATGATAAAGAAAGAAGCGACCGGGATCGAAGCTACTCCAACTCTGAGACATCGGTTGACAGCATCCCTCGGAGAGCAGGCGGCAGCACCCGTCGAGCTCCTGGAGAGACGAGCACACAAGTGCAGAGCGATTTGGGAGGTAGCATGGTGCTCGAGTTTGAAATCTTTATTGTCAAGGTGCCGTTGCTTTCTCTACATGGTATCCAGTTCAAACGAATGACTGGGAACACATGGCAGTTTAAGAGCATGGCGGATCAGGTGCTGAAAGACTTGAAGCTGTGAGGTGGAGGCATATGGTATTAGGCATACATATGGGCAATTTGGAAAGTGAGAGGCGGGGCGATCCTGCGTACTCATGGCCATGATGAAATGAAAATACATTGTGAGGGCACGGTTGGAGGAGGGCTTTGCTTTGTTACTCTTGTTCATTCACACGACTAGCTTGCCTAGATATGGGCAAGCCAACGAGGGCATATATCTTTAACTAGCACGACACAGACAGATGTGTGTCAATTTAACGCATAGACCATTAATTATAGTTATCTTTTGTTACCTGTATTGAGCTGTGCTATTGCCTGCGGATGTACACCATGAACGCTGTTCCTGCTTCTGTTGGACTCGTCGCTGCCGACCTCGGGGACGATCACGTGACAGTCTAAGACATGGCACGCGCGACAGCCAGACATTGCGGGAAACGATGCGAATTCGCATTTGTAGTGGCCTGACACACTTAAGCTGTGGTGATGAAGATGAAGTACAGATAGAGAGAAGCTGGGAAGTCAGCCTAGCGCGGCCATGGACTGTCAAGTAAGCAGGGTTAAGCCAGATCTCAAGTTGCGCCGTACACGGCCTGTGCTCGCAGAAGTTGAGAGGAAAAAAGGTTCGGGCGAGGCGGTTCATCGTAGCAGGGGCAGAGAGCAGGTGAGGCGGACGACATTGAAGAGTGTTTTTTTTAGATTGATTTTTACTTCCATACGATAATCGTCTTTTTTCTTATTTTTTTCTACAGTATTTTACCTTCATGGTGTCCTCGTCTACTGACACCATCGGTGCCCTCCGCACACTACTCCCTTGGTAGAGAGAGCACAGCACCCCCGCCCACCTGGCGGAGTGAGGCCAGGCTCAGTTTAGTGCAGTTGTCAGCCGAAAACCCGCTGCGGCTCCCTTCGCCCACTCCACAACATGTCCTCCAGCCCTTCCTTCACCATCCGTCTTGCGTGCCCGCCCAAACTCTTCCTTCATTGCCTACCTTGCTCCATCACCACCCACCGCGTCTGCCGATTTCCAGTCCACGCATTGGTTATCGCCATTCACGCTTCCAGCTACTGCGCATAGCACACGCTTCCCATCGCCCTTGTTTTCTCCGCCAATCACCGCAAGAAGACCCTGCTCCCGCCCGACACGCTGTTCACCGACACAGCACCAACCAATCGTGGCAAAACCGACCGACCCGATTGAACACCATCGAAAGCTGCCGTGTTGAAGATGATGCCCTCGGCTCACGCCTACGGGCACCCCCAGTTCGGTCACCAGACCGATTCGGCCTGGATGCACCAGCAGTCCGGCCATCACCAGCATCCGCAACAGCCTGGTGGCGGCAATGGCGCCCAACAGCAGCAGCAACACCATCAGCAGCAGCAGCAACAACAGCAACAGCAGTTCAGCCGACTCGCTGGTGGAAACCACTCCAATGCTGTGGCGGCACCTACCGCGCACGCTCAGGATGGCGGCCACGAGAACATTTCCGAAGAAAACCGCCGCACCATGGCCTTCATTGCCGACCTGCTCAACGAAAACACCAGAGAAGCCGCACTGCTTGAGCTTAGCAAGAAGCGCGAACAGGTCCCCGAGCTTGCTCTGATTTTGTGGCACTCTTTTGGTAGGCGATCTCGCGGCCGTTGCCTTGTGAGATGCACACGTTTGCTAACCAACCATCCAACCATCCAGGTGTCATGACCTCTCTGTTACAGGAGATCATCTCTGTCTACACGCTGCTCAACCCTTCGCAGCTTACGGCAGCTGCTTCCAACAGAGTCTGCAATGCGTTGGCCTTGCTCCAATGCGTTGCATCGCACAACGACACGCGCACTCTTTTCCTCAATGGTGAGTTTATGACAAGGCTGTGTCACGCACAGCACAGAATCGGTGGCTAACCAAGATGGAAAACTGCAGCGCATATCCCGCTTTTCCTCTACCCATTTCTTAACACGACTTCCAAATCGCGACCCTTTGAATATCTGCGACTTACGAGCCTCGGAGTGATCGGGGCTCTCGTTAAGAACGACTCGTCTGAAGTGATCAACTTCCTCCTTACGACCGAAATCATCCCTCTCTGCCTCCGTATCATGGAGACGGGCTCAGAGCTTAGCAAGACTGTAGCCATTTTTATCGTACAGAAGATCTTGCTGGACGACAACGGTCTCAACTACATTTGCGCCACCTACGAGCGCTTCTACGCCGTTGGCACTGTCCTGAGCAACATGGTTGCGCAGCTGGTTGAATCCCAGACTGCTCGCCTGCTCAAGCACGTTGTGCGATGCTTCCTGCGCCTCAGCGACAATGCCCGGGCCCGTGAGGCCTTGCGCCAGTGCCTCCCTGAGCCTCTGCGAGACGCGACATTCTCTTCGGTTCTGCGCGACGATGCCCCGACTAAGCGCTGCCTGGCACAGTTGCTCATTAACCTCTCTGACAATGTAGCGGAACCCAACTCTGCTGCTCTTTCCAACATGTAAGGTCTGAAAAACAAAACGGCGAATGAAAGATGGCGAACTATTTTTGATTTTCCTTGCGGCATTTCTGCGGCGATCATACGGGTCCGGCGTACCTCTGTTCTTTCTGTGTGTCCTTTGACATTTTCTTATTCCCTTTTTCTTTTCGAAAACGACTTCTTTCTGGTTTTGCTTGACTTTTTTTTTGGGGGGGGGGGGCAATGCTTCCCGTGTTCAACTCGCTGGTTAAGACACACTGTCGTGAGCCAACTTGTTGTGTTCAAGGAGACCAGAGCATGGTCACGGGTTGGCTCGCACGATGGGGAGATTTGGTACTTTATTTGGCATTATACGAACCCTTTTTGGGTTGAAAAAAGGGGAGAGGGGGAGATTACTTGGCGTTTGGCAGCACCGGTAGCGTGTATATCAAAGTGTGGATTGCGCATCATGAGACACGATGGACGGGAGAGCGAAATGGAAAACTGTTGCAACATGATGGGGGACTGTAAATCCTGATATCTCTGTCATTTTGGGAACCTTGAGATCTTTGGGGGGTTGGTAGGAGGATTTTGCTACGGGTGCTTTTTTATTTTGTATTATATGAAAACATGTATATATTGGTGTTGTAGATCTGGATAGGGAACATGATATTATTACTGCTATACCAATGAAGACTTTTATCAAGACAAGTACCACGAGACAGAACATGCTTGCGAAGGTCTTGGCTGCCGGTATCATACGAAGAAGCTCCAGTTTTCAGCTCTGGCAGCAATCGTCTCAACGGTAGCAAACACCTCACACTACTGGCACCACACCGCATCTCTCACCATGTCTTCCCCATCATTTACCCAAGCTCTAATACAGTCCCACTCAGAGGCATACCAGGCCGCTACCCAGTCTGCGTTTCTGCGCAACGCCGCGCGGGGCAAAGTCCCCAAGGCCACGCTCGGCACATGGCTCGCCAACGACAGGCTCTACATTCACGGCTACATTCGCGGCACAGGACGCCTGCTCAGCTTCCTCGGCCTCCCGCAGACTGTGGCCGAGCAGAATCATGGCTCAGATGCCGCAACACAGCTCTTTGACTGGTCTGTCGACGCACTGGTCAACATCCGTCGCGAGGAGGCCTTCTTTGTAGACACAGCCCGGCGCTACGGCATCGACGTCAACCTACCAACAGGCGCAGACGGCGCCGTTGTTCCACAGGCTGCTAAGCTGCCGGGACTTCAACGCTTCGAGACCCTCTTTGATAAATTGGCTCCTGGGCCTGGGTCTCTACTTCCGTGGTTGGAGAGCGCGGTGGTGTTTTACGGAACAGAAAAGTGTTACCTTGATGCATGGACGTGGGCAAAGAGCCAGCTTAGTGGAACGACTCATAATGACGATGATGGGGGCGCTCTGCGTGCTGAGTTTATACCGAATTGGACGTCTGCTGACTTTGTTGTATTTGTGGACATGCTGGGGAAGATTATTGACGATGCTGTTGCAGAGGAAGTGCGGCGTGGCGACGGCAAAGTTTGGGATGTGTTGATGGCGAGGGTTACGCCGTGGTGGGAGGAGCTGTTGGCTGCTGAAGAAGGGTTTTGGCCGGCAATGGAGTGACACTAAAACGACGTAATTAGTGCTAAGTAAAAGCCTTGTTTTCAGGTACAGTGCATTGCAACAAATCCTTATTGCCTCGTTTCTCTTCTGGGGGATGTGCAGCTCGCTCGCTCGCTCGGTCCTCGGATAGAAGCAGACGATGGCATCACCGGCCAGGCACACTTTTGCTGGGGGTGCTTCACTGCCACTGGCGGGGCAGTGCTAACGGGCGGGTGGCAGGCGCCACGCAACGCTCTCCACTAACTTAGCTAGCGTCGCTACAGGTATGTAGTTACAAGGCTTCGCTCGCTGTCGGGGGCTTCCGTCGTATCAGGCGGCTGCAGCGGAGAATAGGCCCAGCGGCGGCCGCTGCAAGGGCTGTACTGTAGCTTGGGACGGATTTTTCTTTTTAGGCGGGGGGGCCTCCTGGCCAGGAGGCTACGTCACGCACTAGGCGCTGTCAGCACGCTCCGCCCCTGCAGGTCGTGATTTGCTGCTGGTGCTTGCTGCGCCACCAAGAAAGCACTGAGCCAAGCGCTCGGGATTCAGCCATCGAAGCGGGCATCTCGGACGTCTTGGCAAGGCACGCACGGCGTTTTTATAAAAAGGTGGCCGTGTCCTCTACCCTTTTCACACAAGGCCTTGTTACGAGATTTGTTTTTTTCCCATCTACAACCCGGGCCGCTACACACTACACGCATACAAAGCCATTTATACGCACAATATGTCGAATCAAGACTACTACGGTTCCTCTTCTGGGAACAGCTACGGCAACCAGGGCTACAACCAGCAGCAAAACTATGGCGGCGGCTATCCCCAGCAGGTAAGCAAAGCAGGCAAGCAAACAGCTGAAACAGCACCACTAACGCGTTGGGCCCAAACAGCAGCAGTACAACCAGCAGCAGCCTCAGTATGGTGGCCAGCCCCAGTATAACCAGCAACAGCCGCAATACGGCGGTGGCGGCTACAACCAGCAGCAGCCCCAGTACGGCCAGCACCAGCAACAGCCACAATACAGCGGCGGCCAACAGGACAGCTACTACAACAACAACAACAACAACCACAGCCAGTCCCCCTACGATAACCGCGGCACATCGCCTCACCCTCCCCAGCCTCAGTACAGCAGCAACAACAACAACCAAGGCGGCCCGTACGGCCAGCCTAGCTACGGCGGCTCTCAAGGTGGCCCATACGGTGGTGGCCCTGGCGGCCCCGGCGGGCCTGACGGCGAAAAGGGCCTCGGCGCAACGCTGGTAGGCGGCGGTGCGGGCGCCTTTGCTGCTCACAAGGCCGGCTCCGGTACATTGGGTGCGATTGGTGCTGCGGTGGTGGGTGCGATTGGTGCCAATATTGTCGAGCACAAGTTTAAGAAGCACAAGAACCACCGCCGCCGTGGAAGTGACAGCTCCTAAGTACAGTTGATTTCTACATACTGTATGTAGAAGAAGAGACGGAGCAAAAACAAGTCGGGCATTTCCTTTGTTGTCTTTGGGCGGCGGGCTACAGGCATTGCGTTGCATATACGGATGATATCCAGGAGTTTATAGTCCTTGCTTTCTTTCAGAAATGAATCATTGATACATATTTTTTTCGGTTTGAAAATTTATACGAATGGTTGAAATCATAAAAAAACAGTCTCTTATGGTATTGTCTGCATGCAACAGAAAGTACAACAAAACATTATAAACACGTTACGCTAACCCCCCTCTTCTGGTTTGTTTCATTATTAACCCACAACCCGCGTACATAAGACTTTATACGCCCTTACACAGCCGATGCGTGCTTCTTATCAGTCGGCTCGTCACTGTCGTTGTTGCGGTTATCGACGACCTCGCCCAGGCCCTCAGCAGCGTCGTGGTCGTGGGCCACGTCAAACTTGTGGCCGAGCATCTCGGGGCCAAGGAACGTGAGCACAATCGTGTAGGCGTAGACACAGCCCATGAAGATACAAATGACCTTGCCATAGTCGTAGCGCGGCGTGCCGGTCTTGGTTGGCGGCAGAGGGAAGCGCTCACCAATAGTGGCTTCAATGGTGGACGACGCCGACGACACCAGGTTACCGAGCTGATACGAGGTACCGACAACAAAGGTACGGAAAGCACCAGGAGAAAGCTCCATTAGGTGAATTGGAATTACACCCCAAGCTCCTTGCACGCAGAATTGTTCGAAAAACGCGGCTGCCCAGATATTCTCGGTGCGCAGGAAGGTGTACGGGTAGAGAAGGGCGCCGCCGATGATGCAGATGATGATGATTGTCAGGCGGCGGCCAACGGACTGGCTGATGAAACCGCAAACAGTGCCGCCGGTCAGGGCGCCGAGGTTGGCAATGACCTGGGTGATGGTGACCTGTGTCTTGGAGAAGCCGAGCTGGTTCTCCACCATGGTAGGGTATAGATCCTGGCTGCCGTGGCTCATGAAGTTGAAGCCGGCCATGAGCAGGACAAGGTAAATCAAAAGGACCCAGTGCTTCTTGAGCGCAACCTTGCCTTCGCGGATGAAGACGGAGCCGACAGAGTCTTCGCCCGTGTTGCCGGCCTGGGCGCGCAGTCGCTGGCGCTCTTGGTAGGCCTCCGTCTCGGGGAGCATCAGACGCGCAATGATGAAGAGCACGGGCGGGCCGGCGCCGAACCAGTACAGAGGTCGCCAGCTGTGAGGGGTGGTGTCGACGAGGGCGCGGGCAAAGGCGGCGCAGAGAAGGTAGCCAAAGGCATACTAGAAGGGAATGTTGTGTTAGTACGCAATTCAAAGAAGTGTAAAGACAAAAAAACAACTTACACCCTGCTGAAGCAGACCGCTCATGAGACCACGAGCCTCGGGAGGACAGTCCTCAAGAGCAGTGGCGGCCGCATTACCGTATAGGCCGCCCATGGCGACACCAAAGAGCGCACGGCATGCGAGGAACTGGTCGTATGTTTGACAGAAGCCGGTGCCCTAGAAGGAAACATGCCATGTTAGCTGAAAATGAAACAACCAAAATAGTAAAATCATCATAGCGGTGATGATAAAAAAAAACGGAAATACGAAGCGGGATTTTTTGGTGTTTTGTGTTTTGTTTCGCGCGCGCCCTGTCGCCAGTTGATTGCCGTTGCAGCGTAGGTGGCTTCGATGGCCGGCCGCAGGGTTTCATCTGGTGGCAGCGCAGCGCCGAGTGCAAGCATTGCCCAACAAGGCAATGGCCAAGCCCAGCGATTGCGGAGAGGGCCCGGGCGCCAAGCCAAGCCCTTGCCGGCAAAATGGTGCCGAGAGCAAGATTTTGGGGGAGGAGGGGAGAATGGGCAAAGCTAGCTAGCTGGGCATAACAGTGTTGAAGGTTTTTTTTGGTAGTGTTTCTTTTCGGTGCGTAGAAGAAAAAGGCGTGGGTAGAGAGGGACAATATGCTTACCAGTTCGAGAATGATGAAGAGAATGTTGTTGACAACAAAGGGCCACTTGCGGCCGTAGCGATCACTCGCAATACCAAACGCAATAGACCCGACAGATCGGAACATGAGCACCAATGTGATGCCCCAAGTGATATCAGAAGGCTGCTTGCCAAAGTCGCGTGCCAGATCGCTAATGGTGAGAGACACTGTGAAAAAGTCAAAGGCGTCCCAGGTCTACGAGCGCCATGTTAGCCGGCAGAGCTCTCAGCAGCAAACAGCAACAAAAGACATACCCAAGCAGCAAAGGCGACAAAGAAGAATGCCCATTGCATGGGACTGAGACTGCGGATGAGGCGGATCGGGTTGGGCAGCTTGGTCATGGGCGGGCGCAGCGACGACACACGCGTGCCCATGTATTCGCCAACCGTCATGTTTTCATAGTTTGCCGTCTGATGCGTCTCGAAACGCTCCACGGGGTGGCTGTCCTCGGAGTAGCCCATGGTTGAAAGAAAATGCTGGACTAGCCCGTGTACTGTGAAGAGAAGAGAAAAGGGTGGTGGGAAGAGGCTCCGTCGTTGGTTTTAACCACAACGAGCTAAATCAGACGACGAGGCAGAGAGAGGGTGGGTGGGTAGTGGTACAGGACACTTGGGGTCTCCTAGGGCGGGGGCACTAAAAACAACAGAAACAGAACATGGGCTTTTTTTTTCACTTCCCCAAAAACGAGCAGAGAGGGGCCGGCAAGCGAAGGAGCGGGCTCCGTTCTTGTTTAGCCATGAGGGGGTGGAGGGCGAGATGGATGGGGTAGCCTAGCCAGCCCGGACAGGGTCGGAGATTGTGCTATACGGCATGGACTTTTCATTTTTTGGACGGGGGCATGGGAAAAACAATGTAATGGTCAGCAAGCAGCGACATCCGCCGCGAAACAAAAAAAAAAAAGGGCCCAGAGGTTGCATCGCGCAATGCTACAGAAGCCAGAGAGAGAGGGCCAAGAAAGCTTCCATCCTGCACGCTTACGCAGGCATTACGAGTCTACCCGAAGAGATGCCACTACTGCTGGCTGGCTATTCACGACGAATAGGGCAGCTCTCAATTGCCTATTGAGCATCTTTGTGCGGTATTAGATTTCCCCACACGAGACCTTAGTTCGTCTTCTCCGCCCCATCCACACACGTCCACCATCGGATGGGGATGTGCCCGACAAGGTCCCAAAAAATACGTTCTAGTGTTTGGGTCGTGGGGGGAAGATGAGATGCCTGTGACGTCTACGGAGCGAGCAGCAGATTGGAATGTTCACAAGAAGCAGCGCTAACAAAGCGTGTATGTATGTTTGCTGCTCTGGTGAATGTGCAACTTTCTTATAAGGCTCCTCCTCCCTCCACCGCCAGCTGTCAAAGATGACGCCCACAACGCCGCCATCGGCCACTACGCCACCGACTCCAGCAGGCAGACAGGCAGCAGGCTACAGGCATTAGCGCCACTATACTTGCCATCCAAATGCCGTACCGCTGCTAATAAACATGGGCGCGCAACGATTGCCGTAGGATGTGGTTCTCTGGAAATCATTTTACCCGTTATCGCTTTTCTCCAAACAATCAAACCCACGGTACTTTTACCCCAGGGCTGCTGCTGCTGCTGCTCCTTTGCTGTCTCTCCCCACAAATGCAACCTTCCCGCATGGCACACACACAGCCTACAGATGGACGCGAGACCCTTGAAACATGCCAAACCCAAGACCCTGCTGCTAGAGTGGCTTCTCCATCCCATGTACTTGAATCCAAAAGCATAAAAATTTCCGCGCCCAAAACAAAGCATTCACTCCCCCCGCCATTGTGTGTGCGGCCCTACCAGTTTCCATTTCACACATCGGCCCTACCCTCTTATTTCCATCCTTGCCAAGACGGCACAAGTCTGCCGTGCTTTCAAGCCTCTTCTCCGCATTCTCCCCGCCTAGTTTTCGGTGGCGCACAGTAGCGCTTAGCGATCGCCCCGCGGTGTCCAATACTTGCATTACGCTCTCTCGGAGCTAAGGTTAGGCTCGCACGATAACCTTGTTTCTTTTCTTGTTTCTTGTTGGGTTTTCACCCTCCCTTTGCGTGGGCAACAAGGCACTCTAGAGCAACAAGTCTTTGGATGTATAACAATAAACAATAAAAGAACTTGGGTCATATTGGTTGGCACGCTCAGAATAGTACCGAATATATAAAAGCAAAACATCATTCTACTCCACAAATCACCCAGAATGCAATCAGTCTGTTTGGCTTTTTGTCCTCTCTCAACTCCGCCCCCCCCAATGCACACTCATCCCCTGCTAGAGACTTGTCTCTCGCTAGTATAAATCGCAACGCACTCACTCCATGCCTAACCGTGATCCTACGCCGTCTTGCCTGCAACGCCCAAAGACTAGAGAAAAGTAACAAGAAAAAGACAAAAAAAACATTATCTGTTGTTGGCGCGTAGTCTCGTCATACGCCCTCCCAGTAATCCTACAAAGATGTTGGGCCCCTCATTAGACGCCACCACCCATAAACGCGGCCAAGTCGTCCAGATCCAACAACTGGCGCTCAAAGGCGGCGCATAGTTCCGGGGCGGTCATGTCTTGAGTGGCCTGTCCGTCGTGAGATATCGGACCACCATTAGATGGCGCGTCCGGGGTATGCTGCTTGGGCTCGGTTCCGCCTTGGCTGGGTGGCCCATGGCTTGTAGGAGGGGATGTAATTGATACGGGGCCTCCCGAGGCGGAGCCACCGTTAATGGTGGTAACTCCCGGACGCCGGGGAATGGATACGGGAGGCTCACTGCCGTCGCGTCCAGCATCCGAGACAGACCGAGGAGGGGGTGGCGGGAGGAACGGCGCTCCGGATAGGCCATTGTTCGACTGCTGGTCGTAATCCATTGCTGTGTCGGGGTTGGTGTCTGCGTTGGATGCTACTTCGTCCTTGACGCCAGACATGCCGCTGTGGCTGGTAGAAGGTTGTCGAACACCACCGGCACCGCTGAGGGCATCAGCAGCCGCAGCATCATTGTTCAGCACGCGCTGCATAACACCCAAGTGTCTAAGCCAGCTGCCCATAAGCGGCCAGATTTCATTGCCATCTTGCATGAAGCGCACTCCATCCTTGACGATATGGCCCGCAGTCTCGACCGCGTTACTAGGAGTCAATCCCTTCAGGGAAAGATATGCAATCGTGGCGCTAGCCGTAAAAGCCGAGAAGAGCATGAAAATGGGGAAAGTCGTGACACTATCCTTTTCTGACCCGGATTCAACCGCATTGAGAAGCGAAATGATTCCATGGCTTGAAGTAAAGAGCCTATCAACAAGATCATGACACTGGGCTGCCATACGGAAGTTCTCCAAACTGAAGTTGCGCGCAGTGACTTCCTGAAGAAGTCGACGCCGATGAACAAAGATGGTGGCGCAGTGTAACAGACAGTGCAACATGGCGAATGTGTATCCAGAGCCCATGGTTATGTGCAGGTTTATCTGACCCGCCTTATCCACCAGCTGCATGGGAAGGGATGCGCGAAGGCGTTCAATCTTGCTAATCAGGTCGGAACATTCTTCCTCGCGAAAGGTATGCAGAGTGGTTGTAGCAAGCATCCCCACGGCATCTCGCCATATGGTGGCCGCCAAGACAATGTAGCCATATTCTCCAATGTCACCAGTAGGGGCGTGGCTAGGGGAGACCGGCACATGGTTAAAGTGCTGAAGCAGCGTCTTTACATGGATCGCGTTTCCAAATGCAAAGTTGATGTCTGAGCACGGAAGAGCGACATCTGATGTGTCTTGTGGAGTCAACGCAGGGAATCTTCCTGGTGTGCTGGTGAGCATGCAGTCGAGGATATAAATCAGCCACAGGGTTCGTCGGAAGCTCTCGTCACGCAAAAAGGGATCCCCGCTCTCAGGCGTATGGTGGCTGTTTAGGATGCGATACATTTGTAGCATCCTGGCCGCCTGGCCGAGATATATGTAGGCTCGAACCGCATTGCGAGTTCCCCATTCATGAATGATAACCAGGCACAGAGCTTGGATTTCGTCCAGGTTGGGCTGGTCAATGTTTTGGTTCACCAACGCAATGGCCTTGGCGGCATAAGTTTCCGCAGCCTGTGTGGCACTTCCAAAGCGGCGCGTCAAAGTAGACGAACTTCTGTTGCAAACTATTAGTATATATATTTTTTCGACTTGAATTGGTTTCTGTAAATCCGGGTTTGGCATGCACAGGCGCATACGCCGGGGCCGGGCACCCGGCGATCCACAATACCGTAGTCGTGCACCGCGGCCCCGTCCGGCTGTGCTGGCGAGAGGGCGCGTTTGCTGCTACGGTATTTGGGTCGGATGGGAGAATAGCGCGAAAAAAATATAGCAGAGAAAAGGAGCGAAACTTACCGTGAAGCACATGCGAGCAGACCACAGACCAAGGCTGGGTCAAGCGATGCACTCTTCAGTTGCTGCACAAAGGAAGGCTTGTGGAAGGCAACACAAGCCGGGAATGTTTTGGTGACAATTCGCTCGCACTCAGCGACAAGCTCCGGGGTTAGCCTACAAACAGGGTACGTTGGTTAGTACTTCGACCGGTCGCATTTCGGCGGTTGGGGGGCGGAGACAAGCGCAAGTGGCCTCGGCCCACGAGACGGCCGGCGTTAACAAGAGAGTGGAGGGATCCAAAAAGAGAGGACGCTGGTGTAAGAGGGAAAAGCCAAGGGGTAAAAAGAGGGAGGGAAACCGGTGAATATGCCCGTACAATCCTCACAGCGACCCTTCCGATATTCTGTAGCGATTAAGAAAAATCACGCACAAGATGTGCACAGTGGTTGTGCGCTTCAAAGACCAGGGCACCGGACTTGGTGTTTCGGGGCAGGGACGGGGAAGGAGGCAAGGAAGCCGAGCCGAGACTTGTGAGATTGGGCTCGGCGAAATGAGGGGGTGAGACAACGAATAGCAGCTGCTGCAGGCGATGCGGTAAACGAAGGCTCCGGGTGGGCATTTTGGTGACGAGTGAGGTCAGAGGCGGCAGTGTGCGCAGCCAGCAACAGCAGCAGCAGCAGAATGCCTGGCGCTATGACAGAAAATGAATCGCTTGCACACGCGGGCCAGCACAACGATGCCGCTGCGAAGCGAAGGAAAAAAAAAAAAGACAGGAGCCGGGGAATAACAAAAGAGGCATGTGGGAAAAAAGAGGACGACTTACTTTTCGGCGGCGACTGGGTGCTGTCTGGACCCGCCAGCGCCCGCCGTGGGCTGTCTAGCTTCAGAGGAGCCGGAGCCGGAGGCCGGGAGGCTGTCGCGCGCTGGGCGATGGGCGGCAGGATGGCGGGCTGGGCTCTGGCCGTGGTGATGCGCAACGCTTTCCGAGGGCAAATAGCACTCATGCATGCCCTTTGCGCAATTTTTGCATGGCGCGCGACCATTTTCATAGACGCACTTGGTCTTGCCTTTGCGGCATCGAACACAGGCGCCGCCGGCTCTGAGGGCGGTTGAGCGAATAGCGCCAGTCGACATTGGGCAAGTCGGGCTCGAATGTCGACTCAGCACACGACAAGGCAGCGGGATGTGAGCGCAGAGGCGAACGAACAAGAAAAATCAGGAGAAAAGCCTGGCAGATGCAAACCGCACTTATCCGACAAATGCGAAACTGCTGGTATAATTTTCGAGAGGTTCACTGTCGATAGAGCCTGGTGAGTTGAAGAAGAAAAAGAAAAAGGACGTGGCGGTCCGGAGGGTTCGGGTGAGGGCGGCGTCGTAACGCGTGAGCGCTTGTACTGTTGGCAAACTCGAGGCGCAAAGCCGGCAGGAGGAGACGGGCAACGCGGGAAAACGTAAAACGATGGCTGGAGGCCAAGGTGACGAGACAAGAGGTGTGCGAAAGACCAAAAAATTGAGGAGTCTGCAAAATGCAGCAACAGCAAAAAAGGAGATGGGGGATAAGGGAAGAGGAACAGAAAAACGAGACGAGATGTTGGCTCCGGGCAGGGGAGAAGGGAAAAGGCGAAGAAAGAAAGAGCGGGTGGGCGGGCGGGCGGCGCTGAGGGCACAAGGATTGCGCCAGCTGGTAGGCGAACAGACAGCTGGCTGGCAGCTGGCGGGAAATTGGCACCGGGCGGCGGGCGATATGCCACAAGCGCCGAGGAGGCGACCAGATGGCCGCTGACGACACTGTACAGGTCGGTTGTCCAAATTTAGAGGGGGGTTTGGGTGGGTGGTTGGCCTGGCGTCTTCCAACGTAGCAGCGAAGATCAGTTGCTCGATGGGCAAAGACAACGGCCGAAGCAGCGAGCGCGACCAGGCTGTCGTGCCCACCACACACACCCCCGGCTTGGCCTGTCCGCTCTCCGTTCCGTGGCTTTCAGCACCCTCGGTGCCCTGTAAAGCCCCACTACCAGCAAAAAACGCACACACACACGCACATGCTTCCTTACTTACCTAACTGTAGTCAGGGCTTGTTAGGCAGATCGGGCTTCAGCACAGCCTACGCGCAGGATTAGAAACACCCTTTTTCACGCATTACAGATAAAATCTGCTACTTCCAACGTAGACCGCGCCATCCCCAGAACCATACCAACAGAAAAGAACGGTCTTGCCCGCTTATCGGCTAACCCTCCGTCACAGTGTCTTGGCGCAAAATTCACACCTGCCTGCCCCTCTCCGTTGCGGCAAGTCCCCCCTGTACAAATCTCGCGCTGGGGCTTGCACTGCACTGTGCCGTTCCGGGGGTGCGCTAACTCCAGCACAGAAGCAGGTTGAGGGGCGCTAGGCAGCGTGGACTTCCGTGTCTCGTCGCCGGATGCCGAGCTACAGCAGTTGGACGCCCGCCCGGCGCATGTGCCTGTTGTACCGTGTGCTCCGAGACGGGCGCTAGCGCTGCCTTTTGTCTCATTGTGCGGGCGACAAAAGCAAGACATCGAAAGTGAAAGAATATATATAACTACAAAGAAATGCACCAAACCCAAAAATGAAATATCGTAACCGAGAAGAAAAAAAAAACAGGACGAGGGAAGACATGTCGGCCGCTCGAGGTCCTTGCTCGGTGACACAAATGACGCGGGTGTGTTGCTTCGGGGCTGCAGGGCACACCTTCCGGCTGGAGACGAAGGAACAGCCCAGTTACCGGGACTGTAATTACACAGCGCGCAGTCATGCACAGTACTTGACTGTATTTGTAGCACTCTACCCATCAGTAAATTTACGGTAGACCCGTCGGTACGGGAGCGACGGGCGCGTGTGTGTTGCCCTCTCATGTTTTGGTTTTTAGGGGCATGGTCCATGCCACGGCAGGCTGCATGACGTACCAATGGCCTGTTTTTGGCCCCTTCTGGGATTTGCATCCATCGAATTACAGTTAGTCTCCTGCTTTTGGGGGCTAGACGCACAGCGGTTGGGGGTGTTTGGTGTGTCCATCCCAGCGGAAAGAAAGAACAGTACAAGGCTCTATTCCTCTCTTGAGCAACGTTGTCTGTGATGTACCCTTCCCCAGCTGCCAGATCTTGCGCCGTTATCTGCTGTAGCACTGGCAGCGCACACGTGCTGGTAGAGATGCTTGCTCTCAAGTTGGTGTGTGCCGATCTAGGGACATGGGGGTATCGGGACTGGCCAAATGCTCCTCTTCTCATCTCGTAACTTTTACCAACTGAAATTCAAAAAGAAAATAACGCTCCCTTCTTGGAGCGCGGCGTGTCGGTGCGATGCGGTCTAGCAAGCGGGCGGGCGGGAGGGGCGAGCGCCGCGCAAAAGAACCTAACCTTCTGTAAGCGCTGTGCAACGGGCCTAAGGCTCAAAGGGGGTGCCTGCCTCAGGCTGCTCCGGGTTCACTGCCTGGCAAACACCGGATAGCACGCACACCAAAGGAGCCCGGAGCTGGCGAATCTGCCTCGTCTGACGGAAAACGCGCGCATCTCGCTCCTTTCTGGGACACTTGTTGCCTTCGCCCCCTTTGCGGATCGCCATCCAACTTACTCCCCAGTGTAACGCTACTATACTATTGTAAAACAGGCTTCTCTACTGCCACAGTAGGCCCGTCTCCGGCAAGTCTCTTCGGCGCTCCGTGCGCTATCTGCCGGGCCGGCGCGGTCCACCACAGATAGAAGAACAGTTCACATCAGCCAATGCACTCAAATGCATCTTTGCTGCCTTTATATTATGTGTATAGGCCTGGTTTCAATTTTCTTTTCCTTTAAACGACTTGTCTTGCTATATAACGAACTAGCTAGATTCCATATTCATGTACCGATTTCGGCGTTCAATTTAGATGATTCAAACTATTGGTGCAGATGCAATCCATCTACTTCAGCACTCAGTGGCGCTGTCACCAGTAGGAAGCGTCACACAGTATTCCAACCAGAGCTTTACAGCCTTGCCTGCGTTCAAATCCACGTTCCAGTGAACCAGACCCCTCTCCTTAAGTCGAGCAGACGCCTTACCCCAGTCCTTATCTCTGCCCATCTCCCGTAATGGGGCGCCAGTAGCGACGGCCTTTCCTTCCTGAACCAGTCCAGTAGGTGTCACTACATCCACGCGTAACTTATCATCTTCAGAAACCGGAATCTGGTCCAGCACCAGCATAGATGCAGCTCTATCTGAGGTGGCCCTTGTGTTGTAGAGGATGATGGCTCTAGCATACACCGAGCTGTCTTCCTTATTAAAGATGCCCGCTGTTGCCCGGCGCACCTCAGGCTTGGGGTACGACACTTTGATGGCAGGGTCAACGCCCAAGTTCAGAGTGAAGACATCCCCAGAGCTGCAACGAGGAATCTTGCTGCGCCCGATAAACGTTCCATCAAGCGTAAGGCCGGCAGCGCCTTGCATCAAGTTGAGTTTGCTGCTGTTCTTGAGCTTTGCCTTGAGATAAGCAACAGGCTTGTACTTGGCAACCACAGTGTGGCTAAACGAAACGTTGCCAAAGTTGATTCTAGCAACGCGTTGCTTAGATGCCACACTCTTTGGCGTCATGGTCTTGGTGCCTGGTAGATCGTACGTAGTCGTCAGGCCCGTTGCCTCCATTAATGACTCTTCAAAATCGACATTGTCATCAGTTGGTGGCTCTGCCAGATCCATCTTTTCATCATGTTCGTTCATTTGGTTCATCTGATTAGACGCTGATATCGCGTTAGAGGACCAAGCAACCGGGGCTGCCGCCGCCGACGCTTGAGGAGCAGCATTGCCAAATCCTCCCGCAGGAGCAGGTGCCCCGAAAGCACTGGATCCTGTTGCAGAGCCAAATAAGCCAACGCGCCGTGAATCAAGTTGCCGCTGCTGTAGTTGTTGTTGTTGCATTTGCTGTTGCTGTTGAAATTGAAGCTCAGCCTGCAAGTGGTTGTTCTGCGACGGGGCCATTTGATCTACAGCTGTCGATGCACCAAAGTACCCTCTACCGGTATTGGTTGCCTTTTTCACAGATAGTTTACTAGCATAGTTGGCTCGATTGGAGATCTCATTGGCGCTTCTCGTGATGTCTGTGCTGAACCCAAACTCTTGCTTCTTGCCGCTTAGTCTAATGTGCCACGGCAGCAGCTTAGGAATCTCGTCATCTAGACCAGAGGATGCTGTTTCTGACGTGGAGAGAGAAACCTTGCAGTTTTTCCAGCTCTCTGAAGTCTGGTTGCGTAGAAGGGCATCGAAACACATGGTGGCGTTGTTCGCAGTGGTAGAAAGCTGTAGATCGTAGCTTGGTGTCCACCAAGCCGACGAAGTCATGTAGGATAGTAGCAGGTCGCAAGTGGTGACGGCGTCGCTATCCTCAATGGTATCTTCCGCAACCTTGACGAGGTCAATCTCGCTCGAGATGGAGTTTCGGCGAGATGAAAGCGGCGTTGACATGTTTACATCAAGAGTGACAGTGACGCAGTGGCACATGTTGGGCCAAAACTTGAGGCGCTCCTTCTTAATACGTTCCTTCTCGGCGTTCTTCTCCAAACGAGCGCTGCGACGTTTCTGCCTCTCCTTAGAGCTGGCAGTCGAATGCTTCTGACGTGCTTTGTTGACAATCTTCTGTAACTTGGATACCGCCTCCTTTGCTTCGTCTAATTCATTACGCATGTCGCGCAATGCCTGTTTTGCCTCTTCGCTGTCTTGAAATGCGGTGAGGCGGGCTTCTTTGTATTGGTCCATAAACTTGGCAATGTCGCTGTTTGTTTCTCCATTGAGCGAGGCCGAGTACGAATCAAGAATTTCGAGACGTTTCAAAGCACTTGCTTCCTTTTCTTTAAAGGAGTGGAATTTGTCGCTCAATTTGTCGGCTTTTGCCTTTGCCGATAGCAGAGCAGGGCTGTCCTTTATTTCGGTGTATTCCAGGTCATCATCATCTGATTCAGAATCATCCGGGTACACAAGACTAAACGTCTCCTTATTGGGGCGTAGTTCGACAGATATATCAGTAATTACAGCAGATCCAGAGCCTTCAACCTTGACAGAGTCGATATCCAAGGTCGGGGTAAGCCCGTGGACGGTGATTTCGTTGACGCCCGGCTGGGATGGTGTTAGCTTGATCTGCCTCTTATTTTAACAAGATGTAGTACTAACCTTGAGTTGGACATTTTTCAATTCTCGGTAGACTTGCGCCCGAGTAGGGAATAGAGTTACCGAGCGAGTGGTGAGCTCGTCGATTTTGAACTTGATGGCGTTGACAACGTCCATGGCGAAACAGAGCTAGGATGCTGGGGCGCACAAAGTGTAGACGGGACAGCTTCTATGATATAATGGGTATTCAATAGAGTCCTAGTTCAAGCCCTCAAGAAATAAGTTGTAGGAGGTTTTATTGCAGTATTAAAAATGTAGAGAGTGTATGGGATCTTGCATGTGATGGCAAGGGTAACTGGCAGCTTTATATAAGCGGTTTCAACTGCCAGGCTTCCCCCCAGGCAGCCGGCACCTGGCGCCTGGAGAGTGGCTTAAGAGGCAACCTGGGGCGGCTGAACGCGAGGCGAACCAGCAGATACGTCTGTAGGCGCAACGCGAGATGTGGTAGGTATGGCAGATCTAACCCCTTTGGATCTTTTTTAAAATTGTTTCCACGATATATTTCAAGCCTTACTGTGACGGACTGCGAATGGTTGTGTGCTTTGGTGGTTTACTAGCAGTGCATTGGCGGCCATTCCCCAGCCACCCCGAAAACTTGCCACCTCTACTCTCTACCACCCTTCAGCTTCCAGTGTGGCTTTAATTGAACAGAAAACAAGAACAAAGGCAAATCCAAAATGTCGAATCAACCTCCCATGAACGTTATAGACCCTGTTCCCATAGCTTCTCCTGCTCGGCCCGCCATTCCGGGGGCATTGCCGCCTGAATCGCCACCTTCTGCTGCTGAAGTCGCAAATCAGCGTGTCTACGGACCGCCAAACCGCCCAGCCCTCTACAACGATAGACTGCCTTCAGCAGCCGATAACACGGAGGCCAAGTACGGACCTGTCAATACAACATTTGCACCACCTCCATTAGATGTCCGGGTTATTCAGACCAACTGCCAGGTCAATCTATTGGAGCTCATCAGCCTCCAGGGTAAGGCCAATGCTATAGGTATGAGTAGGGAGATGGAGTCCAATCTTCGTAGCCAGGGGAGCATGGTGCTGGATGATCTGAGAGCTCTTCAATTGGAGGTTAAGGAACGCATCAAGGCCGCTGAAAACCACAGGTGGCGACGATGGCTTGTTGGTGGAGGAGTGTAAGTGGTCCAACTGTTTGGTACTTGCGAGGACCCCCCTGCTAACATGCAATTACAGCGCTTCGTTTATTCCCTTGGTACGCAGAATATTCCGCAGGAAAAGCGACGAAGAGGATGATACATCTGCCAATGATACCGAATACGCATTCAAAAAGTCCAAGAGCCTGCTCGCGCGCATTCGCAATGGTCTGTTTGGAGTTGGCGGCTTAGCCAGTATCGCATTCTTTGTCTTCGCGGTCCTGTATATCTTCCAAAATGAGGTGACGCTACGAGTTGGAAAAACTCTTCACAAGCGATTGCGCAAGCTGTCAGAGAGAATAGAACATGGTGACGGCCAGGTGGACGAACGGGATCTGCGATTGCTACAAGGATGGCGCTGGACGATTCTGCTGTGGTAGAACGGGCTAATGTAGTTTGGACCCTTTATGCTGTAACGTAATTACGATGTTTAATATTTATTTTGGAATTTTATTTGCCTCGGCCACACCTAACTATACTTGGAGCGCTTCGGCCAGCGTTCCGCAAAGCTGTTAGTTTGCGTCGAGACAGCCCCGCTGTTGTTTTTCAGCGAAACATCAACCAGAACTCTCACGCGTACAAGCAGGCGTGTTGCCTCTTCTGCGGAGATTCCAAGATAGAATTCGTTGAATATGGAGAATATACATAAAATAAACACTATTCAAGATGTGAATAATCTGGACCAGGCTCAAAAAGATGAGCATTTCCGCCACCTCTATGACGATCAACCAAACTTCAAGACGCTGGCCAGGCTCGATCCAGATTTTGCGATACTGTATGCCGGCCTACAATCCGTATACGTTATATTCGATCACTAACATATTTTTAAGAGAAAAGGAAAAAGATCTTGATTTTACAGACCCAAGAGTTGTAATGCAGCTTACCAAGACATTGCTCAAGCTAGATTTTGGGCTGTATCTTGACCTACCATACAATCGTCTATGTCCAACAGTCAGTTCTTCGCCTTGCATAAACCATGGACTCTATGCTAACGAAAAAAATAGGTAAAAAATCGCCATAATTACATCCTATGGCTCAAAGACCTCTTGGACAGCACATCCGAAGCAGGTATAGATGCGAAACGCGTCGGAATGGATATTGGCACAGGAGCCAGCTGCATTTATCCACTGCTTGGCTGTGTTCAGCGGCCCTGGTCATTTCTTGCTGTTGGTGCGTGCATGTATTAAGCATTATATACTACATTTACTAACATTGTGCAGATATTGACGAAGAGAGCTTGACATGGGCCAGACGCAACATTATTCTCAACGACCTGGACAGCAGAATAAGGCTTCTCAAAAGTTCCAACCAAGGCCCAATATTTCCCATTGAAGAAGCAGGAATCGACTACCTTGACTTCACAATGACCAATCCACCTTTCTACACTTCAGAAGAGGAGATGGCTGAAAGTGCTGCGAAGAAGAACCTCCCGCCGCTCACCGCATGCACAGGTGCCCCGGTGGAGATGGTGACTACAGGTGGCGAAGTAGAATTTGTCACCCGAATGGTTACGCAGTCCTTGGAGACACGGACAAAGGTGCAATGGTATACTGCCATGTTTGGCTTTCTGTCATCTGTGTCCAAGATTGTGGATTTACTGCACGAACACAAGATTGACAATTTTGCCGTCACTGAATTTGTTCAGGGCGTCAAAACACGACGATGGGCCATAGCATGGAGCTTTCATGACAACCGGCCAACACAGGCAGTATGCAGAGGAATCAAGGCGGATGCGGTTCCAAAGAGTGTTCTCCCGTCAAGCACAGAGGCCACCGTTGTGCGCCTCACAGCCCTTACTGACATTTCGGCCTTTGCAGAAGACTTCCAAACAGCAATTTCAAAACTTGATTTGGAGATTTGGGAATGGGATAAATATAAATTGGAAGGAAAGGGCCGGGCTAGAGACAAAGTATGGGCTCGTGCCTGGAGACGTAAGCGGAAACGCGCAGCGTCTGGAGTCGCTGAAGAAGACGTGTCATTAGATGATCGGCAGAATGTGTTTGGATTCATGGTATTAATACATGTTGAAAGTGATGCGGCGATAATAAGCAGCAGATGGACTCAGGGTCACGATGCTGTTGCGTTTGAAAGCTTTCGCGGCTTCCTCAAAGCGACAGCTAAGGCTTGCGCAGCCAAATTAGCTTCGAAATAATCATCTGTATATGCGTCTATATGTAAAATATCTACCAATTCCGACTTGTCTCTAATCTAGTGGACCAGTCGCATCTAAGTCTTTAGTCGTTTGCTGCATACCCAGCGGCAACCAACCTATCCTTAGCTGCCCATACTTGGTCAGGGATCTCTTGAGGGATCTGGAACCCCCGTTCCGCATAGTCTCGAATTCGAATCAAATCACCTAACATGACATTGATGACCAAGTCTTGCGGGTTTTCCTCGTTGGGGTAGTCGTCAAATGAAAATTGTGGTGATGTGACGCTGATCTTGGTATCCTTCTCTGGCCACTGCTTCATAAACGTTGCGTAGGTTCGTCGTTCCATGTACGGCTTCTGCACCAGGATAAAGGACTTGGGTAATCCTTTGCCTCGATTCACAAGCAGCTGATGGGTGAGCGTCACGTTTTCGCCCGTATTGGTGGATCTGGTTTCGGTCAAGATGGCTTCATCAGGGACACCCATCTCTTTGGCAATGTTGGCAAACTTGGTGGCTTCTGCTTCATTGAAGCGTTCGCGTGTCAATCGACCCGAACCACCGGCAAATATCAGCAACGGTGCCATGCCATCCAGGTAGAGCTGGGCGCTGCGGACGGCCACACGAGTGTCCAGGCTGCAGAGACAGAAGATGGCATCGGCCGGGGCTGGCGGCATGTTCATGTGGTGATAGTTGTAGACGAGCTCTGCATCGGCGTGCAGCTCTGGGCTAAGCGGCTTTTCGGCCATGGCTGTGGTACTCTCGCAGGTTCGGTGTGTGGTAGTGAAGCGAACAAGGTGATTCTGTACGAATGCGCGAAGTTCTGGTGGGGTAGCTTTACAGGCGAAGATCGCGGGGTCGACGACTTTATTGTTCAGCGCTTCTCAAGGGATTGGTTAACAGCCTAATGGTTCTGTAGATATCACGGGTGATGAATGCTTTTTAATGTCTGGTGACAGAATTTCTAATTGATGGGAGTTGGGCTGGATCCGGAGATGCCTAAACTGGCGATTCCGACCCTCTTTGTATACGAGCACTTGGCGATATGGAAGAGTTAATATAAAAAGGGGAATAACTTATATGTATGAAATGATGATGTACAAAGCTACATAAAAACAAGTGAACTAACGAATAGTCAAAATAGCAAAGTCTGTAGAGCATAGCAAAAATAAAATAAACAAAAAAGGGCCAGTCTACTCCGCGTCTGACCTGCCATCCGCATGCTCCGGCTTGATTGCCTCACTGGAATCTCCTACAACAGGATCTTGGCTGGCTATCTGCCTGCTCTGAGAACCTTCGCCAACTTCGTCACTAGTATTTGGTGCTTGTGCCGTGACATTGGAAGAACCAGACGCGTTGGATCGTCTGCTTGCGCTGGATTTAACTGTTCGCTGGCTGCCGGCTTGGGAGTCGGTTGATTTGCGGCTTCTTGTCCCATCTCTCTCCTGCTTAGCTCTTCGAAGTGCCTTGATTGATGCTTTAATATGACGTCGATGTATAACATCGGGTCTATTTGCATCGGAACCATCAACTCCCGAGGTTTCTGTCTCTGTTTCTTCAAGCCATCGCTTAGCGTCATCTGCACCCATCCAGCTAAGAGGAATTGCCTGCAGAGGTTCGGACTGCGCGGCTCTCTGTACGTTCGCGGCAGTTTGCCTCATTGCTTCCCTTTCATTCTCGTCGAAAGGGCTATCGTAGTCATCAGAGGTATCTCTTTCAATTTCCCGCTGACCAGTGAGCCAGCCATCTTTGAGGGTCAAGATTCTGTCGCAATCTTCCAGCCCTGTACTTCGGTGAGATATGATGATGCGAGTGCATTTGCTGAATGCAATCTTCAAAGCTCTCTGAACTCGGCGGTCGGTGTCATAGTCCAAGCTACTGGTCAGCTCATCCATCAGAACTATCTTGGTTCTATATTTGAGTCGATGCAGCATAGCTCGAGCAATGGCTACGAGCTGCTTCTGACCAGCTGAAAACTCCATGAGTTTAATCTCGACATCCAACCCTCCCCGTTCTAGGACGTAGTCTTCCAGGCCAAGATCTTTCAAAACTTGATAAACAGCGCCGTCGTGTAAAATGCCTCCCTCATCAACCTCGATTACATTGCCCGCGTTGTCGTTGACTTGCACCTCATCCAAGTCATCGATGTCAACCGGCTCTTCGTCTTCCACGATTGGTTCTTTCCCCTTTTCTTCAGCTCGGGGCGCTACTAGGCGTTCCATGCAAGGCTCAAAGGGCAGTAAGTTTTGACGCAGCGTCCCCGGGATAATAACAGGATCTTGTGGCAATGTTGTGATAGCGCGACGGAGCTGCTCACGAGGAACCTTGGAGATGTCAATGCCATCAATAGAGACGGTACCAGTGAGGTGAAGAAAGTTTAGAATCGTCAGCATAAAACTACTTTTTCCACTGGAAGAACGATGCATATTAGCAATTATCACATTCAAAACTCTAGAGTTACTTACCTGCCAGTTCTACCAGTCACAACGACTTTCTCTCCTGCGTTGATGGTAATGTTGATATTCTCCAGAGCCATGATGGGCTCTCCACCAGCGCTACGGAGACAAAGTTAGCAAATTAAAATAGCTTAAAGATAGAATACGTAAAACATACCTGTATGACGAACTGACGTGATGAAACTCCACCGAGCCTGCAGCTGGCCAAAGATCAGGTGCTGGTTTTGTGTCCGGGCCATCTTCCTCTTTCGGGGTGTCTTTGACAAACGTTTTGAGGCGTGTAATAGAACCAAGTGATGTCTCTAGATTAGTCCAAACAAGAACCATGCGTTGAGCAATCCCACTGAAGTTCAGCATACCCAAGAGACTTAGTCCTAAGCTAGGCTGAGATGTGGTATGCGTCCACTGCAGCGCAATAGCCACGAGAATGGTTGCGATGACAGTGCCAGTCAAATCCAATACCAGTAGAAGCCATCGTTGAATGCTATACATATAGTAGAAGGACTTTTGTGAGTAATCAAGTAGCTCGAGACTCTCATCAATTACATGATCTTCCCACCCGAAGGTGCGGATATGCTCGATCCCCGAACAAGTTTCGGAAATCTTGGTGTAAAGTGGCGTTTTAGCCTCAAGATCAAGCAATCGCATTTGACGTGAAGTGCGTAGGTAGAATGCTTGGAGAACCAAGAGAATGAAGGCGATGAAAGGGAGGAAAACAAATGCGTACTTTGTTCCGCTCACAATCATTCCGACTGTCGTAAGGAGAATAGCAGTCACTATCATTATAGTCAGTACGTGTTTGAATCTAAGTAGAAGATAGTAGACTCACTATAAGACACGCTATAAAGTGCCATAGGCATTTCCTTCGCCAACAAGCTCATGTCTTGACCAAATCGATTCAACAGGGACCCATTGTTTGTTGATGTAAGGTAGGGGAGGGTGGCTCGCATAACTGCTTTGATATATATGAGATGCATTTTAGATGCAGCTTTTGGGATCATGACAATTTGGTATAGCCTATTATATTTTAGTAACATAGTCTGTAGGAATATTGAATCTCTCTTACCATGCAGCTGCACCGTTGATAACCATAGCCAGGCAACTCAATCCAAACATTCCCCAAACATAGCTCGTGCTAGTTGGGTCTTTTTCGATCCAGATTCTCATATAAACATCTGCAAAGGAGTATTAGTACCTTGTACCAGCCATGGGCCCAGTCGGCACTTACCAGGGAACTTTTCCAACGTGCCAACCGAAAGAATGAGGGCTAAAAACAAGGCAAACATCCACGGGCTGACATCCTGGAAGTAGAAACGATACAGTGATGAATCCATTGGGCTTGCAGGGTTTTGCACCTCTTCTTTTACGCGAATGAGGTTATTGTTATCTTCCACTGGTTGGTTGACATCGGCGACGCTCACTGATGGCGCGTCGATCGTTGCTACAGTTCGGGATAAGTTCTGGATCTCTTCCGGGGTAGTATAAGAACGCGCTTCAAAGTTTTGCAACATAATAGCCTGGTGAGCAAATGGAAGCCATTCAGTTGCATGTGTAGCGAGGATAGCTGTTCGGCCCTGCTGCTGAAGGAACCCTTCGGGACCAAACACGCCCTCAAAGACGCACTTAGAGGTTACAGCATCCAATGAGCTCAAAATGTCATCGCAAACAACGATGGGGGATAAGGAGTAAATAGCTCTAGCGAGGCAGAGGCGCTGCCTTTGCCCACCACTGAGTTTAGACCCGTTTTGACCAGTCATATGACTGTCACCGCCTTCCATTTGTTGAATATCATGTTCAAGGGCGCATGCTCTTATGACAGTTTGGAAGCGCTCTTCATCAAAATCAGTCAGACCTATTATAGCTTGACGGATTGTGATATTTGGTAGCCAAGTCGACTGTCCACAATAAGCAATGTCTTTGGTCAAAACCTGAATCTTTCCCGACGAAGGCATAGCCTCGCCGATGAAAGCTTTAAGTAAAGTCGATTTACCACTTCTAACAGCACCGATAATGATGGTTAAAGTATTGAGCGAAACCGAAAGATTGACGTTCTTCAAAACAACCGAATCGTTTTCAATTGAGTTGATGGAAACATCTAGAAGCGAGATACATCGCTCCTTTGCCGCTTGAACCAAGTCATTAACCGGTTTCTTGCTGGTCTCCTCAAGGGATGTTCGCGTCGCAAAGTTGCGAAGTTGTCGCGGATCTTCGGCTTCTGGAAGGTTGAGGAATATTTGAATGCGGGTGAATGACGCTAAAAGCGCGTTGACATCTGGCCACAGATTGAATAACGCATTCACAGGATCCCCAAGAAATGAGACGAAGGCAAAGGCGGTGAAGACAGAGACAGGTTCGAGTCCATCTTTCCAAATAGTCCAGTATCGGCCACCAATAACGAGTACAAGCGGCGTAAACCAATAGTTGATCGGCACTGTCTTCGGTAAGTATAAGGATAGCACACCTGTTGTAATCCAACGTACAAAATGTGATCATAATAATTCGAATCTTGCGCGCGATCTTCGACTTTTCAATCTCAAACTTGCGGAGACCTTGAATAAAGTCGACAATGATCTGCTCCAGTCCAATCATCTTGATACCAGTTATCTGCCCCATAATAGCAGAGATGGTAGAGATTCGGTCTTGAATTGCCTGATTCCAACCCATGGTAGCCGGGCCCATGCGTTTGCCAACATACCAACCAATGAAAGTTGATACTATGCCAACCATTAATATTGCTCTTTCATGGTGTATAAGACTGGAGCGATACATACTTATAATTGGGACCAGAGGTAAAAAGAAGGCCTTTCCGACGATAGTCGATAAAATGTAAAGGCCTACAGCGAGCTCTAGTAGACCTATCCAGAGATCGTGGACCATCCGGATACTGTCAAGGATTCCTTCAATGTCGGCACTAATATGTGTCAAAGCTGCTGCTTCTGCTGCGGTCGTAGCCGCGAGGCGAAGGTTTTTCTTAAGGATTTGTCCCACGATCATACCACGGAGGCGGGTTGCAGTGAAATTCGCCAGATAGCTGTACATTGTGGTGGACACCTAAGACGTCTTGTTAGCTGATACCGTATTTATATATTAGAGGATGTGAGAAATCTTACTGATCTCCCCAAATATGTGATAAACGTCGCCGCTATCAATCTTTTACGTTCATCATCAGATGGGTTATCGGTGCCAAGGTACTGTAAAAGAGCCTGCAGCAAAAAGGCAGCCGCAAATGTAAGTGCTGTGTACGACAAACGAGGCAGTGCGGTCAGAACAAATGGCCAAAATAGGGCGCGATAACATGCTTTGGTCAATGCATGCGGCTTGTTCTTTGCAGCTGTGCAACATGTTAGAATAGATAATCTCGCAGAAGTTAACGACGGTTACCGTACATGCTTCCCATATGCGCTCGAATTTCTGCACCAGACTATGTGATGAGAAGTCGGGGCCAAGGCTTCCCAAGTCATTCATGGATAGACTTCGGCGAAAGCCTATGAAAAGAGTGGAATTGATCCAAATCACAAAGGTGCGGTTCCAAAAGCCAGCGACCGCATCTTGCGCCAGCTTTTCATCTGCGTCATCTTGTTTTAATGGTTTCGGAATCTCTTGCAAGACGACTATTACCACCTTGAAAATAGCAATCACAAGGGACAAACCACCGACGACATTCAGGGATGGGCGAAGAAGGAAGGTCCGGGACCGTATAATCTCCACTACAGTAGAGAGGGTACAGTAGATGCTGAGGAGTGAAGATGGGCGAAAGGTATGGACGTGATCAGAGTAAAGCAGGTACCCCAAGGCTATGGTAGCAATTGGAGACAAGATTGAGGCCACAATTGTGGTTTCAGTCAACGCGGCTGTTGTGTCTTGTTGGCTAGCCTGGTAGCCACTCCAGATCACCGCCTTGGCAATCTCGACGACGAAAATGACACCAATAGATACCTTTGTACTGGATTAGACAAGTAGATATCAAGTGAAGTGTTGTTACTCACCAACTTTGCCCAGAGCAGGATACCCCTCTTTGCAATTGTCGGCCTGCCACGATCAGTGAAGAGCGATATGACACACAACAAGAGAGCAATGACAGAAGGGGTGAGGCTGAAAAACACGTTTTCGAAGAGAATGGTGAAGTCGAAATCGCCGTTATAACCAGGGCCAAAGAACCCGTCGTTGGAAGGGATAGCAACAGACTTGTCCGAGAAGGCTCGGCGGACATGTTCTGCGATGTTCATGGCTGAGAGCGTCTGAAGTTGATTCAAAGGACGTTGTGCCACCAAAGAAAAGGGGACGTAGTTTAGAACTGATGGGGCAATGCTGTGTGAGAGAGGGATTCGAGCTACATAGAGCGCTGTGCTTGGAAAAGAGTGAAAGCTGGGGGAGTGAGGATGGGCAGAGGTGTTGGTCGAGGGATGTGTTGGTTGGCCGTCTACTTGATCGCAAGCCTCCCCGGACCCGACCCCACCCATCTCGGCCGCAGGCGCTAAACGCAAAAGGCCCTGCAGCCTCACGGTCTGCATTACAATTACGTACTGTACTGTACTGTGTCTTGCGAGGATCCTTTACCCCCCATCTAACCAGGCACAATGGCTATCCCGGTGCTAAGACAAACAATACATACAAATGGGGTTCATTAACGCTTGATATTCATATTTTATAGTACTTAGTATTCACCACACATGAATCTTCAAGACTGGCATGAAATGGCACAGTCGACGTGAGCCTGACTTCTTGCTAACACTTCAGCGCTATCAGGGAAAGAAGCTAGGGACAACATGTGAGAGCAGTACACTACGGCGCATGGAGATGCTTACTTGGCAGGCTATGCACGGTCATAGATAAAAATGCGCAGATGGTAATAATAGACGCTTGCATGATGGAAGTAGATCTGGTGGTAATAGCCTCGAAAGTCAAACGCTGATGCTGCAGTAGTGAAGGACAAGAAGGCAAACTTGGCCTCTGTAGGTTTTTCTTGAGCCCAACACACCTCGTTCAGCGATGTAGACTCACACTGTGTGCATCGTATTAGCATATCCTATAGCGCCGGCCCTAGCACTCAACTGGGAAGGAGTTAATGTGACGAAGCGCCACAAAACGCATCCAGGCTTTGTTATAGGCTGCACTGTCACCAATATCACAGCTATCTCCACTGCTGGTGGTCAGCCGGGCCCTCTTGCAGCAGGCATATTTCAAATCAGGCTCCGGCTTACAAGTTTGCTCCCAGACGCCACCGTTTGAAGTTGCGCGGATCTCCGGCCATGAATGAAATTGTTCTGCATGGCTCAAACTCGAAAGTGGCTCACTTTCATCGCAAAAGTACCATCAACCTGTCAGCCACCATCCATGTTTGACCTCGAAAGTGGCATGGGCGCCGACAGATGGATAGAAACGGGCCGCAGCCCAATCTACGAAAATCTGCTGCTTCGAAACATGGCTGCACGCTCAGACCCCTTTGTTTATCGTCGCGGTGATTCTTTGCCTTCCAGTTTGGGTCAGCCTATAAGTTGTCGTCTAGCACAGCGTACCATTTGAGTCGCTTATAGCCCAGCCAAGGGTGGTAACGAACCGCTCCTTCGGCCGAGGCAGCCGGGGACGACTAAAAGAACCACGGCTGCAATGTCTACTCACCAGTTTTGAGGACCCCTCCCCTTTGATAAGCGCGACATAGGAAATACCACCCATCTTAAATAGCACGACTCCCTACCATACTATTGCTCTAAGTTATACTGCAACTGTTTCGGCTTTTGCGACGTGCCCGCCAACAGGCGCACCACAACACCCACGTGGGGTTGCTGATTCGCCAACACCAACATCTGGCCTAGGGAACTCACACAACAAGCGGTACTTGACCCCACCATACAACCACCACCAAGACGACATGTAGCTTTTCCATATCCATCGTCTTTTTCTACACTACCGCTGTCAGCGTCCCCAGACAATCCGATCTCCGAGACTCGCATATGCGCATTTGCGGGCTCCTGGTTGGCTCCTTTATTTTGTACATGCCCTTGGCCCTTCGTGGCGGGGTCAGTCAAACAGTCCGTCAGAATGGCCCGGTCCCATCCATATAAGCCTATTTGACCCTCTGGTGAGAGGCTGTAGCCATTGTCGACTGTTATTCCCGTCTTGCGCTCTCCCTTCGGCCCTTCAACTGCTCTCTTAGTCTCTATATCTTCAACATATATAGAGCACGCATACACACTGAGAGATCGCCATGGATATCCTTGCCCCGCGCTCGCCGCCCTCAAGGGTCGACTCCCCTTACCCTTCCGCCTCGCACACAACAACAATGGCAAGCCGGCTTGGTCCGACATTTGCAACTGCTCTTTATTTTCAACGTGCTGTGGGCAGTCTCTCCGTCTTCTTGTGTTGGCGGGCATATGTGCTGGCCACCTTTTCCTTGACGACTCTGCTCCAGACAGCCAAGCTCTTGACCTTTTATGCCTATGTTCGTATGAAGTTTGGCGCCTTTCACGGCTACATCATGTCCACTAGAATCGTGGCGGGGGTCTGGGACTCCAAAGCAGTCCAAATGCTTCGCCAAAAACTCTTTTACGAGTTCGCCCTCTTCATCCTCGGCATGGGCAACCCTCTCATTCTTATGCTCTTCTGGCCGGGGTGGGTTGTCATCTGTGGCACGGCGTGGGCAGCGTGGCAGTTTTGCATTTAAAAACCAGTCATCAAATGCGTCATTTTAATTCTCGAGGATAACGACATCTATATGATCGAAATCTATCTCCCGCTGAAGCGATACACAATACACCAGAACGCCATTTTTATATACAAAAACCGGTGACTCGCATCTGGCTGGCTGCTTGGTACACGACCACCATGACCAGTCTATTTTGAAAAGAAAAATGTGTTGCCACCAGCGTCTTTTCGAACCTCCGATTTATAATCCTTCTCTGCATCAAACTCTTGCCAAGTGCTGGCTGGGTAAATATGCTTATTTTTCTCATACCACCGACGATCCACCACTTTGGTTTCTGTGGCATCTCCATCTGCTCCTTCAAGCAACTCTACTGGCGTTACTGGCTTGGCAGCAGCAGCGCGGGATGCCGCTGTTGACAGGACATCTGCGGACTCTTCCTTTTGCTGTTGGACAGCGACTTCTGGCGCATTAGCGCTGTAGGGGAAGATGAGCTCGCCACCAGGTCCGCGACATTTATTCATCAAAAAGTAGTAAAAGTCATAGTGCTGTGGTCTCTTCGTTAGCAAATATACAGTTAGAATAGTAGAAATCAAAGTCTACTTACGTGTGGGATAATGATTGTTCTCCGCACCAACATCAAGTCGTCAACGCCTACTCGTGCCCAAGCTTTAACCGCGTTTGCCTGTTCTCCGACGCCTAGCTCAGCGCCTACTCGGCGGCTCTTGTCGAGGAAAAGCCATATAAAGTCGCCCTTTGTCATGCGTACCATACCGCCAGGGGTGCTGGCACCATCGTAAAAGACAAATGGGATGGCAATCTCCGTCTGCTTGACTGCCGTCTGAATAGAGATAAATTCCTTTCTCAGAGCTTCTCGTTCTGTAGCTTCTTTGACTAGTGCGGCTTTTGTCATGGATTTCGGAACAATGCCAACTGACGTATTCGCTTTGAGCTTCTTCTTGCTTAACGCACCGCCGCCGGCATCTAGGGAGCTATCGGTTCCTTCGCCATCATCTCCGTCGTCGTCAAAAGAAAGGAGCTTTTTGGCAGTCTTTTTCTTGCTTTTCTTAACAGCTCGCGCTGAAGGAGGCGCACCGTCTCCAGAATCGCCACTTGTTACGTCTGGCGTGGCTGTTTGCGACCGGTCTGGTGTGGATGTGCCTGTGGCGAGGGCATCTTGTTCTCTGCCCTGTTGCTCGAGGACTTCTGCGCGTCGCTTGCGAAAGTCAGATAACGCTACTAGGCCGACGGTCGTAGTTGATAATCGCTCCTGCGTTGTTTTATTCTGCGGCGCAAAGCGCGATGCTGACGGGTCGGACATGGTCGTTGAAGGCATGCAGTTGGGAAACTTTTTTTTTGCCCTTGTTGTCTCAGGATATGACCAGGCAGTCGCCTCCCCCACTAGCGTCATGAGTGACATCACCAACCCGATCTAACGGCCATCACATACCACTGCCGATGACAAATTGGCTTACAAAATATTACAAAATAAAATCAGATTAATATGTAGTAGGAATGTATTTCTTAAATGAAATCACTACGGAAGGGGTTTGCCTTGACGAGTTGCTTGACCAACTAGGGAATGCGTAGTATCATCAGCATATCGCTTATACGCAATAATGTACCTTTCGTCGTCGCTCCAAGTATTTTTAACACTCGGTCTCTCCTCAATTGCCTTGGCCCATTTTCTGTATCGACCCCATTTTTCATCATCGCCTTCTGCGGGAATGCCCGTACCTCCTTCTTTATAGTGATTGATCAACCACAGCCGTCTTTGCCATGGCGCGAGTGAGATGTCAACGAGACTGATTCGATCGCCCAAGTAAAACGGCCCATCAGTGTCCATCTGGTCTACAAGGGCCAAAATGTTTGTCTGGAGTTCCGATCGAGCATCATCCAAAGTGTACGGCTTATCAGGTGTGTGTTGCAGAAGTTTGTAAAAGCCTGGAATGATTCTGGTACTGATGTGGTCGATCCAGAGGCGAGCCCTCGCCTTTTCATACGGTTCGAGGGGAAGGAGGCGAATCCCGTACCGGTCCTGTTCGGGATACGCTTCGTCGAGGTATTCGCAGATGATGTTGCTCTCAAAGAGAGCTTGCTGTGCTGCCCCAGTCCCGTCTGTCGGGACCGCAAGAGTTGGTACCAAACCTCTAGGGTTCATCTTCAAAAATGCTGCTTCTTTCTTGTACGGATTGATTTCGATGTACTGGTGAGGAATGCATTTCTCATGGAGAACTATCCAAGCACGCTGAACAAACGGACAGAACCAACCGCCGTACAGCTTCAGTGGCTCCTCGTCTGCGTGCTGGGCTGCAAATCTAGCTGCTGCGCCGCTTGGCTCAGCGGGTAACGATGTATCAATTGCGGCCATAATGCTGTAGGTGCTGTTGTTGCTTATAGGTTGAGTGTTATTGATTGGTGTCTTGAATGCCAATCGACGATGACATGCCATGCGGGGTCGATCGTGATGCATCTGCATCCTTAACGGAAATAGTTCTCTATCGCGGCACCACGCCTGATCGGTTATGATGAGACTACGAACAATTGTTTCGAAATATTCAAGCTTTGACTTGACTAAATACAAAGTTCAAAATTAGAAATAAAAAATACACAATTTCTCTCTTCCTTGCATTACCCCGCTTAGACGAGCTTCGGCTCAAACAAGGCGACAGGCACACCCTTTCCAGGACATCCAACGAGTTCTGCCTTGTGAAGCTGAGCGGCCCAGTCTCCCCGATATTCAATTCTCTCATACTTTTGCAACAAGCGAACCACTATTGAACGTTAGCAGGTCAGGCAACCAAGGTGGCTCGGCTGATAACTTACAGAAATACGCCATTTCGGTAATGGCAAAGTTTTGCCCGATACAAATTCTTGGTCCACCGTTAAACGGGATATATTGCCAAGGCTTTGGTGTCCAGTGTTCCCATCTCTCTGGGCTGTAGATGGCTGGATCTGCAAAAGTTTCCGAGGTTGGCGGATAGAGATCTGGGCGGCGTTGCATATAGAGCGGGCTGTACATGATTTGATCTCCAGCTAAGACGGTGATGTCCGGCTGACCAGCAGGGCTAGTCAATGTTGTGGTTTCAACTATAATTGTCTTAGCATCGGTGGTTAGGAATCAAATTGGTAGAGTTGCTACTTACCACAGCTGCGAATGTTGTAGGGCACCGCAGGGTATAGACGAAGTGTCTCATTGATGCAATGGGTCAAGTAGGTCATGCCTTTCAGATCATCATAGGTCGGTACGCCATTCTGCCCAACAGTATCCAGAATAGTGTTTCGGAGCTTCTCCCATATTTCAGGATAATGTGAAAGTTCATAGATGGTCCAAGAGAGTGTTGCAGCAGTGGTGTCTCTCCCTGCCAAAAGGACAGCAAGGATTTGGTCACGGAGGACTTGGCGATCCTTTGCAAATGCCGCTACTTGATGTAGGAAAGTGACTTCTGCATCGCCTTTGGTCATGTTCTCCAGTTCGCTTGGACTCAAGGCCATTGCCTTCTCAATGAACGGGTCTATGAACTCTTCCAAGACGGCAATGCCTTTGTAGTATTTGGATTTGGGAATGAATGATCGGATAGGTCTGTTGACAGTCTTAGTCGCATATCCAAAACAATGATTTCAAAATAAATTATACACACAAGAGAATCGTGAGGACCATAGATGCTCGTTGAACATCCGAGAAGGCTTGAGAGAACCGACTTTGAGGGCTAAAGCATGAATCAGCACCACGGTCAGTGACAATAACAGCGTCGATGCTTACTCTTGTAAACTTCCAACACTAGCACCCAACAGGTATTCCGTTGTGACATCGAGAGTCATGCGGTAGAAAAGGTCACAGAGGTCCACAGTTTGGCCAGAGGGTGGAAGCTGTTCAAAGAGGCCGTTGATACCGCGATCGAAGATCTGAAGTTCGCGGATCCTATCCTTGACGAACATAGGTCGGATCAAGGATCGGCTATTTTGCCACAGTTTGCCGTCTGTAGTGAAAATACTGTCTCCAAGAAACGGCTTCCAGGCATCGTGGAAGTCTTCACCTTTGCCAAAGCTGGTAAACTTGCTTGTTAGCATTGTCTTTACATGTTCAGGCTCCGAGGTAGCCATCAATCGATTGCCAAAAAAGACAAGTTCAACGGCCTGCAAGTCTCCGTCCGGGATCTTTTCAAACAGCGAGGCCCAGAAGTCCAGGAGTCGATTCTCATTGTGATGGCGAACACCTCTCAAGGCAATCGAAAGAGCTGTCATGAAAAGGTTAGTCAGATAGCTGCCACATATCGCTGATGATTGATACCCACTTGAGATTGGATTTTCCGACAATATCAGAGCTCTCGTACCTGGCGCTCTCTTAAGTCTGTACCAAAGATAGATCCTCTGGCTAACAAAAAATACCACGCCAGCCACTCCTGTGGCAACTGCTAGTGCTTTGACATCCACGCTGGCGGCGAGCATTGTGCGGGGACAAACAACGTTCCACGTACGCTGTTGGCCTGACTAAGGAACTCAAGAATAAAAAAAAGAGGGAGTATCGACACGTTGCTGAGCTGTAGATTTGAAGCGGTGTGAGGGGGTTTAGGACAAAATGCAATCGCCGGATAGTGAACAAACAAAGTAGCGGGCGGGCGGCTGGCATGTTTTAGAACGGCATCGATCGAGAGCTGCCAGTGACGTCCCCCGCATTTGCGAGCAAGGCACGCTAAGAAATGCGCTAACCTCTCCTGGCCACCGCCACAGAGACCCACTGTCATGGGCCTCCGGCAACTGCAGCACCCTGGCGTTCCTAGACAGTACATATAAGGTACAACCACCATTGGCGTCTATGGCAGTGATGATCAAGTATTTCTCAATTCTAGCTCGGCCACGTTGAGGGTCGAAGGCTTGATGCATTTGCGCTCGCCTGCAAAACAAAAATGATATAATGCAATGCATTGAGGTTGTTTGCACTGCAATTTTGGCATCATTCCGCGTTATGCTGCGGTTGTTCTGCCAGCTGGCAGCGGCAAATGGCAGAATCCGCCACTCGTACATCAAACGGCGCCAATAACAGCCCAACTGCATTCAAACAATGCACCGGTGAAATATTTTGCTGTTTGTCTTTGGCAGTCTATATATCTACAGACTCACCACTACCATGTGAGACTCGCTCAAGCTCGCGCCAAAATCATGATCAAGATGGCAGATGACAGTGATGATACTTCCTCCTACGACACGCCAACCTCACAAGCTTCAGAATCGCAAGCATCTTCAGAAGATGCCTCGTTCGAAGTTCATATGGGTCTTCTCGGTGCCCATGGACCCAGAGACAGCAGTTCTGAGTTGGCAGGGGCGCCAATCTTCACTGAAGCCATTAGACAGCACGGGCTTATGCTTTCTGAGCAGCGCCGCGGAACCGACGAGCCGTTCACCCAATACGGCTTTCTTGGAGCCATTGTGAGTGATTCTAGTGGTGTATCCAGACTCCCGGATCCTCGCCTATTCTATAACGTGGCTGCCCCATCCAGCATATTCATTTGCGGAAGCCAGGGTTCTGGCAAAAGCCATACATTGAGCTGCCTGTTGGAGAACTGTTTACTCCCATCTCGTGCCAACGTCCTCCCCAATCCGCTGACAGGAATCGTGTTCCATTACGATACATTCTTTTCTGATAACTCTGGATCGCCATGTGAAGCTGCCTATCTGTCTTCCAGCCGAGGATTGAGAGTCCGGGTACTGTGCTCGCCAACCAATATTCGTCAAATTGAGGTACAGACCACAATACCCGTTTACCATCAAATACTAACGTTTATTATAGAAAATCTACAGTAGCCTCCCTAACGTTACTGTAGAATCTCTTTACATCGATCAGAGTGATCTCAACACAAAACGCATGTTGGATCTAATGGCGGTTGCATCAGTGCAGGGCGACGCCGCTCCGCTGTACATTTCCACTATTATTCGCATCCTCCGCGAAATGCGTACTGAGCAGCAAGTCACTGGAGAGACTTTTAACTATCAATTATTCAAATCGAAAATGGACTCTCTGGAGCTTGTTAGAGGCCAGAATGGGCCCCTTGGGCAGCGCATTGATATTTTGGAGAGCTTCATGAATAAAGATCAAACGAACAGGCATGTTTCTCGGGAAATGAAAAAGAATCAAGCTTCCAGAGACCGGAACATCTGGAAACCAGTTGTACGTTTGTAATTCCTGATAGGCCGTATCAATGTTCCCCTAACACTTCTCTAGGCTGGCCAGCTAACAATTGTTGATCTTTCGTGCCCGTGTATCACTGCCGACACGGCCTGTGCGCTGTTCAACATTTGCTTGAGCTTATTTATCGAACAGGATAACAGTATTGGTCGTGTAGTGGCCCTGGATGAAGCCCACAAGTACCTGACAGACAGTACGGAAGCAACGCAGTTGACGAATGCGCTTCTCTCGACCATTCGTCTCCAGCGGCACGTTGCCGCGCGCATTTTCATATCTACACAAGAGCCAACAATATCCCCAACATTGTTAGATTTGTGTTCGGTAACTATTGTTCACCGATTCTCATCTCCAGCTTGGCTCTCCGTTCTGAAATGTCACCTCGCTGGCGCATCGAGTCTCGTGGAGGCTGAGAGCGGTGACAGAGATCCTCTGTCTGGACTGGTCGAAGCCGTTGGCCCTCCTTCACCTGGAGTTACTGAGCGCGGCCTATCGAATGCAGCAAGGATTTTCCAAAAGGTTGTGTCATTGCATACAGGTGAAGCGCTTCTTTTCGCTCCCAGTGCCGCGCTTGGTCTTCTTCCAACCGACGCCTTAGGACACAACGAGCGGGACAATACAGCACCGGGAAGTTCGCTTGCAGAAGTTGGGCTAGCCACGAAACGACAATGCAAGAAATCAATTGTTCGACTGGGACACGGTATTTTGAAAGTAAGAGTGCGAAATCGAATAACCGAGGATGGGGGTGAATCGGTTATGGCCTCGTAAGAGACTGTGGCTAGACTTACATAACCACATATTGCTATCTGTCGATCTCTGAGATTAGATTTAGACCTAGCTAGTAGCTGAAGCAAAAACAAGTCGAGAAATAGATTGTGGAAATTATGTCGTTCCTCTCTCCATAAAGTTGCCTGTTTGAGGACCCGCGATATTCGGAGATGGAGGCTCGTCAGTGTCATCCAAAGACGATGCCAAACAAGCTGGTTCGTCCTTAGACATAGAAACAGCTACTTGTTTGTATCTGGATATCTCTCAACCGACGTGAGAAGCTGAAAAGAATAGCAGTTACTTGGTAAAAGTTTACTTTTTGCTTTTCATTAAATGCGAAAATTGTATCCTTAGAATTACCTCCTACACCCAAGGGCAATGCATAAAAAATAAGAGTGAGAGAGCAAGTGTTCCCCATGCCCTCCAAAGAATGAATACAAATCCTCCCCCAACTGCCCTGTACAGAAAACAATCAAGTGTAAAAACGCCGTAGGAATCCCCAGGTAGATACATGCCTCTTTATATGCGTCCGCAGCAAACGCCAGTTTTTCCTATATGTTCAAAACAGACCGTCCTTCGGCATTCTATCCTCCTGCCACTGCCACCACCACCGCCTCATCCTCTAGCCCGACTTGGCCTTCCATTTCTTCAAGTAGTCGCTCGATACGGCTTCGCAGCTCTCGCGGCCCGTGGCTGTGCAGCCAGCAAACATGGCAACAAAGTCGCCGTCTTGGTATGGATCGCCCATGTTGGCTCGGAGGTACGAGGCGAAGGTTCGTTGAGGGACGAGGGCCAGCTTGGCCAGAATTGTCGCGTGCCATTGAACAATATGTTCCTGAGAAAGAAGTTAGCATGCACATAAATAGTTTCCATGCAAAGAGTCCACGTACAAGAGCGTGGCGCTCAGCCTTTTGGAAGTTGTATGATCTGTACAAGGGATCCATCCAAGTCTCCAAGAAAAATTTAGCCCATTCGCCATTACGCAGTATGATATTGTTGTGAACAAGGCCCGTCTTATCTTGCGACAAGATCAGATCAATGTCGTTGGCGCGGAGATGGCCAAAAGTCTTGATAATCGAGTCGGGGGGAACAACAGGGTGGTCCTTGATTTTAAGGCTGTCTAGCTTGCTGTTGGACAAGACAACGGATTCAAGAGACTTTGAAATGTCCATGATATAGGCATCCTGGTCGAGGTACCAAACGTATTTGCAGTCAGGGTACTTGGTAAGAGCGTGGCGCATGGCCATGAGCATGGACCATGACGACGGTGCGCCCTGGGTGTCGTACGAGTAGGCGTTGACAGTAAACTCCTTGTAGCCTATGAATTCGGTTAGAAGCTAGGGTTCAGTGCCTGATTTAGGACGCTTTCAGCTTACCATGCGTCTTTGCATACAGCTGGCGGTTCTCCTTGACCGTATCGAGATACTCCTTGCTATAGTGTTTGTGGTCCAGCACTGTCACCATAACCACAGGCGGGTTGCCTGACGGCTGACGCTCATGATAGGGATTCTTTTGGCTGGGCCAGAATAGGAGATAGACAATCGCAATAAAGGCGAGCAGACTGAGCGAAATCGTTCTCAAGCGGGCGCGACGAGGAACAGCGAATCCCGAGCCAGCGGCGCGGAAAGGCGGCGGGTTCGAGCTCTTCCGCGGGGGGTAAGCGAAATGCATCGCTTTCGTATGGGCTGACCTGGTTAGAGGTCACGAAAACGCCTTGTGTCTGTTGAATTGTACAGATTCGTGGGGGTATATGGTCTGTTGAGCAGCGTTGGTTGCCAACAGTAAAGTCAATTGCAGGGGTAGATCGCTCGGTTGGTCGAGTATCGTCAGAGTCGCCCTGAGAGAGTAGTCGTCAAAGAATGCGATTTCTCGTGAATATGAGGGCGTGGCTGTCGAGCAGCAGGAGATAATCGGTCAAAGGGGGAGCCTTTGAGGTGATGGCGATATAAGGTGCCACTGAGATCGAAGCTCGTGATATCGAAAGGCGCAAGTTTCCAAAGGGATAAAAGCCGAAGAAGAAGTTAAAAGAGAGCGACAAGAAAGAAGGCCAAGGGCACACGCGCCGTTGGTAGTGATGTAAGAATGACAGCTGGCGGTGCGGCAAGGGAAATGGAGCCAATGGAAGCCTTATCCTTTTGCTTGTCCAGCAAATTAACGCCTTTGAAGATAATACGGGCAGGCCAGGGGGCACCCTTCGCGAATGGCATGACGGCCAGCACACTTTTTGGGTAGCGCCGGAGCCGGGCCCACGAAAGACCGAGCACAGCACAGCATAGCGCAGTGTAAGGGGGGCAAAGAGGAAAGGGGGGACACGGTGCTGGAAGAAGTATTAGCGAATCCTTCCAGAGGGATGAGTGGGTTTAAAAAATATATTATTATGTAGGAGCATAATAGTATAGGATTACAAGATTATACAATCTTCGATTTAGTATAATATTTTAACAAAGGGACAATTGCTGGCCGCAACATCACCTAGTCGTATACCATACAGAGAACGGACGCTACTACGATGTAAAACGGTGTTACAGCCTTGTAGTCAAAGCTCCAGCTCATATGCTTTGTTTTCTACTAGTCTCACGGCGATAGTTACACACTACGCGAGCAGGGTCATTCACAATGGACATATATAGATGAATAAATGAAAAAAAAAATGTGCCAAGGAACTGTTATAAGCTACGCAACACCTGGCGCTGGAGTGCACCGAGTAGCCCAATAAGACAACACCGAAGCAAAAAAGGCAAGACAAAACGCCACGCCAATCTTCAATGCACTTCCCTTGGCAAGGTTTCCCACCGATCTGTACGAATGTGTATATACCAAAACGGTAATACTCTTCAAGATACTGGCAGGATGGGGTTCATCTTCGCACACAGACTAGTTGACTCGATACGGAGGAGCATAGCTCAAGGCAACTTAAGAGTGTGCGGTTTCATACAAACACGCAAATAGCATAAAGGCATAGCACATGGGCGCCCAGTGAGAGAATCTGTAAAACATGTATTAGACTTTCTAGGATTGACCTGCTGCATTGGCTGTGTCGTCAGCCTCTGCCTTTGGCTCTGGCTCTGGCTCGGGTTCGTCGCCGTCGTCATTTACGTCGAGCACCTTGTCCCGCACGCTCTGTAGGATCCTGTCGCTCAGCATCCGCACGCCTGACCAGATACCCTTGAGAGCGGCAAATGCGCCAATCAGCACAAGCACTAGCGAGATATCTTCGACGCGGTCTCGGCCGTTGCCGCGTCTTCGGCGGCCACCAACTCTCATAGCCCAATGCCATGGAGACATCATCAAAGTGGATTTGATAACCCCAACAACGCCCAATGAAAAGAATCCCTTGAGCCAGTGTTCCAACCATGATCCGGTAGATTCGTAAATCGGGTCGTATAAAAGGTCATTGTCGTCGTCGCCGAGAACGCCAGCAACACTGTCACCGATGGTTCCAAAAGGATCCATCCACAAGTTGAAGATTGGGTCAGCAACAAAGCCCAACAGGAAGACGGAGATGACAAAAATGACAATTGTGAGCAGTGCCCGAATCAGCTTGGATCCCAACAGCGATGCCCACTGCAGACGGACAAGCTTGTACTGATACAAGCACGTAGGGCATTGCCACAGGTTGGCGCTCGCATCCGGGCTGCCCTTCCTCCATGCATTGAGGCATCCCTCGTGGACGTATTTCTGTGTACCTTTGCATTTGCAAGGAGAGAGTAGTCGTCCTAGCTCCGGGTCGTCAGACTCGTAAATGGGCTTTGTTGACGATGCAGATAGCCCCAACGATGTCCTAGTCGTTGACCGGAACTTCGCGGTTTCTGTATCGAGGCAGATTCGGCAAGTTCGGGGCGGGTAGAAGCCACGTCGTCTGGTAGGTTCCGGGCGAGGCGGCTCTGGGACCTCAGGTGCTGAATCGTCTTCCTCGTGAGCCGACGGACTGTCGTCTTGCTGCCTTCGCTGGCGAAGCCCTTCATCATCAACCGCACTCCAATTCCATTGTGATTGAGTATCCATCAGAAGACGGGGTTCCTATGTGATGTGTAGTTTGAGTTGGGGTTTTGCTGCCAGCGTAGAGGCTGCTAGAAAAAATAAAGGAAACTGAGATGCCCAAAGCGTGACTTCACAAAGCGTAGTCACACGCACGGCATGTTTCAACCAGCACGGTCCATTGAAACAGAGCCCTGGTGGTTGAGGCTCAGCCAAGAAGCAGGCGCAGTTAATAATAAAACGGAAGACTGGCAAAGAGGCCACCTCATCGAGCCTGCGTCATAATTTTTTATTGGGCGGCGGGAAGCTTCTACCGTCCGCCCCGGTCGAGATTGGTGTAGGTGGCGGGCGACCCTCTCCACCCGTGGTCGGAACCGGCAAAACCTGGCCTCCGCTGCCCGCTACAGCTCTGGCAAGCTTGACGCGCAGGTCGTCGTGCCTAGAGGTCCGGCCAGTTTAGTTTGGCTTGGGGCAGCATCAATCCGCATCGCATCACTCTCCGCCATCACAATCAACAACATTGAAGCTACGCAACAGTCACAGATTAAGCTGTAGCCTCTCCAGAAACAATGGCGGACAGATATTCCTTCTCTCTCACAACATTCTCGCCCAGGTACGCCTCGTCTCGCCTTGCTCCTCCCGCCTGCGTAGGAATGACGTTGCTAACATCTAAATAGTGGCAAGCTGGTGCAGATTGGTATGTCCTCCCTAGCATCCGAAGAGGTTCTATTGCGTTTCCAATAGCTGCTCAAAGCGATGCAATCGCCCGAATACAACCCACTAACTCGACGCTCCAGAGTATGCGCTCAACGCTGTCAACCAGGGTATTACCGCCCTAGGCATCAAAGGTAAGCAAGCTTCCCTTGACTACCCAAACCATGTACCGTTGTTCGTCAAGCTCACACGAAGCCATTTAGCCACAAACGGTATTGTCCTCGCTACCGAAAAGAAGTCGTCATCGCCATTGGCCGACCAGAGCTCCCTGTCCAAGATCAGCACCATCACACCCAACATTGGCACCGTCTACTCCGGCATGGGCCCTGATTACCGAGTCCTGGTCGATCGCGCGCGCAAGGTTTCACACACCGGCTACAAGAGAATCTATAACGAATACCCCCCGACCCGCATATTGGTGCAAGATGTCGCCCGAGTGATGCAGGAGGCAACCCAGTCCGCTGGTGTCCGCCCTTACGGTGTCAGCATGCTCATTGCCGGCTGGGATGACGGTATTGAGCCCGAGAACGAGGAGGAGGGTGCCGATGAGGATAACGGCGAGAAGAAGAAGACCACAAAGACTGGCGGCATTCACAAGGGCGGTCCTATGCTTTACCAAGTCGACCCCACGGGCAGCTACTTTCCCTGGAAGGCTACTGCCATTGGCAAGAGTGCAACCAAGGCCAAGACGTTCTTGGAGAAGCGTTACTCTGAGGAGCTTGAGCTCGAAGACGCCATCCACATTGCCTTGCTCACTCTGAAGGATAACATTGAGGGCGAGATGAATGGCGACTCGATCGAGATTGGTATTGTCGGTCCTCCCGCTAACCATCTGCTGGGCATTGAGGGCGTTGAGGGAGCTGAAGGCCCCCGCTTCCGTAAACTGACACCTCAAGAAATTGAGGATTACTTGACGAGTCTATGATAGCGTTCGACGCAAGATGAATGTATAATAGAGGACGACAAAACAATTCAATCAAATAAAAGAACGTCGGCTAAATGCTTTATGTTTCTATTATATTTGCTTCGCTGTGATGATGAATGATGTTCGCGGTCCAGCCGCGACTCTGCTAATTACGTTGCCCGTTGGGGCCTGAAAGTCCAACTTTGTCCAATCGTCCACTCTTGATACAGAAGCGTCGCCGAGCCCCAACTGCCCATTGCTATTACTTCCAATAACATAGACAGTCCCTTCTGTAGTAAGTGCTATAGCATGACCATCGCCAATGGCTACATCAGCAATGTCTGTGTCGTAAGCTACAGCAGCATAGTTGGGCATGCCCTCCAAGTTTGACAATGCTTGTGGCTGGCGATGAGTACCACTAGAGGATCGACCCCAAGCATATATGCAACCGCTCTTTGTTAACGCTGCTAAAGTATATGAGGCAGCGCTGATGTGTGTTACGGGATCGTCCAGGCCCTCCAAGTCGTCCACTGTTGCAAGCGCATTGCTTGGTCTGAGCGCGTTGTTAGTAGAAATCGCCATACATCGCGGGATGTAATCACGTACTGCTTGTCGGAAACCTCCCTACCCAAACATTCTGGGAAGCGAGGGTCTCCCATAGTAGCAACAGTACCATCAGTGTACAAAACCGCAAACCCTGTGTCGTATGCTGCCATTTGTACCACGGGTTTGTCTAAAGCTATCTCCACGTCGGGTACCCCAGTCCTTTCGAGGCGTAACTTTGATGTTTGCCGTACTGTAGAGTGTTCAATAGGACCATATAGTCGACTCCCACTTGCTGAAGCAACAGAGTGAAATTCAGCTTCGTGTTCTGGCACCGGGCGAGCTGTTTCATAGCCTAGCCTTGTGTACTGCCTGTCGTGTCGGACTACTACAGTTAGTACACGGCTGGTACACTTTTACCAGAAGATAAAGTCGAATCAATACCTAGAGTAGACATGATTGTCGACACGGGCGGCTGGATTGTCTGCCCCCGCAAGATGCATTGGAACGTTTGCACATCAGCGACGTGATCAGCTTCGACACCGGAACTGCGCACAAGCTGCTGCCAGGCATTGCATCCGGCTGCGTACAGCTCCATAGTCAGACCGGGCGCTAATCACTAGTAGCACGGGTTTCATTACACAGTAGAGGTAGGTAGAGATGGTCAAGAAAGCAATGTATTTCTGTTCATAGAGCGGTCCACTTTAAGGTGCGAGGCAGCAACTACGCTATATTTAGCTAACACACCAACTGAATATCCTCAAAGGGACCTATCAACCAGATGATGCGATTTCTCTGAAGCGTTATTTTCGTTTTTGCTCAATCCAGTCTCCGGGTGTCTTTCACTTAGAGGCTCAAATAGTCTCTGACGCGCTTTCTTTTTTCCGCGGAACTGTTGCCGTAACCCAGGTACGCGGTTACTGTAATAGTTCTGTCCCATAACCCTACGTTCGAGCAGTTGTCGTCGCGCTATCCGTAGGTTATGATAACGCTTGTGATATGAGGGGCCGAATCTCAACGCGAAAGCCTTGAGTGGAGTTCCAAGCTCAATAATGGGTTTGACCAAATTCTGATAAACTTTCCATTTGTCCTCTTCGATCTGCAAATTTCGTCAACTCCAGGCTCCCAGTAGTAGTGAGGATTCTCTTCTCTGCGACTTATATCCTCAATCCATAGCGTCAAACGCGGCAATAAAATCTTTTTAGACATAATTTCAATGCTTTCCAGCCATTCTCTTTCAAATTTCCTGTCCACCACATTCTCATCTAGATCTGAGTACCACAGACCATGTAAACGAACGTGTATCATCCGCATGTGGCGATACGCTGCTTCTAGGAAACGAGTTAACAACATAGTTACCTTTTGACTCCAGTTTTCGTCGTCACGCTCTTGCTCTGTGCGCCAGTCTATTTGAAAGACGTTTTGCGAAAAGATGATCTCTAGCCCGTATATATGGAATCTGTGGTTGACGAGAAACAGAGCTTTCGGGTTGACCCAACACTGACAATTTCGATCCGTTGAAAACGCACGCCATAATACGGTGCAGAAGCATGCCTCTAAGGTGTCTGTGCACTGCCTACAACATCTTACAGGTGCAGTGTTAGTAACAGGCGACCATGGCGCAGTACCCTCGGGATGTACCAATTGCGTGTGGCTGAGTACACGCATTTGTAGCTCAACAGGAAGTTTTAAGAAGGGAAATGAATGGCTGGAATATTTTCGCACAAGTTTAAGTGCTGTCTCCTGAGCAATATCAGCCTGGCGGGTGTCTGGCCGTTGACCCAGCCTCACTTCGCACGCAGTAAGTCTGGGTAGGCACGTCAAAGGCTGCACAATGTGCTCGGTAGTCGCTTCGTCAGCACAGTCCCATATTATGCCGAGACGTAATTTGCCAGATAATGTATAGCTTCGTTCCATAAGCTAAGCGTTTGTTTGCTCTTTGAGCGAGGACCGTTGAAGTTAAGGAGCAAGGGAGCGACATTGCCGTGTTTAGGTTCGTCGTGGCAAGTCCTGCAGCAGCTATTCCGGAAACCAGGAACTTGCGGTCTCTCAAGCGAATCGATGTTCATACAACAACATCGATTTAGTCGAACCGACAATGACCTAAGACTTTGTACCGCACGGGAACTCAGCTGTAACAAGGGCCTTAGACCTTGAGGCTGAGTTCGACAAATTCTGAACCTGTTTTCTGTATATATCATATCAAATACTTCGTCATAGATGATGCGACAGATGCGAAGAAGTACCATCGGCAGTTTGGGGCAGATACAGTCTAATTTTTCGGCACGAAAGCAAAACCTTCTGGGACGACGGGGAGAACACAGCTTGGTATTTACACTCCACCAAAGATGCATACAAAAACGACCTTGTAGCGCGAATCATTTGGGTAGATTGGAAATCTACACTCTTTTGCACGTAAGCTGAATTGTCGATGCTCTCGGTATTTATGTTGATTGGGCACACGCGCACGAGTCCTGCTATAATCTACACGTGCCGCCGTACAGTGTATGGCAGGTCAAGAAAAGAGGTCACCATCTGAAGCGTTTTGACTGGACAAGAATTGTTTGCAGAATATGACAGCGTCTTCGAAATATCGCTAAAGACAGGTGTTAGCCAGTTAATGTATGAGTGACGGATGTTGAAATGCTTGATTTCTCACATACCCGCAACTCTGTTGATTCTAACCAGTAAATTGATTTGTGCAAGGTTTGTGCAAACGCTGAAATCATCGAGTTTCACTTTGATGCGGCCACCCGACAGTTACCAGGTGTCGAGTTGCCAGGTGCCAGGTGCTAGAGGCGATGCAGGAGGCCCACCAAATGCGCTGCGACAGCCAACTCAGCGCACCATCACACCCTCTTTTCTTCGCACACAGTACCTATCACAAGCAAACACGAACGCGTAATGGCGCCTTGGACATTTTCTAATATCTAATTTATTTTTTATAAGAACAGCAATGATTTCCACGACCCACGAAAACCTGACATCGTATGCATAGCTCCTTTTCAACCTCACTTTCACGGCGCTACCCTAGGAGTCACGGAGAGAACGTATTACAGTGGTGAGCCTCGCATGATGAGTTCGGAGGACAATCTTAACGATTTTATGCCTATTGAGCATAAAGTAGAATCGAAAGAGAATTTCCATGGCACCACTATAGACGATATTGCATCAACTACCGAGCGCAATGAGACAAGCGGCGTCATTGCACGCGCCTACCAGCGAGAGATGCTGGAGAAGAGTTTGCAAGGAAATACCATAGTAGTGGTCAGTACTTTTAAACACAAAATCATTGTCTTTATTTCACTAACAGATGGCCTAGATGTACACTGGAAGCGGTAAAACACAGGTGTAGGCTATATCCTTGCTCGTCTGTGTTTGCATCTCCTCAACTGACACACAAATAGCGCCATTGATCGAATACGTTTGGAACTAGAACGATGCGAAAAACACAAAGTAAGTCTATTAGCCTATAAAACCATTATTACAATAAATAACACATTGGTTAGCTGGTTTGGTTTCTGGCACCAACAGTCCTTCTATGTGGTCAACAGTTCAACGCCATAAACCTTCAGATGCCATCCGTCTCTATGAAGATTCTCAGTAGTATGGAGAACGTTCATACCTGGGGACCTGACATTTGGCGTGCTATTCTCAAAGATGTGCGTGTCATAGTATCTACATTTCAAGTTTTATACGACGCTCTGGCTCACGGCTTTGTCACCATCGACCAACTTGCTCTCATCATCTTCGACGAAGGTACGTGAAATCTAGTAACATGAATCACCAGCATTCTAATGATCCAAAGTTCATAACTGTGTTGGAAAGCACCCTGGAGGAAAAGTGATGGCAGACTTCTACCACCCTGCGCTACAGTCTGGCCTCACGACGCCTGCCATACTGGGTCTAACCGCAACACCTATTATGCAGTTTAAAATGAGGAACCTTCAGGAACTGGAAGCTTTAATGGATTCCAGATGCATAACTCCTAGTCTTCATCGGAGCGAGCTACTTGAGAGGGTTAAGAAGCCCCGTTTATTGATTTTCAGCTTTGAGTTACAAGAGACAGTGTACACCTCAGCCATGCTTTCCATGAAGGCGGAATTGGAAAATCTGGACATTATGAACGATCCGAGGGTTATATCCCTTCAACGAGACCCAACAGACGCGAATCGCCTGACGTTAGAAGAAGTCATTTTTAAAAAGAATACTTATTCTATGACAGAGCTTCGCGGGTTGAACAACCGCAGCTGTGATATCCAAAGCCAGCTCGGATCCTGGGCGGCAGACTACTTTTTGCATGAGGCAATATCCTCATTCTTACACAGGTTTCACAGACATGTGACAGATCAGAATGATGCTTCTAGAGACGAAAGGCGATATGTCGCAGATAAACTGATGAAGGTTAACGTCTCGGAACCTCCAGTACGACCACAAAGCAGAAAAGACATATCCCAAAAAGTTATTTTGCTGTTAGAGGAACTTCTAAATTGCGAGGATGATACGGTTGGTATCATATTCGTCCGCGAAAGAGCGACGACCTCGGTCATGGCTGCGCTGCTATCATCATTCCCTCAGATTCGAAAACGGTATTCAATTGGCTCCATCATCGGAACGTCCAACTTTGGCAATCAGCATATTTATGACTTGTCGCATGTAAACGACGTCAAAGTATTGCAACGGTTTCGCGCTGGAGAGATAAACTTGCTCATTGCAACGTCGGTTTTGGAAGAGGGCATCGACGTTCCTGCGTGTAACTTGGTAGTCTGCTTCGATTTTCCAGCTACCCCAAAAGCTTTCATTCAGCGAAGAGGAAGAGCGCGAATGAACGACTCGAAAATTTTGATGTTTACAGAGCAATCGGAACAGAAAGTCAAGCAGTGGCAAAGTCTAGAAGAGGAGATGAACGAGCTGTATCAAGATGACCAACGAGAAAGACGGCAGCTGGAAGACTTGGAGAGCAAAAGTGATGGCGTGCAAAACTACTACGAGGTGCCAACCACAAAAGCACGCCTTGACTATGATAACGCAAAGCAGCACTTGGATCACTTTTGCAGCTCTCTGGCGCCCAAGCATCTCTCAGATAATCGACCACAGTACGTTATGGAGCGACATGCACTTAGCGTGAAAGCAAGGGTTATCTTGCCCAACTTTGTTCCTCATGAGTTGCGTCAAACATACGGAAAACTGTTTTGGACTTCTGAAAAGCAGGCCACTAAGGATGCAGCTTTTCACGCATTAATTGGCCTCCACAAAGCAGGCCTGATCAATGGCCATTTGCTCCCCCATAGTCCAAATGACTTGATCAAATGTGAAATGCGCGAATCCGTTATCAGTGTTCTACCTCTGATGAAGCCTTGGCCAATAGTAGCAAAAGCATGGAAGGAATCTTGCGAACGTTGGGTCTACCAAGTTGATTGGTACGAGGATGGCATTTGGGCTGGAAAGTACCAACTAACTTTGCCAGCTTTCATGGAACATATACCTGACATTACCTTTTATCCAGATTATGGGCTAACCTCAAAATTAGTCTTCAGCAACCCTCGAGGCGTTTCGAAAGATGAATCAGATGCAATGGCGGATGACACACCGATGCTTGTGGCACTTAATTTTGGCCATCGGTGGACGCTTGAGGATATTCCACAAGTCATACAGCTTTCGATTCCTGAAGAACGATTCTCTTTGTCAGATATTGGAAACGTGCCATGCGACTCTGACAATGTCGATATAAGGTCAGGTAGCTTCCTCATCAGAGACAGTTCCGGAAGCCCTTGCACATATGTTGGGACCCTATCCGAGAAGCCACCTATGTCCGACGTACAAAAGCCTTTTCATGAGTATGGTGAAGCTCCGGAAGGAATACCTTATGTTATTCTTAAAAAGTGGCCGCGGCGGACCGATATGCTGCATAGTTTAAAGGCTGATCCAGAGAATGACGCAAAGTCGGAGAAGCCATATCAGAGGGTGCTGCCGTTGTCTTGGGCTGTCATGGACTCTGTTCCGATCCGTCATGCGCGGTTCGGGAAGCTGATACCGTCACTCATACACACCCTAGGAACACAGCTGATTGCAATGACGCTTTCTGGTTCTTTGAGGTCATCTTTTCATCTATCTGATACCCCCCGGGTTAGAGAAGCCATCTGTGCCAGAAGTGCAAACGAGGCGTGTGATTATGAAAGGCTGGAGTTTTTAGGTGACGCCATTCTTAAATACTGTGCTACAATCCAAGCAGCATCTGCCAGTAAGGACATAAACAAACCAAAGAGCGGTGACCGAGGACAAAAGCTGACTAGATGGTACAGATTTAAAATGGCCAGAAGGGTATCTGTCAGCATATAAGGATGGTCTTGTATCAAACTCACGCCTTTGCCGAGCGGCCGTTCAAACTCATCTTGCGCAATATATAATTGCCAAGCCATTCACCGGGGACAAATGGCGGCCACTGTATGTGGAGCACTTACTCAAAGAGGTAGAAATACCAGAACATTCAAGGCAGCTATCCACAAAAGTACTAGCTGATGTTATTGAATCGCTTATTGGCGTCTCGTACCTCGAAGGCGGGGTTTCCACGGCTCTTAAATGCATCTCCTACTTTATCTCTGATTCGACTTGGGACGGTGTCCAAAGGGGTAGAGAGATAATGTACAACGCGGCCCGTGACGACGTTGTTTTATCGCCCCTATATGAAAATCTCCAATCGATTCTCGACTACACCTTCAAAAAGCCAGCCCTTCTTATGGAAGCCCTGACTCACGCATCGCACGGAGCGGATGCTAAGAGTCGCTCCTATGACCGCCTGGAGTTTCTCGGGGATGCGATCCTGGACAAGCTGATTGTGACGCGGTTGTTCGATGTCCGCCCACCGCTAAAGAATAGCCAAATGCACAGCTTGAAAACAGCTATGGTGAATAAAGACTTTCTCGCTTTTATCATTCTTGGTGAGCACGAAAGTCAAGAAAGCGACGTGACAGTCGTCAATGGAAGTGATGGACAGCCGGAGATTGTCGAAATCACAAAGACAACATCGATCTGGACATATATGCGTCACAGTTCCATGTCAATTGGCTGTGAGCAAGCGGCAGCAAAGGAACGGTATCTGAACCTAAAAGATAGTATAACGAAGGAGCTCTCCTATGGTGGCCGATTCCCATGGCCGCTCTTGGCACGGGTACACGCGCCAAAGTACATGTCCGACCTTTTTGAATCTTTGCTTGGCGCGATTTGGGTAGACTCCGATTCTTTGGACCCTTGCAAAGCAATGGTGGAGAGACTTGGTATAATGAAGCACTTGGATAGAATGGTTGCGGACGAAGTGCGGATGCTGCACCCCAAGGAAGAATACGCTATCGTTTCAGGAAGTGAGCGCGGGAGATACAACACGACACTTGTGGACTCTATGGGTGATGAGAAGGAGTATGCTTGTGAGTTGTATCTAGGGGAGCGACTGGTAGTGGAAGTTCAAGGCGGTGTGAGCAGAGAAGAGGCTGAAGCTACCGCGGCGGCTTTGGCCATTGATATATTAGAGCAAGAGAGGAACGCGGTGATGGATATATCCTCAGAATAACGACTAACGATAAAGAAACAGGTCCTTATATTGCAATTGAACTCCATTTTTAGTACATACGACCGTGGATTTAAGAGTGTTATATCCCCTATGGTAGTTCCTGTACGTCCAAGGTAAGTTGAGGCCGTCTTTGGTGGGTGTGCGATATCCAACCCATTCCAATTTGCCAGATTTCTGTTCTCGGGTCAAATGGCTATTGTAAATATCTCTGTATCAGCGTGAAATTAGATAACGGAACGGATCGTCGTCCTTTTTCGATAATTTGGATAAGCATGTCCTTATCATGTTGTGTTACGGCAGATTTGCATGCTTGTCGGAGGGGGTTAAGGGTGTAAGCCACATAGTTTGGCTTTGTCGTAAAGTTCATACCACCAATACACTCAATAATGCGCCTGACAGACGCTTGGATAGCCCTGGTGAGCGGCTTCTCCGCGGTGTGTACACATAGGTGTAGCTGTAGTAGCGCTGTATGGTGATACGCTTCGTCGAGCAGCCAAAGGTCTTGATTCGCTTGGGCGGAGAGATATGGGTTAGAAATAATAGTCCACGTACGCCGGTGTAGCAGCACGTTTATAAATTTAACCAGCCGAATATAACTGATGTATACGGGGCTGGATATGTCGTGTATGAGAGTCGGATCGGCTTTGTGTTTCCGGTAAAATTCGCGAATAAGTTCCAGAACTGGACTTAGTGCCACAGAGATCCCTGTAAGATGACAGATATGATTGACAAAGGTCATTGGATAGTTCTCCCTCTTGGCATTGATGTCGCCTGAGTCGCTGTTAAATGTTATCAACTTGTACCCGTGACACCAGCGCGCAAGGCATTCCGATTCAGTTGTGACAGGGTATTTTTCGAGGTACTCTCGCAAGGCAAGCGCACCGTCTAGATAAATGTGCCAGTTTTTAGGAGCCTTCAATGCGAACATGTTGGCAAGTGACAGCAACAGACTCGCTGCCAGGGAAGCCACAGCTGTGTCAGCATCCGGTGGTTTATTGAGGCTCTCCCTGAGCCAGTGAATAGCCTTGAGGCTCAACTTGGTAGCTTCTTCCTCGTCTTTCAAATCTTTGCTAGTTGATGCTCGGTATGATAGCGCCAGTGTAAGGAGAGCAGCAAGGGTAGGCTGGCTGCTATGCGCTATTGGCAGCACGGCTGCACAGAACTCCTGTTGCCCGTATGTAGTGGTACAGAGGGACAGGGTTAGCTCATGTTGAAAGTAGTAGAGCAAGCTCCTGTGCTGTGGTGAGATGTGAACAACGGTCGGCTCCGTAGGGTTAGGCTGCAAGAACGTGTTGATGAATAGCTCCAGTTGTGCCAATTCTTCAAGTACGATCTGTGTTGCTCCATCAAGTGGCTTCTCATTGCCTTTGACCGCCAAAGTGACATTGTCACCATTATCGTTGGAAGCGTCACTTCTGATCACATCGCTTGGGCGAACGGTGTTTGTTAAGGTATCAGTGCTGGGGTTGCACTGCTGCTGGCTCTCCTGTGCGTGAGTTCGCCGATTTGATTTGCAGATTAGCCTACCGGTACTGACGGAAGTAGGAAAGGCCAGCTGTGTCTTGTGATTTCTACCACCTGTGAACGGTTAGAATTTAGGACCAAAATAGATTTGACACGGTATAAATCAAGAGAGACGAGCCAAAGTAAGAGAACGACAAAGCGGAGCCGGCTAGCTATTGCAAACGTATAGGTCAGGAAAAGATGTACACGCTCACTAAAGCGCCAGCTTAATTACATACGCATAGATCCCGACAAAAGAAGTTTCTCGTAACTTACATGGTATCTTCTGGCGCTTTAGGCGGGTACTTCGTCGGAGCCGCCGCCCGGCATCAACATAGGCCCCCGAAGAGGTGCCGGGCGATAACGAGTGCTCCGCCATAGTGCCAAATGATGTGTTTCAGATTATGCGACTTGTTCCATCAATAATCTGTGCTATGATTGCTTGCGACGGGTGCGAGGTGCGAGGTGCGAGGGAAGAGTTGAGGAGTTTGACACGAGCGCTAGCGGCTGGTGGGTTTACTCCGAAGCTGTCGTGCGGCTGAACCTGCCAACGGCTAATTACCTTAATAGTCGAGCCATACCAAGTCAAATCATAGAGATAAATAGATTTTCAATGATCTTGGGTAAATGCAAGAGGGTTAGCTGATGCTCTCGAACCGAGTTGGGGCGAACTGCAGCGGGCGTGGGCTCATATTATGCTCTCGAGATAGCTATTCTAGTTATTATCTTATATAATTCACCTTGTATATAAATTGAGACTATATTGCTTCATGTCAGATACTGTATATTCAAAGTCTGAGTAGTGCCACTGGTATCTAGCCAACGGTTTTCCCCGATTCGCCATCACCAGCAGGAATCCACTTGCGCAACACGTTCTCGATATATGCTCGAGGAATACCTGAACTCAGGGCATCGGCAATCGCATGGTTCATACGAATGACGTATTCTTTTCTGGGCTCTCCAACCGCTGTACGCTCATGGCTGATGTAGACGATTGCCGCCACAATCCTGGGTGCTTGGGCAGGATCCGCCGGGTTGTCGTCCGCCTCTTGATCCCATAGCTGAACCTGCACGATCTCCTTGGTGAAATGCACGGGCATTCGCTCGAGAACATCGAGTGCCGCTTCGTCTTCAGGCTGCAAAGAGTACGCCAGACCCCAGACTTCGTCGTCGTCGGACCCTTGGATGATGTTGGCGCCACCCTGCGCCGCGATAAACCAACGATAGCCTGGTAGGCGAGCTATACCCAGGTATTCCGAAGTGTGGCAACGATTCTTTACTTGTTGCTTCCAGATGTTGCTACCGAAGCCGAGGTAAATAGTTGCAGCCTTTGCAGTGGACGATGTTGCCGTCATTTTAACCAGGGCGATGATTTGCGCGTCGATGACCGTAGGTTGAATCAAGACACCCACAAGTTAACTGATGGTGTTCCAAAGATCCTCTACAAGACGTACTTCAAACTATGGGGACAATGGGGAGTTGGGATTGACAGATGACGTGATTGTTGCAGGTGGGCTCCCACTTCCGTCTTGCGTCCGGCTATCAAATAAGCATCTCCATGGGGATATCTAGCATCAGCGAGTTGCAGACTGAGGGTCTCTTGCTGTCTGTGTTGTAAGATATTATGGAGATTATGAGCAAGGAAGTTTCATAGCCAGTAAATCGGCACTGGAGCAAGGGAAACATACTTTCTTAGCAATCGAATCCGATATAAAGATGGCAGAAACACGCAGCCCTAACAGACTAAATTTAATAGCTAAGTTACTAAACTACTGATAACGTACTGCCCTGGCCTACTGTCAACCCTGCCACCCACACATCACGCGTGAGTACGGTCGCCTCCCCCCCAGCCTTCCTACTTCAAATACGTCACTTCGCTTGAATTGCGTAGTTCTCTTACTGTAGTATCATCATGAATCACACACTACACCGTACCTCCATACTGCCCTGCCCTGCTCTGCTCTAGTCAATGTATTGTTTAACCTCGTCAAACTTCCACTTAAATGCATCCCCAGTCGGGTGATCCTCCAATCTCAAAACAGGCTTCCGATTGTCTGCGTCAGAGGGCACAATGAAAAAGTACTTGTTATTCAGTTGCAAGCCGGAACGAAGCAGACCGCCAACCTGGTGGAACCACTGCTGCTCCGTCCTCGCCTCACTGCATGCTGCCATTTGCAGCACTGGCGGATTCTTAGCCAAATCAGAAGCGTCTCGGCTGACTGCGGCCAAGCACAGTGTCTCGTCTACAGCTGCCACAAGATTCTGGCCTCCTTGAAGCCAGGCCTCTCTTCTCAGCATCAGGCAAGGTTCCAAGTGAGGCTCCGAGGACAATGAGGTGCCGGGTACCAGGCAGTATTGCGGGTTTGGGCCCAGGTTCTGGATGAGGATTGGCGAATTGCAGCTGCCAAACTCTTTCTGGCATCCAGAAGCGCAGTGAAGACCAGAGCCACAATACCCTTCGCTGCTGCAACAATCAAGAGCCTTGTCTGTCTTGGCAAGTGCGGACGCAGGATAGCACGTCTGCCCGCCAAAGAAAGGGCCACAGCGCACCAATGGCGACGGCGTGGGTAGCCTGCATGTGTCGTCGTGGCCCGTGCCGCCGCCTACACACTGCTGGCATTGTTGCGAGAATTTTATTGCGCCGCTGTTCCCGTCTTTGCATTCAAAAACTGACTCCAGGACGTCCGTGTATGTTGTTCTCTGCCCAGCATCCTGCAGTGCCTGGAGTATATCTGTATAATAGTCTCCTAGTTGTGTCTTTTGTCCCTTGGCTAGCCCTTGAAGCAATAGTCGGCCACAGTATTTCAGTCCCCCGCGGCACTTGGTTTTGCGCGGCTCACCGACAGGGCTTTTGTCAGAGGGGTTGAACGTTTCTCCTCCCCAAGGTAAGAAAGGCTTGCAGGTGCTCTTAAAGAGATTGTTCTCTTGTCCCGTGGTCAAGTGGTAAGTCGTTTTATCGCTGGTGATCTTAATGGCTGTCTTTGGATCATGGTTGTTGGTGGTAATCAAAAGGCGAAGAGGAACGATTTGCTCTGGGCTGGCACGAATACTCCAAGAATGGTGGTGCTTGCTGACCAGCTCCAAGTTGACGTTGCTCTCATGCCACTCCGAGAAGGCTTCATTCCCATGCCATCCGGCAACAAGACTCTCTCCAGAATCAATATCCATCTGGAACGTACCATCTACACACGGATAGAGAAAGCTGCGGAGCATAATGGTCAAATTCTCAATGCCTGTGGCTTTGACGTACTTGGACAAGGACAAATCATCCAAGCTTGCTAGCTGTTCCACCATGAGAGGCCGCGCTCTGTGGTAGTATTCCATCCCAGGAGCACCAAAGCCAAGCTCGCCAGGGCTCGAGGTAGGCGTAAGAAACACGGCCACCTCGACACCAGGAGAGCAGCCGCTATCACAGCCGCAAGAACCACTCTTGCCGTTGCAGTTGCCGCGCCCGCAGTACCCCTCGGATGAGCCACAGCGTCCTTGGTTGCTGCAACACTGTCCCCAAGCCGATCCATTACAAGATACAGTCGATGCACCCTGCAATGTTGGCGGCTCCCATTCGCTGTATATGGAAATGTTGCAATCTCCAAACGGCGAAACCTGGGATCCATGCGCAGATGCCCAACATTTCCCGTATGCTGGCTGACACGCTCCATGCCCAACTTTGCAACCCGCAGAACCAGCACACTCTACATGAGGACTGCAAACGTTGTAATCAGAGCCGCATTCGCCATCTAGTGAGCAGCAATCGCCAAAGCCGGAGCCTAGACAGGTGCGACCACCAGCTAACGGACCGCATTTGCCGTCGTGCGAGATGTCTGCGGCAGACGGAAACACTTGAAAGAGTCCTTGATTCTCTGGATCCGAGTTACAGTGACCAAACCTGTCCTGACAGCCGCTGCCGCAATATCCCGGTCCGTCACCACAAGTGCCGTGAGGGCTGCAACAGTCTCCGAAGCCAGAACCAAGACAGGATCGTTGTTGAGCGTTTGATCCGCAGCGACCGTCGACGGAGATGTTGTTGGCTTGTGTATCTTGAAGAAGCGCTCGACATGTGCCAAACCCAAGTAGACAATCCTTTTCGCAGCTCCTGCCCGTGCCGCATTTACCCTTGCTTCCGCAACACTCTCCGAATCCCGCACCAGCACAGGTAGTATTGCCATAATCCGGACCACATTTTTCGTCTTTCGTAATCTGTGCCTTCATATCTCGACAAACACCAAACCGCGGCTGACATGTAGAGCCGCAAAAGCTGTAGCCAGTGCCGCATGTCCCTGCTGGGCCACAGCAATTGCCAAATACAGAACCAAGACAAGTGACCTGTTCAAAGCCAAAGTCACCGCACGTTCCATCCAAAGATGTCCTTGTCGTCTCGGTGGTAGGTCCCACGATGGCTTTGGCCTTGTCGTTGCAGAGGCCAAATCTGACATCACAGCTGTCAAATATGTCGCAATACGAGGGTCCTTGCCCGCAACTCCCGTTTGGGTGGCAGCATTGCCCTATTCTCGAACCCAAACACGTGGTGTTGCCGTTGGCTGGCCCGCAGAGATCATGCTTTGGCTCGGGAACATTGCGCCAACACTCGCCGTATCCGTGCTGGCAGCCATTACCACAGGCTTCCCAAGTATCACCGCATATACCATCCTTGGAACAGCATCTGCCGACTGCCGAGGAAGCACAAGTCTTGTCTGAGTGGCCTGCACCGCATTGTCCATCCAGACTAACAACCAGCTCCCTGCCTGCTGTGCACGAGCCGTGCTGGGATTGACAAGCGAGGCCGCAAGAGTATTCGTCTTGGCCACAGTTGCCTTGGAAGCTACAGCAGTCGCCTCGGCCCGAGTCCGTACATGTCTTGTTGTCGTATCCAGCACCGCACAGGCCATTTCGAGAAACACTCTCGGGCAAGGATTGCTCGTTCCATGAAAGCTCAGGCTTGCACTCGCCGTACTGGCTTTGGCATGTCGAGGGAGCACAGTACGCTGGTCCGTTGCCGCATACACCAAACTTGCTACAGCAGGATCCTAGGGCATATCCCTTGCATGTTCTGCCACGATCTGGACCAACAATCTCACCGCAGCCGCCCGCCGTCGAGACTTGGGGCTTTGGATCCGAGAGCGCATAGCATGTCCCAAAGGCCGGTTGGCACCCTTGGCCAGTATCGCATGCGGACAATTCGTTGCTGCAAAGGCCCCCTCTCCCGCAACACTCGCCAAAGATGGAGCCAGGGCACGTCTTGCCATTGCCCGCCTCGCCACAGAAGCTATTGCTAGTAATGTTCGAGTTTGTGTGGAAGCAGGAGCCGTGATCTGGCTGGCAGCCAACACCACAGAATTCTTGCCCGCTTCCACAGTATCCGTACTGGCTACAGCAGCCTTCGCATCGGCTCGAAGCACCGCAATAGTTGGCTTTGATCTTATCCTCGCTGCATGGCTGGTAGATATTCAACTCTTCAAGGGCCTTTCCCACGGCATTGACCAGCGTCTCGTAGCTCAGCGGCTCCAATGTCGTAGTCTCATTGACGGCGCGAGCAAGTTTCGGTCCTGCTTTAAAGGCCAATGATCTTTGAGGGTTAAAGATTCCAAACGACTTGTAGTAATTTGTACCAACGTTATCCATAAAGGCCTTGCGAAATTCGGGCTCCAGCTTTTGTGATAGCGCCCAAGCTTGGTCAAGCAGCGCTGCCTTGAGCACTGTCCACTGACGAGCGTGGATCTGGCACGCTGCAGAATTCAGCGCGCGCTCCCCGCTTTCAATATACCTGTCAATTTCCGCAAGAGTGTTGTTATCGTTCGGATACTGCTTCTCAACCATCCTGTGAGCACTATCCTGCCAACTCTTGGTGATGGCCGCGCGATATGCCAGCACCGTGGTTTCTGATTCCCACTGTATCCGCACACTATCTTTGAACAGGTCTCCAGTGAGGTATTTGAGTGCTTTCTCCTTCGTATCTTTCCAATTCGCCTTCATCGCCTTGCTGTACACCTCCACAGTACTGGTCTTACGTGCCGGATCAGTGAACCAGTACACAGCGCTGATGATGTTGCGGCTTAGGTGAATGACAGCACCCACTGGCCACCCGGGAGTCAACAAGAGAGCATCTCCAACAGTGCATGCTACAAATCCAACAGCTTGAATCTGTGACTTGGCCTTGTTTGCCTCGTGGGACACCACGCATCCCACCAGCGGAAACAGCGCGGTACCTGCTGCTGCTTTGTCGAGAACTGTGGCTTCATCGTCCAGGAGAGCGTAAACTAAGTCGTGGATGAAGATGGGTAGCGCAAATTTGTCCATAAATCCGCCATTGTATGCTTTAATGATATCCTTGGGGCCGCTAATGCCAATAGTCTTGAACTGCTTAATCTTCTGCAGCTGGCCAAGTGTGACTGGCGGTCTGTTCGAGTACATCTGGCCACCAAACGCATTTTGGTACATTGCCAGCGCGGGACTGATGTAGAAGGCCTGATTGAATCCGAGCGTTTCCGCAACAATGGCAGATGAAATGGTCTGCAGAACCGCATACTCATTGCCTCCTTCCACAGTCAGTACCGCATCAACTTGGTCATCCAAATCAACACAGAAACCCGATGCGTCCTTGCTTGCGCAGACAAAACTCGTGTCCACGCTGCTGCCGACGTGAATTGCCTTGTTATTTGCCCACACGGACCCATCAACAGTACCATTGGAGGCGACCTTCCAAGCTCGAACTATGTTCTCTTTGGGAATCCCCGAAGCAACCCAAAACTTGAGCTTAGCCCAGCCCTCGGGTTCCTTGTGCAGAGACGGCTGCCAATATCCCTTGAGCCTCTGCGGCGCAATTTGATACACATAGCCCGATTCAACGAGTGGGGTGCCGGCCTCAACAATCTGGAGCTCTGCAGCAGCTACTTCATCCACGTTGAGTGGACGACCCTTTGAGCGCAGCGACTCTTCCTGCAGTCTTTGCATCTCAGCCTGTTGCGCGGCGGACAGTGCGTGATGACCGCCGAAGCCAAAGAGCGCAAGGGATGCCTGGTTGACAGCACGGCTTGTCTCAAGAAAGAGGCCAGATGGCAAGTCCTCGACCAGCTTGGCGTATTCTTCATTCAGCTTCTCGAGAGACCCAGTGGTATGGAAGCCGTGCTTGAAGACTTTGTCAGGTGCTTCGACGGAGCCGATGAAAAAGGTCTTGGCTTTGGAGACGCCTCTGGCTTTAAGCTTGACAATGTCGACTCCGTCAACCAAGGGCGGAGCAGGGGCCGGATTCGCATTTGATTCTCGAATCTGCAGAGGGTTGTCCCAAGGGCCAACTGCTGCCATGACGGCGGCCACAGAAGCCAAGAAAGACAGGGAGGGTTTCATGGATTGCAATTGTTTGAAGAAAGTTGTCTGCGTATATTAAGAAGAACGTTGTTTTTGTAGTTGTTTAGAAGAAGTTTGTGTTGAGCGGCGGATGAGATGCCTCATTTATAGCCCATACAGAGAAGCACTTGTTAGTCTCTGACTTGAAAATCTGTCCATACCATAAAACAAGCAGATTCATCTGCCGTGGTCTTCGAGTCAGCCGTAACTAGTGAGTGCTAGACTGGGAGCCCAGCTGGACAGGGTTTAAATAGATTAAAGTACCAGTCACAAACATAAATTCCACTACCCTTTTTTACTCCGTACACTTAGCAATAGGCAAGAATGGAAGAAACACCTTGGAAAAGGTTGCTAAATGATACAACTAATGCTCTGACTAAACAAGTTTATTTCTAGTTTTATCATCTATAACACTAGAAGCTAAGTAAAACGTCCATCACTGGCTAAGCTAGTGTAATTAAGACTCTTCCTAACGCTACTCTCCAATATAGTAGCGAGTATTTCCACGCTAGGTCCACCTCAACGGTCGGTTATGTCTAGAGCACCCTCGATAAAAGACGAGACTATAAGACAATGTTTGTACACGACGCGACCCTCCGCTCCCTAGGATGGCTGCCAGTTCGCTTATGCTAAGTACTGCCGCAATGTAACGGTCTCGTCCAACTACTCGACGAACAAGGACAAAGGTCCAATAAAACACCCTTCACGGCCCACAAGGCACCTTGATCGGGAGCTAACCGAGACAGGCCGTTACATGTCTGGCGCGTTACCCTCGACGCCACTCGTACGATGGTGGATAATTGCCGATCTCCCCGTCGGGAGCACGGCCCAAATCCCAGCACAAAATGCTCTTTTAGGCAACAACTGAACAAGCCGACGCATGGGGGCTAGCCTCCAAGTGAAAGGGGGAGGGGTGCGGCAAGTCGGAACCTCGGCCTAAGCCGTCATAGTGCAGAGCAATAGAGAGAGACTTTTATCATTCCAACCTATAGCTCAGCAAGGATAAAACTGCGCCCAATATGCTTGTGTTTGTCTCAAAGTAGGATATTTGTGACGGTTTGGCTGGCCCTGCTAATTGCAATAAAAAAACACGAGTAGAAATTACTCCAAGAGTAATTCCCATAGCAGGCCTTGTATGCTATCTAACGGGTGAGAGTATAGGAACCCTCTAGCGAGGCTAGCCTGTTGTAATATTAGTAGCATTAGCAAAGGCGACCATCATGCAGTTAACCAACCTTTGCGTTCTACTTGCAGCAAATGTTGCGTTAGCTGCTCCAGACACTCATACTAGTGTGGCTGCACTACGACACTGTGTGTCGGGCGTGTTTTGTGCAAGTGCACCACAAAGAGTCATTGATGCCTCCAATGAAACGTACACGGATGCTAGAATCGGGGAACAGATTCAGTAAGTAATGGTATTTATCCTAACCTTAGGAACTGCAATCTGATAACAATCCAACAGGTTTAAGCAGTTCCCTGCTCTTATTGCTTACGCTCAAAGCGCCGACGAAGTTCCTAAGCTTCTCCAATGTGCCAAAAGACACGGCTGCAAAGCCGTTCCTCGAAGTGGTGGGCACCAGTATGTCTACAAAATAAGCATAGTATCGTCAAAACAAGAGCAAACTAACCGACTTCTAGTTTCGAAAGCTGGTCAGCTTTGAACGATACTCTTGTCATCGACATTGGCCATATTGACTACGTACATGTTGGCGCTGACCGCAAGTCGGCCCAGGTCGGCGGTGGAATTCGCCTTGGTGCCTTGTATACCGCGCTTGATTTGCACAACACCACTTTCAATGGTGGCATTTGCCCAACTGTTGGACTTTCTGGCTTTCTTGGCTCTGGAGGTTTCACAATGCAGATGCGATCTGAGCATGGCGTTGGCACGGACAATGTGATTTCAGCCAAGGTAGTTACTGCGGACGGCAGGATAGTCGAGGCCTCCAAAACAACCAACTCTGATTTGATCTTTGCCATTCGTGGAGGAGGTGGTGGCTCTTATGGTATTGTTGTCGAATGGACCCTTTCCCTCGTCACATACCCGCGTTCCGCCATTGTCTTTATGAATTGGACAAACGGCGATAACCACTACGAAATTGCGCGCCAATTCCTGGAATGGGCACCCACTGCCCCCGCCGAATTCACTACAAATATCAACATCCACCCCGACAATCTACAGCTTATTGGGTGGTACCTGGGCAAGAACAAGCAGGATCTCGAGGCGCTGATGAAGACCTCCGGTCTCACCAGCATTGGTAAACCACAAATCACTATTGGAAACGACTGCAGTACCGACAACTCTCGCCTCTTTGGCTACTACATCTTTGATTGTGTCCCCGACGACAAATTGGCCTCTGTCAAGCCTGTCCTCAACACACAGCAAGAAGCTTTCACCCAAATTGACCAGTACCCTCAATTCAAGTACAACGAAACCGTCCAAGATCAGCACTACGCGCCGGCACCTCCTTGGGAAAGATATCGCCGTATGTCGAAGTCCTTCTTTGTGCAAAAGACCAAGCCTCTTGATGACGGTACACTTAAAAAGGCTATTCAGAAAATTCAAGATCTATCTCCCGAGTCTCTAGGCTGGGCAGAATGGCATGCCTGGAACCTCTCCACGACACACACGGATTCTGCTTTTGCATGGAAGGAAAAGGCGCTCGCTCATCTCCAGTTCCAAATCCACGGCTCAGCAAACGCTACGGTGCAGGCTACTTACGACGAGTGGATGGCAAGTATGGAGCAGCTGCTACGCCCTGTTGTCGGCCCTGCCTCTTACTCCGGCGAAATGGATGCAAAGATATCCACTGATCCATTGACTTCGTACTATGGAGACAACGTGTGCAAGTTGGTCTCTGCAAAGAAGAGATGGGATCCCAAGGAATTCTTCACTAACCCGTTTTCGATTCCAGCAAAGGCCCCGAAAGGCCTAAATTGCTAGAAACAGGACTCTATATTTCAGTTCATTGTCTCACTTCTCTGCGTTCTTTATCTGTATAGATTATTGGACAACGCTTTTGTTTTTCAGCTTTTGTTTGTATGTCTTTTAGATTAGTAGCTATTACTTTTTATACTATGTCCATTTATTTTATCCACCGTCCAAATCCCATTGCCAACTCGACAGCACAGTCTCCTTTGACGAGGCTTGAAGGCTATCAATAGATGGGCCTGAGCACATGGAACCATCAAGGCAAATCTCTTGGCTGTGCCAAGTTTGGCCCCGAGTAGCTCGCCGCTTGCTGGATCCGCCGCTCCGTTACGCCGCGGAAGCGTGCTTTGAAGAATCCGTATTCACTCCGGAGCCTGATTCGGGACTGTACTGTGCCTAGTGGATACAGCAGTGATGGTATTGCAGATTATGCCTAGATTATTCAAGGGTATCTGAATGAAATGACGTCTTTTCTATATCTACTTTGGTGCCACTTTTGCCCGCAAACCAAGTTATGCTATAGGCTCTCCTCTGGTTATCGTCCCCAATAATCGTACTTATCACCAATTTCAACAATGTCAGTCCCCATTAGAGCCCAATCCGCGGAAGCGAAAACTCCTGTCCATGGGTATTACTACTGGATGGTGGAAATCGCTGCCGTCAAGGTCTTTATAGATCACGGCGTTTTCGAGGCTATTCCGGCAGATGGCAGCATCGCCATTGATGAACTAGCAGAGAAAACCAACGCAGACAGCCATTTAATCGAGCGCTTCTCCAAATTCCTCGTAGCTGCCGGGGTGTTGACATTTCCGACCGCAGGCCAAGTCGCCCACAACGACGCATCCAGACGTCTGGCTGAGCCCCGAATCAAACTGCTGTACAGGCACATATTCGACTTCTTCATGATACCGGCGGCTAAGTGGCCTGAATACTTTGTGGAAAATGGCTTGAAAGAGCCTGTTTCTTCGGATCGTGTGCCCTTTGGTTTCGCAGCGGGAGAGCCGGACAAGACTCTCTACCAAATTCTGGAAACGCGGCCACAGCGACACGAAGAATTCAATCGAGCAATGGCAGCAGCCGTGGAAACCATGCCCATAACTGGGATGTACGACTTTAGCTGGATTGGAAAATACGCAGCGGCAAGCAAAGACAATCATGAGAGGCCATTGTTTGTGGATGTCGGTGGCGGCAAGGGGCAAGCTCTGCGTGCTATTCTAAAGGAAAATCCTAGTATTGATGCCAGTCGTTGTGTGCTGGAGGATCAATCTGCCGTCATTGATGAGGCCATCCAAGAAGCAGACGAAGCACTAAGCAAGGTAGCCAAAGTGAAGATGAGCATTTTTGAAGAGCAACCTGTTCGAGGTGAGCTACAGTGTATCAGTTGACGCATTCTATGGCTAACAGATTTAGGTGCTCTGGTATACCACATCCGTCGCGTATTAAATGACTGGTCCGACGCCGACTGCGTCAAAATCTTGAGCCATCTGCGCAACGCATGCGTTGCTGACTCCCGCATTCTCATCTCAGAGCAGCTGATTCCCGAACAGCCCTCGCTCGATTTGGCTGCTTTTGATATATGGATGTTCAACTTTTCTGGAAAGCGCCGCAATGAGAAGTTGTTCCAGGACATAGCGACAAAGGCTGGATTGCGCATTAGCAACGTGTCGAGGGATGATGACTCTGGTGGTGGCATTATTGAAATGGTCCCTGTTTAGCTACTTATGGTTTCACCATGAGTCCATTTCTTTTTTTGGAAAATATTATCAATTATGCATATGAATAAATAAAGGTTTATTTCATCAATGCATGTCTCAATGTAACTACTTATATCCAGCTTCATGCTTTTGCAATTCTGACCACGACGGAGCCGATACCCGTTCCACTGCTCCAAGCTTTATGGGCGTCCCAAATCTGATCGAGCTCCCAGACCTTTCTGATCGGCACTTTAAATTTACCATGCAGCATCATATCTATCAATGTCTTCAAATTCTCGATATAGGAAGCATCGTCTCGGGACAAACCATAAAAGGTTGTTCGTCTACCACACTGTCCGTTACGAGCAAAGAGCTTCGCCACGGCCTCCCCTGGGTCTCGAAGAGTGCCACCTGACAAAGAATCACCATTGGTGCCAAAGGCGACAAGAATACCCGTTTCTGTCAATATATCGTAACTTTCATCGAAACTCTCAAAGCCAAGAGCATCAAACACAGCATGGGCGCCACCAAGGCTCGTCATGGCCTCCATCCATTTCTTGTCCGTGTACACAAAGGGATGAGCTCCAGCGGCGCGGATACTTTCATGGTTACGCTCGCTTGCTGTTCCATAAACGTCTGCTCCCTGCAGCTTGCAAAGGATCATCAGCCCTGTTCCGACGCCGCCGCTCATTCCGTGAATGAAGACACGCTGTCCGGCGGTAACACGGGCCGTCTCCGTGACCATGGCATATGCCGTGCTCCAGTCGCAAATTAAGGCTGTGACCTGTTGATGGTCCAGCCCCTGTGGAACTTTGACACAATACTTTTCCGGCTGGTTGACCAATTCAGCTTGCGCGTCGTACTTGGTAAGGACGGCTACGCAGTCGCCAACCTGCAAATCGGAGCACAAGTCTCCGAGCTTACTGACCGTCCCAACTAGGCAGTAGCCGGGTGTGAGCGGTGCTCCGACTTGGTCAGGGTAAATTCCCTTGCGCATGCTGATGTCACCGCCAGTGAAGCCCGAGTACTCCGTCTTGATCTGCACATGCTGGGCAGGCGGCGGGGGGCAAGTAGTGTTGACGATTTGCAGGACATCGACGTCTCCAAATTTGGTAATGACCACCTTGCGAATGTACGCCATGGCTGCGACTGGACAGCTTGCTTTTAACGAAATTTGTAGCTAATCGAAATGGCAATGGAATAGGTAGTGTCGTGACAATAGATCAGAAAAGACGGAGGCGATACTGCTGCGAAGTGATCCGAATGAAAGCAATAAAAAAGTCAGAACTGTTATGAATGAGCAAGAAAGAAACAACAGTGTTCGCTTACATCACAAGCCAAAAGAAGAAAAATCTCATAGAACTTCCAACTTCCCCCAAAGTCACATTCTTTCCGGCGCTTGTCCGCCAACTCCGCAGCCTCCGCCTCCTCGGAGCGAGCCGCCGGCGGATCTCCGTCTCGACACGGAGGTATCCACTTTTCCCTTTTGGGAAAGCAGCGAGCTTTTTATCGACACAGAAGTGAAGTGTAGTGGTCAAGGATAGTACGTACCCTGAAAAGATAATAGAGTAGCTGAAGAAAATTAAGCTTTATTTTTTTTCCCGTGCTGAAGACTCGGCTATGTTCCTAATCAAGGCGTAGTATTTTTTCCGGTCATACGAAGCTTAGTTTGACGCGTGTAACGAGCCGGGGTTCATCCGGTTTGGCATACGAGTCAAACCCCGCTTTCTGAAGCAAGAAGACTGAATAGTCTTCTAGCTTCAGTTCTAATTCAATACGGCACATTTTATTAGATACTGTAGTCCTTTATTTAATTCATTCTATTCATTCTATTTTAATTCATTCTATTTAATTGTTTAAGCCTACGCCTAGCTGTTCTGGTTGCGTAATTGTCATCCATTACAACGCGGCTGCATATGTAGAGTAGCCAGATGAGCAAATCCCTATCAATACAAACCATGTCTGTTGTGACTATTGTGACATTGGAGGTGTGTTACTTTGCTGGAGGTGTGTTACTTTGCTGGAGGAGTGAAGGAATAGTTAAGTCACTGGAAGTGGCTAAGGAAAACACAGGAAAAGGAAGTGAATACAGGATGTATTCGCTGTATTTAACTAGAGCAGTTCCAACCATGGAACCAGAAGAGAAAAACGATTTTCTACCACAACCTTTTACCTTTTAATAACACGTGTTATTTACCCTTGAACCAACAATACTACAACTAGTGTTCTCTAGGCGTTTTCATGCTTCTATCGCTGAGACCGTCACTTGTTTCCCAATTACATAATTAGTCAGTCTAACTGCCAGTTCAACTGAGTCAGTTGTATTACTAACCAGTCCAGTTGAAGCTTATCCAGTTGAGCGACCCAGTCTAAAAAAAGGCCAACTGGACTGAATCAACTGGGAGCTCACTCAGTTGGACTGGATGAGTGGTCAACTACTAGCCTCACTGACCTCGTCATCTCCAGGCCCTGGAAAGTCATCTAAACATGGCGTCAGTAACATCGAAGTGGACGTCTTAACCAAAGTTCCACCGCTCTGACCGCAGAGCAGAATCGACAAACTCGCTGTTCTATACAGAAATGCAGGAAAGTTAAGTTTCACATAAATCAGGCATAAATGGACCATTTTCAAAATGAATCGCGTATAACAGGTAGCGTAATATAGTGTCGGGGATGGGTGCATTCTTTGTGTTATGAAGCCCAGATCGCATGCAAGTCGGACAACTCATCATCAAGGCGTATTCCCACAGTGACCGTTATGCTTCTAAAGCAAACCATTACCGCTGCCCTTTGCGACGGATGCGTAAGCCCTCTAGCGATGTACAAAAGTGAAGCAGTAAGAATCGGATCCCACTGCTCCGCAAAGCTATTGCTTGTGGCCAAGCCGGCGATCATGCGCGCGTGCCATTGCTTCGACGCGAAATGCCCACTGAGCAATCTTGGCACATTTAGCAAACGCGGTTTGTTTTCTAGTAGCAATATAGCGGCTATATGATAGATGGCGTTGGCCTGGAGGGCTGCGACGTGAGTATAGAGCTGTACCGGGAAAGATGCTTCGCGGTTAGGGTCGACACTTGGTGCCTCCATTGTGCCCACATCCATAATGGGTCGCATCTCCGGGGTCCTTTCATTGTACCAACGGTGGCAGCTCGTCCATATAGATACCCAGTCTGACTGGTATCCTGCGTCAGCCGACGAGGGTAAGTGTTGTGTCGATGCTCGCTGGGTAGGTAGCTGGAATGGCTCACTACTAAGACTGTGAATAAAATGTAGGCAGTTGGTTAAACAATAGAGTGGCCAGTCGTTTGTTGTGTACATTTCAGCGTTAGTCATGTCGAGCTCGGTAGCTAGATAGATCGATGCACTAGTAATTGGTTGCGTTGCGGTAAGGATCGAAGCGGCTACGTCTAGCAGACAGAGTTAGCAAATTTGAGTACGTAATGGACAGCTAGTAACTATCAGGTGAGCAGAAGCTAAGCCTTCATACCAATTCGGGATTGCAACTTGCAAAGTGATCGATCGGGCTCGCTGAGGGCTGCAAGAGACGCTCGGCTTTTGGACGCCATGCTCAAATACTCAGAAGGCAGCTGCCGCCATTCCAAAGGACTCGACTGGAAGAACTTTGCAATACCGTATAGAGCCTCGCCAACGAGTCTGAGTTCTGATACGAGTTTACCAATATTTTCCGCATCCGCGCCGTCACTTGCGTCTAAAGCCACCCGTTGTGAGCTTGCACTCAGCATCGAGTGCGACTGGTTTGCTGCTATTTTGCAAATTAAATGTTGCAAAAGTGGTTGCTCGCCCGCAAGACGCAGTAAATTGACAGTGAAGGCCGTGTTCGCCTGTCCGGCCTCTATCCATGGAGCAGTTCTGTATTGAAAGCTTCTCAACAGCGTGATGTGAAGCCGGTCCGGAGGCAGACCAGCCGTGTCAAAATAACCATCCCAGCTATTTAGATCCCTTTGTATTTGTCTCATAGGTAGCTCGGGAATTTCTTGATTAGTGCTTGAAGCCGAGCTTGCAGTTACCTGCCGCGACACAGCCGCCGCCTGACGTTGAGCATCATCTGTGTCGCGACGAACCGAGCGGACGTCTCCAATAAACTATGAACCCATTTAGTAAGCGATCGAGCATTATTTTGGTTCGAGTATTAAGCTCACCGTTATGCTTTTATATGATTTTGGTGGCAGCTCTGGGCTGTCTGCGGGATATCGACAATCAACTTGCCGCGTCACACAGCTTGCGCACTGCGGTTTGCGCTCATCACCTAATAACACATATAATAAGCTAAAAGATCTTTGTTTCATGCTCTCAAAACACGAGGAGGGACCGTCGTCCGCATCCAAGGGCTGTCAACGTACACTTTCTTCGCCGTTGACGACACGCCAAGCACCCAGTCCGAGCGCGTTTCTTGTTCTCTGCAGTATGCCGCGTAACAGGCATCACTACGAAGTCACGTCATCTGTGATACAGCATTTAACGATTGAGTCGTGCGCGTTGTCTATTTTTACGGTAGCTGGTGTAGAGGCGTAGTGCAAGCAAGCGCAAAGGGAAGCAAGATTGTACAACAAATAGTTAAGCTAGTGCTGGCTCCACTCCACTGAGCGTTAGCGGAGGCACACAGAGGGAGCAGACAGGATACAACTTAGTCAAGATAATCATCACAGGGAATGGATTAAATGGCGTTAAAACTACAAATAAAACAAATCAATCATATACAAATTGATAGAAAATTCCTTGCCAGCCACGCCAGCCTCAAACTTGTTCGACAACACCGACGGCAGCCTTCTCGTCGGAGCCACGATCCAACAGCGCCACCAGCCCAACCTCTTCCTGAGCTTGACGTAGAATCACCGCATCTTGCTGGCCAGCATGACTCTTGAATATGCGATCCATCTCTTCCAAGCTGGCGTTCTTTGTCTCTGGCAAGAAGAACCAGACCCAGAAAATACCCGCCGTCAAAAAGACAGCAAAGAAAATGTAGGTGCCCCAAGCCCAGGCTTGAAGCATGGGAGGGACAAAGAAGGCAATGGCAAAGTTGTTTATCCAGTTGCTAGAAGCTCCGATAGATGCTCCCTTGGCTCGAATAGACAAGGGGAAGATTTCCGACACCAGAGTCCACGATACGGGGCCCCAAGTGGCGCCAAAGCCAGCGATATACACCCAGATGAGTGCTACGGCTGCCCATCCAGCAGCGGCATGCGAAGGCCAGTCGTGTCTAAACTTGGCAACAATGATGCCTACAGTTACCATGCTGATGCCCATAACGACGGAACCAACTTGCAGCATGGGCTTTCGGCCAACCTTGTCGATAATCAGCTGGTCTATGTTAGTTACTCGTCTTCTTCTATTGAATAGCCTCGCAATACTTACCATAGCAGGTACGGTGCTTACAATGAAGACAACACCCGTGACACCGGTAGCCAGCAGCGCCGTAGTTCCTCCTGTCAATCCTAGGCTCTGGAAGATGTTGGTAGCGTAATAAATAATGGCGTCGATTCCGCTCCACTGCTGGAAGAACATGATCAGCCATGCCGTGGCAACACGCTTGAGGTTGTCAGATGTGCGGAAGCAAGTGACATATTGCGCGATCTGCTCTTTGAACGGACTCTTTTCGCGTTGGTCGGCCATCCTGGGGAAGTCTCTAGCAAAGACTTTGGTCTCGAATACGGCCTCGGCCTTGATCTCCAGATACTCCATCTCAACAAGGCGGTGGTCTGTGGGCAATTTGCGCATCCACGCTAGCGTAGCCTTGGCTTCCTCGTCTCTGCCAACCTTGACCAGCCAGCGAGGAGAGTAGGGCATAAACCAGATGCCAATCGCGAGAGCAACAGCCGGGATTCCCTGGATAATGGACGGCAGACGCCAGGCCAGATCTGATTGCGAATCGCCCGTGCCGCCGATATAATTGCTAGCATAGCCAATCCAGAAGGACAACATAATACCGAGAATAGTGGAAAATTGGTAGAAGGAGACAAGGAAGCCTCGCATGTCAGGCGCAGACAGCTCGGCATTGTATAGGGGGCCAACACCGCTGAAGAGACCAACACCAACACCGGTGAAGAAGCGGCCGGCGTAGAGGAGGGAAGGTTCACCGGCCTTTGCTCCAATGTAGAGATAGCTACCCAAGATCACCCACAAGCAGGCAATGAACATGGTGCGCTTGCGAGAGATGAGCTCGCTCAAAATACCAGCAGAGAGCGAGCCGAGAATACCACCGAGCTGGAGGACTGAGGTAAGCCATCCCGTCGCAGAAGACGATTCTACCACGGAAGGGAAGTTTGTGACAAATCGCGTCATTACAAGCGACTGTCCAAGGACACCCTGCTGGTAACCATATTCAAAACCACCGAGGCTAAAGGAAGACAAAGTCAGCGACACAGCGGAGCAAAGAATGGGAAAGTCAACTTACGAGGCGAAGAAGGCGATAAAGACAATCTTGGGATTGGAGCGGATATTGTCCCAGATGGATTGTCTAGGCCCAAGGGCTTGCTGTGCCGACTCCATATCGTGGCGTTGGCAGAAATAAAGAAACGATCGAGGTGACGTTGGAAGTAATCACAAGCAGGACACTCAGTAGTAGCAGTGACTACACTAAGCGAAGAGGACAGAGGAAAAGATGATTGCTTACGAGAACCAGCCTGCACTTACTGAAAGAGAGTGAGTGGTGCGCAGCGGACAATGTGAGTTATATATTCCAACGATGCAAACCCCTGCAACCCCGGATTTTGCTCTCCCTACGTTCTCCCCCGACTTCTTCTTGTCAATAGCTCGTTCGACTCTCCCCAAATGACGCCTCTTTAGCGCCAAATGCTTCTTCGCCGGCGGGAAGCGCGACCCAGATAGTCTGGCGCTAAGCCCAATATGGATTCTGTAGCCTATGCCCCTCCACTTTCGGACAGAAATACGCGCCGCTCTAACTTATAAGTTTGCTTGGTATGCGCCACCTGACAAAATCATCAGTGGGCGTGACAGACAGAGATCCCTCGCCCATGATTCATGCATACAGCACTACCGGTTTCGGTAGCTATCTAAATGACGGCAATTAGCTGTAACTGTTGCATTGGCCCTCAATGGAGCAAACGGCTTCCGCGCTAGAAGACCCAGCCCGAGACGCCCCCGACTTTTCCCCAGAGTCGCTCTCTACGCTAGACGAGTACGCCGCCAACCCACGCTTCATCGAACTGCAAGAAGAGTTGCGCGGGGTGCTCTTCGCAAGCGCTTCTAGCTATGATATCGGCAGGCAGACGACGCCCGACCCAAAAGAAGCCCGAGGAGATGATGCGGTGCACACAAGCTACAGCGACCATCTCGCCCGGGTAAATATCCCCAAGAGCCGACTTATTCAATATATGCAGAATTGGGTGGTGGAGTGCGCGCCGTATCTCGACAAGTTTGATCATGAGAAGCATTTCGGCATCAGCGTGCCCATCGTCTCAGAGACGTCGCCGGCTCTTCTGTATGCGTTGCTTGCCTTTTCTGCGCGGCAGATGGAGCGCAAGAACAGCTGGACGAAGAACCACGATAGCCTGGAGCTTTACCAGGAATCCATCCGCTTGCTGGCACCAGGCATGCAAGCTAGGGATGCCAATATGCTTGTTACAGCGTGTATACTTGCCGTACTGGAGCTTATGTCTGGCAGCTCCAAGAACTGGCGGCGGCACATTGAAGGCTGCGCCACGCTGTTTGATCTGTTCAGAGTCAATGGCTTCTCCGGCGGCCTTTTGCAGGGTGTTTTTTGGTGCTATGCTCGCATGGAGGTGTGCGGCGTCATCATCTCAGCCGGCACGCAGAGCACAGTGCTGCCGCTTGGCAAATGGATCCCAGAGAATGATTCACAGACTGATCAGGATGAGTTCGCTGCTAGTTTATTCTACCGAATTGGTCGCCAGAACTCAGACATGCATGCCAACTGGGCTGTCTACCTCTGTGCTAAAGCATGCGACCTTTTGTACAAGCGTACGAGGTTCCTGGAGCTGCAGGAGTACTACCACTTCGAGGCGAGGTCGTTTGTGGTCCAGTGGCGACGACTGTGGCACGATTTGCAGTGCTGGCGCGAGACGCGGCCAGAGTGTATGCTGCCGACTATGGTGTCTAAAGATTGCAATGGCATGTTTCCTTCGATTCTGTTTGCCCATTGGCCAGCTATATCCTGCCACCAGGTATACCATGCAGCGTGCATTATTGCGCTTGAAATGCGGCCGAGAAGCGAGGCTATTCCGTCGCCGTATGCATCTCCTGTTTGGCACGCGCGCAGAGTCTGCGGCATATCGTTGACCAACCCGCACAAGGCCAGCCTGATCAACGCCATCCAACCGCTGTATTTGGCAGGTAAACTTCTCACCCACAGAAGCGAGCATTTGCAGATGGCGAGGCTGCTTAAAATCATCGAGCAAACAACCGGATGGGGCGCTCTGTGGAGGCTGCGAGATTTGGAGGCAATCTGGGGCTACCAAACAGGAGAAATTGCATCTATTATTGTTTAAGGAATATAGATCAATATGCTTCAACATCCTAGCGTACGATCCGAATCCCGTCCAGAAGCTCATGCATGTAAACGTAGAGTACAGCGCGCTTAGCGCTCATATTCCGCGCAAATCCACATTCAAGTTCGTATAGCTAAAGCGCCGGTACATCGTTTGCTGTTCATAAGAGCACGCTGTATGTGAGCTACTAAAGCCCGGCTCCAGTACCATTATCGGAGGGCAGATTCGTATTGAACAAATTGCTTATTCGTTCAACAAGCCCAACTTTTATAGAGCGATTGGGACCATCAGACCCAAATCTTTCACAACAAGAGACTTTAATCGAGAGTAACACAAGACTACCGCAAACCTAGCCTGCTACAACATCCAATTTAATTTATATAATAATAGTAAAAGAATTTACTAATATAAAATAAAACTTTATTTTAATAGTATATTTAATCGATATAACTTATTTTAAAACTTTAAGTAATTTAGAACATTAATAAAAGGGGGGACAATTTTTTATTTTTAAATAGATAAGTTAGCTATTATTCTATAGGTATTCACGCCCAAGCAGCTTTACCACCCATTCATCCAATGGATCCGTCAGCCTCTTTCGAGAAGCTACTACTAGAAGAGATGGCAATTTATCCACACACGCTCCTTGCGGGAGTAGTTCCTCAGCCTGTTTTCTAGTGTGAAGAAGAAAAACAAAAGTGACATCCTAAAGCTGCCTTTGACAAGAATAAATTCAAGCAAATCAGATGAGATGAGCTAGTCTTACTCTATGACTGGATGACATATGCGAGCTGAAACACCACACCAATCAGCTCTAAATATTAACCTAATACCACTCAGGTGCTTTGGATGGCATATGCGAGCTGAAACGCCACGCTAATCAGCTCTCCCTATTATCACCCAGATGTTTGCGATGGCATATAGCCACCTTCGCAGAGTAACCCAAAATAGGACATCGATTCGAGATATATACTCCTATGTTCGGTTATACAGCCAAGACTATGACGATCAACGAGATATCGGTGTCACTAGTGCCGCACAAAAGCTGACAAATTGCAAGCCCAACTCTTCAGCCTTAAGCTCTTCCTCGCAACTATATAAATATATATCTTAAACAGGTCGCTTTGATACGCTGTTACTGCTATTTGGATTATTTCTTCCGTCAAACCTCGTTGCTATTTACTAATTCCATTTAAACACATCATGTCACACATTCCACAGATGAAGCTACCTTCTGCCGTTGAGTTCTTCGACAGTATAGCAGACAATTATGAATCATCTACAGGAGGCTGCACGCTAGCAATAGTACGTTCTTTGTTAGAGCTAACTTGCCTACAAGACGTATGCTCTGCCGAGTCTCATGTTTTGGATAACGCTGCTGGCACCGGTGTAGTGGCAGGAGAAATTATTCGGCAGGCGCGTAATCTCCATGCCGATATCCCCAATATCCGCATTGTTGATCCGGCCGAGAAAATGATCAGCGCTGCGAACGCTAAAATATCACGTCTAGATGCTGGAGGTCGTTGTAAGGCGGCGGTCATGTACGGCGAGAACTTGGACTTTGCAGACAACACATTTTCTCATAGTATCACCAATATGGGCATTCTATTTTTCAAAGATCCAAGCGCAGGAGCTAAGGAAATATACCGGACTCTGCGACCTGGTGGTGTGGCCGTCGTGACGTCTTGGGCTGACGTGGGCTACTTGACCAAAGTCATTCACCCTTCGCAAAAGGCTGTGCGGCCTACCGATCCCTTATTTCAGCTTCCCGTCCCCCCCGTCTGGTTTCAACCTGATCATGTCAAGAGCTGTTTAGAGAAAGACGGGGGGTTTACTGACGTTGAGGTGCTAGAGATGCGATGTCATTATGGCGCCCCAACTCTACTCATTTTGCAGCAGATGCTACTACGAATCTTTGGACCTGTCTTAAACCGATGGCCAAGCAAAGATCAGGAAAAGTTTACCAACTGTATCGCCGAAATTCTACCTAATGTGGTGGAGGAATACCTTATGCCGAATAGCGACCGGGGCTTGGGAGTTCCCATGCAGGCGATTGTAGCTATCTGCAAGAAGTGAAATTCCATACGCTCTAGCTATCCTAGCCCTACAGGATTTGACTAGCAAGCTTATATATATTGCACTTTTTAAGACGAATATAAATACTTGTCTAGTAATCCGGAGAAACATTACCCTTAGCCTCTTATCTAGCGAGAAGAGCAAATACAATACCAAGCACGTCCGCTTGACCGTATACACAACTCCGCTGTGAATTTATTTTATAGACTGTTTAACCTAATCAATTTAATATTTATCGAATTTCTTTTGATTTTGCACCATATCAAGCCAACTATGGCATCCACCAAATCTAACCAGAGTACAGGTACTGTTGTGACTATTGTGACATTGGACGTATGTCACTTTACCAGATGAGTGAAGGAACAGTTAAGTCACTGGAAGTGGATGACATAGGAAAAGGAAGTGAATACAGGATGTATTCGCTGTATTTA